TAGCTCTCCAAGCATTTACACCCATCTAGTTGGACATACCGACTTGGGGAGAGGCATCCAATACTATAAGTATCAACGTTGACCTGACGGGAATCTGTTGAAAAATCATATACGAGCAGCCACATCACACTGTAAGTTCTTCACAATGAATACGCCAAATACAAATTCTTCTGCAGAAATGCTTCAGTGTTGCTCGAGCCGCCACTATTCTAGAGTTTAGCTCCTTTTACGCGTACTCTCGTTCAGGCTCCTCGGTCCGAGCGATGTACGGTAAACAGAACGGAAAGTGAATATGCCACGCTCCTGATAGCTACTTTCTCTCATTGCCCCTACATGGTGTTGGAGATTTAGAAGTATACTATGGTGGCGCTGGAAAGAGCGACATGCATGATAACATTATGCGTCTCGATGCAGGCACTCCTTCACTCACCATGAGACAATTCACGTGAGTCACACAGTTTATGCGAGCGTTTTTTCATATAAAGGCATTGGCAGCTCCTAACGGTTGAACTGTATTGCTAATTTTCAAAGCTTGAAGACCTGAGCCTGTCGAAATTGACGCACATGCACGATCCAGTGAGCTAGCAGAGTAAGATCGGCACGCAGTGGCGAATTCCGTGGCCTTAAACATGCAGAAGATCACGGTTTTTTCGTCAGTAGAAAGTTTAAGTAATAATACATGAGGCTATTTACACTGCGGAAGTGTGACGGCCTTAACGGAAGAGTCGAAAATTATATTGTTTTTGGAGTTGTACCTACAAGTTTCCTGATTAACAGTATAGCTATTTTTATCATTTTCTAGGAAAGGTTGGGGATGTTCCGATTGATAAAGAATATTATCGGAGCTTTATTTGTTCAATAGCCACGGTTAGACAAGCTTGTGGGATTTACTAATCACATAGTGGCCTTTCGAACCCCAACTATACCCACAACAGGCGCCACAGCTCGTCAAGGTACCTACTCTGTCATTCTAGTACTTCATTCCACACGATTTCCGGACCCAACGGCAATCTTTCACCGAAAGTGCGCTTAACGATGAGTTTTAGGGCTGTTTTAAACCTCCTCACCCCGATGAAGTAGCATGGGTCCCGAATACACTACAAGTGGGCTTATAATGATCCAACGCCCCCAAAATACCTACTCAGCAAAAGCTTCCTAGAAACCTTTTGTTTTTTAGTAATCAATGCAAGTACTTTCCAATGGCACTACAGGAATAAAATATCTTTTCCACACTTTCACGTTCACTGGGACGGATGCAGCACGCGTGCACGTCAGATCTCATCACCCAAAGCAAGGATTTTAGTTACTAGAAACGAGAGTAATCTTCAGACGAAAAGCTAAATCAATATGAAATCAGAATTAAAGAACGATTCGGCCATAGAAGGTAACCTCTGCATGCACTGTTGTGTGCAGGCCAACTTGTGGTTTAGGTATGATAGCTTTGCCCTGTGGATGCCAGTGTCGCTTCAGGCACACATAGATAGCTGGGAAACAAGTATCTAGTTTTTAATCACTCTTCAAACCTGCAATTCAGTACGGCTGACTATCTGCGTAAAGATTAACTATGGGGAATTTCATGCAGCATATCAAAGTCAGGAATAATTCCCTTCACAATCAGTGTAGTCATGCAAAATCCATTTTAGCTAAAACAAAGGCGATCATGCGTCTGAAGCAAAATGCATGGGCTGAGAGCCCTGGTAGACTATGGCTGTGCAGGCCCCTAGTTTGTGTGGTCTTCGTGTTCAGAGAGCGCATTCAACTGTGAAAAACGCAGTTGCAGGCGCGATAGTAGAGTTAGCCCACTACAGCAGGGGCGGCTGTTCACGATGCTGGTAAGCCTGGGCGGAAAATCAAAAAGCCTTTACGATTCTTCTCGTCTCTTGTTTTCATTAATTGCCAAATGCCAACAGAATTTTTGTAACGCTCCATCTAAGTTATGCTTAAGGGGGCACGGAAAGTCCAGACCCAGTGTCAACTTGAAGCAAAAGTTCTTGAGCTTTCCTCCAAACTGGCCTCCTTTTCCCTGATTAGGCTATATAGAGCTCCGGTACGAGGGCAGGGGGACATCTACGGTGTGCGTGCGTGCGCGAAGCGTTCACAACTAGTTGCCTAGAGTATCTAGCGTTTCCACGCACACATCTGCGGCTTATTGTATTGAGAAAATGCTACCCTACAACAAATGACACATCGAAACAGCCCAACTGAACAGTCAGTTTTTTGCTAGTTCTTAATTAATATCACTGACGCAGTGCGTAATGCGTTGAGTCTGGCTTGGAGCGTCACGTTCGGGATCGGCACGCGGCAGTAGCATGTCCACGCTCCAAGTAAAAAGCCTAATCTAGATTTGCCAGGTCAGAAACCAGTCACTCAGTGGGAGCGCAAGGCAGCTATTGCGCAATCAACTCTGTTCTTCACTTGACCTCTTTTTGGCGACCCCTCACATTGTCACCCATGAAAGAAAGCAGACCACAGTCGAGAGCATGGCCACACAGCTACCTCCTTTTCTACTAAGCCCTTCCCATCTTTAATTTTTCTTCGACTTGGGGGCTCTGCTACTCGCCTTTTGTTCGGAGGCAGCGCCCCTAGTGGAGATGGCTGGGAGACAGCTGTCCTCCGCCATTGCATCAACGCAAAATTGGCGGGGCATCTGCGAAGACGCGAAATTGCGCCCAGCAGCCTATATACCCGACTTGACAGGTTCAGGATCAGGGTTGTAGTGCCTGGATGATATTTTCTGTACTAAAACAGGTAGCTTGGAGGACCTTCACGCAGTGTACAACTTTCTGTGATCTATTGTCTGGTCGTACTTTGCTGAGTTTTCTGCCTATGTGTGCTTCACTCCGTAAACTGATGTAACAGTGCAACGGCTGCACTCTAAATTCCCTTTTCTCTCAGCCTCAGTAGTGTGGCGCAGGGGTCGAATATGGAATTCAGGGAGCTGGAGCCACGAAAGCGACACGTTTTCCTGCCGAGGTCTGCAGATTGTGGTTATAAACAGGGGGGAACACCCATTTCATGGGCACCTTGGATACATTGTAGCCCTTCTCTTACCTTTTAAACCATTCATGTCATGTATTTCTTTGTCGAGGTGCTGCAAGCAGCGAGACGGACTCTGCCCTCCGGCGTGTGGTGCAGCACGAGGGGGCCATGATCTGCTTCTTCAGACACGGAATTGTATTTCATGTGCAGAGAAGACAGCCAATAGTAAAAGTAACGCAATTTAATGGCTGTTCACCCAGTAATTTGAGAGCTTCATTGACTAATGATGAGGCATCAGCTACCTGTGCTGCTCACGCCACCTCCCGTGCAGGATCTACGGAGATATCACCATGCACCACAAAAAATGGGATTTAGGCTCTCCATACACCAAATCCTTTTAGTTTTCACGTGAAAAATAAATTCATCCAAAGTAGAGTGGCGACCAAGACTGTGTCTATGACCGCATTTCCCAGGCGTATCTGCACCTTCGTGCTGCCCTCCACACAGTGTGTCTCTCCCGCAGTGCAGTTGGCGTCGTCGCTACACCAATTGAGAAAGGGATCAATGTGACCCATGCTGCACTCTCTTGTTTAGTGCTGCTCTAGTGTACCAGAAGTAAAGATTCCGCAGTCTAGAGCACTGCAGCAACTGCAGGCGCAGCGGCAACAGGGTCCCTGCACTCAGCAGCAGCCGCTCCTGCATGTACATCGTCATATGCCCGTCTCGGCGTGCACTTGTCTCTCTAGCTGATCAGTTGCACTGAGCGGGAGCACTTCCCTTCTCTGGTTTTCTTTTTTATGCTTGGCTTTGTGTGCCAAACGGCGGGACTCCTCCGTGCTTCTTTCCTTTCTTCCTCCATTAGGGTGCAAATCTTCCCAGGCGACTGTCTCCTCCGTCCGCTGCGCGGGAGGGTGTGCAGGTGCCTTTTTCTGCCAATGCGGTGCCGACGCTGCTACTGCGTAAACGGCATCAAAGTGGAACCAGACTCTTGTATTGTCGAGTGCTAAGTTTCAACTGCAGAAATAGGGGGGCTTTCGAGGAGCAGCACCACTTGCCCGCCTACAACGTGCCCCTTCGTCGCCCAGTGGGTCGTGCGCAAGCATCACCCGCAGTGTATGTATGCTTACTTGCGGTGTATCCAGAGACTCTGGTCGCCATTTACACAGTGCAGTCCCGTTCTTTGGCTGCTAAATTGTCGTAGCTCTAAGCTGTCACTATTTTTATGCTTTTCGTGGATATCGATCGCCGGAGCCATTCGTCGAGTCCTCCCCGGAGGGGATTTATGCTGAACAGCAGACGGCATGCAGCAAGCGAGGCAAGCGACACAAGGCTCCCTCCCCATCAGCATAAAAGGGCTTGCCTCCGCATAAATGCGCAGCTGGCCAAAGGCTTTCGCGCGCTGGACGTTTCTCTGTCCCCGAGGGGACACTACTGGGAAGTAGAGGGCTCCGAAAAGGCTCGAAGGGATGTGCAAAGGTAGCTCGTACATCTGGGTAGCAGACCTTGCAGGAACGATCCGAGGCGAAGACGAGGGTAGATCCTTCGCTTTGTTCTCCCGCCTCTTCAAGCAGGAGGGAAGTAGCTCTCCGCAGAGGGAACCGACGCACTGGCCCCAAACGGTCAATTTCTGTGGGATTTCGCGCCTTTGACAGGAGAAGGCCAGCCAGATACACCGCAGCGGCGTCAGCAGCCTCGGCTTTTTTCAGGATTCTGCTTGCTGTGCATGCACAGGCGTCACACCCCTCTTGCTGTGCTTCACCGTTTGTCCACACAGACACTGCTCCAAGAGCATGGAGCAGGGGATCTAGAGACGCCGCGGCGGGCAGAGCCGCCTTCTCTACTCGGAAAGTGTGCCTCACAACGCACGAGCAACAGCTTCAGCAGCACCGGAAGAGTGCTCGATCGCAGCTCAAGCCTGCGGCTGGGAGGAGGCGCAGCGCATCCTCTCGGCTCGCTCCTCGCGTGGAGCAACAGCCCATCCGAAGGACCCCCAACGATCCAGAATAGACGACTTTCTCGCCATGAAGGGCGACAGCAGGGAACGCCTGGCTCCTCCTTCAGCTGGGGAGCAATTATTGCCTGTGCAGGTGGTGGCAGGAAGGACTGCTGCACAGCAGCTCCCGCAAGCGACGTTGGAGCCCGCTAGGTGCGCCGATATGAGAAACTGCTCCAGGAGTCCAGACAGCAAAGATCCTTCGTACCCGCCTTCTGTAGCGCAACAGCTAAAGGCGTTGCTGCTGCCACCCCTATTTGGAGGACCCCGTTGCTGCAGCAGCTCTTCGTCTTCTGACTCGCCAGCAGTCTCGCCAGCGCTTGACGGAGGCTTTGTTCCTGCAGATCCGCAAGGCAGCCCGACGCTTCTGACGTCTAGCGTATCCTCTTTGCGGATTTCGCAGCAGCAGCAGCAGCCGTTCCTGCCGCCTCCAGCTGCGGGGGCAGAAGAAAAGCAGCAGCACGCGCAGGAAGGCCGTTCTGCAGCAGCAGCTGCTGCTGCTGCTGCAGTTGTTGCTGCCCAGTCCCTTGCCGGGAGGTTTCCCTCCGGGGGAACCGACACGCTTCCCGGTGCTCCACTCGAGAACTCTTTCCACGGATGCCAGCGCGCAGACAACGCTTCAGTCTTAGCAGCAACACGCAGAGCGGAGGGCGAGGACCCCCTTCCTGAGGCTGCAGTGCCTCTGAGTGGCTTGTCTCTTGAGCGGCTCATTCTCCCGATCCCATCGAATTTCGGCTCGCTTCTCGTCAGTCCTTCGCATGCTCACAAACCTCCAGGGGACCCCTCGACGAGAAGCAGTCCGGCTTTCGAGGAGGAGCAACACCCCCTGATGCAGCAGCAGCGGATCGGGGGACTGGAAGAAGAGGCTTCCGAAGCTCCTTGGCAGTTCGCCTCGCTGACGGCTTCCATAGACTCTGCAGCAGCCACTACTGCCAACGCGGCAGGCGCAGTTGATTCCTCAGAAGAGGCCCTCGAATACGAAGAGGAGCTGCAAGAAGCGCCTCACTGCGGGCAGCAAATGCAAGAGAAATTGTTGCAACATGGGGTTGTCTGCGGCAGCGTCAACAACAAGGGCCTCGTCAAGAAGGCGACTGCAGCTGCAGCACCGCGGAGTCTTCCGCGTGGACGAGGCAAAGCTGCAGGCGTTCCTAAGCACCCAGGGGGCCCCTCCAGGCATAGAGGAGGCCCCTTCTGCAGCCTGTGCTGCTCAGGGGACAAATTTATCTTCCTGTACGCTGCCGCAGCAGCAGACCGTGCCGTGTCGACGGGCGTCACTATTGTGACAGAGGACGCCGAAGCGCAAGACGCAGCAGCAGCGGAAGCCGCTGCTAAAGTGGCTGCAGGCGGCTTGCTCCCCAAGGATGCTCCTAGTCCCTTCATGTTGCTCGTTGCCGATCTCTTCCAGGAGGCGCAAACGCCAGACGCGTGTGCCTCCGAGCGCACTGCAGTCACAGAAGCAGAAGCTCGTCAGGAGGAGGAGCGCAACAACGAGGGCAACACGCTGCCTCAGACACCACAAGAACTTAGAGGCTCCCCTCAAAAGCCGCAGCAAGCGCTGCTGGAGAGCCAAGCGAGAGAGATACCGAAGGAGCAGGAGCAGCAAGACGAAAAAATGCAGCAGGAAGAGCAGCAGGAAGAGCAGCAGGAAGAGCAGCAGGAAGAGCAGGAGCAGCAACTTGATGAGAAAAAGCAGGAGCAGCAGCTGGAGCAGGAAGAGCAGCAGGAGGAGGAGCAGCAGAAGCGGCCTCAGCCTGACGAGGAGGAGGAGCAGCAGCAGCTACCAAGTGCAATCAAACAATGGACTTGTGAGAGTAGGGTAGGGGTTCCTGAAGGAGGTGTTGCGCCGTCTGATTCTTTGCAGCTGCTTGCTTGCGGCTTTCGCGCGCTGTCGCATTCTGGCACGAAAATGCCGGCAGCTGTTTGTCTCGCTGCACTGAGGCACCTTTGTACGCAAGTGTTTTTGGGCGCCACAACAATGGAAGGAGTCGCAGGCCTAAGGGACCTCATTGGAAGTCTCGCCTCCGATGACTCCCCCGTCAGGCAGAAGAAGGAGCAGCAGCTGGGGAGGAGCCAGACTGACAGGAGCTCTGCCCCTGCCCCTGCCTCTTCCTCTGCGCGGAAGGAAGCGTCGCTCGCGGGAGCACCTCAAGCAGCAGATGAAGAGGCGGAGTTTTTGCTGCGCGAGACTCCCTTGGAGTCCAATTCTTTGTATTTGCTGGCGGAGAAGGCCCCCAAGGTGTGCGGCGTCTCTCTAGACACGCAGAGGCTTTCGTTTCTGTCCTACTTTCAATGCCAACGGGCTGAGAGGAGAGTTCGCAGAGGCCTCTCCCCCTCAGGAAGAGGAAGGGGGCGCTGCAGCAAGCGCTTCTCGTTTTCGTCTCCCGCTGGATTCTGCAGAGCCTTTTGGCGCGCCGTTCTCTGGCGACGCGCACACGAGCTGCAGCGCTGTCTCGACATTCGAGTTGCAACTACGCACGCCGCGGCGAATGCAGCTGCCGCCTCTGCTTCGGCGGAAGGCGTCGTCGGAGCTTTCGCAGTGCCGCACGGACTGCGAAAGCTCCAGCAAACCGTTCGCGAGGCGTCGAGCAAGCCGGTCCCCCACGGCAGGGAACAGGAGGCCCCTACGGTGAGACGGGATTATGAGGAGAGGGAAGCCACTGCAAGCGCCTTCTTGCTCCAGCAGCAACGCCAGTCGGAGCAACTGCGCCAGCAGCAGCAAGAGGCCACACCAGCCGAGTCTGACATGCGAGGCTGCGCCAACACCGCTGCCAGCACGAGAAGTTTTGCGACGAATGCCGCCCCCCCCAAAGGAGCGCCTCCTAAGAAGTACGCGACCGCAGAGACGGCAGGAATGCTCTCAACGCTTGCCGTGGCTATCGCCAGCAGCTGGGGAGGCAAGTCAGGGCAGCAAAAGCCAAGGGAGCCCGAAGGAAGTGGAAAGACACACACAACAGGTGCAGTTCCGCGAGGCGGAGATCCTAGTCTCCACTCCGTCCTGCACGAAAAGTACTCCCCACGGCGTCTATCCTCCAGTCCCAGGCGGAGCTGCCCCGCAATGCCTGCAAGCGCCGAAGTGGCAGCAGCAAATGCACGCTCTGCCACGGCCGTTTCCAGCATCGAAAGCTTGCTGCTTCACACTCCTGCCGCTCTCTTGCCGTCGTCCATGTCTGCCTCAACACGGCCCTCCTCTGCCTCCAAGTTTCCTCGCTCTCCCGATCTGCATGGCAACGGCTCGCGGAGTATTGAGAGCTGCGCATTTTTCAGAGGAGAATGCGTGCAGCCTCCTGCTGCAGGCGGTGCGGCGGATGTCGCCCACCGTGTCTTGCCTCCCTTGCCCGTTGTTGCGGCTGCCGGAGATGCAAAGTGTGGAGGGCCTACACAGAGCGCTGGCTCTGCGCTCCCCAGCTCCACGGAGAGCATCTTGGAAGCCGTCCTGCGTCTCCCCAAGGTGCACGGCGTTTGCTTCGACAAGCAAAACTGCTCGTTCATGGCTCAGCTTCAGCACAAGGGCCGCAGACAGTGCAGACATTTCAAGGTGAAGAAGCACGGCAGCGTTCAGAAGGCATACAGCGAGGCCATCGCAAGCAGAAGGCAAATGGAAAGGGATGTGCATTCTGCCTGCAAAGGGGCGCCCGTCGACGTCCACGCTGGAGCCGTCGGGCGACATTTGCAGCTCAACGAAGCAACTGGCAAGGAGGCCTCCCCGCTCGACGCGCACGACGCACTGCAGGGAAAGAGGAGAGGCGGGCAGAAACAGCGGACGAGGAGCGAACCTTATGCACTGGAGCACAATGGGGAGCTTGGGGGGATGCACAGAGGAGGACGAGGCACTCAGCGGGATATATCGGGACCTCAGAGCCACACAGCGACTGTTGCAGCGGCGACTGCAGCGGCTGTCGTTGCTGCGGCTGCAGCCGAAAGAGGGCGCGCTGCGGCTGCGCTTGCAGCAGCTGCAGCGACGAATGGAAAGAGCGCCTTCGGAAGCTCTCACTCCGCAGCGAAGAGGCTGCACAGCGACGGGAGGGTGCCTCCTCCTCTTCCTCCTCCTGCTGCGGCTGCTGCTCTTACTGCTACTGCTGCCGCTGAGGCGCTTGCAGGAGTCGGAGACGGCGAGCAGCTGCCGCATCTTCAGCGGATGCAACAGCTAGGAGCTTTGCTGCTGCGAGGGCCTCTTGGCAGAGCTCTGGGGGGGGTGTCAGAGTTGTCTCAACGCCTCTCGATGGCTCCTGCAAACCCTCTCTCCAGCAGCAGCAACAGCTGTGCTCCAGTCTCAGCGAGCGAGAGCGAGGCCAAGGAGGACTCCCATGCGCGGCTTCAAAGAAGGGCGGAAGCGGCGCTGCTGTCGCTTCATTCTTCTTCTGCAGAAGCAGGCGAGGGCCGCTACGAGGATTTGATCGCGGCAGCTGCTGCTGCTGGTGCTGCTTGTGGAGGGTCTTCATCGCGCTCGCCGCTTTCAGAGGCAGCAAGAGGAAATCGATTTCTGACGGGCGCTAAGGCTGCGTCTTGCGTCTCACTGGAGAGCCGCGAGCACATGGATGCCCTCCTGCACGCCGTGTCTGCTGCTGACACAGCTGCCAACGCGAAGGGGAGTGCACTAGGCTCCTCAGGAAAGGGAGTGACGGCTCCTGCAGCGCTCCCGTTGAGGGCTGCAAGCCATGCGGCAGAAGGCCTCCATCCGCCGTCTCGCGTGCAGCTCGACCAGGGGAGGCGGGCTGAAATCAAAGAAGGGATCCTGGAAGCAAAGAGGCGTCGCGTGGCTGCTGCTGACTCTGCTCAACAGGACTGCAGCAGCTCCCTTGGGGAGTCGCAGCTGGATGGCTTAGCTCCAGAGCAGCATCCTGCACTGCAGCGGCAGTGTGTGCCTCCCGCTGCTGCTGCAGCTGGCCCAGCCTCGCTGCGATGCGCGTTAGACGCGCAACAGCATGGACGCATGCAGCAGCCGTTGCAGCAACAGCAGCAGACGGGCGTGCCATCCCTCCTGGAGCTCGCCTCTCTACTAGCCAGCGGATCTGAGCAGCAGAAACAGCTGCTTCTCCTATTGGCAGAGACCGTCGCAGCAGCGACCAGGAGCCTAAGGCCCAGCGGCAGCGCCAACGGCGGCTCCGCGCAGAAAGAGTCTCGTGCACTATCTGACGGAGCGTCTTTCGCAAGGCTAGAGAAGCCGACTGCTGGTGAGCTGAGCAGCCGACCTGAGCAGCCACTTGCTGCTCCGATAGGCGTGCCTTCAATGCCCACTCCAAAGGGGGCAGTGGCAGCGGCAGAAGACGCGGTGGCTAGCCAGCTAGCCGCGGCCAGGGGTCCCTCGCTCGTACGATCCACGGCAGCTGCCTCCCCCCAGCCGAAGGCGCAAGCAGATCCTCCCCTATGGGGCCCCTTGCTGCAGCTTCTGCAGCAACAAGTGTCGAGCGAAGACACCCAGCATCTGCACCAGAGAAACAACCCCTTACCAGCGGCGAATCCCCACTCCTGGCGAGCCGCTTCAGTCAGCATGGACTACCGAGGGAACTTACCAGCAGCAGCACTCGCAACCGACACAGGGCGTGCTGCTTTGAGTGCTGCTGCTGCCGATTCAGTGGGATTACCTGTGTCTAAGAGTGGCAAAACAGAACAGTCTCCAGAAGAAGAATGAAAGAGGGAGGGGATAGTCGTGACCCGCAAGAGAAAAGCACGCCTGTGGGAAGAAGATCTTCAGCGCCTCATTTTTTGACGAGGCGCGTGCTACGCGCTCATTCCGCTGAGGTCTCTCTTTAATGTCAAATTTACATTTTTCGCCCTTTTGCTGCGGTACAGCTCGAGGATTCCAGAGGCCCCTTAATGGGCCCCCTCGTGCAGCATGTTGTTTTCATTGGGGGCTTGTCGGCTCCTATTAGTGTTTATATATCTATACAGGGAAGTTTGCAGCCGCCACTGACGGCGCAAAATTATATAGCACCATCACCACCACGCTTGGCTCTACCAAGACGCTTTCGAAAGTAGGAATTAGAGCTTCTCCAAGACGCCTGAATGGGAAAGTGCGAACCCCCAAAAGGGCGCGGAGGACCGTGTGGAGGCACCCGAGGGATGCCTTTAGAATTGACTGTTCTACTTGTATTTTTTCATCGTGGGAATGCCTGAGGGTGGAACCAACCTCATCTTTGGAGTTTTCTGACTGCCGCTGCTCCCGCGATAGAGGAGCTGCGTAGCAGCATTTGCAGTAAACTAATGATCCGCAAGGGGCCGCTGGACCTACAGGACCAGGGTGCTGCTCTTGTGGTGGCACCAAGGTGTGCACGCCGTGCCACAACCCCCATATTCATGAAGCTAGCTACCTGCCGCGGCAGCCTTGTCAGCAAGACACGCTGACTCACTGTACCGGCAGCAGCAGTAGAGAAGGCGCGCTGGACGGCTCACTAGAAGGGGCCCGATCCGAGTGCAGCCATACCGGCAGTTTCAAGGCATTGACGCAACTCGTCGCTGTGGCATTCAGCAGCGAACCGTGCGGCAGCAGCGCAACGTTGAGCTGCGTGATGGTGCTGTGAGGCACCCGCAGCAGGAGATGCAAAGTCTGCACTCCGAGCGCATGCAGCTCCTAAATTGCAGCAGCACTAGCCGCCGAGTCTTCTTTATTTTTATTTTATGGACGGCCTAGAACCCTCTACGGGGTACCATGTTTTGCCGGCCGCAACACATATTCGAGTCTTTGAGAGATTATTGCGGGAGTGTGTGTAGGATGTATTTCGCAGGCAGCCAGACACGCGCAGAGATCGGCGCTTGCCTGCTAAAGTCTGCCTATAAAGTGTTTTAATTTGTCCGAGGGGGGATTTGAAAGAAACTCGAGCTCGTGCAATTCCACATGCGGTGCAGGGTCATAGCAAGCGCCGTGCACCGAGCATCAAAAGGCTTTTCTATAAACAGGAAAAAACGTCGATTTGCATAGGTTAGACAAACTTATGGTCAGGTCGTTGACGGTGGCACAATTGATGCGCACATCAAATACCTGCGGAGCCTTATACAGATGAGCGCACCACCAGCCTGCTGTCCTAAGGGTTAAATAGCATACACATTTGGCAATTTCCTTTCTCAAGGCGTTCCTGCAGACACAGTAGTAGTCGAAGGCTTGCTTGCTGGGGGCTGTGAGACATGGCATGGCATGTGAGTGTCCGACGATGAGTGCGCCAGCCAATCACGTCTCTTAAATGCACAGAGCTTCTTCTATGGGTGGTTCGAACATCTCAGAGTGTACCGCGCAGCAGTTTGCGGCAGTAGCAGGCCTGTCGAAAATCCACCTCTGCGTGCCGCCTCTCCTGCAACATATGCTCCTGGGGTATTTTGTACTAGGTGGGAAAGCTGGATTGTAAGGGAGAATCTGCACGTCCCAATACTAGGAAGGAGCTGGCTAGCCGTCTGATACAGCCAGCGGAGTATGGCTTCCACACTAGCACCCTCTAACGCGTGGCTCGCCAAGGCCAGTGGCGTGTAAAAAACGTAAAGCAGGAGGTGGCAGCTGCCAGGACCGCATGGGAAGTCGATCCGCTGTCGCTGGCGTTGCTGCTTTTCCTCGTGCACCAACACCCTCTACGGAAGATGGGAGCAGGACTGTGCACATAAGGAAGCCTCAAGGGTCAACAAAAATTTGAGAAGCGCGCGGTTCTGCTGCTGCGGCAACTGCCAGCACTGGTGCCCCCCTGCGCTTCGATTACGCTGGGAAGAGCATCAACTCGGCAGCCGCAGCAGCAACTGCAGCTGCCACTGCAACTGAGGAATGCCCTTTATGTCCTCCAGGCTTGCGCTTCCTTTTTTGAGAAGCCTCAGTGCAGATGTCTCCCTCAGAATCCGAAAGGCTGCTGCTGCTGCTGCTGCTCAGAGCCTCTTCCTCCTCCTGCAACAGCAGCCAGTGAGAACTGCCGCGTGCTTCTGGAGGCGTTGAAGCGCCTTTCGCCTCTGTGCGAGCTGGGGGAGAATCCGCACCAAAGAAGCTCTTCAGACGAAGCCACCACAGCGACGACGTCTGACTCCCTGCTGTTGCTGTGAATGTTCGCGTAGGGGCCGTCCAGGCCGTCTGCACGCTTGGCAAGTCTGCAGCTACAGCAGCAGCTGCTGCAGCTTGGAGGAGCCGCTGCTGCTGCAGCAGGTAGAGCTGACGCGCTCGGCCTTTCTCTATGGGAAACAGCGGCTGCAGCACCGACATCGAGGCTTGCAGCGAGCAGCCACTACTGTCACAGTTCGTAGGCCTTGTATCGCTACGCTTTCTAGCCTTAACCCCCCCCGCAGCAGCAGCAAACGCGACAGATCGCACTTCCTCGTGAACCTGCGGTCCTAGGAAGAAGCAAACGGCCCCTGCCTCCATACTCAATGTGTCTCTCACGACAAGTCTACTGCCAGAAGCGCTGCTACTGCTGCTGCTGCTGCTGCGCTTTGCCTCCAGCGTAGCCTGGGTCCTCCTAATAAACTGAAGGAACGCGCTGCGGTCGGCTGCTGCAGCAAAGAAGAGCCTCAAGGGGGCCCTCACGCCGTCGCGAAAGAACTGCACAAGACGCAAACAAGCGCATGCAACGGCACTCGCTCTATATTCAGGTGTTTTCTGCACACCTCGAAACGGCGAGCAGCGGCTGTGCATCAGCAACAGCAGTCGTAAGCATGCAGCAGCTGCGCAGGAAAGCTGCACAACCAAGAAGGAGCCACGTAGCAGGAGGGCCAGCAGCAAGAATACAGCCAAGGCAAGGCATACAAAAGTGAGTTGCTGCATCCTAGACACCCCGGGGAAGAGCCGCCGCAGCTCCTCCTCGTTCTCCAGTGTATCATCCTGGCAGCAGCCGCGATGCCCCTCTTGCTGGCAGTGCCATCTGCTCCCACGGCTGCCTCCGTTGCGCTTGTGGGGGGGGGGTGCAACGGCTCGTCTGGGTGCTCGAATGCAGCAAAACTCGGTGAGGGGGAGGCGTGTCTCTGCGACGGCGCTGCCGCTGCTGTCTTGCACTCGCAGATAGAGACTGCTCCCCCGAATTTCGCAGATTTCGCGCTTCAAGAGGCAGTAAGGTCCCTGCTGAGACAGCAGCTCGCAACCAGAGGGCCTCTTCGGAGACAGCTGTTGCTGCTCTAAATCCACCAGTGACCATGGGTGTTCGAAAAACGTCGTCTTGGGTGATGCTGCAAGCACAGGAGTTTCTGCTGCCGCTGCCTCTGGCACACACATGCCGCCGCTCTGTGCCTGTTGCTGCTGCATCTGTTGCTGCTGCTGCATCTGCTGCTGCTGCATCTGTTGCTGCATCTGCTGCTGCTGCTGCTGCATCTGTTGCTGCTGCTGCATCTGCTGCTGCACCTGTTGCTGCTGCTGCTGCTGTGCTGCTAGAAGCACCGTGCCACAGCCTGGAGGGAGTACCCCACACCGCCACACAAGACTCTTGAAGCTCGCGTTGTCGTCCTGCTGCTGCGGCTCGGGGTGGAGATGCTGGCGTCTTGGTCGAGTCTGCAGTTGCCGTAAGGCCGTTTGCTGCAGCCTCTGACAAACAGCAGCAAGCAGCAGCAGCTGCTGCTGCGGCGAGATATCCACGCGGAGCGCTGCGAAGCCAGCAGCAAGTCTGCAAGCCGTCGAGACAACCCTTCCCACTGCAGCAGCGGCGGCGTCGCTTGGTGCAGCAGCAGCAGCAGAGGCAGAAGCAGCACCAATGTTGGCGAGACAGTCGACGAGCTGCAGCAGTCGGTCCTGGCGGGAAGCAGCGGGGGCTATGAGAAACTGCTGCAGCAGATGCAGCAGCAGCAGGTGATGCCCAAGGGTCCTTGCTGCGGCTGCTGCTGCGCTTTGCTGCTGTCGCTCAGGTGCTGCTTCATGGGATTCAACAAAGGGAGCAAACGCCTTAAAGAAAAGCCCACTGTCTCGCTGCAGCTGCGACAAGAGGCTGCACACGAACGTCTCGCGGCGATGCCTGGGGTTGCACACACAGCAGCAGCAACAGAAGCAGCAACACCCCCATCACGAAGCGCTGATATCCCCTGCACGAGAATGCGAGCAGCAGCAGCAACAGAAGCAGTGGCAGCAACAGAAGCGGCAGCAACAGCAGCACGAGCAGCACCACAAGCAGCATCACAAGCAGCAGCGACATCTGAGACGCTGCACGCGCATGATGAACAGCATCAGCGAGAATATCGCCACCCCCCAGTACCTCCGATTTGGCTTTGTCTTCCAAATGCAACGCATGTAGCAGTGAAACGCCTTTCGCATGATTCCAGCGAGTGCAGCTGCTGCTGCTGCAGGCAGCAGGCGCAGATGCACCTGCAGCAGCAGACCGCCTTCTGGAGCGACCAACAGTCTCAAGGCTTCTTTCAGATCGACATCCAGAATACTTGATCTGCGACAGAAAAGCCACAGCAGCAAGCCCTTCGGCGTGACAAAAGACGTAATATACCGCCATTAGAAGCGACGCTGCATGCTGGAAATCGGCAGCAGCAGCAGCTCCTACGCACTGCTTATTGAGAGTCTCCTCGAAAGGTCTTGCAGCTGCAGCACTTATTTTTCTTTGCAACCGTCTCAGGAAGCTAGCGCAGACAACAGCCTCCCCCGCACAGCCAACGCTAAGCCCCTCGCGAAGTGCTGCTGCCTGTTGCTGCAGAAAGCGCTGCTCCTTTCGCACGAGGTGTCTTTCTGCTGCTGCTGCTGCCGCGCCTGGGGAGGCTGCGTTTGCAGCAGCGGCTGCGTGCAAGCCTCCGGAGCGAGCAGACAGACCGCTGTGCTCCGCGAAATGCTTTTCCCCCCACACCAGAGAAGAGCAGTCAGCAGACAGAGGCGCCACGTCTGCCGGAGACACTGCAGATGCTGCTCCTACTTTAGAGCAAGGTGAGCTGCCGCTGTGATTGCTGTTGTTGCTGGTGCTGCTGGTGTTGCTGCTGCTGGTGCTGCTGCTGCACCCCAGCTGCCCATCCGTCGTCGGTGTTGCCTTCGGAGTGTACAGACGCCCCGGCACGCGAACGCTCAGCTGCTGCAGACTCGAAAGGCGTCCACGCACTGAGGATAGCAATTCATGCCACCGAGTACTTTGCTGCTGCTGCTGCTGCTGCTGTTGTTGTTGCGGCTGCTGTTTCTCGGCAGCAGCTGGAGCCTGCTCTCGCTGCAGCTGCCCTGCGCCAGCTTCTCTGGGTTGGAGCTGCCCAAGCTTTGGACTGCATGCGTTTCGGATCGGGAGTTCTTGGTCGCATGCAGCAAGGGCACGCAGTGCATGATGGCTGCTGCTGCTGCAGCGGCTGCTGCAGCTGCTGCTCTTGGGCAGCAGCTGCGGTAGCACCGACTGCGTTGCTCCAGCCCGCTTCAAGGCGTTTTCGATTTGCATGCACAGCAGCAGTAACAACGTAGCGTCGTTGGCTCCAGCGCAGAGCACGTCCAAAGCAGAAGCCTCCAAGAAAACTCGCGAATCAATGCTCTGATCCTGCACCCACTGCGGGAAGTGCAGGAGTTCGTCGAGCTGTCTGCGCCAGGGGAATGAGCCCTTTGGCAGAGGCTTCAATTTGTAGAGAGCGCCAAGGAAGCAGAATGTGCTGCGTGTCGCTGCTGCAGTCACAGCAGCCGCAGCAGCTGCTGCTGCAGTTTGCATTGGACTGCCGCGGGAGGGGGCCCCCCTGGGGGGCTCCCCCAGCAGCGCGTCTTGCTGCCTCTCTGCAGCCGCAGCGGAGGCAGCTGCGGCTGCCACGGCTGTTGCTGCATGAAGCGCCATGATGCTGTCGAGTGCCTCGCTGCTGCTGCTGCTGCCTCCGCTTCTGTTGCTGCTGCTGCTGAAGTGGGCATCCAGCTGCAAGGCCCTAACAAACCGCGCATGCAACGCAGCGGCACCTGCAGCCTCCGCAACGGACAGAGCCACGACAGGCGAAGCTGCTGCTGCTGCAGCTGCTGCAGACGCATCGCGGTCGGATGCCACGGCAGTGGCAGACGAGCTTTGCCTGTGAAGAGCCTTCACTGTGGAACGCAGTGCAGCCTTGAACACCTGGAGCAGCTGCAGCGGGAGTGCCTCGACTTGGAATTCGACGGCATGCTGCAACAGCGGAGAAAGGAGGCGCTGCAAAGCCTCTGCTACGCCTGAAGAGAGACACGAGGCAGGAGCAGCCTCAGCGGCAGCAGCAGATCGTTGCTGCTTCTGGCGGTGGCGTCCCTCGAACCTTTCGTGCGCTTCCTTGAATCGCAGCAGCAACGGCAGCTGCTGTCGTTGCAGCCGCTGCAGCAGCTGCTGTAGCTCCGCCCTGCACGCACGGAACCGAGGCATAGGCTGCGGTTGCAGGCTGGACGGTGCTGACCAAAAGAGGGAAAGCGACGAAAGAAGGCGGTGCAAAAGAACAACGAAGGAAAGTAGCAAGCAGGAGTGCGTGGTGCCCCCTTTTTAGGCATTAAAGGGCATGCACAAAGCAAGCGCTCTATGTATATATATATATCTCTCTATACCTATGTGTCAATATGTATGTATGTACACATAAAGACGCCAATCGACAGCAGAGTGCGATGAAGTACAGCAGAGTTACACAGCCGTAGAGGCTATACGGAAAGTGTCGGAAGACGCACATGAGGCGCTGCTGCGCTGATGAGGCGAAGAGGCAGCTAAGGCTTTGTAGAGCGGTGTTTAGAGTCGGATACTCCGCAGAATTCAGTTTCAGCAGCAGACGTTGCTTCCCCAAGGCAGAAAGCAGGCCCTACACACACGCACACCCAGGAAGAGGCAAACACAGGAGGCATGACGACCACTAGCTCACGCTCACGTGACGCTGTATATATATTTATATATGGAAAAAAGCCCTCTGCATCAGCGAGAGGAGAAGCAACCACAGTGCAGCGGACTGGCAAGTGTCTGCTGCCTGTGCAGTATAATACTCGTCTAGCTAGCACACAAGGCAGTACAGCGGTTCTGAAGCGGAGGCGGAGGCAGCAAAAGCACGGCTGCAGACAAAAGAGGAGGTTCCACTGCGTAGTCAAGGCTGAGCCACAGATGCTGTCAGTGCGGGGGAGGTGTTGCCAGGGTTGGTTGGGAGAGATCCTCACAAGAAGCGCTTCTGAGCTTGGCGGAGTGGCAGCAGTTGCAAAAATCCCAGACACGAGAGAGAGCACCTGCAGGCCGTATGCAGCAACGAAACAACGGCAAAAAAAACCGCAGGAATGCGTGTTTGCAAAAGTATCAGCACGCCCAGCGTCTCCTCCTCTATTCAGTCCACACAAAATAGTGCGGCAGCAACAGCTCGAGCAGCAGCAAGCGATTGTGATCGTGGAGCTGCCTACAGAACCCCCAAACAAGGCAGCGAGGAGGCTCCACGCACAGCATGAAGAGCGGCAGCTCGAAGGAACGAGCAGCAGAAATGGCAGAATCGCGCTTTCTCCCCCTTTTCTTTTCTGCCCTTTCCCTGTATCCTCCTACCGGCCAGAGAATGTGACTGCACTGCATGGCTGCATGCTCTTTGCGCGAACGAGCTTCCTGCCGCTTCAGCAGCAGGAGTCTGCTTTCCGCCGCCTTTAGCCGCTGCAGCTGCTGCTCGCGCGCATTCTGCTGCTGCCGCAGCAGAGACAGCAAGTCTTCGAAATAGTCTGCTGGCATGTGTTCTGCAGCTTCACCGCTTGTCGCCTCTCCACGCCTTCTGGCCCCCTTTCTGCGGGTGCAAGCCATGCTTTCCAAAGCCGCAGAATCGGCTGCTGTCTCTTGCAGAAGCAGCAGCTCCTGCTGCTTGACGCAACAAACGCGATCCGTTTCCGCTATCGCCTGCCGCAGCTCAAGCAGCTGCATGCGCAGCTCCTGTCGCACTCGGTGTCGCTGCACGAGCTGCGCATGAACAGAGGCAGCCGCGGAGTTCAAGAAACGAGCAGCTGCCGCTGCTGCCGTATCCGCATTCGTCTCGCCAAGCGCATCGAACGCCTTCCCACCCCACACTAAAGGCACTCCATTGAGCACGAAAAAAGGCGTCCTCGAGATAGCGCTAGCGGCGTCTTCATAGCTCTGGATAATCTTCCAGTCACCTTGAGATACCCCCTCTTTTCCCGTAAAGCCTTGCGGCTGCCTCCTCCTGCAGCTACAGGGGGAGCCACCTCCGCATACACTACATGCATTCTCACGCAGCAGCTCCCTTACGGACACAGAACGCGCAGAAGCTCCAGACGCAGCTGCAACAGATGCCTCCCCCCCAGCAGCAACAGAACCAGGAGCAGCATTCACCAGTAGAGCTGCTCTCGCCAATTCGTGAACATTCATATAATCTCGCGGAAACTCCGGAAAGCTCAAAGAAAGCTGCTGCTGCCTTTGCTGCTGTGGCTGTGACTGCTGCTGCCTTTGCTGCTGTGGCTGTGACTGCTGCTGCCTTTGCTGCTGTGGCTGTGACTGCTGCTGCCTTTGCTGCTGTGGCTGTGACTGCTGCTGCCTTTGCTGCTGTGGCTGCCTCTGTGTTGGGGAGGATAAGAGCTGTGGCTGCAGTTCTGTCAGGCACTGCTGTTGCCTAGAGGGCGCATCATCAGATCGAAAGGAACGCGTGGGATGCTTTAACCGGCCGTTGTACTGCTGCTGCTGCTGTGGCTGCTGCTGCTGCTGCTGTGAGCTTCCTAGGGGTGTTTCTACAGCAGCAGCAGCAGCAGCAGCAACTGGCGTGGTAGCTGCCGTTGCGACGGCTCCGATGCTAAGCTCGAGTATCATGTGGCGTTCGGTGATCGTGCTTTTCTGCGATGGCAGATTTACGCTACAAGTGCCAGCCGAAAGAGAATGAGGCACAGCAATAGCGCCTTCTTTAGCTGCTGTCAATGAAGCTTCTAACGAGCCTGCTGCTGACCGTGCAATACCAGCAGCAGATGCTGTTGCACCCTCTGCTCCACTAGAGGCACCATCGCTCTGCCTTCTTGCACTCTTGCAGCGGCGTCTGTCAGCAGCAGACAGCGCAATATGCGTCGTAGAACCCGGTACTGATCTGCTGCGGCTACATGATGGCGTGTACGTCATGCTGCTGCAGTTGCAGTTGCTAATGCAGTTGCTGTTGCAGTCGATGCTGCAGCTGCAGTTGCTGCTGCAGTTGTTGCTGTTGTTGTTGCAGTTTTTGCTGCAGTTGCAGTTGCAATTGCAATTGCAGCTGCAGCTAAGGGGGGTAACGGACTGCCGCCTCTGTTGCGGCGGAGGGTGCTCTTGCTCTCGTGAATTCTCCAGTTTGGAGGATGGTGGCTCCAGACGTACGTGGCATTGTTCAACTGTTTTCTGTTTTTGCTCTCCTAAGTGCCGCTGCTGCAGGGTGCAGCGCGCACGACGGCGCATGCGCGGCGGCATCGACACCCTGCGCAGGTGTATGTACAGCTCGGCAGACTGTTTCTGACGCAAGGCGCTGTCTGCTGCAGCTTCTTCTTGGGGTCTTTGTCGGGGGAGGGCTGAGGAATCCTCGAGAATGCACGGGAAAAGCGGCAAGACGCACTCGGAAGGCTTCCGCTTCCAGCACTTCCAGAGCTTCTGCTGATTCAGCAGCGGCCAGTCCTGTTGCTCTCTTCGACTGCCTGCATCTCCGAGGTAGCCGCTGCTGCTACACCGCTTGTAGGCACCGCAGCAGCTGGAGATCCATGCAGCAGAAGGCAAGCAATGCAAGGCGACTTCTCAGAGGCCTCTCATGTCGGAACCCCCTCTTATTCGTGGAATTCTTTGTAAAAATAGGCAGAACCGACAGAATAGTACGCCCTCTATCTGCCCACGCCAATGGGGCCCCCTTCTCCACGAGCAGGGAAGGGGGGCCCCAGGGGGCCCCTCCAGGGAACACCTATTGCTTGGGGAGATAGCGGAGAGCGAGGCTGCCTGGCTTTCCGCTATCTCCCGAATCCCTCACTCTTCTCGCTGCACCTCTTTATGGCGCAGCTCCTCGATTTGTCAGTGCAGCGCTGTGCGTTCAAGAGCCAACTACCCCCCCGTCCACGAGATACACTGGGACGCATGCGTCTGAAATGACTTCTAAACCCCCCTCTGTGCCTTCCTGAAGAGCACTTGACCACGGCTCTCTGCACCCGAGAGGCCGGAGGGCCTCCCCGCACAAGCCTACGCAGTGAATCGGGGAAGCCTATACAGTGCAGATCACGGATCGTCGTGGGAGTACTGGAAGTAACAGGAGTACCCCAAACGGTCTTCTAACGGAGCATGCTAAGGGGCAGGAACGAGCTGTGGTATCTGACCCTGCAAGGCTGCACAGATTATCCTGTAGGCGTCGGTCGAAATCCCGAGCAGATAGAAGAAGTAGCTTCCCTTTTATTGTGCGCGGATTTAAACGCCCTATACCGTAACAAGCTCCCTCTACAAACACCCCAACGTTCATTTAAACCTGAGCTGTGTAGGGTTGCTGCCACTACATGCTTGCACTGCTGCTGCTGAGGCGGCAACCCGTTGCGGCAACGGCAGCAGGCGCATTTTTTTGACACGGGGGAAAGGCAGCAGCATCTGTGCGCCTCCCCAGAAGGTCATCGGGTGTGCAGCTGCAGCAGCAACACCTGCTGCCACTGAAGCTGCTCAGTCTAGTGCGTAGTCGTCACGCGGTGTACCTGCACTGTGCGGCTGCCATTAGCGTTATGGGGGTTATTAGTCGTAACCTTACCACCAGCTGTGCTGCTGCTGCTGCCTGTTGCCAAGCGACTCCCCCCCTCCGGGATGCTGCTGTTGCTGCTGGAGAGGCTCTGACATCCACCGGTGCTTTGAATGCTGCTGCTGCTGCAGCCGCTGCCGCTGGCGTTCTTGCAGCTGCCAACGCCGCTGCACTTGCCACTAAGAGGGCGCACGCCGCTCGTGCCTTTGTGCGACTTCATTAGGGCCCCCTGGGGGGCCCTCTTGCTGCTCTGGCTCTCTCTTTCGCCTGCAAGTTTAGTGATGCGACGATGCTCAAGGCCTCTAAGGCCCCATCCTCGCCCCCTGTGGGGGGGGAGCTGTTGCTGCTGCGGGAGGTCCTCGATCCTGCGTTGCAGCAGCCGTCCTGTTGGCTCGGCGCCTACAGCTGCAGGTACGCCGAACAGCTCTGCAGCAGCAGCAGCGCGCTGCTGCTGCTGTCGCTGCTTAAACGGCTGCAGCCCCCATGATGCGCTGGTCGTTGGCAACGCTGTAAGACGGCGGGAGGCTGTGGCGACAAGGCCTTGTGCTGCCTCTGCAGCAGCCTGCGACTTCGGTGCTACCGATGACGGCGCTGCTGATTCTATAACTGGTTTAACTACTGCCCTAGCGTTTGCCGTGGTCGGTTTCACTATTGTTTCCCCTAACAATGCAGCCGAAACAGCAGCAGCAGCAGCAGCAGTAGTAGCAGTAGCACTGGTAGCAGCAGGGCCTCCTCCTCCTGCTGATCTCGCCGCTTGTTCGGCTGCTTCTTCCTTGGCTGTGCCTGCACTAGTCCCCGCTACGGACGCGTGTGAGGAAGCCGCTGAATCCTCAGCGGCTTCTGGGGGGGCTGTTGGATCTCTCGCAGATCTCACCGCTGCAGATGGATCGGCGAATGAGTCTGCTGCTGCCGCGTCGGGAGCTGTCCTTTCTGAGGCTCTTTCTGTGGCTTTCAGAGCTGCCACGGGGGTCTCCTGTGGCGTCCAGAAGGCAGGCGACACCTTTTCGCTGCGCAGGAACCCTCCGGGTGTATGCATAGGTTCGTTCGTCTTCACGACTTGCGCCAGATCGCCGCTGATGCTGTTCGGCCGCTTGCAGAAGCTGCTGCTGCCGCTGCTTATGCTGCTCGCATAGGCTGTTGCCTCGTCGCACGAGAGGTCCTGCAGCATGCCTGTGCTGACATTCCTTTTGTGACTACTCTCTCGCCCTTCCGCAGCGTCCGCTGCGTCTGCGGTTCGTGAAGCTGCAACTGCAAGCTCCTCTTCAGTCCCACTCGTGCTGTTGCTGAGGCTGTTGCTGTTGCTGCCCACCTGCTGCCCCCGCTGCTGCTCGTCGTTGCGGATGCGGCGCCTTCTCTTATTCGATTTGCTGCTGCAGCACTCCAGCCAGAGGGGTGGCGCTTGAGAGGAAGCGGTGGCAACAGGCAGGTCGAAACCCCCGACTCCCGCGTCATCAGCAGTATCCATACTCGACGAGCTTTCTTCCTGCACCGCCATCGCTTCCTGGTCCTCTTCCTGTTGTTGTTTCTGTTTCTGCTGCTGTTGCCGTTGTTGTGCTGCTGCTGCTGCTGCAACAACAGCAGCAGGACGGGATGGCGGTGTATCGACAGCAGGCAGGGGCGGAGATACAGCGCCATCCCGGCTGCGTGCTGAAGCGTCGCCACACGAGCCTCTTTTCCTGCAGCCAAACGTCTGACTGCGGCTGCTGCTGCGGCTATTGTTGCTGGTGCTGCGGCTGGTGCTGCAATATCCAGCGCTTACACTGAAGGTGCTGCTGCTGCTGCTGCATGCAGGCAGCACTCCCGTCTCTTGCCCTGTGGGGTCGCTTTCCGCGAAGCCCTCAACAGCAGCAGAAGCAGCAGCCACCTCCGCCACGGCGGCTGCTGCTTCTGCCGCTGCCGCTGCTGTAGGCTCTCCGTCGTGGCATTGCTCGCAAAGGCAGATCTTAGGGGTTCCCCCACTAGCCAACCGCCGAGATCGCCGCAGAGAGGTCGTCCCCGCTGAAGAGGGTAAGGCGTAGCACTCCGGAGCTGCTGCTGCAGCCGACGCTGCTGCAGCCGACGCTGCTGCAGCCGACGCTGCTGCAGCCTCAGGCTGCGAGAAGTCTTCTGCAACTGCGTCGGGGAGAGTGGAAAGATCCCGATGCCCCTCCGCAGATTTCTTGCTGCGTTGCGGTGTGTGGGCTGCGCGATGTTTAGCTGCTGCTGCAACAACAGCTGCCGCGGCAGCCGCAGCTGCAGCTACTGAGGGATCTGCTGCTTGTGCAGGGGATGGGGAAGGCTGGAAATGCGTCTCTTCGGAAGGCTCGAGGCTTTTCGCGCGTGACTTTGCCCCCTTCGAGTGAGAGCACGAAACCCCCGCGAGCAAATCCTCTAAGTCTGCTTTCTGCTGCCACAGGAGCTGCAGCTGTTGCTGCTGCGTCTTGACGAGCTGCTTGTGATGCTTCAGTTGCTCCTCCTGAGCGGACAGTTGCTGCTGCTGCGCGTGGAGCAGTAGCTGCTGCTGCTGGAGCTGCTGCTGCTGCTGCTGGAGCAGCAGCAACAAACGCGCTCGGTCGATCTCCGGATTCTGCTGCGCTGCTGCCGCTCTCAGCAAGCAAAGTGGCACCTTGAGATTCTTCGCGCGATTCGCATATTTGAGAGTGTTGCTGCTCTCTGCAGGAGGAAATGCAGCCGAGACGAAGCAACAGCCAGAAGCGAATTGGGCAGAAGGCAACGGCGTCTAACCTGCCAAGCAGCCTCTGTCCACACCACACTTATGGCGTACAGCTGCGCAGGAGTATTATACGCACCATCTAAACAGCCGCTGCAGCGTTCGCCGACGCCTCACCTGGAAATGCATGGGCGTTAGGATGAACGTTTGCAATCATCACGACGAGGCACTGGCCCTCGAGAGAGTCCTTTAGCAAGTGCGTCAACTTGGAATTCCTGTAATTAACAAAAATGCCAGCAAGCCGCTGCTGCTGCGGCTGCTGTTGCGCTGCTGCAGCTGCGGTTTGTCTGATGTGTAGGGCGTTGATACAGTTGGCAAGAGCAAGTAGGGATTGATTGATGCGACACCCTTCCTTAAGGCGTTCCCCCCGATTCAGCGTAGCTGAGGCACGCTCAGAGCCTGCTCATATCCGATACGCAAACAAACACACGCACACGCACACATACACAAACACATGCACACACACATACACATACACATACACACAAACACACATACACACACAAACATACACATACACACAAACACACATACACACACAAACATACACATATACACATACACACACACACACAAACATACACACACATGCACATGTAGATATGCGGCAGGTGTGTTTGCTGCGCATGCGTTATTTCTGCCTTGCTGCTGCGGGGTGTGCGTTGGCATCTGGAAAAAGAGAGCCGTGCCCGCACCTGCTAAGTCGATGAGTGACAGCTTGGCTTCTCTCTTCAAAAAGGTTCCCCTTGACGCTTGCACAAGGGAGGCCTTTAACACCAGCTGCAGCGCACAAGCAGTTCTTCTCACCCCCGGCAGGCAACTGTCACCAAGTCTGCTGTCGTTGCTGCTGCTGCCGCTAAGGCCGTATCACAAACCTCCATCGTAGCAGCAGCAGAGAGCGTTCGACATTCCATACCAGCCAGACACTAGCAGCAGCAGCAGCAACAGCAGCATTCAGCCCACACCTGAAATATCGCATGCGATCTGCTGCTGGAGAGGTTTGCCGCCGTTGCCGCTGTGTTGCGGTTCTTGTTGCCGAGATCGAGAAGACGCAAAGCCTCCTCAGCACAGCTGACAGGATGCAAAGAAAGATTTTGAACTCGTATCTGCAGCAGCAGCAGCAGCAGCGAGCAGGCAGTCAGTCGAAGCGTTGCCTTACCACAGGAGTGGTATTCACGCAGGCCCCTCCCTCCCCCCCAAGTTTTTATCTCCGTGGCAGCCTGTCGCAGGAAGAAGAAGAGAACTGCCGCCAGCAACAATACAGTCAAAAAACAAAAAAGGAAAATGCGAAATTTAGGGCACCTTGCTGGCGTCTTCCTGAATCTCAAGGTTCGTTCGGCTAGGCTCGAGTAAATCTCTGCACCAAGACGGCAAAAAACTCCACACAGCGAAGCCATGCGGCAAAACGCATGAACAACTACCTCGCCGTAGCGAGCAGCAGCTCGAAGGCCCTTCCCGCATGCGATTTCTTCGCCCTCTTTCCCTCCCCTCCCCCCTTGAATGAATGCAGAGAGAACGTGCCTGATCTTCTCATTGTACACTTCGAGGTAAGATACGGCGACTTGGTATTCCTGGAGGACGCAGCACTTCCAGCAGCAGCAGTTGAGCTGACACTGCGGCTGCTGCTGCTGCAGCGGGGCCTGCTGCTGCTGTTGCTGCTGCTGCTCCCTCAGGAGCGCAAAAAGATCCGATACAGCTCGAGAAATGATACCCGGCTGCTCAGAAGAACCCTGCATGGTGTATGTCTTGCCAGCACCAGTGGCTCCATAGGCAAAGACCGTGCCTATAGAGCACACACAAGAGCGAGGCCATGAGATTCAAACAGCCGGATCCTGTAGAGATCCTCCGCCTCTCTGCCTCTACGTGTGAGCGTATTTATATATGTATTTATGTATGTTCTTATGCATTTATGTACGTATGTATGTACGTATTTATGTATGTACGTATCTATGTATGTATGCATGTATTTACGCATTTATGTATGTATTTGTGTGTGTATGTATGCATGTATGCATTTATGCATGTATGTATGCATTTATGCATGTATTCATGCATATATGTATTTATGTGTGTAGATATGTATGTATGTGGGATCTCCTTTGCCTTTGCTCGGTTCTGCCAAAGCATGGAACCTCCTTTTACCTGCACACATCTGCCGTGAATTCCATCGCAAAGATCCGCAACTTCATCTATGCATACATCTCCAGTAGATTGCAAGAAACCCACCACAGGTGGCCAGAAGGGCCTTTTGATGGCTGCGGTGTGTATATATGCATCTATGTATCTCTACATCTTCAAGTAAACATGTACACCTGCCCTCTAATTTTCGCTACGAATTCTTCCATCAGTGAGTCCTACCGTTGAGGCCGGCAAGAACATGCGGAATGATTTTCCTAGCAGAGTGGAAATACACCTCGTCCTGAGTCGCCTGAGGGGCATCCGAGAACAAGTTTGCACGCTTTTACACACGTTGTCGAAATATCGGAGCCATGGCTCGTTGCATTGCGTTGCACTGCATTACACTGCAGTGCAGCAAGTGCAGCTCTACCCCTCCACATGAGGCTCGAGATCCCCTAAAATACAGCCTCCTAGTGTGGCCTCAATAGACACTACGACTCTCTCGGAGTGGCAAGCTTACTTCAGGTCCAAACACCCTATCAAACATGAACTCTTGCCGCCAGCCCTTCTGACTCGAGAGGTAGATGATGGGAACTCCTGTCTGGATACTCCCTCTGGAAGCAGAAGAGAATCCAGCAGGGCGTTGCAGCTGCAACAGAAAGCGCAGCAGCGCACGTGCCAGCAGAAAAACACACGTAGCCGCGTCAACGCTTAAAGGGCAGAGGACGAGAAAGAGAGAAATTTATTTCTTTCTCTGCTTCCTCTGGCCCGCAACATGCACACGTTTACAACAAAGGCAGCAAAGCTCCTCCTTCCCCCCCGTGCTCCGCTCCCATAGAGAGGCATACCTGGAGAGTCTGATGATTCAGAATACGCACAGAGAGACAACGTGGATCTACTGGCTCTGGGAGAGGGCGAATACGGACTGCAGCAGATAACACCCCACATCAAGAATTGTTTTCCTCCCACCTCTGCCTCTGCTGTTTCAAATTGAATTTTCCTTCCAGCGATGCTTCTGCTGTTTCAAATTGAATTTTCCTCCCAGCGATGCTTCTGCTATTTCAAATCGTTTTCCTTTCAGCGATGCTTCTGCTGTTTCAAATTGAATTTTCCTTCCAACGATGCTTCTGCTGTTTCAAATTGTTTTCCTTTCAACGATGCCTCTGCTGTTTCAAATTGAATTTTCCTCTCAACGCTGCTTCTGCTGTTTCAAATCGTTTTCCTTTCAGCGATGCTTCTGCTGTTGCAAATTGAATTTTCCTCCCAGCGATGCTTCTGCTGTTTCAAATTGAATTTTCCTTCCAACGATGCTTCTGCTGTTTCAAATTGAATTTTCCTCCCAGCGATGCTTCTGCTATTTCAGATTGTTTTCCTTTCAACGATGCTTCTGCTGCTCCAAATTGGTTTCCCTCCACCGCTGCTTCGGCTGTTTCTGCTATTCTGCTCTAGCTATTCTAATCAAGAACTCTTCGGCGCTGCATGGAGCAAGTGTGGATTTGCGGTCCACGATTTCAAGACGCACCTGTTACCCGCAGACTCGCAGAGGCTTCTGGAGATTGTTCATGAGAAGAATTGGTTGGATTTCCAGCGTCAGACGCTGTCGTTGCTGTGTGCTTTGCTGCAGGCATGGCCATGGAGGCTGCAGCAGAAGAGGCTTGCCAACTCTCAGTGTGCTGCTGCTGCAGCTCTCTTCTTGAAGACGAAAAAGCAGCTGCCTCTGCTGCAGCTGCCCCTGCAGCAGCAGCTGCTACTGCTGTTGCTGCGGCTGTTGTTGCTGTTGCTGCCTCTCTTTCGAGTGCTGCAGGAAATCCTGCCGTGTATCCCATGGCTGGAAAACCACAGGCGGGTCTTGCGCGCTTCGAGGCAACAGTATCTGCAAGAACAGCCGTCTCGCCACGAGCAGAAGCCGCATCTCCCGCAAGCAGAGTGTCGGATGTTGATCCCCCGCACGCGCGTTTTGCGTCAAAGGGAGCGTCAGCAGCATGCAGAGCCTCAGCGAATCCAAGAGGAGCACCTGATCCTGTGAGCGAAGCCATGCTACCGCTGCTGCTGCTGCGGCTGCTGCTGCGACAGCGCCTGCTGCTGCTGGCAGTCCTGCTCGTATGTGGTCGGTGTGCTCGCATTCAGAGGGGTGGCTGGCTTATCTACGAGGGGGGCCCCCCGCCAGCTGCCAGGGTACTGGGGGCCCCGTGTTACGATAAAAGCGTCAATACCTCGCCTTCCAATGGTCAAAATGCAGCGGGGACGGCCGACGGGCTAAGAATTCAAGGGATGTGCCGGCCGTTTGTATCGTTGAGAGGATCTGATGCGGCTCTGCTGGAGGGTGAAGCCCGCAGTGGCAGCGGCAGCCACAGACGGCAGTTTCGCTACAAGTGGTTTCTCGATGCCAGAAATTCGATTTTAAGACAATCTCTTAACACATATAAAATTGGAGGGAGAAGACAAGGAGTCCAGCGGCGTACAGCCACACTCGGGGCTGTGTTCGACGGGGGATTAGGGCTGGTCAGGTAACACTTCCTGCAGGGGGGGTATGGGGAAGCGCTGCGAAGCAATTGACGGGGAACATCCGGAGGCAATTCTAATTTGAGCCAAAAAGACTTTTGCCCTCTGTCAGAGCGGAGAGCAGCGCTGATACTAACGTCTCTCTCTCTCTCGCCTCGGCAAAGAGGCAGCAACCACAGCGATGGCACCTAAAAGGGTCCAGCGAACTGCGGCACATGGGGACCCCCAAACTGCAGCTAAAGCGGGGAATAGGATAAGATCGATGTTTAACGTAGCTAACGATCCGTAAGAAGTCTGGTGTTTCGAAGAGTCCTTCGTGTTTGGCGACCTCGGGGCCCCCCGAAGGGGCAGGGGGGACGTAGCAAACAGCCAAATAGGAGCTGTGGCAGTTAAGCATTTAATTTTGAAGCTTTACCAACAGTTATGCCCAGAGCTATGCAAGTGTTCACACACACACACACACGCACACGACCCAAGAGGGGGCTAGGTGGGGGGCGCTCAGCGACTGGCTAGCGGTGCTGCGCCTCTCTTGAGGGGGCCCCCTTATTCCGTATGCTGAGGCCCCCCACCGCGTAAGGCAGCCACATGCATATTGCGGCGGCTTCTTTAGGAGTTCAGAGATATCACTTGCACCCGTTCTCCAAGACAAGCCCCTGGTAACCCCTCGGACACCAAAGACGTAGAGATAAAGGTTCCGTACATCTTCCACACCCGAAATCTTTCTAAAATCGAACCTTCGGGATGGCACGTTTATGAAGGCTCGATGTCTGCTGCTCGCTAGTGCGTTCACTGTATTTTGCCATGTGCACCTCTGTAGATGCCAATATACTGGGTGCACCCTAGGCTATTGCGTGGCCTGAACTCTGATTATGGAGTTATCTTGCACGCCATAGAGCTCGAGAGTCAGCGCCTCGTCGCACATCTCTTCAGACACCGGAGACCCCTGCAGCCATCCAGGGGAGGAGGCAGCGCACGGGTTCCATTCGACAGGGAAACTTTAGAGCGCTCTGCTGCTGTAGGGTACACCACGGGAGCTTTGCCAGAAGAGGCACCAGCAGGAGGTGTGCTTGCAAGAGCAGAGGCCGTAGGAGCAACGCACGTACCCGATCATTGCAGAGGAGACGCATAGTGTGGACTGGGATTCCAAAGATTCTCATGCAAACAACCTTTAGATCCCTTCGAGGAGCAAGCCATACACGCACAGAGAGGCTCTCCAAAACACATACGCAGATATACCCCTTCTCCAACCCCTTGCTGCCTCCGCCTTGCCAGTTTAACTGCACAACGCCCCTTGCTGCTTCACCCCTACCACCACCTTCTCTCCTCTCCTGCCCTGCCACAAAGGCCACGACGCCGATTTTGTTCCTGCTTTGTGGTAGGCCATGGAAAAACTGCGTTTTAGCTGTTCAAGAGACAGCGCCCTTCATTACCCACCTTATCGTGAGGCCTCTTGGAAGTCGTTTGCTAACCGTTGTTTGCCGAAGACACTGGGGAGCGTCCGGCTGCAGCTGCACCGACACCAGATTCCCACACAGTGAAGCAGCAGCAGCAGCAGCAGCACTCCCTCCTGCAGAGGCTAAGCAACGCAGCAACACAGAACGCAAGGAGAAACAACCCCGTGAGTTGCGGAAGGCTGCTGGAAAACGAGCAGATTATCACCAGTGGCACGCCCGTCTGCCGTACGGCTTCGCTACCTGTGGCGCATGGCGTAGCTAGCGCTCGCCGGCAGACACAAAGGGACCTGCCGCTCACTTGCCAGCACTACTACTAAGACAGCAGGAAGCTAGCGGGTGTCTGCTCAGCTAGCTGGAATGCGAAAAAACGGTCTGGAAAGAGGGAGATTACCCGCAGCCGCAGTGCCGTGACGCTCCCTGAGCACATCGAAGAGACGGGCTTCCTGCAGACACACACCGCAGCAGCTGCCAGTGAAGCTGTAGAAGCTTCTGCTGCATTGCTGTCGGCTAGCTATAAAGGAGAGCTAAGGGAGGCGTGTGTCTGTGCGCAGCCGCGCTGCTCACGGTGTCACGAAGGGCAGAGAAGAGGGTCAAGAGAGGCCCTAGAGCGCCTCGATTGCAGATGGACAGTGCGTATCGCTCGCAAGCGCATCGGTCCTCTTTGCTAACTTCGCTGCCATTTAACCACGCTAAGCGCGGGAAAAGACTCACGACTACCTGCAGCAAAGCAGCAGCAGCAAGCACAAGCAGCAGCAAAGCAGCAGCAGCGGCACCTCCACCAACACCAATCTTCCCTTGCCACAACCGTCGTCAGCGGCACTGCCAGAGCAAGCCATTCAATGAGCATGCTTGCTGAGCTTGTTGATGCAGACGCCACTGCTCTCAGACCTTAAAGCTCCCGCAGGCCAGCACCACATTTCAAATAGCAGGCTATGCACACCTCAAGCATGCACAAATACCTTCAGAAGAAGCGAGGGCTGCACAAACGGCGTGAAGGCAACTTACAGCGCGCTGTGCACTGTCATGGAAGCCTGGAACGTTCCGAAGTTTCCCCTCCCCCCCCTCCCCTTCCTCATGCTGCACGCGTTGCTGGAGTTGCACTTCTGCTTGCTGCTCCTCCCGCTGCTGCGCACGAAAGGACAAGGGAGAAACGAGCCGTACTAGCGATGGAAACAGAATCGCCAAGGCTCCCCACGTCCACCTGCCAGCAAGGCACGCGCAGCAGCTTGCACTCGCACACACTCCATTTTTTCTGCGGTGCGCTAACACACAGAGTGCAGTGCAGTTCAGGATTTACGTCGCTTTCTCAGAGCGAAAAATGCATATTTATTTGCCTTGACTTGGCTAATCGCACAACATTCAGCAAAGGCTACCAGTTCAGCCCCTCTCCCCCCTATTTCCTACTGGTCGTGAAGGGGGTTGCCGTCTAAGCAGAGCTCAACGACGTTCCGAAGAGTGTCTCTCCGAGCACCACACAGTGCCTCGTAAAATTCGAGCAAACTCCAAGATCCCGTCGCTTGCAACTCCTTCTGCTCCTTCTGCTGTAGCTCTCGTACCAGGCTAGGTGGCAGACAGAACGCCGAGATGCCGTTGTCTGCTGCACTCATCCGCTGAAGACGCGGCAAGTGGCCAATTGCAGCCAGCACAGACAAGCAGCAGTTCAGAGCGTTGCTGCTCACATCGAGTGCCTCTAGCTCTGCGAAGGGGTGGGAGCACCGTGTACAAGCGCAAAAAAACACGCCGTCCTGATCCTCTTCCTGCTGTTGCTGTTGAGTCGGCTCGGCAACACATGCTTCCAAAGACCTTTTCGCCGCTGACTGAAGGCGGAAAAGGGGGAAGCGACTTCTCGAGCCAAGGCCGTTAGCCCTCAAGGAGAGCTTCTTCAGGTTCGGCGCGAAGTGATTGAAACACAACAACTGCAGTGCACCCACCAGAAGAAGAGAAATACACACATACACACACATATACACGTACACACACACATACACACATATACACGTACACACACACATACACACAAATACACACACATATACACGTACACACACACACATACACACAAATACACACACAAATACACACATACACACAAATACACACACATATACACACACGCACACATATACCCATACACACAAATCCACAGACCGAAGCGCGTATGTACACTCGCGTTTGTGAAAGTCTAACTGGAAGTTTGCGGGAAAAGATTCTGAAATGCGCGTGTCAAGCGCATGCGAGCATACGTACATCCCCCCAGGAGACAAAAGTGCCGTCCAGACATAGACTCTCCAGAGAGGAGGAGGCGCAGCAGCAATTTCCGTCCGCAACTTCCGGAGCAGCACCGTCGGCAGACGCATCAGGCAGCTCTTTGGAATTCTGCCTCAACAGAACTTGCGCAATCACGCTGGCGATGCGGCAGCTGCCGTTGGAGGCCTCTTCTGCGGAAGCCGAGGCATGCGCATCTGCTGAAGCAGCAGCGCCAGGCGGAGCAGCGCATTTCAGCAACAGCCTCTTAAACCATAGATCCATGCGGGTATGTGCGAGACTGAGTGCCTTTAGGCTCGGGCAGCTCCTCAAAATGAGCAAAAGTTCCCCCCAGTCTCTCAACAAGCTTCCGCTCATCGACAGCGTGCAAAGCCCTAAGCACGCCATCATACCGCAGCATGCACCACTCTCCTGAAAAGAACAGCAACGGCCTGCATGCCCAGCCGTGGTTCTCCATCGCCACTCCCCGACGCATCGACAAGCGCACAGCAACAGACAAGAGACGCGGAAAGACAGGATTTTTGCAGAAAGATTCCCTCCTCCCTGCCCCTCGTTCCCCCGTCGAAGGCGTGGACACAGCCAGAAACCCGGTTAGGGCTGGCTAGCTAGCTAGCTAGCTGGCTAGCTAGCCATAAACTCGACATCAAACCTAGCGAGGCGGCTGCTTTCAGCTCAGAGCGCTGAATCTCCTGCACAGCAGCCCTACAGCCGTGCATCTTGCAGAAAGTTCTTCATGTGTCGGACTTGATGAGGCAAGCGAATTTTCGAAGAGGTGCCTTACGCGGGAGGCAGAGGGCGTCCAATCCGGCAGATGTGATTGGAAGCGTGGAGAGGGTAATGGCTTCGAGTTCTTTAATCTTCTCAAAGTGTTGCTGAGCCTGCAGCAGCACACCATGAAGTTCCCAGAAACGCACAGCCGCTACCAGGGAGCGTCTGAAACGATGCGATCGCGAGAAGCAGACGACCAAGGGCTAGTGGCACTATGGGGACAAGAAGGAGCATTGTTGCCAACAAGGCTGTTGTTGCTGCTGCGTGGAGAGCCTCTGCGTGTCTGCGTGGGATGCGACTCCACGCGGAGCAGACCTCTTGCCAGCCGCAGAATTGTACAGGCTTTTCCCTGAGTGTCTTTGCATCCGCAACGCGCATCGCAGCAACCTCCTCTGAAGAGCAGCAGTAGCCACAGCAGGGGGAGCAGCAGCCGAAGCCGCTGGACGGGAAGAATCATTCATGAGCCAGAGACACGCTGCCTCAGGAGGAGGCGGAAGAAGCTCCTGGATGCACTGCGTGCAACAGTGCTTTTAAACATTCTGAGAGTGTCAAGTGGCCTTCAAAAGCAACAGTTCAAAGAGACAGACGGAACGCGACAATCCACAGCCCTTCACCCCATTGGGAACGCCCCCCCGTCTTGCCTGCAGTGAGTTTTGTGGTGTATCGCAGGAGAAGCGCCTCTCGAAAGGTCAGAGGCTGCTGCAGCTTCTGAGGGCGTACAAACGAGGCTCCCTGCCTTCTGCTGGGGATCACACAAGGACTGTGCTTCCCGGGGGTGTACAGACACGCCGCAGCATCCTGCTGGAGCGGCTCGCGTGCGAGAAGCTGCTGCTGCTCCTGGATAGGGCAGCAGCAGCAGAAGTAGCGTATGCCGTGTGTGCAGCCGTCGTGTTTGCCATGGGCGGGATCGTCCCACTGTACACCGATCCACAAATCCTCCTTCTCGGCATCTCCTTTTTCCCCCGTAGCCAGCTCCGGCGTGGTAAAAGTGCCTTTCTGAGAGACTGCTGAGGGGAGATCTCCTTCAGCCGAGTTTAATCGAAGCAAGCCTACATACCGAACTACTCCTTCAAGGCTCTCCACCGTGCGAACCCTGTCTCCGACTGCAAAATGTGGGTGCAGTCTCCTCAGAAGAAAAGACTCGGCAGACATCACACAGGGGCGTGTTTTGCTGTTGCTGACGCTTTCATCGAGGGGGTAGCCGTTCTTCTTGGGGTCGTCGCCGGCGCTGCTGCTGGTGTCGCCTCCATGGTCGTTCAGGCTCTTCCCCTTGCTAGTGCTGCAGTGTGCAGTAGCAGCAGCAGCTTCGGCATCGCAGGCCGAGTCTGTGTGCATTGCTTGCGTTTTTAAGTAAAAAGGAGAAGAATACGCCGTCGTTCTAGCCGTTAGAGTCTCAGACGCGCAGCGGTCCATCCACCTGGGGTGGCACTGCTGTCGCTGTCGCCACAGGGGACCGCTCACTGCAGCTCTCCCCCCCGAAAACTCTGAGATGTCTGCGCATACAGAGACTCCCCGAAAACAGTTTCGCCACCATAATTCAAAGGAGATGCCTTTCGGATAAAGCTTGTTCACCACCCTGCAGCTGCTGGCTCTGCAGGAGGCCCCTCCTCCCCTCGAGTGTCACCCGTTGTGGGGCTTGCCCTCACAGGCGGGAGACTCCTTCGCACACTACGGGAAAAACAAATCTGTTGCATGTTTTGGAAATGCAACAATCAAGTTGACGACTCCTCTGCCAACCTTTTAAAGCCTTGATCCCTCACTCACCGACCACGTGTCCTTGCGGCTCAGCGGCTTCCTTGAACCGTTTTTCAGAGTAGCCGACATCAGCGCACATCCGTCTGACCGTAGTCTTGAGCAGCGAAGTCAGGAAAAGCAGAAAAATCAGGAAAAGCAGAAAAATCGACACAAGGACCAGGAAGAAGGGCCGAAGCCGCATATGCTAAAGGCCCAGTTCTATGCGGTTGGCAACTTCCTCTCCAACTCCCCTCTTTTTGCTACTGAACACGTCTGCCTTCCGACGTCTGACTTTTCTCGACAGACGTTCACTGCTCCCCTTCCCGCCGCATCCTCGATTTTTCGTGAGAAGCCTTGACCAAAGCCCCTCACCCCCACACCTCGCAGCTTCTCAGTACATGCACGGCTGAAAAATTCTTACGAAGGCGCCACAGCTGCTGGACAGCACGAACAAGCCCTTGAATGGTGCCTGCATGCATGCCTGTCTCTTTGAAATGCCCACCTGTCGCCAGCCGTATTTATGCGACTTGCTGCTGCAGAGCACACCAACCGCAATGGAGCACTGCCGCCACGAAGAGGCCCCCTCCTCTACACCCTTGCTGCTGCAGCAGCAGCAAACCTCTTTAGAGACTTTCTGGCAACATGAAGGTCCCACAATCGGCACTCACGATGGACGGTATGGCGCTACCGTATAGCAGAAATGCGAGTATTTTTGTAGCACTTACGAGGATCGTCGTGTGTGATTCGGCTGCGCTGCGGCCTTTTCCCCTTCCTCCCCCTGGAGTTTCTTTTGGATTTTCTTCTTTCTGCCCGTGAAAGGATGGATATTTCTCTGTGTTTACTTAGTTCTGCATGCAGACGTGCTCAAAATGCTCCTCCGTAAATGAACTCGCACACTAGTCTAGAGACAAGCGTCAAAGCCGTCACGAAAGAGATTTCTGGCCAGCTCTGTGTGTATGTGTGGCTGTATGTATGTAGTATGTGTGGCTGTGTACATGTTTGTATGTGTATTTGCGTGTATGTGTATATCTGTGCTATATATCTGTCTGCCTCTTCCACGCTGCCTTCTTGCTCTCTCTCTCTCTCTTTGTTTGCATGCTTTCACCGTCGGCTCTTGCGCGCTTTCGACGGTTTTTTGCCTTGTGTTGCTGCCTGCGCTTGCGTTCATTTTGTTTGCAGCTTCCACTTGGATGAAATTTTGGCATGTGCTATGCTCTTATCCCTGCCGGAGTTTTCGAATGCCAAGATTCTTAGGACGAGGGATCCGGCGCTGCACGAGAAGTGTGAGATTCTCGTTGATGTCGGAGGCGTTCATGATGCCGAGACGAAGCGTTTTGATCATCACCAGCGGGGCTTTACGACGACGTTTGATTTCGCCAAATATGAGGCTGCGCCTCCGGAGAGTCTTCTCGAACCTTGCCAACTGGAAAATCCTCCGCGCCTGAGAGAGGCGGTTACGAAGCTCAGTAGCGCTGGCCTCGTTTACGTGCACTTTGGAATTCGTCTTCTGCGGGAACGCTTTGGTAAGTTGCGGGAACGCGGGGAGGGAAGGAAAGGCGTGTGTTTAATCCTTTTGTGTAGATGAAGGTTCCCGTCAGTTAGTAAGTAGCGCACGGCTAGCGTGCATGCATGCATGTATGCATGCGTTTTCTCTGTATGCTGCTGGAGGGTGGCGTGGCTTTGAAGCAGACACCTGTTTCTGAAGGCGGGAGAGGGGACCGCTGAAATGTGCTTTTTGCAGGCATAGAAGATGAGGGATCGCTGCGCGCCATGATGCTTGAGGTGTACACGCAGTTCGTCGAGGCAGTAGACGCACACGACAACGGCGTAGGGATCTCCCGCGGAGGTCCCCCGATGTATGTTGACAAGACGTCTCTGCCGCATCGCATTGCGGCTCTCTTTCCATTCGGGGGTGAGGATGCGGCAAAGCAGCGGCAGCAGCAGACGGTGGCGGCGTGGGAAATGCAGCAAGCCCTTGCGGCAGAAGCCTGCGCTGAGACTCATGCGCCTCAATATGCCGCTGCAAAAGAGGCCTTGGGGAGAGGCTGCGTCTCTCCATTCAATTGGCTGCACGTGCCGATTTACGGCGGGGAGCCTCTCGATGTCTGGGCCTTTAGGAAAGGCCTCAAATTAGCAGACGAGGCTTTCGCTGCTGCCGTGAGCTTTCTCAGAGACTCTTGGCTTCCCGGGCGTCCAGTTCTCAAGCAAGCGCTAACGGAGGGAGCCGCTGGAATCCTCAAGACGCATGTCGTTGAGCTCCCCAAGTGGTCTCCGACGGAGGTGTGCAAATCGAACTGCGCAACAGAACCCGTTTGACCAAACAGGCGGGCGATTAGACACAGAGGGAGAGATGTGCCTTGTCAAGACCTCTAAGGATTGGGGGGGCTAACTACAACAAGGCCTACCTGTCTGTGTATGTGCGCGTGTACATCTGTTTGTGTGTGTGTGTGTGTTAATGTGTGGATAGGCATGTGTGCCTGTGTGTGTGAATGTGGATAGGCATGTGTGTCTGTGTGTGTAAATGTGCATAGGTACGTATATAGGTGTGTGTAAATATGTGGATAGATCTGCATTTCTGTGTGTGAATACGTGGATAGGTCTGTATATGTATGTGTGTCTGTGTGTGTAAATATGTACATAGGTGTGTGTAAACATGTGGATAAGTCTGTATGTCTGTGTGTGTTAATATGTGGATAGGTCTGTATATGTGTGTGTGTGTGTAAATATGTGGACAGGTGTGTATGAATATGTGAATAGGTCTGTATCTGTATGTGTGTCTGTGTGTGTAAATATGTGGAATGACGTGTGTTAATATGTGGATAGATCTGCATGTCTGTGTGTGTAAGTATCTGGATAGATCTGTATGTCAGTATGTGTAAATATGTGTATAGATGTGAGTAAATATGTGGATAGGTGTGTGCACACATATATCCACATACATGTGCATCTACATACATGCACGTAGTAGATGCTCGTGCTGTGTGTTGCCGTGGATCTACGTAGAGCGATGCATGAATGGATGTGACGCTCCAAGAAACGGGCAGTCTTGCATGAAAGCGCTTTTGTTTTTGTGAAGATATCGAGATCGAACCTGTGCATCATCATGACGTCGAAATCCGTTGCATGAGAAAAGGGGCTGTACGGCAGACCGCCGGGATTCGGGAAGATTTCGTCTGTAAGGCTTGTATTGTTGCTGCCTTTTGTGGTGTACGTACACAGGGTCATATCTACGCTTTGGAGCGCGAGTTGGGGCTTTCAACCCCCTTGAAATTCCAGGTATATCCGTCAGAACGCAGCGGACCCGACGCCAGTACGTACACCGCATGGACTGTGCGCTGCATCCCTGTGGAAGGCGAACCGTTTGTTAGCCGTCTCCCTCTTCGACAGAGCTGGCGAGGCCTTCGAGATCAGGCGCTGGGGAAAGCTGTTCTTGCGGGAACTCCAGAAACGAGACGCGCCGAGCTCCAACTGACTCCGAAAGATTTTGTTTTCTGCCATGCCACGGGCTTTTTGGGAATCGCGCTGTCACGGGTAAGAGCGACGCACACAGTTGCATCTCTTCCGGTTGGTTCGTGGAGTGCAGCTTCTTGTTTTTGTTCTTCTCCTCTCGCTGACTAACTCCCTCGCACGCATTCTCGCTGCCTGCTTCTGCGAGCAGAAAAGCTGCAAGCGGACGATATGTGTGCTCGCTTGCAGCAGTGCTGTGTAAGCGCTGTGCGCGGAAGGGTTTTTTTGCAAAGATGTAGACGTATATGGGCATTTGGTATATACATATGTATATGCTGCGTTTTGTTGACACCTTCTTCCTCCGCCCTTCGCATTCCCCATGCACGTTCGTGGAAATAATTGCTGCGCCTTTTTCCCTTCCTTCGACACGCATGCCTTCGTGCTCTCCTGGCTCTCGCCCTTCGTACTTCTATACGCATTGTTTTCATTACGTGCTTCTATGCGAATATATCTACGCTTCTTTGCACCTCTCCTGTTTGTTAGCCATCTCCGCGGGGGGTGATCCCGTCATGCGCTGTCGAGACTCTTCCTCTGAGGCGGCCTGTGCAGTTGATCGACGCCTTCCTTCATGCGTGACACAACTCATTCCAAGGCTTGGCGTGTGGCTGCGCTCTGACATTTCTGCAGAACGCTGCGTACGAGATGATGAGGCAGACGCTTGAAGAAGCCGGTGCCGAGAACTTGCAGGGAACAACGGAGGAATCTCAATAGCCACTTGTATTCTACAAAAGTCTAGAGGACGTAGATAATTTTTCTGTAGGGGCCTTGTTAAAGCGGCTGCTTGCTCTGTCTCCCTTGTCAGTGAGTGCCTGCGGTCTTCTCCTCCTTTCTCCTCTTCCTCGCTGCATTCCGCTGATGGCCTCACTACGAGGCACTATCTTCACCGCTTTCCAAAGTCGGCATGCCTTTGCAGCAGTTCGTCAGTCTCTGGAGGGCGTTCTCCTTTGGAGGTGCATCGCTTACGAGCAGAGGAGGAGCCTACAGCATCTCACCAATCAGACTCAGACACAAAACGCGCTTAACTCGGGAGACTCCAGGACTGATGCCTCCTGATGGCTAGGACAAGTGTTTCTTGAGCCAGCGCCTTTTTCGTAGTTGAAAGAGCTGAAGAGCCTCTGCGTATGCAGACTGACCGATAGATAAGACGCAGCGGAGAAGAAGGGGGAAGACAAACGACGGAAGCGCTTAACGGAGGCTTAGGCGGGAACGCGGGCAGCAGCCACCAGCACAGCGAAGGCAGCAGCCCCCAGTTCAGGGAATCTTTTACGACCGCGTGGCTCTCCTAGTGCGCCTGCTTGCGACAAGAACAATTATACGATTTTATCCAGCAGAGCGCTGGCCAGAGACGCTGCCAGCGCACACTCTCGCGCAAGTTGCTAATCATAGCATGCCCAAAAAAACAGCGTTGCTACCCCTCAGGATGCGGTACCTTCTGGTTGAATGTCTCAGTTTTTAAGGCGCATGTTATTTTGAAACCGGCGTACTTTCTCGCCCGCCTTTTCTTAAAGGGACGCCAAGTCCACGACTCCTTCACAGGACTGCACAGTGCAGGACTGTTTGCAAGGCATAGGGCTACCCGATGGAATTTTCGGAGCGCATGCTACGCTGGTCTCTCTCAGTCGGCCTTTAGGTTAAGACACAGCTCTTGTCTTGATGATAAATCCGGGGTTTTAATGCTGGAAGGAGCATCATCCTTCCAAAGGTCACCTGCGGCTTCCTTCGTACACAGAGAGACCCCTGCGCTTGACATCATCGAATGCTTGTACCTTCCTTTTTGTCGCAAAGCATATTTCAAGCGACTCTCCGGTGCAAAGAGCATTCATTGAGAGCGTGCTGATGCATGCACCGAGCAGGTTCAAGAGAGCAACTTTTGGATTTGAGATCGGTTTTCAGATGCAATACAATATCCGAGCAGCTGTATCTACATATAAAAATGTATATATATATACGTATTCGTACACAACAATCGAGATTGTCCGATTGGGCGTAGCTGTAGCGCTTCTTCTAAAGTGTTCCTAGAGAGACCCTGAACTCGAGACACCTCATAAACTTAGTAGCAAGTTATTGAGTGCCTTCCAGAAGAATTCTCGCCGTCCCCTGCACGCGCTCCTGTGTGTTTCTGATGAGGGAAAAGAGCCAGTCGGGTCCAGCAAATCTGCTCCCTTTAAGCACAGGGGGCATGCGCAGCACGTTGCACATCGGATGTGGCATGCACGACGACGCCTACAACATTTCGTCGTGAAATACTTAGCAAACGCTACTCTGTTGTGGTATCTTCGGGCGGTCAAATGAATGGTAAATTCTTGACACATTCGCGTTTCGTTGCCATGAGTGTAGCGAAGAGTGCGAAGAGGTATAGTGTAAGCCGTTCATCTTCGAGGGAGATGACGGAGAACTGACTGCTCCCGTGGCACTTCACTTGTCCCCCCCTTTCCTGGTGCCCCACTCAGCTACGTGAATACGGCTCATGCCACACAAATGCGCCCATTCATGTACAGGTGCGAGAGGGGTGCTGCAAGAGATTCGTACATCTTGATGAAAAGGCGTGTGCACGCTGGAATGCAAGAAACTCGCACGTCGCGTCTCCAACAGCTGCGATGGCAGCGGTGTTAGCAGGAGATCTGTTTGCGCTGCATGGGAAGCGGACCCTGCTCTAGTGAGAGCCTGCAGTGTAAGACTTCTATCTGTGCCTTCATAAGAGGACTAAGCAATGGAGCAACCAAGATCAGCATCCCCTAGTAGCAAATTTCCGAGGGGCCCCCCCGTACAGCACGCTGAAGGGAAGGTCACCCGCTTGCCTATAAGGGTGGGATATACGCAAGGCGCACAAAAAGACCACCCCCACAGCATCTTTCGAAGCCTGAACTGAGGATATACAGGATTGCATTTGCTCACGGAGGCTCACGTCTTCAAGACACATTGCGAGCCAACTTTTAGGGCATCACGCCTAAAGGGGGTTAAAATTGTTGCAGTGTCGGAGCCCGTAGATCGCCGGAAATGGCCGAATAGCACTTTTCGTAGCCAGTTTCTTTTTGTAGGAGTGCAAGGGCCCTGTATATACAGCGCAGCTGCCACTTTGCAGTAGGCCATATGAGCAGTGTGCAACGCCCGCCATGTGCGAGGCGGCGTGCCACAGACGTTGGTTTCCCTCGCCCCTGTTCCCCCCCCTCCTCTCCGTCTCTTCCTCATCAAAGCACACCGCTAAAAGCCGAAATTTCAGTTGGACAGCCGTGTAGGAGCCGGAGGAACGCGCATCTTCTTTGGGGAATTCGACCGGTGCCGGGGGGGCAGTGAGCCGAGGGCCCCGCGTAAAAGGCGAGAGCATGGGAGCACGAAGAGACGCTTGCAGCCACCGTCAAGGGAAGTACACACAAAATACAGTATGGCTCTTGGAACGGCTTTTTCGTTTATGCGAAGGCGCAAGGAGGTTCTGTCTTCTTATTCAAGTTGCAGCTGCACCGCTGGTGGTTTGGGTACGTAGTACGCCCAAGGGGGGCCCCCCCGAGCAGTAGCCGCCGACATTAGGGGGCCCTTCCAGCCTCAGCGGAAGATGCCCAAAACCCTTTTCCTGGGCGTTGTGTAGTTTTGAGGCAGTAAATTGACTTGTCTTGTGCGCAGAAAGTACTGGCAACCTCCTGGGGTGCAGGGGACGGGCGTTCTTGAAGGGACAGTCGAGACGAGGAGTCACGCAATGGGGGTATATAGCGGAGATCAGCCAGGCTTCCACTCGTAAAAGGCTGGGGTACCCTTCCGAAGCCTCACGCGGAGGAGGCTTATTTGGAGTCGCGCGGATATGCGCTTTCGTGTCTCTTTTTGCGGCAGACGCTGAGAGTCACCTTTGCAGCTTTAGCTGCTGCTGTTGCCGCGCCTACAGTGCCCCCTTGAGAACGTCTCAAGACGCGAGCAGTCACTCAACATGGTCAGTGTTGAGGCATGCAGAGAGAACGGAGGCTCAGCAACTGCTGCCTCCGCCTCCGCGAGAGGCCTTCCACTGTCTGCTGCCGCTGCCGCAGCCACTGCAGCAGCGAGCCCTCTGGAGTTCGTGCTGCAGGCGAGCAGGTAAAGTATCGTCACTCTGACTGACTGGAAGCGGCAAATGCTCTGAAGAGGCATTTTAGAGACGGAGGCAGACGAGTGGCAGATGGATAGAGGGGAACAAAGGGCACCCACGAGGATACACACTGAGGGCAGCGTGGCGAAAGCGTAGCGGCTGCCTGTCGAGGCGAACTCTCCATCAGCACGTGGTGCTGCTTCTCACTGCTTTCCTCTCGATTTCACTCTTGCGTTTGCTGCTTTAGGAGTCAAAACCTCGATGCCTTAGGGGCCGATCTGGAGAGGGATGCGCTGCTGGTGCAGGAGCAGCTGCTGTCGCAGCTGTATCTCAGCAGGAACGAGATCGCAGCTCTCCAGGATACGCTCGATGCAGCAGAAAAAGACTTGGGGGGTCTTTGCTTCCAGCAGCAGCAGGCAGCGGCGACAATTGAGGTGCAGCAACAGCACGCCGATCTTCGCCGCACGCGGAAAGTCGCGCTGACTCTGCTGCAACAAAAACGCGAGGCTGCAAGACGGCAGCAGCTCTCACGGCTTGGACTGCAGGCGTACAAAGCACTTCAGGCCGTTGCTCATACTCTCCAGGAGTCGCTCGGCAGCACTAGCACCTTCACCAGCAGCAACAACAGTAGTAGTAGTTACAGCAGCGACAAGAACAGTAGTAGTAGCAGCAACAACAGTGGTAGTAGCAGCAACAACGGTGGTCAGGTGCTGGTACAAACAGATGTCTCGTGTGATGAGCCCTTGACGCAGAAGAGCCTACCGAAGACAGCAACAGCTGCTGCTGCTGCTACTGCTGCCGTGAGAAAGCTCGTTCAAGACGTGAAAGCGCTGTTGCTGCCTCCCTCGTTGCAACAGCGCAGCACAACTAGGAGCGACACGCCGAAAGACAGTGTCTGGATGCCAGTAGCAATAGCAGCGGCAACAGCAGCGGCTAAGCTAGACCCTCCAGCTGCGCATCAGGCACTTTTACAGCTTCTGGAGGCAGTAAAAAAGGCAGCGTTCACGGAAAATGGACAAGAGCAGCCCTCGCAGCAGCATCTGCAACTGCTGCAAGTGTCGCTTTCGCCGGCTGCCACTTCCAGATGTTTGCTGCTGCAGCAGACGTACGATGAACTACAACGCTTGCAGCAAACCGTGGCAGCAGCAGCAGAATTTTACGATCTAGAGAGCCCACAGGATCAGCAGCAAGATCAGCAGCAAGATCAGCAGCAAGATCAGCAGCAAGGCGCCGCAGTGACACTAACTGAGGGAGCAGACTCTGCAGCTCCTGCCGCTGGAGCCACAGAACTAAATACACCGCCATCTGCAGATACGGCAGCTGCTGATGCCTTCTTGCTCGTCTCGACACCCCTTCAGGAGGAAATGGCTCTAAGAGATCTTCTGACCTTTTCTCACAGCGCAAACAGCCGCAGCAACAGCAGGAGCTGCATTACTGAACCGCTTCATCATCGTCAACAAGAAATGGAAGCATCCGCCGAAGCGGTGCGGCAGCTGCTGCTGCTGTTTGTGGTGGCTGCAGCGGATCTCAAGGAGGCGCTCGCTCAGCGTTTGTTGCTGGAACTAAAGACTTTGCTGCTGCAACTAAAGGGCAGTGTGTCAGCAAAAACGTCGACTCCTCTAGCACCCGCAACAGCGACAGACAGCGCCGAGCCACCAGCAGCTCCTGCTGAGCTTCTCATGGCTGCAGAAACTGAATGGCTCGTAGCCTTAGGAAGAGTTGTGCGCCCTCTCCTCGCTTCGCAGACAGGGACGGAGGCGGGTGGGCTCACGATTTCTGCTGCTGTTGGCGGCGATGCCCCCTGTGCTGCGTGTTTTCAACGACTCCTTTGGATCCTTCGTGCAAGGAAAATGCGTTTATAGAAGTGTTTTTGGATTCGTCCGGATGTATCTCTGCACGTATCTATCTGTATGTACGTGTGTGGTTGTGTATCCATGTCTGTATGTGCATGTGGATGGATGCACGTGCATGTGTATGTATATATGTGCATGTGTATGTATGTCTGTATGTGTATGTGGATGTATGTGCATGTGTATGTATGTGGATGTATGTCTGTATGTGCTTGTGTATGTATCTGCATGTATGTCTGTTTGTGCTTGTGGATGTATCTGCATGTGGACGTATGTCTGTATGTGCATGTATGTCTGTATGTGCATGTGGATGTATGTCTGTATGTGCATCTGTATGTATGTGCATGTGTATGTATGCCTGTATGTGCATGTGGATGTATGTGGGTGTATGTCTGTATGTGCATCTGTATGTCTGTATGTGCATCTGTATGTCTGTATGTGCATCTGTATGTCTGTATGTGCATCTGGATGTGTACGTATGTATGGGCACACGTATGCGTATGTCTATCTGTGTGTACTTGCGGGTATATATATATATATATATATATGTGTGCATGGAACTATTGCTGCTGCAGCGGAGGGTGTCTTCGTGGAAACTCTTATTCGCCCGATAGTCTCTGCAGCAGCGGTTGCCGCTGCAGGAGCGGTCTGCGGTGCGAAGCAGCCTTTGACTCCAAGCAATCAGCACCTGCAGCAGCTGCTGTCGCAACTCCCCAAGCAGCTATCCACCAACGACGAGGCAGTAGTCCGTCTTCGTATTCAACTCTTTAGCCCCTGCGCCTGCAACTTGTGGGCATCGTGATATTTCGTTTTCGAGCTTTGCACGAGGCACTTTTGTTGAGCTTCCCGATCGGAAGGCGGCACCTGTAGTCCTCATGAGGCCGATAGTCATGCGGCTGCTGTTTGCTGCAGCTGCTCCGCTGTTTTCTGCATGCCATATCTGCGTCTCTGGGCACTGCCCCGTTGCTGCTGCTGCCTCTTGCCTTGAAGCTCTCGTGGATGCAATCGCCGTGGGAAGGCCCCCTCGATGATCCTGGGAAATCGCCGCCTATTAATTTGCTGCACCTGCTGCTGAAGGAAACGCTGCAGGTAAACTGTCAAGGCCAAATGCACTTGCTGGGGCAGCTGCTGCAGAAGCTGCTCCGGCAGGCGTGTTAGAAGTTTGTTCAACGGCGAGGAGGCAGGAGGGTTATTGCTTCGCACATCCCTCCCCCTGGATAGGGGCGGCTGCAGCAGCCTTGCCGTCAGATGTAAATGCCGGAGCCTGCACAGGATCTGTGCACTGTGATGTGTGCTGTTGCGGCTGCTCTTGCTGCTGCAGTGTCTGTCCCTCTGTTGCCCCTCCGCTGGAGAACCGGCGTATGGCGATGCATTTCTATGGAACGTTCTCGCGTTGCAGCGGTCCGTTTGCAGCCTCATTTCGTCTCGGTTGGGGAAGTTTCCAAGGCTTTGAGTGCTCTTTCCGGCTCGTTTTAAGCCACGTCGTTTGTTGTCTGCACCTGCAGCGTGCATGTTTTGTCCAACGGCAAAAGCAGAAACTGAGGAACGTCTGTGTGCGCGCCTCCCATGCGGCACGCATGCGGGTATCTGCGTTAGCATTTGGAAGGCCGCTCAAGTGTTGGTGGTGTCTGGCGATGAGCTGCTTTCAGGTTCGTCGGCTGCTTGGACGGCTTGCTGCCTGCCGGATCACTGCAGCAGCGCGCACTGCTGCAAAGCGAATGCCTGTCTACAGCCGCTGCTGCATTCGACTTGCGGCTGTGGGGGCAGCTACAGGCCGGAGAGATTGCTGCCTCGTTTTCCCTCCTGCTGACAAGGCAGCCGCTCGCCCCCTCTCCTAAACGACTACCTGGCATCGTAAACGAATGCGTAAGGAACAGACGGCTTTGCTAAACATGGCCCCAGCACCGCATGCGCTACTACACGGACTCCTCCATCGCATACCCCCATACATATGTATATATATGTATACATGCATACATATATTTACATACACATATATATGTATACATACATATATACACATACACACATATGTATATATATATTTGTATACAAACACATATATATACACACATATATGTACACATACATACATACATATACATACATATATGTACATACATGCATTCACACAGAGTACATACACAGATACAGACACACATACAGACAGGCAGGGCGGCATATATGTGAATGCGTTAACCATACGTATTTGGCCACACGTGCGGCGAACTGCGTGTAAGCCCCCATTCCGCACTTCTATTTGATTCGGGAGAATTCCACCAGCTCTGCGTTGTTGGCGATTTGCAGCTCCGGCTCTCTTCGACCGCCGAGTTGTTCAGCACGGCGAATCTCCTCTTTGGCTATGAGGACCCGAGAGATCTCATGACCTCTAAAAGTTCTCCTGCTACTGTTGCTGCCACCCCACCTCAACAAAACGTCAGCGCGGCTATGCTGGCTTCAGCCCCTCTCCCCAAGGACCCTCGCACCCTGCTCTTCTCGCGGCCTCTCCTCCCCAGCAGCTTGAAACTCTTTGCTGAGCTGCTGCGGCAGCTTCTCCGCGTGCTGCGAGAGTCGGCGGCAGAGCATGCATCACGGGCTGCGGCGGCAGCGGCAAGTTACCATCTGCAGGAGGGCGTGCCTGGTGAGAGGCCGTTTTTTTCTTTAGGATGGCGTCTTCTTCTTGTGCATCTGCTGGCGGCTGCAAGTCGTCAGCGTTCTTGTTCGAGTTTTGTTATGCGATTGTAAGGCCCTGGTGCTTCGCGCTGCACCCGGTCTGCCCGCATGCGTGCAGGCGACGCTCGCGGAGGAATTTCCACCAGCAGCAGCTTCCTAGAGACAGCTCTGCTTCTCGCGTCCATCTGCGCAGACGTCGAGGAGCTCGCTGCTCAGCTGGCAGCTCCCAAAGAGTGGACTTGCGACTCCGCATCAGGAACAGCCTCACCTGTGGCGGCAACAACGGGAGCCTCACAAGGCAGCAGCACAGGCCCCAGCCAACTGCCCCCCATCATACGGGTGGGTGGCAGTCTGCTGATTCGTTCTCCAGTGCAGCAGATGCGAAATGCCTTCTCCTGTGGAGTAGCTAGGCTGCAGAATCAATGACACAGCTACTTTATTCTTGCTGCGGCGTCTACGCTGCGAACTACTTGCTGCTCTTCCTTGAGGGGGGGCGGAGGGGGTGGCGGCACTCCAGCACCGACTGCGTGGACTGACTGTGGAAGCCTCGCCTCTGTGTGTGCGCCTGTCTCCTTAGGCCATCTCGCTGCTTCTCGAGGAAGCAGCAGCTGCCCCTGGAGTCTGTCAAGTCCGCATGCAGCGCATTCGAGAAGATGTGTACTGGCGTTTCAACCATTTACGCACAGAAGCCGAGGAAGCAACTCGAGTAGTTGTAAGCAAAAACTGAGGTGTAAGGGCCCCTCTAAAGATGGAGTATCACGGGCTATCCGGAAGGAAAGGGCTAGACATAAAGTTTTGGAGCCTTTCTCTATCTGTTTGGAGGGGGAGCACTGCATGTATAGCGCCTTCATGTGCTTCTACGTCGTCTGCGCACACAGCCGCATACCGACACACACAGGCATACTCTTACACACTCACGCACACGCGCGCGCGCGCGCGCACACACACACACACACACACACACAGCGTCCTATTAGTACATCCTCACACAGATGCATCCACAACCCTGCATAATTTCCTCAAGGACCCCAGGAGCGGGCCTAATTGCCTAACCGCTTTTGTGCATCAATGCATTCGGATATCCATGTGGCAGAGTACAAACGCACGGGTTTAGATGTGGCAGTATGCCTTTTACCCTTATCAGCTGTGCATGCCACCTGTCTTGCCGCGTTTTGCTGGAGGGCAACCTGAAGCCGCTCTTCAAGAAATAAAACACACACATGGGAGTGTGCACGGTTGCTTCCTTGCAGGAAGATTTGCTTGTAGGACTGCTAGCTACTCAGTGCGCTTTGCCTCTCGCCGCCCTCCGTGCCCTTCCCGCCAAGTTCCGGCTTGTCGTTCGGCAGGTAACAAGCCTCGCTAGCTGCACATAGCCAGCTATGTATGGATGCAGACTTTCTACTTTCCCTACCGTTCCGCCCCCCAACCCGCATTTCGCTCTTTGCAGTGATCGTCGTTTGGCGATCTTGAGAGCTCTCTGGCTAGCTGGCTTAAGACCCCAACGTATTGTGCGCGCTTTCAATGTAGCTGCTGCTGTGCAGTGCGCATCCGTATGTACACCCCTCCTGCAGCCGTATGGCTTCCATTTTGAGGAGGGTGCATGTAAGAGTGCCCTTGCCTCTCTCTGAAGGTCTCTAGTGTTGCGCACATCTATCTGCATGCCGTTATTTGTCTCTCTGTAGGTGTCTATTGCTCTATGCTTTATGTCTATATATATATATATATATATATATATATATATATATATTATGTATATATACATTTACCTGTCGGCGCATACCTATGTAGAAAAAGTTAAATTTTATGCATGCCCTCCCTGCACAAGACGCGCAAGTGTTTTGATGAGTAGCACCCTTTGCCAACACTTTGGCCGCGTTGGGGAAGCCTGAGAGATCTGTGTGAGCTGTTTAGCTGCATGCTTTTTGCGAATCTGTGCTTGACGCCTGCGTTCGCGGCAAATCGAGGGTTTAATTTCCTTTTTGCTCGTTGAGCGCCCTCAGGCTCCGCAGACTGCCTCTGCTTACGCGAGCTGCCTGGTGGAACCTCTTGCCGAATTTCGCGAGGTGGCAAAGCAACAAGGCATGCCGCAAGTCCGTCCGATTCTTCTGCAATCCCTGCCTCCTTCTACTATCGTATTTAGCCTCTCTGCCGTGGCTGTGTGGATTCTCTGTTGCTCATGCAGCCCCTCACCGCAGAGCGCATGCTGCCACACCTAGTGCGCTTTCCCGTTGCTGCGCGTCGTCTTTGCTCATGCAAAGAGTCCGCAGCATCACAGTGCCTCCTGCTAAGTGCAGCTTACTGCCTCTCCCGTCCTTTCCTGCCACGTCCTTTGTTCTCTTCCGCTTCATCGCGGGCGGCACTCTCGCTGCGAGCCGTTTCCATTCGATGCGCAGGTCCTTACCAACAGGTGTGTGGTGCTGTCAGTACAACGCCTGGCCACGCGCTGCCTTGGCGAAGCGCAGCAATTGCTGCAAGAGGAGTCTCGCAAAGACAAGGCGCTGCAGCGGCTGCAAAGGCCAGCGGGGCATGCTCCAGAGGAGGTAGGCAGGCAGTCCGTGGACGCATAGGCTCGCATGGCCCCCACAGGCGGCGTCTCTTGATGATCTCGGATCGCTTGCATTCACGTACTGCACAGCGTCTCTCGTTGCTCCCCCAAGACGCACCAATAGACGGGTTGCATTCGGGAGGACCCTTCCTCCCCTCCCATCCTCACCGAAGCATGCGTAGCATTGTGTGGCGTCTTTGGTTCGAAAATACTCTCACACAGTCCGGTGTGCGCTTCACTGCGACGTGCATGTAGGGGCATCGGGGTGCACGGCCTCCGCAGTCAGCTGCCCCTTGAGGCTCAAGCATCCTGCGTTCGGGTGTTTTGTTGTGTCAGGAACTTTCGGTGGCTGCCAAGGTGAAGAGACAACTCACACTAGTAAGGCACAAACACACATGCGTGTGCATCTGTCGATTCCGTCGGCTTATTCTGCTCTCCTCTTTGCTCTTTCTTTTGGTATCGGCAGTGGAAAGCCTTCGCCACCCAGGTCTCGCTGGGCGTGCAGTTTCTATGGACCCCCTCTGCGGTGTCCCTTTGTTGTTCTGTGCTGCTCGCCGTAGCCTCATGCGGCCGCTGTTGAGTTTTGCCCTCCCACAGACACGCGACTGCAGAGCCAGCGCTTGCTCCCTGCTGCCTAGACGCTCGCTAAATGTGTCCTCATCTGCTGCTTGCCCTCAACACCCCGTTCCTGGTGTGCGATAGCGTTGTGTGCAAGTCTACGTGCGCCTATCCCCGCATGTTTGCATCTGCATAGGACATGGACTGCTTGGCAGATCTCTGTGCTTCGCGCTTGGGCTTGTCCCCGTCGGAGGTTCCGCAGCTGCTGCAGCTCAAGGAGGCCTTTTCTGCGTGATCCCCCGAGCCAAGGATAGCCACGCCTGTTGCCTAAGTGACTGCCCAGTACGTGCAGGGACTCCCCCTGCGTGTGTTGCCCCTTTATGTAAGCATTGCCACGCGCATTATCGGAAAGTATATCGCAGAGAGGGCAACACACGAGGCAGCACCGCTGGCGCAGGTGCTTTATGGGCGCTTCGCCGATCTGCCTTTTACATATTTCACGCTCTTCTCTTCCAACGTTTCCCCCTGTCTACAATTTTTTATACTGCCCTATGTAGGCGTAGCGAAGAGAGCCCACTAGCAACTCTTTCCATCGTGTCGATAATCTGAAACTCCGAGCCACAGGGCCACCTGACGCCCGTTTACCCCACATCTGCACACAAGGCACCCGCTTCAACACCACCCCTCTAGAATAGAGCGGCCGCCGTGGGCGGCTCAGTCTAATCCCCGTTGGGGGCCCCCGGAGGGCCCCCCGATGCCCGGATATGGCAAGGGAGTGCGGGGACTATGTAGTTGCCCCACGCGTTTTGCTGCTGCTCTATGAACCCCCCAACCGTCGCTCCTGCTGCTGCGGCCAGCAGCTCTGACACCCTCCTGCAACAACACCCCAACAGCAGCCCATCCGACACATAGCACGACGAGAAGCAGCCACCCATTCGACAAAACACCGCCGCACGTCCTCGAGAAGCTGGCCAAGCAGGCCGCTCTTTGAGAGCTTGCAGACATGCCGGCATGCATGCTCTCCACAGCCTCAGCGTTTCTCAGTATTAACCGCAACCTTTCAACAGCACTGCACGGTCTCCCAGCAGCACTACTACAAGAAGGGGGCATACTTACGCCTGCTGTTGCTGCCTCTCCACTTCATCCGCATTGCCACTGCCTTCAGTCGCAGGTCTCAAATTTAGGGGGCCCCCACTCAAAAGGTCAAGCAAGGCCCTGCTTTCCTGTTGCCGCTGCCGCGAGTTGGCCACCTTCTCGCTGGCTATGTTTTTGCTGCTCGCCGCCTTCGTGGGGAGCTTCTCTGCTCCAGCGGACGGTTGTTTTCGCTTCACATGCGACGGAGCACTCAAGGGAGCTGCCTCGGGCTTCACGCTGCCAGTGGCACTGCTGCCACTGCTGCCTTCCCGCAGCATGAGAGACGGCTCCTGGACCTTGCGCGAGGAGGGCTGCTGCACGGCTCTTCTCTTGAGAGCCGACGTGGAACTGACTGCTAGAGTACGCCGCTTCAGAGGCAGCAGCTTCACCTCTTTTGGGGCCGTTGCATCTGCATGGGAGGATGAAGGCGCCGCTGCTGCTTTGGGGTCGGAAGATGCCGACGGCTGCGGCTGCTCCTCAGCATCCTCGACCTCAAATAGAGGATTCTCACCAAGGCTGCTAGTTGTCCACTCATCCTGTTGTTGCTGCTGTTGCTGCTGTTGCTGTTGACGCAACATAAGGAGGGCCCTGCTATGCCCTCGGAGGGCTGCAACTTTGATGCGGTCTTCTCTGCTGAGAGAAATACTCAGATAGAACTCTTGCTGGCCATTGAGTGCCGTTTTTGAGCCTGCTGCCTTGCTACGTTGCAAGGCGGCTGCGAGTGCAGCAGCGTCCGTGGCTACCGCTGTATTCCCAGCAGCAGCGGCCGCATTGGCAGCGTTTGTGGCTTCTGCTGCAGCAGCGGAAACCACGGCGGCAGCAGAAGGACGGGCCCCGGAGGGGCCCCTGCTCGCTAGGAGCTGTCGATACACCCGGATGAGGGCCTCTGCTTCGCGGACCGTCCGGCCTTGCAGCACCTGCTGGGCGTACGCGGCATCCCCTAGCCGCTGCATCTTGATGAAAACTCTCTTGTCTCCTTGACTGCCGACTCCGCTGCGGCATCCCGCGGGTAGCCTAGAGCAGCCAGCCGTCGAGGATCCTGGAAAGCTAAGCCCCTCGCCAACAAGCGCTCCAAACGCATAGAAGAGACCTCTGATCTCCTCTCGTGAAAAGCGGGGGGGCGCCTCAGCGAGCATCAGATGTGCCCCTCCGAGCAGCAACTCCCGACGTTCTTTCGCAGTCAAGGGAGCGGGGGAAGGGCCCCCTCCAGGGACCGCAAGGGGCCCCTCATCGCTGGTCGGCAACGGAGGCACTGGAGGCTGCACAGTCTGTGCCCGTTTCTGCTGCGTCTTCAAGGGCCTCATAGCGTCATCCTGGGGAGGAAGGACCTGTTTCTCCCTCCTCTGTCTTGTATTTGAGGGTTTGTGGTGGCCCCTTGCTGCTAAGGGGGTACTGAAAAGCCCCTTCCGGGGGCCCTTCTGGGGGCCCCTGAGAAGGCTCGTCCGGGGGCCCCTGCTCCTGGCTCTCTAAGGGGGAACCCTTTGCATCTGCAGCTGCAGAAGCCTTGGGAGCTTCGCGCAGCAGCTGCGGAGAAGGCGCAAAGCCAGAGAGACCTAGCCACTGCGCACAGGCTGTACGTCGGGCAGTCAGAGCGAAGCCTCCGGAGAGGTGAGGCCCTATGAGATCCACGGAGGAGAACTGAAGCGTCGCGCACACCACAAACACACACACACACACACATACACACACACACACACACACACACAGAGTCGCAAAGAGCGCTTCGCCCGAGGAAAAGAACGCGCGGATAACACGTAGAACTGCTCGAGAAAAAGCGCATGGCAATGTCGCCTACGATGCTCCAGCTCCACTCTTCAAAAGATGTCCACGCGATCCCCACCCACCTTGTAGTGATTTTTGGGAGCTCTTCTATTCCAGCACGCTCGGCGGCTTCGTGTCTTGGCGTGTGAAGTCCGCTTCTTTGGAACGGCCCATAAAGAAAGACCACGAGCTCCTCCACAAGGGAGGACGAGCTCCCCTACGGGAGGCGTTGCGGGCAGGGGTACCCAGAGACTGGAAGGCGCCTTGCAGGGAGGGATGCGAAAAGGAGGGAGGGAACGGAGTGGTCCCCCCAGTACAGGCCCGCCACAAACTGTCGGATGTGTTGGTAGGAAGCCTAGAGTTGAGGCTCTGGGCCGACGAAGCTCTCCTGCTTGTGGGTTCCGGAGCGGCACAAACAGCGACTGGCGGAGTGGCTGCTGCTGTTGATACCACCTGAGGTACGAATTATGGGCTGCCGCTGCTGAGCGAAGGGATGAAAGCAGCAACAGCAGCAGCGGCAGCTGGGCGCTCCTGTGCTGCATGTGGGTCGTGCTGTTGCCTCCCCCGATGTGGCCCCAGAAAAAGCAGCAACAGGAGGAGGAGGAGCACCAGCAGCCCGCGCTACCTTGGGTGTGCAAATGCAGCGGCGGCTATTGCGATAATTTCCTGGAATGTAACTCTCCGTGCTGCACGCCTTTTGGTTCAAAAAGTGCTCATGAAGTCTCCACAAACAGCCAACAACACTGCTGATGTTCGCAGGGTGCGTTATGACGCTGGAGAGAGCACCCGGTTGTCCGAGCTGTCTGTACACCTGAGTCGTCGTTGGTCAACACAGGAGTGAGAGCACGTCAACAAAAGACTTTTGAACGCACAGATGTTCCTTAACAGCTGCCAAACATCTCGCTGCCTGCGCATGAAGGTGTCCCTTCGTCAGGCGGCCGCGGGAGTCTGCTCATGGGGCCCCCGAAGAAAAGGGGGTCTCGTGGTGTATTGGTAGCCATAGCCAAAAAAAGTGTTTAAAAGGCTTTGGGGGTCAATGTTTATATGGAGAGAAGTTACGGCCTTAGGGTACTGTCGTCCCAACCCAGAAGGCTGAATTTTCTGCGTATTCGCTGACAGGATTGTGTGAAGCTTCATGGCGCACACGGGGAGCAGGCAGTTTTAGTAACAAGTGAGGCTCCCTAGCGGAGCCATGCCTACTGCAGCTGTCTTAAGGTAGCTCTAGCACAGCTACTTTGCGATCACTGTGGGCCTGTTGGCCGTGTAAACAAGGGAAGGCGCTGGCACGCGCTGCAAGCTGAGGGCTTAGACAATTCTGCAAACAGGCCCCGAGAGGCGCCATGTAGCATTTACGAACTTTACGCCCTCCACTTAACATTCGTCGCGGTTTAGCCTGTTCTCCAGGGTGCGTGGTATTGCCTCCAACGAAGCGTATCCCTACAGGCACCGCCTGACCGCATCCTTCATTTGCTCCCCTCCACTAACCAGGCCCACTCCTAAAGAAAACTCAGTGCGCTCTCGTAGTCCCTAGAGACATCTACGCACTCATTAGACCGCTTTACATGCAGACGCAGCCCCTAAAACCCAGCCCCCTTCGTTCAACCTTGAGTCTGAGAAACCGCAGGTCGCTCCCATGCCACAGCCACGCACGCATTTGCAGCGCGCTATGCGTCAGGTGCATCCACACTCCAAGCTCGCGCTGTATTTGCACTTTCAGCGCTTCTAAGCAGTGCCAGCCATGTGCAGCATCGCAGCACCTGTACTGATGCAGCTGTGGCCCTCAAATGGCATGTAGAAGCAACTGCACCTGGGCCTGCGGGGCCCCCTACAGTGACAAAGAGATACAACCAGGAGCCTGCCGTTCCGCAGCTCCTTTCCTTAAGAGCACCTACACGCGGCGAGGCGCTTCTGCGTTGAGGCAGCCTATCCCCAGCGATGCGCTTGCCTCTAGCAGCGGCGCATAGGCGGCAGCCACTAGCATCATCAGGGAACTGATGCTTCCAATCAAACCCGACTGCTCCTCTAGCGGCCAATGGTAGAGACAGGCGGCGACACAATGCCCCTGTGACTGACCTACTCGATCGCATTTTCTGCGTGGTTCGGCTGCTGCGCATGCGGGTCAATTTTTCTAAAAGAGAACGCCTTATATAGAGCAAACGTTTCCGCCTGCTGCCTGTCAAGAAGGGCCCCCCGTCTGCTCCTGAGGCCTCTTACCCAGGCTCTCGCGTCAGCCCCCAACTTCGGATGATTTGCTGCTGCATCTAGTAGCCGCGGAAAGGACACCGAGAGGCAACATTCGAGACCTAGCTCCTTCGCAGTGTTCCTAACGGCCTTGAAGGGAAACACGAACTCCTCAGCGTCTATTGCAGTCCGCAGCCAAAAATGATATTTTATCCCGAAGCGAGTCGAAAAGACCTCCAGCAAATGCAACGCCAACTCGGAAACCGCCGCACCAGACACGCAGTCCCGAATACGCAAGCCTCGAGTTGCTTCTAGAGCCATAAGACACACGCATATATACATATGTTTATATGTGTATACGCCTATATGTATATACGTGTAGATACATACACACATATGCTAAAAATCTAATAAAGGCACCATCTGCAAGGACCCAAGGGGCCGAATGGAGTGGCGATGCACTGAGAGCGACGTGCCGTTGGCAGACAGACTACGAGGCAGGCAGAAAACAGTAAGCAGAAGAGCCACAAAGGAATCCCAGTTGTATGCTGATTTCAGGTATAGCTTACCGCCACAGCCTCCCCTGCACTGGTGGCTGACCCAGTATAACTATTACTAGTATTACTGTTAGTAGTAGCACTACTACTACTACTATCGCTGTTACTACTGCCTTTACCACTGCACCGCATGGAGAACCAATAAAGCAAGTAGGATAACACCAAAGGAGAGCATCACCGACACAGCGCCGAAGAGGGAGCGGTAGTAATAGTAGTACTAATACCAGTAATAAGCCACTTCTGGTGCAGGGTCACCTCGTGTGACAAGCTATCGCTGAGAGAGAAGAGCAAGCAGCTGGGAGTCGTGCACCCGCACGACTAGCTGCAGCAACGGTAATCATGAGCCAGGAGGATGCTGTTGCCAAGAGCGTCACTTTCAATGAAGAGCCTGTCTGCACCACCCCTGGCTAGCAACAGCGTCTACATTCATTAGCAAATGTTCAACGGACAGTGGCGGAGAGACTCCTGTTAGTGCATAGACAGTACCTTCCTCCGTCGGTAGCCTGAAGGGGTGTAGGAGAGGCGCGAGAGTTTGCTCTTCGAAAAAGAGGGCGCAGAGGCTGTTTCCTGCCCAAAATACGCGCTGCCCCTGCGCTACATCAAGCCGGGAGAGGCAAACACTGACGAATTCGTCGGTTTCATCTGCATCTGGTGAGGGCTGCTGTAGGAGCTTCAAGTCTAGAACGTAGCGCACAATCTCCCTACAACACATCGTACTGCCGATGAGCTTTCCCCCCGGCACCAGCCTCCCAGCACACCGCGAGAGCAAGTCTGTTGCTTGCTGCTGCGAAGGCACCATGTAATGAATTGCCAGCTGAATAGACACGATATCGAATGCCTCCTTGGCAGCATACTGCCAGGCTTTCTCCTCCAAGGCGTTCCCCACGTGGTACTCTGGGGGAGTCAGCAGCTGCTGCAGCAAACGATCGCTGCTTCGCTCCCGCACGCGATGTCGGGCCTCTAAGATGGAATCTCGAGAAAAGTCTATGCCTGTGAAGGTACACAGAGAACGGCAAAAGCGACCACAGCAGGGATATGTGCATGTGCATGTGCATGTGCAGTGTGACGTATATATATACACACACTCCTCTGACCGCAGCAGCCAAATGCATTGCTCCATAATGAATGGACAGATGCCAACCTACGCATATAAAGACGCGTCTAGAACGGACACGAAGGTAGCGCACATATACATATGTAGATACATATGTAGATATGTATGTATCAGCATAACAAGCGACACCCGCACAGAACAACAAGCAGCAAATGGAAACGGCGTAGTGCTAAGAGCAACCGTCCTCAGCAGACAACCAGCTGGCCTCCCAAGCTAATCCTTTTCTCTGCCAGCTATAATGTGCCGCTGTCTGTCTCATACGCCAGCACACCGCTAAGGCCTTTTGACAAAAAATGCCGAATTAGATTTTCTCGCCTCGAGTTTTGCCAGCAGCAGTCCCCTACCAAGCAGCCTGGAAACTCGAACTTGCGCGAATTTGAGAAGGTCTTGGGCGTGACCACAAGCGAGATCCAAAACTCTTGCGCCTAAAAAAACCTCCATTTGTATCAGCATGCGCTTCGCCTGAAATACAGAAGCAGGAAAAGCGAATGAAGAGATGCGAGACAGTGCCAAAAATACCATCAAAAGACCGATGTAGAGGAACAAGCACATATATATATTTACATATGTATATATGCCATACATGCATACGTATACATACACATATACACATGCACATATACACATACACATGCGTTTACATCCACGTACATATAAATACGTATATACACATGCATATACATGCATGTACTTGCATACGCGTACATGTATATACCCACACTTATACATGGATATACATACACTGACATATAAATACGTATACAAATACAATTGTGCATACACATACGTTTGTACCTACATACGTTCACATGCATGCACTTCCATACATAAACTTGCATATACACATACACACAGATATACACATACACATATACACACATACATGTACATACATATACGCAAAAGGCCAACAGGGACGGCTCAAGAGAGCGTCCAAGAAACGCAACACTCATGCATTCCTGAGTCTAGGGTCTAATCTTGTTTCCCGTTCCTCCTCCCTTGCTCGTCCCCCCTTCGCTCTGCTGCAACGAATCTGACGCACTTGATTGTTGTGGAGTCGCAGAGCGGTGATAGGCGACTCTGCTGCAACGGTGATTTTTCTATTTTCGTAGAACGACTGTATAGCCTGTTGGTTGTCGCCTAAGGCTCCTGGGTAGTAGAGCGGAAGAGTTCTGGTTCCTGATGCACCGGTGCCTGCAGCGGCTGCTGCTGCTTCTAAAGGCGCTGCGATGGCGGCTCTCAGATTGTGTAAGAAAAGGGAGACAAGAGCGCTGAAGACTGAGGGTTGCTGCAGCAGCAAGTGCTGCTGCTGGTGCTGCTGTTTCTGCTGCTGCACCTGAAGACACCGCGCAGGCGCATACAACCGTACAGACACCCGACGCGACTCGTCATGAAGATCTGCGTCTGCGCCCCTCCCCGTACTGGTGGCTGCAGCGGCATGCTGCAGCTGCTGCAACAGCACTTCTGGGTGGCTATTTATGTCGCCTTCTTCGATCTCCCGTCTCAGCTCGACTATCCACTCCGGGTAGACCATGCCCTGCTGAGGTGAGCCTTGTTCCGCGCGTGCGAAAGGCGAAAACAGCCAAGACTCGGAGCGGATGATCTTGCGCTCAGACACCCGTGCTGCTGCTGCTGCTGCGGCTGCGGCTGCTGCCTCGTGAATGAGTCCGAATCGCTGGAGATCGCTGGCAAGCTGTAGAGGCAGTTCTCCTTCTCCCCCCTCCTCCGGAGGGGCAGCGCTGCTGCCGGCACGTGCCAAGCCGCCTGCGTTGGAGTCGCGTAGAGGCGTGAGGAGATGCGCTGTCTCAGAGAAAACCGACACTTGGAGGTGGCGTAAGGCACGGGGCCTGTATATCAGCTTCTGCCCAAGCAAGACTTGCTGGGTAACACGAACAGCGCGCTCTCTTCGGCGATGCTGACAAAGGGGGGACTGGTGTTGCTGGGGCTGGTCGTCGTCGTCTTGCATGCTGTAGATGAGTTTACGCGAGTTCAGAGACTTGTCTTGCAAGACGCCGTCTCCAGACCCCTCCTCCTCGCTCCTCAATCCCGCGCTCTTGTCTGAAGCGACGCCTTCCCCCGCAGCGGCGGGAGATGCGCGGCTTTCGTGTAGAACGTCGACGATCTGAATACGCGAGGAGAGCTGCCTCGCACCGTATGCCCTGCGTTCAGCGCCGAGGAGCTGCTGCAGCAGATGCTGCAGCTGCTGCTCTTGCTGCTGCTGCGGCAACCCCTCATCGAAGAGCAGCTGGGCGGTGTCTGACGAGAGGAGACACGACGTGGCAAAGGGCAAGGAAACAGGCCGCTTAGAATACCTGCCTACAAGCGTTCCAGTAGCTCCTACTACAACGAGATCTTCCCCGCTGCTGTTGCTGCTGCTGCAGCATTCCTCCAAGAAAGCTGCCACTTCGTCCTCCAGCACACCCTCGTCACACCCGAGAGACAGCACAGGCTGCAGCTTCCCTCCAAGCACCCCTGCAGCCGTCGCGAACTCGGCAGGAAGGCGTCGCGCTGTGGCAAAGGGCCCTGACGCTGGCTCCTCCCCGGCTGCTGTGAAGACGGCAGCTCCCTGGATGTCTTCCCCCACAGCGGAGGCAGCAGGAAAAGATGCAGCTGGCGCTGCGGCAGCTGCTGCCGCTGCTGCAGCCTCCGCCTTCGCACGTGCAAGTGCGATGGCTCGTGCTCGGCCTCGAAGGGGAGTCTTCACAGGGCTTGCCTCCCCCCTTCCTGCTTCTGCTTCTCTTGCTGCTTCTGCTTCTGCTGCTTCTCTTGCTGCTGCTGCTTCTGCTGGAGGAAGACACTTCGGAAGCCTCGGGGTCTTGCCCCCATCGGTGCTCTCCTCCATAGCCTACGGACGCTGTGTGCAGCTCGCTGGTGTCAATGGATGGAGAGATCGACGCTTCCCGGGGGAAAATCTGAGCGCACAGTTGCACAGTGGCGCGTGGCTGCGGTTGCAACACACACGCCAACACCTCTCTCGCACCTCCCAAAGGCGCTCAGAGAGAAGGATCAGTGGAAGGTAAACTGCTGCCGTTCAGCGTAAGGAGAGCCTCGGTAAACGCATGCATCCCAAACTCCGTCAAAAAATATCCCTTCGCGTAGGGCCCCCACCGGAGGGCGTAGAGAGTTGAGATTGCGCATGCGCCGTTCGAATCAGCAGGGATGCAAAAAAATGTCTCAAGAATTCCTCCGGCCGTTCCTTTATTTCTTCCGTTTTCTGGGGATCGACTCGGGGAGGGGGGGAGGGAAGGGGCCCCCAACAGTCGCGGGGCCCCCTGCGCACTGTACAGACACTCTGTGGAACAGGTGCCCCCGCCGAGCATAGGTATCCTTCATTAAAACTGCTGCCGTTTGCATTTGCGTGGCTGCATTTATGTTACTCTTTTTCGAACCAGTCTAAATAGAGACACGATATTCTTTATTTGCAAGGCCGCTGAGGCGTTCCCTGGAAGGGCCCTTGTGAAGGGGCCCCCCAAGGAGCATTTTTGCGCTCGGCTTTCCCGCTCACAAGAGCCCGCACAGAGCAGCAACTGCAGACGTTCTTGGAAGAAAGCTGCGTAGATGCGATTTAAGCCGCAAAAGTTGAAGCCTAAGGGGCCAGTGCTGCAGCTCCCCTGCAGCAGCCCTCACCAACCATAGCGAGCGAGAAATGGCGATCCGCGAGCATCTGTATTTGGCGCTTCACGGCGCAATGGCCATCTTCAGGGGGAGGCAGCGGCTCTTAGACCCCTGGATCTCAGCAGGTGCAGTCTCCACACAAGGGCTCGAGCAGCTGGCCTCATCAGCAAAGCCACAGCAACCCGCGTCAACAGCTCCCGCTGACGCTATAATCGAACAGCGCAAGCAGGCTTTTCTTCGGGGTCCTCTGGTTCCGTATGACTTCAATTGGATTTCAGCAGTGAGGGCGTCGAGGGCCATGCGAGCGGCAGTAGCATGCCGCAGCCTGCAGCAACAAAAGCAGCAACAAAAACAGGAAGACCAGCAGTGGGTGGAGGAGTGGAGTATGCACGCCCGCGAATTGCTGCAAAAGCTGCAGTACTGCGAATTTTTGAAGCCGTCATTCTTGCTGGCACGTTTCGCTCTTCGCCCCCTCGAAGGCCTCTTAGAGCAACTTGCTGCCATGCAGCTCCAGCAGCCGAAGGAAGGGAGTCGTGCAGCTGCGGCGACTGCTGCTCCAGCTGACACCTGCAGGAGGGGGCTTCGAGCCAAGGAGCAGCTCGCCATCAATCTTGCATCTTCCCGCTTTCGCCAAGCAGTCGCGAAGGCCACGATCATCCCGTAAACTCCCAACCCCGAATGCCGAGAGCCTTCAGTTGGCGCGGGGTACACCACAGTCTGCTCTTTTAAAGCGCAGCTTCAAAGAGATGCCTGCGTCTCTCTCTGAACCTGCGTGTGTCTGTGTGCAGGGAACTTGTCATTCCTGCCGATCGCCTCTCGGGGCCTAGTGCTGGCGTGTTCAGGCGGCTCTTCAAGGAAGATCGATCTGGGGGTGTGCGGGTTCCTCAGGAAGGATCGAACTACGAGACTGTACTGGCGCTCCTGCAAAGCCTGAATCCTGGGAGTTCGAAGCGCGCAACGTTTCAACAACATGCGCCGTTTGCCGATGACTTGGCAGCGCAGTGGGTGTGTTTGCGGAGCAACTCCACCAGCAAGCCGCAGCAGACGCTGGTGCTGCAGCAGCTTCTGCAGCTGCTGCAGCAGAAGCAGCAGCTAGCAGCTCGGTGCGGCTACACCTGCTGGGCAGAAATGCGCATCAAGAGACAGACTGCAGAGGGATCCTCCTGGAGAGAAGTGCCGCGCATGCTGCGATCCATCGGGCAGGCAGCAGCCAATAGAGCCCCCCCGCAGCTCCGAGATGAGCTGCGCAAACAGCAGCAACAGCAACAGCAACAGGGGCAGCAACAAGGGCGTCTGAGCGTGGATCAGTGGCTAGCAGCAGCGCTAAGGGTAAGACGCTCCCTCGGAAACTCTCCGCGGCATTCCAAGAGAGCTCTGAAAATGCGAAGCTCGCAGTTTGCGTCTGCAACCGCCTCGCGCCAAATACGAAGCGGCTTCCCCTGTCGGGACAGCTGGGAGCCTTCACGTTTGGGCAGGCGCGAGGCGTATTTATGTGTGTGTATAGGTGTATGCATATGTGTGTGTAGGTGTATACATATGTGTGTATAGGTGTATACATATGTGTGTGTAGGTGTACACATATGTGTGTGTAGGTGTATACATATGTGTGTAGGTGTATACATATGTGTGTGTAGGTGTATACATATGTGTGTATAGGTGTATACATATGTGTGTATAGGTGTATACATATGTGTGTGTAGGTGTGTACATATATGTGTGTATAGGTGTATACATATGTGTGTGTAGGTGTACACATATGTGTGTGTAGGTGTACACATATGTGTGTGTAGGTGTATACATATGTGTGTATAGGTGTATACATATGTGTGTGTAGGTGTGTACATATATGTGTGTATAGGTGTATGTATACATATATGTGTATATATGTGTGTATTTAGGCGTATGGGAGAGGCGTGCGTGATTTGGAGGTTGCTGCCTGGTTTCCCGAGTCAATTGCAGTGCAGCGTGCGCCCCTTCTCTTAGCGGAGGCGTATGGCTTAACACTTCAGCCTTTACTAAAGAAGCCGTGGAAGGGGTTTGGCAGGTGTGTTGTTTATAGGCGAGGCTCTTCCCCTTGCGTGCCCCTTATAGCCTCTCTCTTAATATGCCGCAGGCATCCGAACTCGGGGCAAGGAGGCCTCCCTGTAGGTACGTTAGTGGGGTTGGTGCCTCCTGGCGTGCGTGCATGCATGCAGGTCGCTCAGCGGCTTCTCCTACATGAGCGAAGTCTTTGCAGTGTTCGACTCGGCGTCCGGTGAAAGCCTCGAGGGCGCTGCTCCAGCGAGCAGAGCTCCCACCTCCTCTGGCGAGCGAGACGCTGCCATCGGCTTCGTTCGTCGTGTCGAAAACTTGTTCAGTCCCTACGGCAAGTGGCCGCCTCCATGTGGCTCGGGGGGGAAAAAAGCCGCGCTGCCTTATCGCACGGAGGCCTTTCGGGGGTTCCTCTATTACAGTCCCTTCTTCCCTCTCCGCCTGTCTCACCACTTGAAGCCCCCAAGGGCGCCTGGCTACCCATGCCACGTCAAGTTGGGGCCTTTCCATCACGCAGTGCATGCACACCTAGCGCCTCCGAAGGCCATGCAAGCCAGACTCCTGGACGTACAAGAGGTGCGCGGTGCGTGCGCGTAGAGCCAAGGCGTGTGTGTAAAAGCGTGACGTTGGGGACCTTTCTTGAGACGGGCGTGGCCTGCTGCCAACCTGCGTGTGTCTCCTCGCTACACGCATGGAGTGGTATGGGGCCCGCTTGCGCATGCAGCTCAAGGTTCTTGTCCACGAGCTTGGACACGCTTTCAAGGAGATGCTTCAGGAAGACCCTGTGAGGCTCTCACGCACGCACGGGAGAGTCGCCACCCTCGCAACAAGGCAGAAAAACGTGGGGCAGCGTAGGCAGGCAGGTAGCTGGGGCCTTTCTCGCCTGCGTCGAAAAGGGGGAATGCAAGAGGATTCCTGCAGGCACGGTCCATGTGTACCAGCCTCACAGCGTTCGCACGTGTTATGTTGCCAAGAGAGGACACGCCCCTTCCCCCCTTCCCCCTACGAGACACAACACGAATCTCCCTTAGCCGTCTACGAGCCTTCGTGGAGAGGGTGGGGTGCTGATGCGCTTCAGAAGGCCTTCGTTGCGGAACGGCTGCTCGACTTTGATGAGAGCTTCGCGCTTGTTCACGAGTCCGTACCGCAAAGTCGCGTTATGCTGGCGTGAAGCCGATATCGCCTCGTTTTTTTCGGTGCACCAGCTAGCTGTGGGGGTTTGTCGACCCCCGCGGGCTCTTTGGGTCGCCTTAGTAAGACGCTTTTTGGCGGGGTGTGCGCATTCTGCTCCCAGGCAACTTCTGCGTCGCCCGCAGTTCTTGATGGCCCTCTCTAAACACCGGGAGACAGGGGCCCCCCTTACCTTCTCGCAGGCAGCGTAAGCAGGGAAGGCCTACGCTGCGGCTGGGCAAGAGTCTTATTTCCTAGTTTAGGGGGCATACGCTTTACGAGGAGGGGAGCACCGGCGTCTCCTCAGCAGCCAGAGGCACCGCCTGCAGCAGCAGCAAGAGAAGGACGGGCTACACATGATCTCTGTGCTGTGTGCTTGCTTCTTGAATCGCAGAGGACTGGGACTTGACTTGGTAGATTTGCTGCACCCCAATGGTGCCCTCGTCACTGCTGCGGTTGATTTCGCGATTCATTCTCTGGACGCCTCCAAGGCTACCACGCAAAGTCTAGAAGAATCGATTCGGGCAGCCATTGAGGAGTGCGGCAGGCGCCATTGGCGAAGATGCAACAAGGGATTAGGCCGTGTGGCCGAGAGTCTAAACTTTGCTACTTGGCACCGAAGGGCGGGGACATGTGCAGAAGGCTCAACGGCATTATTCACTTTCTCTGGCGCTTTCTGCGTGCCTGCTCGTTGCTGCAGCGTAGCCCCCTATCGGGTGGATGACTCGTTCCCTATTTTCTCTCTCGACTACCTCCGCAACATTGAGGGGTTAGCTCTGCGTCCTATATCCGCATTTCTTAGCGCCCTCTAGTGCACGCTTGAGTGGCACGCACACATCCTTGGGCGTTTTATTGCACGGAGAGTCCTGTGAGGGTGGAGGCGGCCACCACGGCGTGCTCTTCGGCTGAACCGGCTTTGGTCGCAGAATTGGGCCCTTGAGGCCCTTTGCATGCATTCTGCTTCGTTTTCGCACCCCGCCGCGCAGAGATCTATGATGCTGGCGCCCGTTTGAAGCTGCCTGCGTGTGCCTCCTAGGTCCTATTCCGGTGCCCTTGTGTGCTACATCTTGGCGGAGATGCGGGCGTTACGAATCTTGCAACAACTGGAAAAGGGCCCTCCTAGCCGCGTCGGCCCCGCCCTGCCCGACTTGCGGGCGGTGAAGAGGGACTTGCTGCCGCTGCACCCAAGGGGCCCCCTGCCGCCCCTTATGGGAACCTCCGGGGGGGCCGCTGCAGGGGCCTCCCTCGTGGCGCTCTACTCAGCCCCCAAAGACCTCCAAGGCGTGGAGTGCTTGTAAGGCCTGAATTTAGAAGAGGCATTCTACAAAATGTTGGCCTGCAGGGCTGTAGGCCACCACCCAGCCTCCTCGAGCCCCTCCGGCTCGGCAGTTGCCACTGCGTTTTTTAGGGTGTCTGTACACCGCAGACTGGCAACTGCAAACTTGAACTCTTAATGTCTTTCAATGCGCCGTCTGTTGCACAACGGTTTTTTAGAGGCACGCGAACGGAACAAACCCTTAGAGCTGTTTGTTCACAAAAACGTCATACACTGTACAGTCGACGGCACCTGGGTGCAATTCCCTGTCTTCAAAGGTTGACATGGCAGCGCGTACCTGCTGCGCAGTCTTTCGGCGTTCCTTCTCTCCATCGGGTTATTAAAATCAGCATGGGAAAGATAGGAATGGCGGGACATCTCCTGTCACAGATCCAGGTTAGGAGAGGCGCCTCCGAGTTGTCAAGAGGCTGTGGAATGTTGGTCTCATGATGGTATGGAGGTCTCACACGCCCAGTCAGTGCTCATGAATTTGAAATGCTTCCAGGAAGGAAGAGGTTTGGTGACACAGTACGCAGTTTCTGCGCCGTGTCGTTGTAGAAAGGCCAATCGCGAGCCCTATGGCGTGAGGCTATCGTTGTCCGCAAAGAATGCTGGTGTAGATGCGAAGAGCTGCGATGAATGGGGTGTACGAAATCCCAATGGCCACTTGTGGGGCAGTGTGGGTCCACCTTAGAGGATACGAAGGAGAAGTGTTGGTTGACCAAATTGCGTCCTTCCTTCCGTATTGTGTTTGTACGATCGGCGAAGATGCGGAGGGGATAGTAGCGCATTTCTTTAAGCACTTTCCCATCAGGCTCTTTTGGCACATCTGAACACATCAACCTATTAAGCACACCAGCTTGAGAATACATGCGTATGCGTCTAATGTATTTCCACTTGAGCACTGGCACTTTTTCTGCAGTGTATGCGTCGCTTTGGGAACACGACCGTCATTCTTCATGCGCAAATAGTCAACTGTAGAGATATAGTGCAACGGCGTCTCGTTGCAGGAAATTTCTGGTTCGTAGCAACGCTGCCGCATCTAGCGTTATCCACAATTCCTTGAAATAAGTTGGCTCTCTCTGATGCTCCCCTCTACACCTCCGTCCATTATCTTGAGATTTACGGGCTTCGCCGGCTGTAAGTGCCCCTAATGAGAGGAGGGTGTCCGACGTAAGAAAGAAGAAACAAGGAAACCTTTTACAATGGATTCGGGGTCGTTCTTTCAATTTGCTTCCATCGGCTCTTCTTTGGTGGTGTCAAGACCACCAGAGGCTGTGCTAATCTGCATAGAACGCGACGCCGACGGGCGTACCTTACGGAGCACTAGGTGCCAAGTGGGGCGCAAGTGTCATTTCTTTAATTTGTAGAGATGCTCGCATTTTTGGGTGCCTCCTGCACAACGACGTTCGAGCAAAGCATGCGAAGACCATCAACGTGTTCACGGACGTGATTTTGAGGCGCCCCAGCACTTCAATATCGTTGGGGCCCAACTGCTATTGATTGTGATGATTCACGGTTTCCGTAGAAATTCTGTGAGCATTTTGCATTTTACACCCATGCCTGTGCTACCACTGTCAAAATCCAGAATGGCCGAGGGGTGAAGCTCCACCACTTCGAGAATGGCCTGATGTGATTTAATACACATGATGTACTCTGCGCTTGTTCGGTCCGAGTTTGCTCTGGGTGCCGCTTTACACAGATCCCATGGGTTTGCTGCTTCGGCCATGTTAGAGTCCACACTACCGCGGAAAAGCGCGCGAGATGGTTTTTGTGGCCTGGGATGCGTACCGTGGCAGAATTGTGTGCACCGTTTCGCCCAGATTGCCGGTCGCTGCAAGGCGCCAAGTTCTCCCAAAGCCGCCGCTTTGCAAAGCCTTGTGATTGCATGAAGGATTTGAACTGGGCTGAGAGTGAACTTTACGTTTGGGCTGCGGGATATCAAGGGTCAAATAACATCAGCGTTTTTCTCGGCAGACTCAGGAACTATGCTTATTTCTCTCACGAATCAGAAATTCGCTTATTATTCTTCGCTCGTGGCTGGGAGCTCCATAGCTTTACCAGGGGTACAATTACGGATAGGATTGCAAAGTTAGTCACTGCGTTATACCGTGTCTTTGTGACCTGACTACACATTCACGACAATATGACGACGGTGGTTCACCTTGTGGCAGATGGCCAGACAACGCGCACCGACTACTGTATTTCTGACTCTGAGCTCGCAAAAAATCAATTGCTTGCGTTATATTCTTCCGTGTGCTAAAGGGGCTTGTATTGCAACAGTAGGCGCGTTTATCCGTTTCGCTGCCGCATCTTTGGTCTACACTATGGAGCTCCTCTCCAGACTCGACCTCAACTGGATGATCCCAACAGCCACTCTTAGAGCAGCAGGGATTTTGGAGAGCCTGTAGCTTGTGCACACAAACGCTTGCTCAAGGTTTACACAAGAGAAGAACGAAATAGTGGTAATTGGAGGCTGGCTGTGTGTCAGAGCCTGGAGATTTTGTTTTGGTGGCTAGGCAGGCTTTCCGAGGTGCATCAGATGGTGATCAACCGAAGACTTTTGCACCCAGGTGATTTGTACTATTTGCAATACTTTCATTTATCAATGCAATGCTTACTCGATCGACTTTTCTAACATCAGTGGTGCCACAGAACCCCTGCAACTGGAACCTTGACCAGATTTTGGAACTCCCTCAACAATACACCAGCTTTGCCCCGAGTGAAGGCAAATCCTCCAGGGGACCACAGTAATGCTGAATTCTTTGATTGTTGAGCATCAAAGACACAGAATAAGGGAGTCTCGAAGGAAAAGCGAGTGGTAACCCCAAAATAAGTGGTTTACGCAAAACGAGTTGCTGGCTTCGTTGTCTGCATGTGGATTCGCGGCATTTTATTAACATGGCTAGTTGCTACGCACTGTATTCCCTTCATTATTGGGTAATCGTCATTCAACAGCGTACACTTGCTTTCCTTTATGGGAAGTATCCTGTACACTTACTTATGACTGGCGCTCTCATTTTTTTGTATCTACATTCTTCCTTTAACTTTCGAAGCGTTCAAATCCCCAATGCTACGTTCACTGGCTCTATGTGCATGCACATGATGCCAAGGTGTTCTGTAGCTCAAATTTATGCAGAAACACGCTCAGCTATTGAGTACCTACATGACCTATGCTCTCTGGAGCTTCAAAAACCACCATGCTGCGTGCATCGGCTCTATCTGCACGCAGATGAAGCATTAGGAGACGCGGAGGCAGTCCTGATCTAGCGTGTTTTTCGATTCCCTTAAAATAGTTTACTTCTCCTTTTCCGTAGCACCAAGCTAAAATGACTTAGTGCTCAGACGACAGCGAGCCATCGCGCCGTCGCGATTGTGTTGGTTTGGTCCGTCATTCGTTGTTGGCTAGAATGCGTCTTTAATTTCATAGATTTCCTTGTAACGGTTGATGCATGCAACAAAGTGAAAACATAACTGAGTACGCCTGCACATAAAAAAGAGTGCACAGGGCACGTTGACAATAACCTGGAATATTTGGACATACTGTTTATGGTGCCAGTGGAATAACGCCTAAATCAGTGGTGCCGAAATTGTTTTTCGTGCCCCACAACACCACATGCAGCTTTTTTTCCCGCATCGGACTTTTCTGCTCGTCTTCGGTGATGTGGTAAGAATGACATGCGATAAACAGGTGTAGGGCGAGGGCGTAGCCTGTTGGGGAACAATAGCACCCACCGATTCGTCACTAGCAGTAGTTATGAAGACGAAATGACGCTCATAACCGGACATTCTCAGTACGGGAGGAGTTGTAAGGCGGCTGACAGCGTATGAGCTACGGCATCCTCCTCCTCCGTCCAGATCCTACACTGCGTTTTCTCGAGTAAATAAGCCGGAACGCAGCAGTCCCAGAAAATTCCTGAGCGAAACATCAATGATAAGATGCACGTCCTCAATGCGTTGCAACGATTTTGCGGATGCCTACAGAAAAAAGACACGCCGTGACTGCTTCAAAATTTGACGGTTGTAGATAAATTCCTTCAGCTAAACAGAGAGTCCCAGGAATTCGATTTTATCAGCCAGAAAGCATCGTATGCTCCATGATATCTCACTTCTTTTCCAGCAACGGCTGAAGTTCACGTATGCGCTGTAGATGCACTTGAATCTTTCAGCTGAAGATAGCGGTGTTCCCGCCGATAGCTTTCCACCGCTCTTAAGCGGTCTCGTTCCATTCCGAGTAGCCCTTTGTTGTTGTTCACCTGAGGCTTAATTTAGTCCAAAAGACGCACAGCTATACGTCAGTTTGTGATTGCAAGCATGGACCACCGCTTTAATCCTGTCATACGGGTGAAAGTGGATCTGCAAGTATGCGATTGTTGGGTGAAATGTCGAAAAAATCGTTGATCCATGTAGACTATTATGTAATTCGGCAATCCAAGAAGTCAAAAAGCTTTGAGTCACAGTGGTCTTGCACTCAGACTTGAACGTAGCCCACTTACACTACCTTTCTCCTTTACTAGTATCCACGCCGAGTGATACCCCACAGCGCTGGTTGCTTCCTGACCTCTGCCTTTTTCATCAAGTCATCCTGCTGCCGCTCAGTCTCCTCGTCGTGCTGTGTGGGCTTCTGACAGTGCGATACATGGATTGAAGCTGACTCGGGCATTAGCTAGGAACGGTGCACTGGACGACCCGCATGTGGCAACTCAGCTGGCAGCCCGTCACTATTTAGCTCATCCGCGAATTTATACTTGATATTCGCCCATTCCTGCTGTTTCTCTAGAGCCAGTAAAAGTGTATGCATCCTTTGAACCGCCAACTGCTACTGTGACTTTGAGCCGCCCCTATGAAGACTCTTCCTCACCTTGTCCAAACAAAGACTCTACTTCGCTCACCACAGATCAAATGACCGATGTTCGGGAAACCCTGATTTATTTCTAGTGTTTTCTAGCCCACGAACGTCCAGAGAGCGTGACTATGGCCCCATGAGCCTCTTCCTCTGGGATCCCTAGGCATATCTAGATTTACGTTATAGTGTACGGGTCCAGCAAAGAAGTCAGGGGCCTGCTGATACGACCCGGTTCCGATTTCAATTAGCAACCGACTGCTGCGTGTTTTCAGATTCCAGCCTTCTGAATTCCTTCGGCAAGTGTGCGTTTTAGGAACTGCGCAGGCATGTGAATAGGCAGAGTGCACTTCTGTGCCGTCTCCTCGAATAAAGATCTACTGCGCATCCGTTGTTAACTCACGCCAGCAGTTTCCGACCAACACAGTGTACGTGCGTCAGCGCAGACTAGACCTGCGGTGGGTCCGCAGTTTTCTCTCTGGCCTCTGTGGCCTTCTGCACTATGCGGCAGCCTGCGTGAAGGCTTTCTGCCTTCCTCATGCGTGCTCTCTGCCCGCCAGGCAGCGTGCTCTTATTTGATTCATTCCTGTTGTTCGGGGGCTGCTATAGGATCACCAATTCTCTCTAGCTTTCGTCCCTTGACCGCGTTAAATTGTAGCCTATGATCGGTTGCCAGAACGCTAACGTTCTTAAATTCTAAGCCACACTTACACCTCATCCTTTGCACCCACAAACGTAAGACTTGCCCTCATTTGCTCGGGAAACCTTGAGCAGTCCATCTCTAAAGGTTTCACAGGTCTGTCGCTCAATCACTAAGCTGCTACTCATGCAACAACCACCTTTTTTAACGTTTCGGCTAGACGTGTACCTTATGACTTTTGCGAGTAAAAGGCTCACATTTCTCGGTAACTTGATCGAGGTGAAATTCTTCTGCTGTATGTATCCCAAGTTTCCCAAGGCTTACTGCAGACTTGATCTTGACGTCAACCGATGAGTCTGGACATGTGCGAAGGATTGAACTGCAGTAATCCCTATAGGCCTACAATTTTTTTATGGATAGGATTCCCATTGAAGTGCTGCTACATCGGGTAGGCATGCCGCAGGGAGCACTCCGTTCTCTTCAGTGGGAACGTACAAACCAGGCGCATCTCAAATCCATCGATTCAAATTTCGAGTACATGCCCATCTTTGCAGCTGCCAGAATCTCGTTGACGCATCTACAAACATATAATCGGCTGAAAAGTCATGTCGTTCCACCATATGTGGAGCTGCTGCTAAAACATCAGCTTGCAGGCCGGCCTCTGCAGCCCCACCAAGCGTCGTGTCATCGTCGAATTCCATTCTAACAGGGCTTTCCCCCCATGCTGTTGTCGAAGAAAATATTAGTGAACGACCCAATATTGTGATCAAGACAGGAAAACTCTTGTAGGAACACCTCATATTCCACTGCATCCACAGCCAGTGGATGAATGGAGAACAGCTGTGTCGAAACTAAGCGGTATTACTGATTGTACCGCTCCATATAAGGATTCGTTTGGGAGAAACTTATCTCCAAGATCAATGTAAAGCTACTGGAGAGATACTGGAATTTTTTTCAAAAGTGCTCCGTCCTTCCCCTTCCCCCACCCTCAGAGGTTCTGACGCGATGATAAAGGGCCAGCTAGGGTGCAAAATACGACGACCTCTAGCACTCCAAGCAGTCATAGTTAGCTGCACAAAGCATCTCAGGTGCAGGAGTACAACACTGCGTCTCGTATCGTGTTGACAGTATCCTGCAATAAATAAGTTATAGAACACATATAAACGAAGTAGTCGATTCTTTTTTGATCCAAAGTCGAATGCATATATAGTAGAAATGTTTGACTGTAGCTTGGCTTGCTACACTATACTGAACGACATAGGTGGCGAGAACGGTAGAGCGATGCAACACCCCACACAATGTGCAGGCAGGTATCACCAGCCCGTGTTAACCGGGACCGGCTTTTTGGCACTTTTAGAGGATCCTCTTCTGAAAGCTCACTTGAGGGCTCTCCTTTTAAAACACACGGATCTGCATTCGTAGGGTAGAAGTATGGGCTACCAGGCCTCGTGACTCCCTGGTTCTAAAGCGTCATCCTCCTTTTTTTGAATGTACCCCGACGTAGTCGTGCCTCAAATACGTCCATGAGGATGGAAGAAGTGTCTTTTAAGTCGTTTGGCCGTACTAGAGAGAGGACGGGCAAGTGCGCATTCACCGTCGGCACACATCAGGTTTCTGGGGTGTGTACTGCCGCTCAGGCGAGGTGACCTTTGATAAGAAAATCAATAAACACAACTATTTAACACAGAATCTTGTTTGATGTTGTAGTTATGCTGTTTTAGGGGCTTTGAGATCAGCCAGTGTCGGCACTCCAGGCAAATGTCTCTCCTGAGGGGCAGTGAAGGGCTCCGCCCCTCCCGATAGTAAACGCGCTCTCTCGCGGCTTCCCCTCGTTGTTTGCCGCGTTGTGTTCCTGTCGCTATTTTCCAGAAACTAGTGCCTTAATGCTTTGTCTCGCGTGAGATCTGCCGTAGAACCGAACTACAGGCAGGCAGCAGCAGCCCTCAGCCACACACCTCTTCCCCTCTAGGTTGAATCTTTGCGCCCGGCACACGTTGTCGCATATTTCTTTTTGCATTTACGCGTAAGCCGGTTTCCGCGCCATCCTTTGCGTTAAGAATTTGGGATTAGGGATAAGCAACACGGGTACTTCTGCTTGTGTACATCGGTGAGGCCTACGGCCGGCGGACGCTTTCCCTTCTGCTCACTAGAAGGTTACTCATTTCTTCCCCATTTTCGTCTTATACTCCCACATAGCACCTAAAATACTCTTCGTCACCGTGTGCTTTAGTGTGAACTCCTAAACAAGTTGCCCCTTTTGGTCTCGGTACCTTCGCCCACCGCTCCCCCTTACAGGAGACGCTCGTTACTTCTTCGTTGTAGTGTGTGCCTGGAAGACGCGCTGTCGCGTCGGACTTGAGCTTCATGGACTTTTGCGGAGAATTCGTGTGCGTGTGGCCTGCTAACACAGTTGTTAAAATGACGGGAGTTGCGCAGTCCTCCCTTCCACTTCCCAAGGGGCCCCCCGAGCCTACGGCTACAGCTTCTTCCAAGCAAGTAGGCCATGGGGATCTATATGCGGTTTTGAAGGGATATCGGCGATTGCTCGAATCTAGATGGTTTATCATCGGCGCATAGAGGTTTGTGAGAGGGGCCGCTTGCGCGTGTATATTTTTCGGCCGGTGTATAGGCACTTTCCAGTGGCGCGTCCCTAGTGGTGCTTACGCTGGACAGTTTCTTTTGCACCCTTTTGGACTCAGGCGCATGTGCGTGTCGCTGGAAGGTGGCATTTGCTTGAGAGAGGCTCGGGAGAGCGGTCATGCTTTCTGTGCTTCCCTTGGTTTTGTGCTTGTGGGTTAAATGTGTGCGCCGCAGCTGGCACGGCGTGCCTTTGTGCCTCCTCTTCCTGCAGTGTTTTCTGCTTCTGCTCTTAGCGCTGTGCGTGTCGAGGGCGAGTCGCTTTTGAACGAGCAAGACAAACAGATGAATGCGCCTTTCTCTGTCTCGGCCGAAGACGCTCAGATCCTGCGCGACCTCTTCCCAAACACCATCGACACACCATTTTTGAAACTCGTTTCGGGATCTGCGACTGCGGACTCCAACAAGCCTCTCAAGGTTGGAGTTGTGCTCAGTGGAGGGCAGGCGGCAGGTGGTCACAATGTCATATGTGGGGTATTCGACTACATCAAGCGCGTGAATGCCAGCTCCGTCCTCTACGGCTTCTTGGGGGGCCCTCATGGGGTATACAGTGGCGAATACAGAGTTCTTGATGGAGAGACGATTGACCAGTACAGAAACATGGGCGGCTTCGACATGATCAAGAGTGGCCGCCACAAGATCGAGACGGACGCGCAGAAGCAGGCTTCTCTTGAAGTGAGTGCGGGTGACATTGTGCATGAATATATCATGTGCCTGTACACCTGGGTATATGTATCTACCTCTGCACATGCGCTGCGCCTAGCGGCGAAAGCAGGCGGGAGGGTTTCGACAGCTTCCTGGTCGCTCCCCGAAAAAACGGCATACGAGAAACGCGTCGTTCGTCGGGTTCTGAAGAGGGGCGTTCTTTTCATGGTGAAACATATTCAGAAGATTCTTCGCTGTGAGTGGTTCTGTTGCCTTTTGCGTGTGCCGTGCGTCCTTAGGTCTGCAAGAAGCTCCAGCTTGATGGCCTTGTTGTGATTGGAGGCGACGACTCGAACACGAATGCAGCTATCTTGGCGGAGTATTTCAAAGCGCACGGGAGCGCCACTCAAGTGGTGGGCTGCCCTAAGACCATAGACGGAGATCTAAAGAATTACTTTGTGGAGATTTCCTTCGGGTTCGACACTGCCTGCCGCACGTACTCGTGCTCGATCGGCAACCTCATGATGCAAACGATGACGCAGCGTGAGTTGCTTTGCCGCAAGAGCCCCCTGCGCATGCTATGGCCGGTGCCTCTCTTCCTATTTTTCTTCCCAATCGGCGCTTGCAGACGGATTGGATGCGCTTGCATGTGCTTGCTTGAGACATGTGCTGCCTTCGGAGGTTGGGGCAGTTCTGCATCTTTGGCAGTTTTCCGTGAGCTGCGCCGCCTAATGTACAGGCAACGTCTACCAGTTCGTACGGCTCATGGGCAGGAGTGCATCTCTACTAACCCTGGAGTGCGCCCTCCGGTGTCACCCCAACATGACCTTTATTGGAGAGGAAGTGCTCGCAAAAAAGCAGAGCCTCAAGCAGCTGGTTGCGATGACTGCCGACCTCGTCGAGGCCAGGGCAAAGATAGGAAAGCTGTATGGGGTTATCCTCCTGCCAGAAGGACTCATTGAATTCATTCCAGAGGTGCGGAGGAAATAGAGTGCTGCAGACAACCTGTGCCGCATGTCACAGGGCTAGCGAGACGAAATGGGGAAAATCGCCCAATAAAAGTCTTGCGACAAAAAAATAACACTACACAGGATGTGCTGTGAAGAGACCACGGCTTCGTGTCTTGTGGGAGCTGCGAAGCAAAGCCTCACAGTCCGGCTAAGACTCTCAGAAGAGCCTTGGGAAACGATACAGGGAGCAGGTTTACGTGCGGGTCGATTATTGAGGCGGGAATGCTGACATGTCTTGTGAGTCGTGGGTGTGTACTTGGACAGGTGGGAGTGCTAATTGGAGAAATCAACACCATCGTTGCGGTCGGAGAATTCGATAAGGCGAAGCTTACGCCGGAGAGCCGTGCAGTTCTGGAAATGCTGCCGGCCCACACCCAGCAGCAGCTGCTGCTCGACCGTGATCCCCACGGCAACGTGCAGGTAAAGGCTTAGCTCAACGATTGTTTTTCGATTTAAGGAGGCCATTCTTCCAGAGTCGATGCTGTTGTTCAGTAGCCTTGACGTACGTTTTGAGGGCCTTGCCTTGAAGCCTTGATAACGCTGGCTGAAATTTCGTCCATGCCGCCAGAAGAATAGCAGGCATGCGGGGGAGGGGGAGGGAAAACACGGAGTCATGGTTTCCACTGGCTCGCGACATCCAGCCTCTACAGTCACCTTGGATCTCGAGTTGCCTGTGCGCTTCTCGCTTGGTTGCGCGGGAAGAGCGAGGGCTCTGTGGCGAGCACTGCCAGTGCCTGCTCTGGGAATCTTGGCTAAGCGTACTGCCGAAGGCCTGTTGCAGCATTCAACGCGTGTGGCATTGGCTGGTCGGGGATGGCTGCACCGCCATGCGAGGTGCAACCGACGCTTTGCACGCCTGCGCGTGTTGTGTGCTCTCTGTGGGGGCCCTCAGGTCGCGCTAATTCACACGGAACAACTGCTGCTCGAACTAACCATGAAGGAACTGCAAAACAGGAGCTTTCAGCACACCTTTCAAGGCCGCTGCACGTATCTGGGGTGCGTCATACATCGAGCCCGAGGGTGTATAGCAGGCGTGCACAGTGTGCTTCTGCGCCTCTCTAGACCAGCAACTTGCTACTCTAGGTTTTCGAGTGTCTTCGTGCTCAGTCCGCTTTTAGCCGGCTCGTCTGGGGTGCGCAAACATCGGGGAGGAGGCAGCAGGACTAGAGAGGCCACGTGGCAACGGTGTAGGCGGCTAGGGGCGTGCGGCTGACGCGAGCACCGCGTGTATTTTTGTGGCGCAGATATGAAGGCCGCAGTGGCTTCCCCAGCGATTTCGACGCCTCGTACTGCTATGGTCTCGGCAACGTGGCTGCAGCCCTAATCCAAAACAAAGTGCGTCTTTTGAGACTGCGCTGCGGCATTGCGCGACACCTTCGTCGGGCGAAAACGCGCTCCTCTGAGGGGCTTTTCTTCTTCTCGCGTGCGGGCTGACGAGTGCTTCGCGTGGCATTTTCATTCTCCATCGGGAGACATTTATCCTGAAGCAGCACCAGCACTTCGGTGCAGCGAGGGTTGCTGTGCTGCTGGGAGGTGCGGCATGCGGTGCTGCCCCCTTTGAAGTCACCTGCGAAGCCTTCAGGCCTCCGCGTGTGTGCGTTCTGTTGGTTTGCGCCGCGCAGGCCACCAGCTGCATGGCTGTGCTGAAGGGCATGAGCTGCAGCAGCGACATCAAGAGCTGGCAGCCAGCTGGAATCCCCCTGACTCGAATGATGAACCTGGAAAATCGCAAGGGGAAGGCCAATGTGCCGGTCATCAAGAAGTTTCTCGTCGACATCGAAAAGCCGCTATTCAAGGCGTTCGAACAGGTAGATCGCTCTTTTGAGAGTGACTGTCTGCACTACTGGCTACAGGGGCCGCAGTGGGGGGCCTGAAGACACACCTGCTGCCCATTTTGATCTGCATGCGCGTCCCTTCGCCGTCGAAGGGAGCGGCTTTTAGGTTCTGTGCCGACCTAGCTAGCAGGCATGTGGAGACATGGGTTTGGAGGCGGAAGGAGTGTGGTGGAGGTCGAAACGTGCCAGAGGTTGCCCACCGCAGGGTCTTCTGCGCTGCACTTGTATATGTATGTATTTGTGTGTGCACGTTTGCGTGTTTGTGTACTTATGTGTATCCGTTAATGTGGGGAATCAGGTTCGCGGGGCCTGGAAGATCCTGGATCTTTACCGGGTGCCTGGCCCTATGCAGCTTGACGAAGAGCAGCCACAGCTGCCGTATACGCTCACAGGACCTCCGCCACTGGAGAAACTGTTGCCTGCAGCGGCTCTGGCAGCCTTTAGAGACCCTGCCAAAGTACAGAAGGGATACCGGCTGTACTTCGACCTGCTGGAGCACCTCCGCTCTCCTCTCCAACAGGCGCGCGAGGCCGCACCCATCGAGGCACCCGAGCAGCTGCGGAAGGGCGACGTCACGCTGACCCCTGCTAGCGTCGTTGAGCTGTTGCAGCCTCAGCAGCAGCAGCAAATGCGGCAGATATTTCCGCGGACTGCAGCATCCCAAGGCGGCCTTTTCGCCGTTTCTCCAGGAGTCACAGAGAGTCCGAAGGTGGGGTTGGTGCTCGTTGGCGAAGCTACTCCCGGCTTGTCCAACGTCGCTCTCGGCATCATGGAAAAGTGAGCGGCACTTACAAAACACGCGCTTGCACGTTCGCGCCTGGTGAAAAACCGTGTTGCCTGAGAACGTTTTGTGGTAGGCGCGTTGTGGATGCTTCACGCCACGCATTGTGGAAATTGCGTTGGCTTTTGCGGACGAAAATTTGGTTTTCAGGGTCGTCGCGGCAGGCGGTGATTTGGTTGGCGTTGCGGGGAAAGAGGGTGGCTTCAACACCAGTTTGCTGCAATTCAAGAAAGATTTCGAGATGCAGAGAAACCTGAACGGTCTTCCCTTGTTGGGCCGCACTGTGTTGGAGGAACAGCAGCTCCTCGCCGATGTAAGAATGGGGGCCATCGCCGGCGCGTGTTTGTGCGTGGGTATTCAAAGGGAGATCCAACAAAATATGGCTTTGGGAGGCAAACCGTGGGCAAAACACTATTCCCACCGAATGTCTTCAGCAACTTGTACATAATTTCTCTCTTGGAGATGTTTTGTGTTCCGGCAGGGTGGAGCCTTGTGCAAGTCTGCCGGGCTTGACGTGCTGATAGTCTTGGGTGGCACTTTCACGGGTTGCGCCACTCTGGCTGAGCAGCTCGAGCAGCGCGGTGACAAATGCAAGGTGCTGAGTGTCTGCGGAGGCAGCGACTTCTGCATGTTCGACCCCACGACTTCCCTAGAAAAGCTGCAACGCATTTCTGCTACTGTTCCAGGCTTCAACTGTGGAAATGAGAGGCGCATCGCATGCCAAAAGACGCAAGATATCATCTGCGATGCATCCGGCGCTCTGGGTCTAGGATTCGACACGCAAACCAAGGCTGCAGCTGAGCTTGTTGGTACGCCTTGTCCCTTGCCATGCGCAACACCCCGACCTCAGAAAAACCTTGGCATCTCCAGGAAGCCTAGCTTGATCGCACCTATAGCCTAGTCCATAAAGCACATGTTCTTTTTTTTTTAATTGGGCCGTGTCCTTCCACTTATCTCGAACAATATCGGACAACGGGCGTCACGTGGGAACAGGAGCCAAGTTCGTGGTGTTGTGCGCTCAACGTGCCTGGCTGTGCATGCTTCAGGGAACCTGATGACGGACAGCAATAGTGCGGCAAAATACTTCTATTTCTGCAAAGTTGGCGGCGGACGCGGCGCAGAGGCTGAAGTGGCACTTCAGACCCATCCCAACATCTGCCTTCTGTCTACGGTTTGCGCCAACCTCACTCCCGTGCAGGTCGCCGAGGTCAGTTGCTCAAGCGTTTTTATTCCAGTTTGATAATGCATGCTCTTTGCTGTGATCTTGTTTGGAGCCTGCTGGCACAGGAGAGGCGCAGTGTCCACACGAACAGTGGCTTGCCCACGTACTGTGTATTCCAGGGGCATAGGTGTTTTGTGCTCATTCATCTAGCCGTTGCGGTGACTCAAGTCGTATGCTTCGTCTACGTGCCTCTTTGTTCGTTGCAGAAAATCGCAACTTGCGTCGAAGCCCGCTGTGCCCAAAAAAAGAACTTCGGCGTTCTGATTCTCAACGAAGACATGTTCATAACCAACAAAGCGGTACTCCACTTCACGTTTCCAAGTGTCCTATTTTCCCAACGATTTTAATTGCATTGATCAGTGCATTTCGAGAGACCAGACAAAGTTAGCGTTCTGAACGTGCGCATGCAGCTGAGGTCCGTGGCCATTGCGTTGGCAGTCAACGGAGGAAACGCCGCAGCTCTATCAGGAAATGAGGCTGCAGTCTTCCAGACAATTCCTCAAACTTTCCAAGAGAAGCTTACAAAAACATTCAGAACACCATGCAACTTCCCAGTCAAGGCCGCAAGCTTCCCTATCCTCGATTGCCTTGCTGCCATGGTATGATGCTTTATCATGAACGGTTAACATTTAAAAATTTTGATTACCCAGTTGAATGATTTGTTGTGTGGTTGAGAGCGGTGGCCTTTGCCATGAGTAGACGCATTTCCAGTCGTGGTTCAGTTACACGTGGATTCGCTGCTGGTCCCCCTTGTGGCATATTCGGCGCTGATTTGAGTTCGGGAAATTTGCCCTTTTTTAGGTGTCTAAAGTCCTAAAGGACCGCAAGGCTGCTGGATCGTTTAGCGGCAGTTTCTCTCCTATTTGCTTCGATCTCTCTGACCAAGTAATGCTTTATCCCACAAGACGCATGTTTCAGTGGTTCCCCAACGAGGCGCACTCATTTGTTTTGTTACGCCGAATAGTCGTTGTGTAGTTCGCTCTTGACCCTTGGTGGCTGTGCCGAACAGCGTAAAGGTTGCTCATGATATGCGTGAATGCTCGTGCAACCGTTGCAGCTAGACGCTCTCGACGTCCCTGTCTTTCCTGTTGCTCAACAGGTTAGGGGTTCGTTCCCCTCTGCCTACGACTGCGCCCTGGGGTACACGCTGGGTCTCATGTGCGGTACCTTGGCTGTTTCTCCTAGCCTGAAGCAGCTTTCCAGCTCTGCCGTTTTCGTCAGCAACCCCACAGCTCAAGTTGCCTCTTTCGCCCCCCTCGTGGTGCCTCTGGCCGCCGCGGCGATGACTTGCGGCCTGACCGCTTCCACCAGGACTTCAGAAAACGGCATTGCGGCTTGCGCTGCAGCTGGGGCCTTCGACCTACAGCTCAACACTCCGACTCAGGCTGTGGCAGTTTCTGCAGTTCACTGCGACATGCAGCAGAAGGAATTCCTGCTTAAAGACAGCTACCTCAACAGCGGGCCTCTTCAGTTCCGCGTGGCAACCGGGGCTGCTGATGCGGACAGGGAGTGCAACTATATCCTCAGCTCACGGCATTAATTATTACATTACAAACGAACTTGAGTCCGCGGTGAACAACAGCAGTTTTTCCCGTAGAGTGTCTTCGATGCAACTTTTAAATTTGCGCATTTCATGTGCGTCTAGCGGCGTATGGTGTTCTTGACCATAAGATGTGCTCATTACGTGAGATTTGGGTACTGCCGACCAGTCTACGTTGCGGCTTCTTCGTATGTACCCCATGAGAACACGTTACGTGCCAACATCGCTCCTGGGCCTATGCACGCTAGGCTTTGCAGAGCAAGTCGGAATCACGGGCAATACCAAGACAGACCTACTTTCTTGGCCTACCTTTTCCGTTTAATGCGCTTAATTCTGCGACAATTATGGCTGGGGGTAGTGAATTGCCTTCACGTACATTCTGCTCAGTTGAAAGGTGATGTCCGATGGCGGCCACCTGTGCTGATCGAGCTGTAGGGTGTCTCCCGCTTTGCATGCGTGAAGCGCACTTGGTCCGAAATGAAAGCTGTGCCGGTTTTCGACGGTGCTCCTCCGGTCAGTAATTCTAGAATATTACTAGGGGGCGCATGTGAGAGCGTGCAACCCCCAGTTATTCTGTGCTGTCCTTGCCGTATGGAACCCTTTTACTTCATGGCCTGTACTTGTTCAGGAGACTCCTCCCCCGATTCCTTTTGCATGCATCTTCCCCTTAGGATCGCAAATGGTGTGGACAAACCCTAGCAACTCCAACACTCTCCTCATCTGCCGCTTCGAGGTCATCATCCCATTGTGCAGCCAGCAGAGCTCACTCAAGATAACCAGAGCTCTTTCCCTCAGCCCTCGATAAGCTGTTTCTCCGCGTACATGCGGATTTGGCTGGATGACCGGAAAAAAGATGGCATGGATATGTCGGTGTGAGTAGGGTGCAAGTTCAATAAAAAAGGCAGCCAATTATTAATGCAAAGGAGCGAGATTCGTACCCTGCAGTTTGCACATGCTCATGGCAGAGGCGCAGTGCAAGCGAGAGACTATGTGCTAGAGCGAGTACTTGAAAAAATGGCAGTTCACAAAAGAGTGGGCCTATCTAAAGGGGCAGCCGAGGCTGCAACTAGCTGGCAGATCTATTACTCGCGTACTGCTCAGGTGTGATGACTATACTGCGAGCTACGAGTGTGTTTGGTCTAACGGACTGAAATTGGTGAAATGATTGGAACGACTCATGGCTAATATAATATTTAGAGGAATGAAGGCGTTTCAGAGCCTTCCAGGTGCAATAAGCTGCGGCATAGCTTGCTGGGGTGGGAGAGGGGTCACTAATTGAACTGTAATACGACTCCTGCGGCTGCACTGCATGGAACATTCGCTTGAACGTGTTTAGCAATGACAACGCTGGAAGACTCAGCCTCAGCAGCGGAGACGCTCCTGCAAGCACGAACAACGAAGCTGTATTCTAGTGTTTCGGGGAAGGGAGACGACGATGGGATTGCAGGAACAAAAGATACCCCGAAAGGGGGAAGTGTTCCATGCACCTTCATAATAGAGAGGAAGCTTAATAGATTTCTCTCTTGATGGCTACAGATGAGGAAAAACATCAAACCCTCCTCCGCCACACTTGTACTGGCAGACTTTCAGGATACGGCTTTCTAACCCCATATTAGCATTTAATGCTGGATGTGAGCCATGGCAACAAGCTTTGTCATGCCGCTTTCCAGTGACTCCAGAAATTTACTCGAACGACGTCTTCGCTCGCTACCAGCTTATTACGTGCTCTGGAATTGTACAGAGCTTCGCGGACATCCAGCACCAAGTAGATGTAGACGATAGACCATTTGATAGAATTGTGTCATGAAGCCTAGATACTCATATTGCTAAAAGGCTCATTCTAAAAGGTTAAGCGTGTGCACACGTGGTTCTGTGCCGAAACTGCTATCCATTACTGCGTGCACGCCTCACCCCTGGATTGGGTGGCATAGAGGGCCGACTTTGGGGGTGAAATCCGCCCTTCTACGTAGATAGACACATAAATTAAGCTTGGATCCAAATAAAATGGCGATTAACATGCAAGAGCAAGAAGTTAGCGGAGTGTTACTTGGGGAACTATATTGCGCTACAGACTGCCTGTTCTTCTATTTATTCGTCCAATGGCTCGTGTGGAAAGAAATGCATCTATCCCTTTTCCTCTAAATATTCCCTCCTCTGTCCGTTGGATCAGCTAAAGGCACGAATGGCGGGTTTCTAATGAATAAGCTGCTCTTTCTTTTTTGCAAGAGACCAAGAGCCTCCCCGCTTCGGCTAGCTGCTGAGCGGTGGGTGCTCGGCCAGTGCATGGGGTCCTCTCGTGTCAATTGATTACAAGGCAAAGTCTCACAGCTGGATAATAGTTTAAGCCTGTATTAGGGGCTCAGCAATGCATGGAGCGTCCTTCCAACTGGTGCCTTCCCTCAGGCTGGATCGATCCTCCCGGGTTTTGTCTCGTTCTCAAGTGGGGGCACTCAATTCTTATCGACGCTCAAGCTTTGCCTGCGTCTTGCTTCTTGGAAAAGTGACTTTGTTAGGCTCTCATTCTTTCCATTTCTACGGCCGGTAGAAGAAGGGAGTGCCTGCCGCCCTTCTGTTTCCAGAGTGGTCTCCTTTCGCCTGCCTGCTGACTGTCTTTCTCAGTGTTGATGTCCATTTGTGCTACCAGACATCCACGGTCTTTTGAGCGTAAACCCATTTTGTGAGCTCTTTTCGCTCGTCTGATTGTTTGTATCACTCTAGTTTTTATTCGCTTGAATGCATGCTGCAAAGCTATTCGACGGTCCTTGTGTTGCTCCTCTGCCTCCGGGAGCGCCTCCCCTCATCGCGCAGCAATATAGGACAAAGAACCTTTTTTTTCTTCTAAGCCGTTTGTGTAGGGCATAGTGGGGGTGCTCTACCGCTCACAGTCCCTGGAAGCTTGTCTTTCAAGTCTTTGAGCTGCATCTTTGCTGTGCATCCACCGGCCCGTTTGATAGATCGGCGACGCGGTCTACGGCTGAACCTCCCTTTGCGCCCTCCCACAAGCACCCAGCTGAATCCCTTTTCCTGCTCTTGCATATTCTTGGGACCCACGACCCTGTCGCTATACTTGTTGATCTGTAATCTCGGAATTCCGCGCAGAAGGCGCTCTACCGCTGGACCGCATTAGAGGCCGACCGGCTGTCTAGCAGCGTGAACTTCACGCTCGCTCGTTCTCCCTGGTTGCCACGTTGGTCGCGTTCGTTAGACTGTTGCGTCATGCGCATCCTGTCAAACGACTCGGGGCCTACCTTCACTCCTGGCAAGCAGCCTAAGTACCGCCACGACTGCATTTCTGGGTTGTAGAGCGTGCTTCGGTTCGTCGGCCGGTTTCAAAGACAGGAATCGGAATGCGCAGTTTCCAGCCTATTTCCGGGGCCTTTTTCGTTCCTGACGAAGGGAGTTCTCATACAAAGTCTGAAGGGCAGTTCATGACGCTGCGTTCCACCAGCTGCGCGAGGGCACCCAACGGTACCCCAGCGGTGACTTGGGGGCCCCCCCTCTCCGGCACGTGGTCATCCTGCCCAAAAGTGTCCTCTAGAGTGTCTTTGGATGGCGCGAATGGCCATGTTGACGAGAACACTGGCGGCTGGGTTTCGCGATCCACCCCCTTCACTGGATCCGCATCCGCCGAAGATGCGAGGCTCCTTGGAGGGGACGGCGGAGCAGCTATGACACAACCCCGCAAAGACGGACAAAGCCAGCGGCTGCCGCAGATGCAGTCTTCGCAGCAAGTCTACACACACCCCAGCATCAACTATCCCAGCTTCACTGGCCCCACTGCTCTTCCGGAGTGGGGGCACCGCTCTCCTCCAGAAGGACGCACGGGGGGCCCCCTTTTGACCATTGGCAACGCTTCATGTTCGAACTCTCCACAGCAAACTGCAAGCGCCTTCGGGCAGCAGTCCATCACAAAGGAACACCAGCAGCATCTACAGGGGGAGGAACACGTACAGCAGCTGCAGCTCTGCCCCCCACAGCTGCCATTGGACACCAGTACTGCTATGGAGGCCCCTGTTCGGGCTTTACTGCAGTATGATGATCATCAGGTTTGGCAACAAGAGAAGCGTGCAGAAAAAGCGGTGCCAGGTGCTCCTATCCCGCTTACAGGGACCATTGTCGCCGATCGCCGTGTTATCTTTTACAAAACGCAGATGTGCCCTCATGTGCCTAAAGGACAGTGCCGCTTGGGGTCTAGGTGCCGCTTTGCTCACAAAGAGGAGGAGCTGCGTCCTCCCCCGAGGCTCGACAAAACCCGAATGTGCGCATTCGTAAAGGCCGGGGTGCCTTGCACGCGTGGTAAGAATCCCTTCTGCGCAGTTGATTAGCCACCTTTTTTACCGACAGTTGCGGCTAGCTACCTACCAGTACTCATCGCTGTGAGCAACCTCCGACATCGGAGTCGCTCTAGTGGCAGGTGCAAGCCGTTGCCAGCGTCATTTATGCGTGGGTGTAGTGGAGGACCGTCAGCAGCCATGGCGGGCCCGTGTCTGCTCCAGTAAGAAAGGTCATGGGTTGGTATGTCCCGGTACACCATGTTTTTTGTGTCAGGCCATAGATGCTCTTTTGCGCATAGTCGCGAAGAATTGCGTCACACGTCCGCTTTTTTTAAGACGAATATCTGCCGGAACTGGCTGGTGGGGCGCTGCCTGCATCCCGAGACTTGCAACCACGCGCACGGCATCCGGGAATTACTCTTCTTCAGAACTTTAGCTACGCAAAGCGGAGTGCGGGACTTTCTCAAAGAGACAACAACAAGCAGGTCCCCTAAGATTGGTGCAAAGCAGGAACTTGACGGTTTCGAGGAGCAACAACAGCTGCTGGTGCTCCTGCAGCAACTGCAACAGGCTGAGTCGCGTGCTACACATTTAGCGGGGCATCAGCGGCCTCCAGCGCCTCCTTTCTCCGCACTGTTGGAGGCAAGCGGAATTAAAGAGGGCCACGCCTTCACGACGGAGCAAGACGAACAGTTGCTCCAACCGCGTTGCTCTTCGGATGGCTTGTCAGAGCGACTCTTGCAAACACTGCTGCAGCGCTTGCAACGGCACCAGACCACGGGAAACCTTCCCTTCAGACCAGCAAGAGTGTGCTCTGAAAAACAGCCCGAGAACTATGGGTTGTCTGACGAAGCAGAAGCTGCGGCTGCACGCGTGCTTGCTGCAGCAGGAGCTTCTGCTGCTCACGGTCCGGGGGTTCGGCACCACTCCAGGCGCAGCAGAGGTAGGACACGGGTGCTGCACCCGCATGAAGAGCAGCATACTGGAGCGTTTATCGGACAACAAACGGATTTTGAGTGCTGCCGGATTTACTGGCAGCAGCAGCAGCGTCCTCAGCAGGGGTTGCACCCGTTACCTGGGAACATGGAGGCCGTGGCAGCTGCACTCCTGCATGTTTTGCAAGCTGCAGATGAGTCACTAGCAACCCAGTGCGGCGTGTTTCAGCAAATCCCCATTCAGCAGTCACCTTCAGAAATCCGCCTGCATCGAGAAACGGCAGCCAACCCAGAGCTAATGAAGGGGCATTCAACGGGTCTCCTCAAGGGACCCTTGCTGAGCCCCCTGCACCAGCAACACTCCAAGGTGAGACACTGGGAACTAGAAAGCACTGGCAGCACCGAAACTGTTAGCAGTGCACAGATGGTTGAGGAGCCCATTGGACTGAGCAGCACAGAGTGGGTGCCAGCAACTAACAAGGGCGATTACAACGAGAAGCAGCAGCAGCAGCAGCTAATGATGGGTGGTAATTTGCCAGATTCGGTTGCCCAGTTTGGCATCAGCCGTATGCTAAAGTGGCGAGAGCAGCACCCGACCTACTAAAACCTAGCAGCGGCCGCAGCCGCAGCTGAAGCGGACGATTATGCCCTAAAGGTTACGCTCTCTGCACCCGACGTACGAGTGTCAAATGAGTGAAAACGCAGTAGTTGGACGCATGGCGAAGTCTAGTAAGAGCGAAGTCTTGAAAAGACTGCTCCGCAGTGTTAGTACGGACACTGCATGTGACAACGGGATAGGCATCATGTCATCGATGTCTTGGATCGCTGTTCCCGGCCTGTCCATTCTGTATTTTATCTTCAGGAGCCGGCCGAGATTCTTATTTGTGTTGTGCTGTTTGTGAAACCTTTGCTGTCTTGTTCGGCCGTGAGGCAGAGGGAAAGAGCACGGACAGTGGACAGTCTTGTAGCGTTTGCAAGACGGGCACTTTTGTTGATGAATCGTCATTTCTTACTGCGGGCAGGTGGATACACAGGCGTGTCAGAGGGTATCTAAGGAGGTGGCAGCCTGCACAAGATGGCTGCTATTGAGAAATCTTTACCCAATTACGATAGAATGAACAGGCAGAGCCAGGCGACGAGGGCTGTCTCTTCGTTCGTCTTCCAGGGTCTGAGGTAGATTCACACGGTGCTTGCATTCGAGTTGGGTTGCACACTGCCGTTTCATTCATGCAAATTGAAGTCTTCCACATTATTTATTCATACAGCGGTGAGTTATTGTGGCGTGTTCCATTTAGTCTTGGAATGCATGCTTGTACCTGCTTCTGTCTTCCATTTTAATTCTACTGTATTTCATATTCTTCAAAAGATCCCAGATACGAATTCACCTTGTATGGAATTGTCGCTTATTGGGGCCGTCTGCTTTTATTTTTCTCGGGCTCTATGTGTGAGCAGATACCTTTTTCTGCTCCTAGAGTAGAGAATTGATGCGTTTTTCCAAAGCTGCAACCTTCGAGCATCCATAGTATGCAGCCTAATACCAAGTATATGCACGCTCAATGTAGTGCTACGAAGGGATTCCGCCACTTAGGAGAGTATCATTACTTGGACGTTTTGGAGCAGGTTTGCACCGTGAGAAGTACAATCGAGACCAGGCGAAAGCTTGAGACCGTAGAGTTTACGTACACCAGTTGGAATTGGGCAGAAAAATGGAATGGCAAGCATAGCGGGAGGTGGTTGAAGGACCGGAGACACAGTGTAGGCACAAAACCGTGGGGAAGGACAAAGAGAGACAGGGACACGCAAACAAACAAGGGGCTCTACAAGAGGTGGTACTAAAGGGACGTGGTCATTGCTACTGAAATAGTGGGACAAGATAAAGGAATAAATATGGACGCAGTTTTACTCCCCCTCGGCGTGCAGCCAATCGGTCGAAGATTAATTTGATATATTCACATTACCCCATTGCAGCTACTAATTGGGGTGTATCGAGGCGCACTTGTTGGTTGCATAGACACCGGAGACAACTGCATCAGCAGAGGAACAAAGTGAAGAAGTTATTAAAACAGCTTGTTGTGGAAGCAACTCTCTCCTTTATCGTCTGCCCTCCAGCGACCTGGCCTCTTATCAGCCACGCGTATGATTTGGACAGGTGGAAGAACGAGGGGAAGGTTTTGATTTTCTTGGCCTGTGGGGCACTTTGCTGGATATTAAAAAGCAGTCTGTACTGCCATAGCAGCACGGCTTACACGCACAGTTGCGAATAATCATCAGATGGCCACTGCCGATTTTTTCGTGGTTAGGGTTTGCAGCGAGTCCTGTATAATGTATGTGCTTTTCGCGACGTTTCACCGTGGCCTTCAGCAATTGTTCTCTCTTCCCAGTTTCAACTAAAAATTCGTGTTTATATGGGTTTGGGCAGTGATCAGTGAATGCGAAGGCTGTTGCCTGTAACGTTCGGCTTTCTAAGGCTTCTTTACACAACATACTCAGTAGATAGCGCAACACAAGCTTTTCTGTAAAGCAGGACAAAGTAAATAAAATGACAGTGGAATGGCAAATAAGATCATTTCAGGGCTTCGAATTGATTCCTTCGATCAGAATATGCAGTTCGAGTGTGTGAGAGAGCGGATCTGCACTTTTTGGCTTGCCGTTCCCCATCTACCCTGGGATCGCATGCGCAAAGCTTCTCCCAGAATTTCTTTATGGACACTCTGAGATTCCAATGCATGTAGAATCATGAATAATCTCACAATACCTTCCTCAAAAGAGTAACGCTTTCTCCTTTTCCTTACTCCACGGCGTTCCGGCCTGGGCGAAATAGGAAAGCTCGAGTGCACATCGAAGAACCCTCTGAGAATTCCGTATACTCCCACACAGTTATATGTAGCACGTTAGTGTTCAGACACAGCATTCTGTGTATCACTTAGCCCTGGCTTGCAACGCGTACACTGGACAAGCAGACAACTCGGTACGTATTCAACTGCGCCTTACCACATGAACAACCTGACCAACATCCTTTTGTATAGCGAAAATGCCAGTTGTTTACTTTGGGGTAATCAATTAGCGGCTGCGGAGAGCTTCGTGAAGGGCGAATAGGGAGCGATACAATGTCGGATTGTCCACTGTTGGGCGTGCAGTACATCTGCCAGGACAACTCTAATGGTGTAGCTAACTCTACTTTAGATGACCCTTTTGCATTCACTCCTAGAAAGCGTTATAATTACTCAAGCTCACCTAGGCAGCTTCTATTGCAGTAGTGCAACACCCCATCTTGTGACCACGGAAGAAAACACTTCAATCCAGACTGAACAGGTACTTTACAGTCATTACAGTTTTTCCAAAAAATTCCTTTCTCCCCTACCCGCGCCCCTCATATTACCCTTCGTGAGTGGAGCCAGGGTGTGCGTAGCTTCACCCTCTGCGCGCTACGAGCAGCCTCAGCTAGTTGTACGTGGCATTGCGCACGCACATTGTATTGCGTGTTGTGGAGGGCTAGTGCTACTCTGCAAGATTTACAATATGTGAAGAGACAAACCAACCAGTCGATTCTATACCATTTACCAAGTATATGTGATAATTGTAGTAAAAATTGCGAAGTGCAGCTTACCCCGCTACAGTTCACCTGAGAATTTCAAGTGCCACCAGCACGCAGTACTCGTGGTTTCATGTAAGACACTGTTGTACACATAGTATCATTTATCGTATAATTGCGTTTAGAATACTGTTACCTTTCGCGAAATAGAGAGAAAGGACGCTGTTCGTCTTGGATCTTGCAACTGAAATACGTATATTCAGTAGGTACTTTCTAAATAAAACCACTTCCTCATTTCTCCCAATACTACGTGGTCCTGGATTAGGGAAAGCAGGGTAGTCGAGGCACAGCTAGCTTAATCTTCGGGGCACAGTATATAACTGCACATATTTAGCTCAGGACACATGAATTAGTCAAAGATCGGTACTGCCATAAGTTAGGTGTGCGCCGAAGTGTACATCGCATACGAGCATCCACACCACGCATTGTGGTGCGCTGAACCGTAGCTGAATCCCAACTTGTCTGAGGGTGACAGTGTAGTAGGGAAAGTACAGCACCCTACCAGTAAGCCTGCTTGCAACACAACGCGATGGCGATCTTATACTAAATAGGTACTTACATCAAAGGGTAGAATATAAGAGCCTGCAAAGTAAATGGCTTAGTAAATGCATCCGGATCAAGAAAAGATAGGTTTGCTTTATCGGAGTTCAGCCACTTTGAGACGGTTACTACAAGATATGGTCATTTTCTGGACTACTCCACTTCTGGCGTCTGTTTGCCAGACACTATGGCAAGGCAAACATGACGATTATTTCGATAAATATGCCTCATACCGGATGCTTAGCAACTAGGACAATAATTTTACCATGGTGCTTATTAACTTGCCTCCTTTCCCCATCACTACCACAGCTGTAGTCCATTTCTGATTCAGCAAGTGCGGGGTATTTGAGTGCTCGCGGTTACCGTTTTTCATTAGTGGCCGTTCACTATTTACATAAACATATTGCTTCTTATCCCTTGTTTCTCCTTCTCTAGTGTATCGTGGCAGGATAGCAGCCCGCTTCCCACCACCAGGCCCTAGACTTACCTGGGGGCCCTCCCGCCTGTTCCAAGCACCAAAGGCATCACAATATTTTCCCGCAATTCCCCTAAAATTCCCCTACAACTCCTTTTCCCTTCTTAATTGAAGGGGTGCTTTGTTTCAGCCTTTCTCGTGGCTCAAAGACAAGCACAGGAAGAATCATTGCGCATGGAAACTCACGGGGGCCTCTGGAGGGTCCTAACGCTTTCCTGCTCCGCAGTCATTGCCCTCTCCCTCTCGGGTCAAACTTGTCACTGTTTCAAATCAGTTACTCTGACAGATCATAGTAGAGAGAGATAACGGAGCATATCTACTCCCAGAAAACAACCGGGTCGTTGCTGTGTTTCCCTCGTCCACCAACCTTAAGTGTCGTCAGTTGGAGCAGCCGAGGCCGACCCGTAGGGCCCCCTAGGGGGCCCTCAGTGCTCTCAGATCTCCACAGTAACCTGCAAAATGGGAGAAGATGGTGCAGATCCGCTCGGCGTGGGGCCTCTCACCTCTAACCAGAACCCCGAGGTGGAGAGTCTGAGTGCCCAAGTATTATTAAGACAGGCAAGTTGTTTATGCAAACGGTGACCTCTCCTTGTCCATGAAGTGAGCCCTTGAATCCGCATGAAGGCTTCGGAAGTGGTCTGTGTGGAATTTTGGGGGAGCCTGGTCTGAAGGCTCTTGGACGGCGTTAGTGCTTATAAAGCACACTCTTCGGGAAGCCCTCCACGCGTGTTACCATGTTCCTTTGCGTCAGCGCCTTTGAGTGGAGAAATCATGACTTGGTGACGCGTTTCAAAGTGCTGTGTAAGTCGTATCGGCTCCGCGTGTTTCACGCCGGCGGCATCTTGGAGTGCCTCTTTGTTCAACGAGTTTGTACCTGTCATCTTCAGGCGAAGTACTGTGTAGAGCTATCTTGGCGGACCAATCCTCAGATCCTTCAGAGCTTGATGACAGTGGCGGTTTCTCCTGTGGGGCCCCCCTGGAACGGAGGAGCTCTCTCTGCGCGCTGGGAAGGCGAGTACACCGAGTCGTTTCTTCAGCAGTTGACCCTCCGCACGGGCTCTCCTCTGGCCCCTCGTGGCCTCTGGGAGTTACTGTCAGTGGCTGTTCGAGCTGCGGAGAAGGATGCAAATACCCAAGAGAAAGCTCCCCCCTTCACCGAACATGCGAAGGCTGTTGGGGCGTTTCTGAATTTATGGAGGTGAGCCACAAAGGAGGAACTCTTCCTTTCGCCTTTAGACGATCCAGCCCGTATTTTTGATGTTGCCGCTTTCCGGCAGTCCACATTGCCGTCTACTTCGGGAAGCACTTAGTTGCGGGCCCCCTGCTTCCTAGCAGTCGAGAGCTGACAACCTCCAGCGTTGCACCCTGTTCTTCCTTGCTGCAGCGCTGCAGATCTGGAGACTCTGAAACGGCGAGCGGGGGGTTTGGCACCCTCCGAGGAGGCCTCCGAGGGGGTTCCCTCGGATCTAAAATTGTTTTTGATCGTTACGAAGGTTGTGGACGGAAAGAAGGTTCACTATCCACTCGCCCTAACGAACAAGGCAGGGGCAGCAGCAGTTTCCGCTGCTGCCCCTACATCGTCTCTCGCTACAGAAACCCCCAGGAGCAATTGCAGAGAGGCGACCTCAGTAGCGCCAACACAACAACAACAGCAACCGACACCACGTGCATTGTTGCACGTCGTGAGCCCTCGGCCTAGCCACGCCAGCACCCTCGTGCAATGGAAAGCGCGGCAGCAGCCACAGCAGCAGCAGCAAAATGTGTTTCCCGCTGCATGCGCCGCAACAAGTGACGATGCAGCAGATACCGACGACCTCCATCGGCATTTCCAGAGGCTCTGGGGCCCCCCAAAGGGGAGTTGCTGCACGCCTCTGGGGAGTGCTGAATCTCTGCATCCTCGGGGATCTCTAGAGCATCCCCTGGAAGAGGATGCCCTTGCTAAGCCAGCAGAATTGCCAGCCGCAGCAGAGCTGTGCCGGCTAAGGGCTCTTGTCGCCGAGCAGCAGGCGGCTCTGCGTGAAGCTCAGAGGCAGAGCGTAAGGCTCGTTTGTGCTCAACGCGTGCGGGAAAAAGGGGGGGTAGTTGGAGATGAGGACGATGTGCCTGCGGGGGAAGGCAAAGGGGGGAAATCTTCCGTGGGTTTCGTCTGATCCTCCTTCGTCCGTCCAATGCTGCTGAATGCATCCTATGTTAAGCCAAAGTGCTGTTGCTGCTGCAACTGCAGGCGGCATGCCGTCGGGAGCTGCAAGGCACGCTCTTCAGGCGAGACTGTGACGATCCCCAGGGTCTCATGACGCAGCTGCATACAGTGGAGGTACGCCCTTTTGTATCGCTTGTTCTGTGTTTTTTTTTGTATGAATAAAGGGGATTCGACCACGTCTGCATCCGCATCTGAGACAGGGGCACCACTGGCACTGCCTCGAGGAGGCGTAGCGGCACGGAACCCCTAGCAAAGGAATCGTTGGTTACGAGGGCTTCCTTCAGCGCCGAGTTTTGAGATCACTGTTGCTGCGGGCTTCTTTCAGGCTGAGCTTTTTATGGCAAGGCAGCGGCTGCAGACGGAGAGGCAGCTGCGGGCTAGGGAGACACAGCGGTTTCGCACGGAGATCGACAAATTGAGGAGAGTTGAGGCCTCCCTCAGGACCCGAGTCAGCAGCACCCATCCTCCACAAGCGGCCTGAATAGCTTTTACGGGGTGTCTCTGCAGCCCCTGCGCGCCCTCGCCTTTCGCGCAGTGCACGACGTGCTGCAGAGTCCAATGTGGGGGATTTGTGCGTTTGGGTAGCCTGCTGCAGGTCCGAGAGTTAGAGGCGCGGTTACGCGCTCACAGCTGTCGTCTGAGGAGGTGAGAGACTCTGGCAAAGTTCGTTTAACTGAGCTCTTCCGGATACCAGAGCACTGTTCGGGGGGCTTGCCCCTCAGGAGTGGCGCTTCAGGCGCAGCGGACTGGGATGTTTCTTTTTTGTTACGCTCTGAATAGGTCTCTCGCCTCCTCTGAAACACTTCACCCGACCGCTCCGTCCGCCTCATCCCGCTGTTCATCGCTCGATTCCAATGCGGCTAGCCGGTGCAAGGAAGCCAGAGTAGGCCTTCTTTCTGGCTACCACCCCGTGGACGGAGTCTCCAGAGGAGGGCCTCCCGCCTCTGTGGCGCGTGCCAGAGTCCGTGGATCCTTTGTGTATGCAGAGGCTCCGGATGGCAGGGGAAGGGGGGCCCCCCCCATGAGGGCCCCCCCCATATCTCCTCGGCCGGCGAGGCTGCTGCCTTGTCCACTAGCTCCAACAGGGAGGAGGGGCAGGTCGCTCTCCCCCTATCCCACCCGTCCGTTCCAGCAGTATGTCGGACCCCACATGGCTGCTCTGGAGTGCAGAGGGCTCCTCCAGCGTTTCCAGGGGTGCTGCGTTTTTCGAGGGCCTCCTAGGACAGGCACCGCTCTCTCGCACTTCCAAACTTGTCTCAATCCACATCCCTGCTACGCACTACGCACTCAGTCTCCAGCCTACAAGAGGCATGAAGGAAAGACAGCTTTCACCCTTGCGTTTGCGCCTGCTGGGGTGGTCCTTGTATGCTCAGGTCTCGTGTTTCTGGACCGCCACACCCTAGAGGCTTGGGGGAAAGCCTACAAGGGTCTGGCACACCAGGGGCTAGACCAGGGGGCCCCTCCAGGGTGTCGGCTTCCTTGATGGCATCAACTGCTTCTTCTCGAGCGCGGCAGCGGTCAGACTCGATCGGCTCTGTGTGCAGTAGCAGCCGCGGCAGTAACCACTGTGGCAGCCACAGCCCTTACTTGGCGTCTTCTTGTGGCTGCCCATCAGGGCGCCTTGGGGCCCCTTGCAAAAGCTTGGGGCCCCCTAGGCGCCCCACTACGCACCATCAGGCGCTCCGTAGCCCTCACGCTGGCTGGAGACCGCCCCCTGGGGGGGGCCCCTCCAGTCCTTGTGTTGCCGCGAAGCGGAGCGGCGCTGCCCACGCTCCTGGCGCGTAAGTCTCGTGTCTGTCCATCTGTCGGCCAGTGCTGGATGTGTGTGTCACTCCTGAAGCGAGATGAGCGCTTCAGTCCATGAGACAGGATGGCTGCTGTATCTTGCTGCCTGCATTTCCGGTGCGCAGATGTCGCCACCGAGCTGTGGCAAGGATTCCTCCGTGTTCGTCCCACCAGGCCCTCGCATCTGCCATGCCACAGAATGCGGCGGAAAGCCCTAGCTCTTGCAACAGCCATAGAGCCCCTTCTTCTACAGTACCGGAGAAGGTTGCCGTGAGGAACGCCGGGTGTGCGAGGTCGCCTGGGAACTGCAGCTTGAGAGAAAAAAGTCCATTCGCTGCTGAGGCTCGCTGTGAAGGAGAAGCGCTGCCTCCGGCCTGTGGAATTTTAGGCCCTGAAAATCAGCACCCCAACCAGCAGCTGCAAGCGAAGCGCTGCCTGCTGCAACAGCCTCAGCATTCATCGTTTGTCGTGTTATCCGCGGAGGAATATGAAAGGCTGAGGCAGCGAGGCAGCACCGAGGCGCCTCAGCAGCCGCAGCAGGCGCAACAGCAGCTGTCCAGGCATGTGCAGAGTGGAAAGGAGCTTCGAAAGAGTCCTTGTCGCTCCCCAGCTGCAAGTGTTGCCGTCGGGGAGGGCCTAATGCTGCCTGAGCCCCTCACGCTGTGCCCTCTGCAAGAACAGGCACACGGCAGTGCGCCCGTCTGGAGAGCAAGTGGCAACAAAATGGACGATCGGAAGGGGTCCTTAGCAACAGGGGTACCTCAGGAAATGAACTCGGCCCTTACTACCGCCAGTTCGCATGACACTCTCTCTGCAGAAGTTTCCCAGGGGCCAGAGGAGCCTGCACTTCCCCCTCTTGTGCACGGCTCCCGCACCAAATCCTTCACGGCCCCTCCTTTGCTGCAAGGAAATCCAGAGTGCGACGGACTCAAGCCCACTGATTGCGGAAATTCCCAGCACGACCGTGACTTTCAAGGAGAAGTTTCCGAGCAAGGAATCTCCAACGCGACTGTGGAGGTCGGAGGACGCGCACTTAAGGGAGTGGCTGGTGGCCGTGCGGTGTTTTCTGAGATCGACGAGCGTCTGACTGCCCTCCAGCGCTTCCTGCGGTCCACCCGCGAGAGTTTCCGGCTTATGGAAAATGGATTGGACAGCGGGACGCTGGGTACGTAGATGCGGGCTTGCCCGAGGAACCCTAATATCGGTTACTTCATGTGCGCACGGTTGTTGCACACACAACTAGCGCCTATGGGGGGATTCTCGCGTAATGGGCTCGGAGAGCGGCCATCAGGCTGTGAAAGGCTTTCTATGATTTTAGAGTATTTCCTCGAACCCGGCTGACGAGGGAGGGTTGTCCCTAGGTTCTTGCAGAATCCCTTGTTGCTGATCCAAAAGTCTTATAGATACTATCTAGGGAAAGACGACAGGCTCAGGTGTGGTCTGTACACCAATAAGAAGTGCTTTGTTGCCTTATGGGGGTCTGGGGCACCGTACATTGGCTTACTGGACAGCCCCACGGTCAAGTTCGGTTGCAGAACGGTGTTCTGTGAATAGCGACTTGTCGATCGCGGGCATGCAAAAAGGCAGTCTAGGGGCTCTCTGGGAAATACAACGTGCGCCTTATTTCAGATTATCACTTTTATGGACATGAGGGTGTGCGTGGGCTTTAAAGGATCCATGGGAAAGCGGGGTCGGGCGGGCAGCCTGCCTCAAAGCACTTGAGGAGACTTAAGCACCAACAATTGACAGCTGATGAGCTGTCATTTCTACAAGCTTGACACGTGCATAAAATAACGTTTTAAAGAAAAGCTGAATCCTGAAAGTGAGCGCTCTCTACTGTTTCGGGTGTTGCCTGCGGGGATGTTACTATTCGTGCTTGAGTGCTTCTTTTCCTTTCCTTCAATGCCACTGTCCAGGTAGCCGCCTCATCGCTTTTCTTGTCTCGTGCATGTTGTATTAGGCAGCGTATTCTTGCCCCCCTCTGCATGGGCGGGAAGCACAGGTCCACTGCACGTATCGGGCGCGTAGCGCACTGACCGCGTGGTCTGGCGGCCGCCGATTTTGACTGGGCTGCCAACAGATGCATTCAGGTGTATCTCGGCTTTGCGAGAAGCCGTGTGGGAGGAAGGACTTAGTAGATAGCTCCCCGAAGCGTTCATTGGATGCGTCTGTGCCATCTGGGATGAATCAATTATCTGCGGGCACTCCAAATAACTCTCGTTTGACCACGGTGCCAAGCTCGTCAGGGGATAAGTGGGAGCAGGCATCCCATTCAAGGGATCGCTTAGCTGGTGACGCCAGGAAGTGTCTTGACTGAGATCATGCATAGAAAAACCGAAGCAGGGGGAGTGTGCAGAAAGAAGGGTAGAGTCGAAAGGGAAGTGCCGAGGATGGGATGCACAGGCTTGAGCGTACGATCGATTCGTGGATGCATGCAACAGGCTTCAGGATTATCTCGGCATGTAGCTAAACACACAGAACATATTGTGTATCAGATGCCCGTGCAATGGGGAAAGTTACAGGGCTTCAGCATGCAGGTTGTAGAAGGGGATGACGGCAGTGAAATATAATGTAAGGCAAATAGGATCGTCCTTGGCAGAAACAACACACAGAAAGGAAAGGTTTTCAGTGTATCTTTAACAGGTTTTAGTGAGCTGAGGACCAAGCCAGCGCACCATTGCTGAAGGGCATAAACTGGATTGTCGGAGTGTAGGAATTCCACTCGAAAAAGCTGTGGATGAGAAACAAACGAAGTATATAAGGTTATCTCAACCAACCACCCATTATTGGGACGCCGGCAACACTTTTCGTGAGCTCCAAGGGGAATGGAAGGAACTGGGATGCCAAATGATGGCCCTAACAGCGTGGCACTAGAGAGTGCAGTGGGGGAGACATAGAGAGCCAACAAATAGAGAAGTTAGCAAAGAAAAAAGCGCTCCTGATAAGACAGGGGATGACTGGCCAAAGAGATCGAGAACAACAAAAGGTTTACAGTGCCTCACAGAGCTCCCACGGTTATCCGGAGTGATCTTGTTGCATTCGGGTGGTTCTGTGGACGCAGCTGCGAGTCCAAACGCACACTACAGAGGAATAAACAACAAAAAAAACTGGACAAACAGCTGCAGTCCAACCAGTCAATCCAAACGGCACAGGCGGGCCCCACGCCCTTGAACCGTTAGTAGACAGGGCCAAAGATTGATTGCAAAATATGTGCCAAGGGGCGAAGCAGGGGAGAGAGTTCAACTGGAAGAAAAGAAAAAAGGACAGGGACTGTCACACCGCGGTTTTTGCTAGCTTCATATGCATTTTTTTCTTCTTGATTTTTCAATCTTTGCTTTGCCTTCAGTGTCTGAGAAAAAGCGGAAAACATCACGGTTTATTTAAAGATAAGGCATATCATTACAGCGTACAAGGAAGCTGAGACAGGAGTACAAGCACACTACAGGGTGTGTGCACATCTGAAAGGATTGGCAGTCAAGCTTACAGCGAGGTATTCTCTCATATGCTGCCTGTTGGATTCGTCCCTCTCCATAAGAGTCTCCGATTGTTTCGCTATTTTAAGAACTTGGTTCTCGAGAACTTGCAGCTCATCAGACACGGCTTCTGCCTGCTTCTCTCTCTTCGATATCGTTTTGTTCAGCAGCCGCATCTTTTCCTGAAGCACTTCATTTTGCTCCTGCAGAGCATCTGCCAGCTTTTTCCTGATGGAAACCTCGCGCGTTAGCCGTTCACAAGCGTTTGCAGCACCTTTTTCCTTTTTCTGCGCTTCAAGAACCAGACGCCGCTTATCTGCTCTCTCCTCCACCAGCTCCTTGCTTACTCCTTCCAACCGTACATCCTTTTCTTTCAAGCACTGCTCTAAATTTTCATTTTTTTCTTCGCGACTATGTAGTTCTTTCATCAATTCCTGTATGGCTGCTTCTTCCGCCTGCTGTCGGATTCTCTCTGCTTCTGCCACCTCGCGCTGTTTTGCTTCTGCCTCTCCTGCATCTGCCAGCACTCCTGCAACGCCGTTATGGAGCCTTGCAACATTTGTGGTGATGCTTTGGAGCTGATCTATGGGGGGCAGAGTCAAAGTGTAGAAGTGCGGGTGCGTCATCATGTACTGCCGGCCTATGGTGTAGAAGACCTCAAGGGGCACAGGAAGAGGGGTGGCACCGTCCGTCAAAAAAGACACCATCTGCTTCAAAGATGATATCTCAGAGTGACAGCATCTAGGACAAGCGCAAGCACCAGCAAAGGAGTTTGCAGAATGCATTTGGAGTCCACCGATTTCTACAGGCGTCCTCCCCGGGCGGAGTGCAGCAACAGTACAACTTCTACTATTTTCCCTCGGCACTACACAAACACAAAAACTACACTGCATGCGCGCCTCTGAGTGTTGCAAAAACAGGAATTAAACGCACTTGATTTCATCCAGAAGGCGCTGCTGTGCATCTGAAGGCAGACGCAGACACAATCACAACGGGCACACAGGAGCTAACAGGGTTAAGTTCCATAAATGGATTGTGCAACACCAGCTAACCGCCAGAAAGCTTTGGGATAGCGATGTACACTTTGGGAAAAAGTGCGGAGTGCCACAGGCAAACGGAGACGATTGGACACTAAACGCTACACTGCACCCGAATCATTCCCCGGTTGGCACATTTAATCTGATTGAACATTGCAAACTCAACGCATGCTAAGCGTCACTCATCAATGAGTGTACCAAGATTGCCTGCAGCGGGCAAGGCCTGAGTTGAAGGTCTTGGAGGGGTTTTGGGAGGAGAGCCTGACACAGGGACCAACTCAACGGACAGGAGAACAGCCCTAAAACTCTCGCCCTAACACATTAGCAAAGTAGAGCAAAGAAGAGCTGTAATCACGTATTGTGGCGATAAGGTAACCAAACAGCCACAGAGGGAGGAATGGAAGCCGTGCAGCATGTTATTTTTTTCTTCTAGCACCCCAACACAGCCTTATTCCTTCCTCTACGCGAATGCGAGCGTGTATCGAAAGAGTAGCGAAGAGATCCGGCGCAGAAAAACTGCACACGAAAAGAAAAGCGGAGTGAAGGAGGCTACAGCAGCATTAAGCTGCTTCGTTTTCCCTACGCTGAGTGCTTCGGATGTCCACGGGTCTGAACTTCGGTGAGAAACTCTGCTTTTCCTTTTGCCGAAGTCCATCTTTACCTTTGGGCTGATCTCTCTGACGGTGCTGGCCTAAAGAGGAAGCCACAGAATGTGGGCCAAAAGGCGACTGATTTTCAACACGTCCCTCCCCAACAGGCGTGGTGATGCAAAACAAGAAATTCCATGCTCTGTATGTTTTGGCTTGAGCTGTAAGCATCTAGTGGTAAGAATCGAAATGCACATAGAATCTAGATCTCCTTAATGCGAAATAATCACGAAAACTCAACATTGTTTTTTGAAATTGCAGGCACGCAGTAGGTTGCTGGTTCTTGTGCACACTTCTTTTGACACACATTTTTGCATACTGATGCTCCTCAAACATAATCTGCCACAACGAACTAGGAGAAAATCAAAAGTCATTGAAGAGCTCACGGATTGGTGATGTCTCCATTTCCGTCTTGTCTCTTCCGTCTTTCTTCCGTTTACTTGAATCGAAAGGAAATATAGCGATAAAAAGCACTACCTGTGGTCTTATCCAGCCAGATTTAAATTTTTTTGCTCCATTAGTTTCAAGACTGAGTTCGACAGAAACGAAATCACAAGGCAAACGAAGAGAGGAATCACATCGATTGACCCCAGCGGCGTTCCTCGATACCATTAAAAGACTCGAAATAGGGACGCGTCTCCTATGCTGTGACATTCCTTACTTTAGTATCTAGCAGTTGAAGTTACTTGCAAGTCTACGAAAGCATCTACGCGTTTTTCAACGGTGTCCCCATTCATGCACTCCACAAAATTCTGCTGCCTTCCGCGACTCGCTACATCTCAGCTGGGTTCTGTCAGGCTTACCTCCATCGTCCCTATTTATAATCCTGAGAAACTTTCTGAATTTGGCTAGGTTCAAAACCCATCAGTGCGTGCAGGCAGCGGAAACTAGCCCTGAAGCATCAGCCCGGATGACCAATGGACATTGTGAGAAGCACCGGCATAGAAGGCTTCTGATGCAAAACGCGGTTGTTAGATATTAAAACTAAGACCTCTTGGCTCCCTGGAATCTTCTTTCTCGTAATCGGTTGTACACCAGGAAAGAGCGCGTGTGCGCATCGGACTGGCATTCTTCCTGTTATGCTGTAGACAGCGCACCGACTCTTCGCCAATAATTTCAGTAAGGAAAGAAGGTCTTGAAATATCCCTTTATATACCAGTGTGTTACTAGAAGATCGATCAAAATTGTTTTCATTACAGCTTTTCCTAAAGTTTTTTTTGTCGTCTTCTCGCATTCAAGGTACAAGGTACAGGTCGCTAGTTGTGTGGGGACAGTAGACCGCGCATACAAGCCCAAACAATTCTGCATAAATGACTAAACTGCGCGTAGAATGGGTGTTATACCCTTTTAAAATAAACGAACTGTGGGTAAATACTCAAACACCGGGCGGCCCGTACCACTGTTGGGGGAAGTGCTATGGGCTAACCTATACAGACACTCTCTCCTACACTAATGTATGTATATACCCACATATATATAATGAGAATTAACGAACAATTGGTTATGTGGTTTTTTCGTGACCCCATTTGCTTTGTGTAAAGTAGTGTTCGCTCAGTGAAACAAGGCGCAATGTTGTGTGCATCTGCGCAACCTACAAAAAGGGGCAGCTGTCTGTGAATGCACGGCAAGCATAGGAAGGGCAGCTGAGCGTTCCCAATTTGTGCCCCTTCGTTCATGTCTAAAGATCTGGAGCGTGTGGGCAGGGAAAGGAGGTAGCGGTTTTGGAAGTACCCCCTACAACTTTCTATTAAGCTTGGATTGAGTCCGGATTCACGCGTCTCCCTACGGAGACCTTCAAGAAGCGTTACGTTGCGCGCGTTCGCTTTCCGATAGGTTTGGCTTGGTGTCAGCTCGCGAGAAGTAAATGTGTGACTTCTATCGACATGATGCATACCGTATCCGCGAGCATCGCTTCTCCCTAAAATGGATATCCATATCCTTTTGCGTGGGAAACGATTTAATCTGCACCTCGGCACATTGTACTATGCTCATGCTCCACTTCAGGTCACTATACGGACATACTGAACGTAGAACTCATACAGACCTTATGAAAGGTTATTGAGTGTTTCACAAAAGCGTTTGTACCGTCACCTTCCAGCGCACCTCAGAGCTCTCGACGTAAGGAGAGAGGGATAATGGTTAGAGCGCGCGTAGCTGCGCCCTCTACGCCCTCTGAGGGTATACATGTCGCTGCACATAGCCTCTAGTGCTCACAGACCAAGCAGCACATCTTGTTCTCTAGAGCATCAATCCTTCGCACTAGATTAGATGTACGCACAGAAAAGCCCTTTGGGCTACTCTTTACTAATACTTATTAAACATAATTGCTGTGGTGTAAATAAATTAAAAGGTGAAGTTTAGCCAGCTACATCTCCATTTAAAAGCCTATACCCTCGTATTGCATAGCTGCCCGCCAACTCCAAATGTATGCAGGACAGCCGAAAAGGTCCCCCATTCTCGCCCCAGGAATGCAACAACGCGGGAAACAATGCGAATAAAACCGCATGGTGTGCCTTCTACGAATAGATGAAAGAGAAGAGAAGAAAGGTGATCACATTATACAACAACGAATGCGGCGTCAAGCCAACAAAACAGAGCAGCACGATGGCCCGCTATCGTCTCAGCGCTGAACTGTGCGAGCCTCTTGCTATAGATTAACAGAGCACAAGTAAAGTGTGTACAGGATATTAAATTACAAACTTATTCAGTGGCTCCTCCGCACCTCGCACAGCAACTTATGTAATACGATATTTGCATGCAGCATATCCATTTGAGAGCAGCGAAAGATAGGAGAGCAAGAACGTAGGGACAACATAGCTAACAGTACGTGCGCATGCATCTAATTGTAGAAAACACAAAGAGGAATAAATGGGAACGTTTCTAGCAACACCTCTTTGTGAAGCTAACTAATTCAGGCAGCACATGCGTTGGGGAGGGAAAACAACCAAGGAACGAGCGGATCCTCGTCCACGGCCACTAGCGCTGTACGCCAAACTAAGCGGCAAATTCGTTTGCAAACAGGCAAGCCCGCAACGTGTCCTCTGTCAACCACTGCGCCTGATGATTCCCACTCCAATCCACTTGAAACCACCATGCAGGTCTGTCCTGAGCATTTCTTATTCTTAAAACCGAGGGTCTCTAAAGCTCCCTGCGGAGCTTCCAACTCCACACGTGCTATTTGCTAGCGAAGCAAGTTTCATGAATAATTTAGGAAGCTTTGAAACCTTTTAGGGAGTCAGGATTGATTTTTTGGCACCTTCTACTTTTGTGGAAATCGATAAAGAAAGAGCATAGATTCATACGACTCGCAGATAAGCCTAGCCAGCTGGCTGCAAACTACTCCGTCTGGTCACTTTCTGGCACACCTCGTACCACCTAGCCATCCACCAGACAGAACCTCCACGCCCGATATACTCAACTTGCCGAAGCGTAATATAGCGACATAATCGTCTCTCAAGAGGTTTGTGCGAGCACTCGCGTACACTAGCCTGCTGTTCTCGGAATTACTCGACTGCTGAAGTTGGTGTGTGACCCCAGACCAGGTCCAGGCCCAAATAGCAGAGGACTCCTCAGTGCATACCAGGAGTGTGGGGGAGCGTTTAGACGAATAATCCGTTATATTCTTAATTCACTGAGCGCACGGAAGAAAATCAAGCCAATTAATCTCGTGAGCAATGAGTAACTAATGTCGCAGAAGACTTCGGCTGGTGCACTCTGTCTGTAGTCTCTCCCTCAGGGTGGTGCGCAGGAGTCAAATTATGGTCAATGCGTAGTCAGGTTATAAAGCCACTCCAAAACGTAATAAAGTATCCGGATCCCTATACGTAATGATGCTCTTGGGGAGTCCATGAAGCTTCCAGTCACGATTTATGAATGATTAAATGACTTCTTGAGCCGTGCCAGACCTGAAGCAGGGGACAAAAGATATATTAAATTAGTCTATTCAAAGCAACGTATTCGCTGTGCTGACCCTCGATATTCGGCAGCCTAATGATGATGTAAATTGTCAGCTTAGTCCAAATTTTCAAGGAACTGCAACGTTTTGTAAGTGGCCAGGTGTAGGCGAATTCCGCGAGTTTTCCTGCTGACAACATGAGCACGACAGTGAACACTCTTCTGCCCGCGGTATGCATCCCAAGTTAGCAAGAAACGAGCACGGCATTCTCACTGCGGCGTGGATCCCACAGTGGCTCGAAATAACATGATCTTGTGCATTGCGCAAAACGGCACGCGGAACTAAGTCGGAGTGCATGACAGAGTCCCCGCTTTGTTTTGATTACCATCAAGTTATCCTCTACTTAAACAAGCCATGGAGCACCTCTAGAGCCATCGAAGCTCCGAAAATTCTCCATGCAATTCAATAACAGCTGCTTGTCCGTCCGGATAGTAAATGGGTGTCCAGATAGATAGCGCCGGCAATTTTCACACGCCACCACCCCGCATAGAGCTTTTATCCACTGCTAGCCACTGCTCGAATTCGAAGGAACAAAAGAACAAAAATTAGTTATTCGACACTTGATGAGCCCGTCGCCTGTTAGGAGATAATAAACCCCCTTCCTCCCCCGCCGACGAGTGATGCCCAAAAGGGCTTGTTGATCTTAGAACTGTGTCTTTTGAACAAATCCTCCGCCTGCCGCTCAATATGCTTTTCATGCTGAAGGGACTTCCAATATTTTGAAACAAAGATTGAGGCTGACCTGGGTGTTAGCTCACAAAAACGCGGTGGACGACCAGCAGATGGCCAACCTGCCGAAAGCTCGTCTTTGTCATTCTACAGCACATCGGCGAGCTGCTCCTGAGTATTTTCCCAACCCTACTGTTCCTTAGCTAAATCATAGTATAAATATTTTTTAAAAACTGGTTTGAAAGCCAGGAAAACGGATCGTATGCTCGGAACCATGTACTCCTACAGTTGAGCCGCGAGTTGCTTCTTTGGAGCGCTTCCTAGTACACTATTCTCCAAAACGCGTAGCTCTGGCTTCATGGGCGCCTTTCATTGGCTTACCCATAGTATAAATAGAATAACGTTATGTTGCACGGGACAACGGTAAAAGTAGCTGACCACACTGATGGGATGCAGTTTTACTACAACGTAGCAACTAACAAGCGTAACCTTGCCAATCCATGTGTTCTGCCGCCCTGTAAAGAGCTTGAATCTAACGAGCTACGCCAATGGATGGACAGAATAATGCATTGCTGAGTCGTCTCCTCAATTAAAGTTCCATTTGACAATTAATGCCGACTTACGAAAACAATCGTATATCAAGAATTCGCAGTTGTCCCAGCTAACCCTTGACGGGCCCCCAGCTGCATCGTTTTTCTCTGTAGCCCCCTTCGCTGATCCACAGCCCGCGTATGGAGCTTGCCTTTTTCCTAATGCCTTTTTCTTTTTGCCAAATGGCCTGCATCCGTTAGTCCCTGTGGTGTTGCTGAAGTTCCTTGGCTTTTGGCATGAATTTTCAGTTCTTGATCACATGGCCCTTCTACTGCTTTAGAGCCAGGTGATCCGTTGAGTGCATGCCTTGGGCAGCTTAGGAGAGCAGGCTGCTTTGGCTTTCTTCTGTCGCCCCGCGCTAGACTGTAAGCCAGGGCCAGCTCCCACACCCTGAATATCCACAGGCTATACATCCTGACATTAAACTTCCCTTTCAACAAAAGCCTAGGAGGTGCACTCATTTTTCCCGCAGACCTCAAGTTGATCATCTTTTGTAAAGCATTACTGGTCGGCAACCCGCTGAGCCGCTGCTCATCTTGCAACCACCTGACGTGACCCTTCGCGTAGACCTGAGGTCTATCACTGACAAGGCAGCTACTCGCTTACATTGTGACTTTTGCAATCCAGAGTTTCATATCCTTCAATATACTGACATTCATTGTTGGCTCTGCTTCAGCCCTCTTACTTCTCCAAATGCTTGCCGTTGAGCTGATCTCGGCGTGGATCAGTGAGTCAGAGCCCGCATAAAGCACCAAATTGTAAACATACCTTTATCAAGACGAGTAGCTCGACACTAATAAAGCCACGAATGAAGTGCATCTCCCTATAGTAATAATGCCGCTTAAAGCACTGGTCTATTTTATCTTAGTATAAAAAGCTGGGCACAATTTCAAATGGCTGATGACTCTTCGAGTACTTACCTATCCTGACGGCCGTCATACCTTTGTTAATGGCACAACCTTATCTTGGTATCCATAGAGATTTTGTTGTCTTTTATTACATTTCTACCAGCGGCAGAGCTGCGGCATTCTCATCAGTGTGCATGCCGGCCCCATTTGTCCCAGCAGGCGTTGTGCCACCGTCAACTTCTACCTTCAAAAGCTTCTTCTAGCCCATTTTCACGGAATATAATATAATGTGGCTATTAAATACCTTGAGCGAGACCGGACAGCTATTGTTGTTAAAACAAGCTGACATCCTACTGCATCCACAGCAACTGGATGAGCAGGTAAGGGCGGCTTCGAACCATGCGATGCTATCAACTGTAACGTTCCGCCTAATGTCGGTATGAGGAGACATTTTTGGCTTAATGAAACCTGTATAAAAATATATTTAGCGCTTGAGAAAAGCACAGCTACACTCCTTTGCTGCGCTCTCTAAGCATTCCAAATATTCACATAAAGCTGCACATTCCTTCGGGCGAACACCACATCAAACCCAGCATCTCCTGGCGTCAAGCTACCGCACCCCTGGAAAAACTAAGAAATACGGGTAGACAAACCAAATCCAAATCTTTACTAATAATCAATTAAATAATACATAACGCCTTGGAAAATGTCTAAGCGTAGGTTAGCCCGCTATAGCGTTCCCCACAGCTCGGCGCCTAGCCCCTAGGGGAAAGCCTGCTTTGGTAATTGACACCCTTCGGAACAAGTAATATCAGATAGCGTGCTTTATGTGTGAAGTAGTAATTTGCGTAGATTTTAAGCAGCGCCAGGGGCCCGTAGCCCGAGAACAATGAGTGGTGGGGCGAGAGGACACGGGTACACCAGGAAGGCCTGCTCCTGTGGGGAGGAACAGGACGCACTGTTAACTAATCTAGCCAAGAAACCCTAAATTAGTTTTATCCTGGCTCTGAAAGAAAGTAGGGGAACCGGGGAAAGCGCACTGGCGGAAAGGACTGTTCCCCGAGAGTGATGACGCCTCCTGAGGCTTGGCAAAAGGCACGTTATATTACTACGAGCTTAAGCCTGTCGGTAAAAAGGCTGAATTTGAACAATGTACGAGGTCCTATGGTTTGCTTTTAAAAGGGGTTCGTTCTACTGTACTGCCTCTACAGAGAAAAAGACCCGACAACAGACAACATCTCCCCACACAGATCTGCACTCTTCGCACTCCAAGCCCTCCAATTGTTCTGCACCAGGCCCCTCCTATCCCACTTCATTTTCTTCGCCTATTGTTTATTTGATAACCAGGTATGACGTTTTGACAATTTCTTTTTGCCCAATTAGTGCTCGTGCGTTTCTTTGTCAGGATGAGGCTTAGCTTTGGTGCTGTGGCCGTTCTGGGTGCATTCCAGTGCATCTCCATCGGGCTCGCCGCAGATTTGCCTTTTCCCGCCGATATAGCTCTTAAGAAGGCGGTAGGGACGGCGGTTGCAACTCCTTTGCAAGAGGCTTTGAAAGATCTTTACGCATACCTCGTTCACGACAAGGGCAGCAGGGCCGTGCGCCGTTTCCGCTACTCGGTAAGAACAAGAGGTGCATCCGTGTTCTTTCCTGCCCGTTTGAGTTCTCCCCCCTTAAACAGTCTTCATTTTGCTTTGCGTCGCTTCTGATATGTTTGATTCTCAGCTTGCCGGTGTTAAACATGGCGACGTTTTAAAGCTCTCGCAATTTATCATGGGTAAGATCAGGACGGAGATTTTCGATGGTCGCGTCAACGAGAAGACATGGGATATGCTGACCATGGAGCTCTACTTTGCTCTACTAGATTGGTGGATGAAAACTCCGGAGCACCCCAAGGATGCAGCCGACATTGGTGTGTGGCACGCACTCGTTGGCCTCTACAAGGATGTAGTCGCTCCAGCCCTCCGCGGCAGCAGCCGCATTGCTTCCTTCAACGAACTCCTCTTGGATCCCGAGCTAGCTGACGTGAAAAAATGGGTCGGTCAGTGGAAGGGCACACCGCCTCCCCAAATTCCACATGAAAAGCCAATGATAGAAGAAGCCAACGACGGCTCGCGCTAAATTCACAAAGGGGTTTCAAGATAATGACAGTTTCCGGGACCATCCCTAGCGCTTAGCTGATTGCGAAGCAGCTCTGTTTTGGGGGCTGATGATGCTCGAAATATTCTGCAACTCCGGTATTAGATATGGGCGCATCTCTTCCTTATACCGGAGATTTTTCTACATGGAATGCGCCCCCCAGCAACAGAAGCCATATAATTCGTCCCGATGCCGAGTTACACAATTTCGTGAATTGTACCTGGGGCCCTGAGTGTCTTTCGCCAGGGTGGAATAAGGTGGACACCAGACGCAGCTGTTCAGTGCTCCGAAAGGTTGGTGCCTAGCATAAAAGCGGCAACAAAGTGATTTGGTGCTCTTATGTGGCATACGAAGCAGCTGAGCTGCGACAGCCTTAAAAACAGATGCAATGTTGATACAGGGGCTTAGGAGGGGTGCGCCTAGTAAGGTTTATGGTAGTACTAATCTGGGGTAGGCGAATTCGGTAGAAGCTGATCTGCAGTGGGGCCTCTATGGTGAGTGATTTTAGGGCCAGGACGAGTGCTTTGACTAGTGTGAGATGTCATTTGTTACGGCGGGGCCAGATGTCTAGTAGAAGTACGAAGGCGGGAAGCATTCGACTTTCAGTATGCAGTTATTGCGGATCACTTCCGATTTTCTGAACCTAGCATAGCTGAGTAATATGCTGTTGTCCTCAGGGAGAGCGCAGTAGTTTTCGTTCGTGTAGCTGGGGCTAAATTCGCTTCTCGCGAGGCAGCAGGCCCAATCCATACGTTGAACGTGCTGAACATTGTAAATGCTCCTGTATTCGTAGTTACTGAACATATAAAGTAACGAGTAAATGTTGCTTGTCCCTCGGTTGGTGTAGCGGACCACTGTGCTCCCGCCCCAGTGGGCAGCAGCAGTCTGTCACCGCCACACTTGCAAAGTTGGCTCCTCTCCATGTCAGAGTGGTATCATTGTATTTTTCGAGTAGCTTATATTCTATCAGGCTCAAATTCAGGCAGTAGCACTGCTAACCATCTGGTTCTCAGCTACCCGCGGCCTGCTGGTGTGCTCATCTGCCCACGACGGCGCTATTGGCCACTGTGTTGTGTGAATTTTACCACTACTCGTATCAGTGGGGAAACCCTAGCGATTCTTCGATTAATAGGCTGATCTTGTACCTACTGACACCCTTATGTGAGTCAAACGGAATTCGCAATGCATCGGCTCCAGGCGGTAACTCGCCAAGTTTCTCAAGCGCCGAAGTAAGCAGTCAGAAACTGCTTCCTCCATAGAATACATACTAATGGTATGCCCAATTATACTAGTGTAGCCCGGAGATAGAAGTGCTCGTTATTCCATCGCTGCGCGCTATTTTCACTGTCGCCCTGTCTGTCTGATTGATTTCTCCTGCAGCGCTGCACCCGATGATGTGGTCATTTGCTGCGCTATCCGCACACCCCTCACGAAGGCAAAACGCGGAGGTGTTTTCACATTTCCCTAGTGTCTTTACCGACTATCGGTACTTTTGCAATACTTCATTTCGCAAAAACTGTTGGGAGGCCTGAGGCAGCACCTGTTGCGCTTCGTCTCCAACGGAAGCACGAACTGTTCAGCTTCTAAATGCTCACAGTCTTGCATTTCTGGCGTGCTTGCTCACAGGGTTGAAGGATGAATTCCCGGAATCGCTCCTCGGCACCCTATTCGCGGCAATGATCCGCAAAACGAACATCGATCCGCAGGTGATTGAAGACGTGTGCATTGGTGAGCTAATTTTGCGATTTTTGACCTGCTTTATGTTGATTCCACCTACATTTGGCTCCAATAACAAAGCCTGCCGAGAAGGATTCTTGGGAGTTTCTGATTTGTTCTGCTTCTGCTACCGTCTCTTTGTGGTCGTTATAGGAAATGTCCTTCAGCCCGGCGCAGGGGCGCTTGGGGCTCGCATTGCTACTTTTCTGGGCGGACTATCTCGCACCACGTCTGTGCACACAGTCAATCGACAATGTAGCAGCGGGCTTCAAGCAGTGGCTGCAATTGCAGGTACTTCGAGATGTCTGGCTTATGACGAGGGTCACTATTATTGATTTCATATCTAGAGGTACACGGTTGCCGTCGATCGGAAGAGCTCAAAAAGCGGGGTACATGAGACTATCGAGTTTGGGACTGTCTTTGTTTGTTAGGGTCAATAACAGCAGGAAATATTGATATTGGCATCGCGGGGGGTGTCGAGTCCATGACACACTTCGACATGACCTCTGTGCTGAACCCCGAAAAAATTTCGGAGAAGGTTTTCCAAGAAGAACAAGCGCGTAATTGTTTGCTGCCGATGGGCGTAACTTCAGACGTACGGTATCGTTTATCCACTTCGCGCGGGCCCTATCTGTGCAGCAAGCTGTGTTGGGGCTGCTGTATGGCCACTGAATATACAATACAACTTACATATTCTGAATAGAGCCTACGGACTGCGCAGATACTTGCGAAGCGGTTTGGCATCACGAGGGCGGAACAGGACACAATTGCATTTGAGTCACACGCCAAAGCATGGGCTGCGCAAACAAGCAGCAGATTTCGAGAAGAGATTGTACCAGTTACTGTTAAGGTGCTCTCTCACATACAGTGCCTGCCTTCTGCTGCTTGTCCCTGCCGACAACGCGGGGAGCGCCAGAAATGCCAGGTCCCCGACCGATTTCAGACCAATGAGATAGGTTTCCCTGCGTCCGTTTCGCTCTGTATAGGTAAGGGATGCGCAAGGCAACGAGACAATCCTCACAGTTGACAAGGACGACGGTATTCGGAAAGGAACTAGCATGGATGCACTCCAACGGCTAAGACCTGTGTTTGATAAGCAGGGAACGACTACAGCAGGTAAGCCAGACTGCCTCCTAATTCAATGAGGGAGTTAAACAGATTTTAGTGGGAGCGATTGGACAGCTAACTGCATTACTAATCACAAAAAACGAGAATTTGCCTAGTGAGCAAATCAAACGAACTCTAAATCATCATGTGTGCGAGGGGGCGTTCACCATACAGGAAATAGCAGCCAAGTGACAGATGGCGCAGCCCTCGTCCTTTTGGCTCGGCGTTCCGCTGCAATTCGTCTAAAACTTCCGATTCTGGCGCGTTTCGTTTCCTTTGCTGTCGCTGGTGTTGACCCGGAGATCATGGGGATTGGGCCAGCTGTTGCTATTCCCAAGGCACTTGGTAAGGTCTTCCTGTGCTAATGCTCATGCTTATATTAGCACTGAATGACATATATATACGCGTGAACTTTGTTTTGTCCTTTTGTGGCGGCGCCCTACAGAGAAAGCTGGACTACGCATGGATGACATTTCCGTTTTCGAGTTGAACGAAGCCTTTGCCTCTCAAGTCGCATATTGCATCAAGAAGTTGGGAGTGCCAAAGGAGAAGCTAAATCCAAATGGTGAATCTCAGATTTGATTGTCTTGTTGCTTTCTTTAGACCCGCACCTAAGAATGGGAAGTTATGAGGCATTCTGCTTCTTAATGTTGAATGCAGCTTCTTGCGTTTAATGCGGCAAACACCGAATGGTTAATTGTGCATGGCATTTTGTAATAGGTACACAGAGGCGTATCACTTTTTATTGGTTGTCTGGTTGCATCTTTAGGAGGGGCAATTGCCCTAGGCCATCCTCTAGGATGCACTGGCGCTCGGCAGATCGCAACTTTACTACCAGAGCTTCGCCGGAAGAAAGCGCGTTTCGGTGTAGTGTCGATGTGCATTGGCACAGGCATGGGCGCGGCGGCTGTAATAGAGAATCTGGCCCAATGAGATATGACTGACATACCCAGCAAAGCAGTTCCGCGCTGGAGAGTCTATCTCTGGCCCCTATGCACAATTCACCATAGCTTTGGTGAGAAAGGAATATGTGAGAGTATTCAAATATTCGTGGTAATATATCTTTTCAGCGAAGCAGCTCGTGAATCACCAGTGATGTTGAGGCTAAGCACTGGGCCATGTGGGCTGCAGTTCGCAGCCTCTCGTGTCTAAGCTCGGATAACCATAGAATATCCTATGCAGAACTGGATCCTCAACGCCTCTAGTCAATACACAATCAGTCCGTTTATTTCAACTGGTACTGTCTCGTGAAATGTAGTTATGGTAAGGTGTTTCACCTGCTTCAAGGGTCTCCCCTAGAAACCTTGTTGGGTTATCCTTGTGTGCTACGCTGCGCTCTATTCACAATTCATTCAAGGAGGGGTGTGTACAGGACCCAACAAAAAGTGTCCCGTCCTGACCCTCAATGTAGTAAGGTCTTTATTCCCATGCTTGATACAACCCATAAATTGTAATCCAGTTTGTACAAGCGGAAAATACCCAGTGAAACCAAATAAGAGGTTAATTACGCTTGATGCCATACACGTGCGTCTCCATTATACAGAGCAGTCTAGAGGGTTTAGATTGATCGAAGGAATCGGCAAGATATTGGGCCACTAAGAATTGCGTAGCCATGTGTAGGCATAGGTCAAGAAAGAGCAACTTAGTGGCCCCATCTTTGGTTCGCATATTGTCCTTCTGTACCCATCTGCCAACTAGTTGATGTATTGTCGATCTGTTCATAATCAGTCCAATTATTTGAATGCATTGACGTGACAATCGCAACAATGGCACGATTTGCATAGAGGATACTACTGGATGCGGCCGTTAAATGATCATGCACATGTTGAAGTCCGCATAGGTGGAATTACTTCCATCGTGAGCTCCCTCAAAGATCCTGGTACCTTCTCAGTGTTTCTCTCACCATAGAGGAGAATGCAATACCCGAAATCACGCAGAAGGGCGCACCACCCACCGCACTGCCTACGTGCATCGCATCAACGAGCTTCCACATATGCTGCGAGAAGGTAGGGCTAACGCCAACAATTTGTTCCCGGGTACGTTTCATATGTCGACTAGCTTGCTTAGTTGCTTTTCCCCCTCAGTGATTCATAACGAGAGAGTGAAGGGGTAGGGTGGTTCGCCAGTTCCAAATCCTGCATGCAGCAAAACATAGCAGCTCGACAAAGCTAGAGCCAAGCAAAGCATATTCCACAGCTATCTCCCCAGGACTTTACGGCTTCTGTGAGTTGCCTTTTCATTACTCGGTCACTAGACCAACTTGCCCGAGTAGGACCGGCCTTGGTCCGTGTAGTCCCGCTAATTCTCTGTCAATGCTGACTTGTTTCTCGAATATAGAAAAGCAAATCGAGCGCGGGGAATAATGCCCGACCTGCACCCGCCATCCACAGTTATTACTTGGGTATAAGGCTGTCGTTCGGGGTCTGTGGGCGTCACAAGTTACACGTCAGACTTACTGAACGGTGGTAAAGTCCGTGATCTAAGCTACTGGTGAGACTCTGCAAAGTATCCGATTGAACTCTTATTTCTTATAGGCTCAAAACTCTAGATTGGTACTCCCAAAGCTTCTTTTACTGTCACGGGAAACAGTGCACTAGGGAAGACTCTATCATACTGGTTACATTCAAATAAGAATTAGTCGAGAATTGACTGATTTGCTACTTTACCCCAGTATGGTGCTGATTTTATCGATGAAGACTCACTCTTGTTGCGTTGCGCTAGATGCTCTGTGCAGCTAGCTGTGATAGCCCGTAGCGGTCCGAGGGTGCACCTACGCGCACCCTAGCTGTCCATCTTCCTTTATCTTGAACTCTTCGAAGGGTGAGGGCAGCGGAACAAGGAACTCTTTTGAAACACCACGAAAAAAAATTCGAATAAAGTTTGTACGAAGTATACAGCGAAGCGTCTCGTTATGAAGGCCGTGGATGGACTCCTACGCAGACACCACAATCTATCAGTGTATTCATGTTTCTTTTCGAACACTCTATGGTAGCCATACAATGGGTAACTCCGGCAGAGAAGAGTGGTATAAATTCACCAGGCAGTCCGTGATAAAGGCACTAGAACATCGAAAGCCCCCAGCTTTCTCCAGCTTGAAATCCAACCTAGCCAAGCACCGCATCCGTTGCAAGACCCACGGTAGGCTCTCTGTGAGCCTTTTAAGCACGACGTAGCTCCGCATGTAGCGTGTCCTAGCATCGGTTGGCTCCGCCACTTGGAAGCTTTCGAGATTCCTGTCTGATACGCTGTCCCAGAAACGTATCAGTAAAGCCACTTTGCTCTTACACATTAGGCAAGATTCTTCCCCCGTCGCCTTCCACTACGGAGCCATTCAGTCTAGCATTACTCTAAGTCAAATCTGATCCATACATTCAGGTAATGGAATCTCAACCGGTTCGACGCGCTGTCATGAGTAAGCGTTGCTCCAACATTTGGGAGTTACCAACAAGGGACAAACTATTATCAGGATTTTTCAACAGGGGCTCCCGGATACTTCAACAATCGTAGCGTCCCGGAGCACAAGATAATTGAGCACTTGCTGTTAGCTTCCGACTTGGGAGAGAAAGCTTGTGTTGTAGAGCAATTGCACAGTCGCGCATAAGTTGTACTAGTGTATGCGTAGAAAGAGTGGTTCTATCTCTGCATGTGAGCCGGTAGCACAGCCCGATTGCCTGCTCCCCCTGTAGTAGCAATCTCTGAGGATGTCTGGGGCATGCAAGCCACAAACCCCTTTTCCTGGGATGGTCGAAGCATACTTTTAGGAGCTAACTGTGCCTGCAGTTGGAAACTCGAAAACAACGCTTGTGGCTCTGCGCGTGGGGCAAATCCCCGAGGCGGAAGCTGGAGCGTGTCATAGGGCTAAAAGTGAGCATTGCATCCCTTTTCCCCCAAGACGTGGTGTCTCATTGTGACTATCTCGTCGATTTCTTCATGTGGAATCAATTTTTTCGTTTGTGGTCTGTGTTGGCACTCCTTTCGTCCTTGGGAAGGCATAATCTTGCAGTTCTAGCTCGGCTCTAAATCCAGTGGTGTTTCTGCGCAATTTTAAAACATCATTACATAATAAATCGAAAACTAGGGTGAACACACGAAGGTGGAAAATTGACTTTCTGACTGCACGCTAGGCACATACTGTGGGGCCGGCAGTGTCGGTAGTGAGGTCGGGATTGAAAAACCTGAAAAGGAACTTAGGCGAGCCATAATTCGGGATGCACCGTTAGCACTCTTTTGACAATCTCTTCCATATCGACAAATTTTGCCAGATACCGTAGGCGAGTACTTCACCTTTCGGCTGAGACCCCTTTTCCAAAATACGTCGGCACAGCGCGGCCTCGGGGTACCACCTGCCGTAGCGACAAATTGTGATTTTCTGAGCTATCAAAAGCTAGATATGACGAATATTGTATGCTTTGTACGACAGGAGCACTTCTTCGAGATTTAGCCTTGTGTTGTGGATAAGTCCGCCACTGCTCCCAACATTCTGATTTTTCCGGTCGATAATTCAATGAAGCATCCAAATGCGGGGGTCATACGCCTGGTGGTCAAATGCCCCCACTACGTCTGACCTGCCGTGGCACCTCAAGCGCCACAATAAGCTGGGCAGAAGCCAAGCACCAGAGGCAGCATGAAGGGATAATTTGGAGACTGAGGCATACCAGTTGAAAATGCAGACAGTACATTCTTCGAGGTGGCTTTGCATTTTAAAAGCCATACGAGACCGCAGCAAAATCGGACCCAATAAATTCTTTGATCTAAGTATAAAACCTTTTGCCGCATCGCCGCACACCGGTACACTGTACTGCCCTCCACGAGGATCGTGCCTGCGGCTCCCAACTTCCACCGTACTTTCTAGGTGTGCAGATTCCGCATTCTCACTCGATGGCGCTCTCAACCAAGGTTGCTCCATTCAGCGAAGTACACAGCCGCCGTTTAAGGGCCCAGCAGTCATAGCACCTAGGCAGCATGCTACCCCCATGGACGCTTTACTCCATCCTAATGATTCTTTTGAAGTTAGACGGACATGGAAGTCACTGATAAGCTGTGCAAAGTTTCATACTGGTGCTTGGCATCACCTGCCGTTCGGAACGTTTGCAGGATCCCTTTGTACGTGGCCAGCAGGATCTGGCCCGGCAGTACCTGTAGTGTTTGCCCGGCGTTACTCAACGTCTTCCGTTCCGGAGTATTACTCTATCTTGGGAGTCAAAAAGGCTGCATCTCAAGATGAAATTAAGAAGGCGTACCGGCAAATCGCACTGCAGTGGCATCCAGATCGGTATGGCGTCAACATGATGGTTTTTGAATGCCAAACGCGGATATGCAAGGATTGTAATTCAATGAATGATGAGTGTGTACGTGGCTACCTGTGCGTATCAGGAACCCTAGTAACAGAGAAGAAGCTGGGAAACGTTTCCGTGAGGCGAGCGAAGCTTACCAGACGCTCTCTGATCCCACTAAACGAGCGCAGTATGATGCATCGTTGGATGGGGCATCATTCCAACATGCAAGTGGCCGTTCAGGGTACAGTGAGCCATTCGAATTCAGGACACGCTCGAATAGAGGTACAGCATTCTCGTTAATGCGCATAACATATGTGAATATAGTACAACTGTGTAGTTTCATACGTGGTACACAAACAACGGGTTTTCCGGGTAACTATTTCAGCACAGTAATGCACAAAATATATATACATATATAAATATTCGTGTAATACGAGCAACCGCTTTTTGCTCTACGAAATCGCCGTAGGGAGTGTTCAGTTTGGAAGCCTCACGCCGGAAGAAGCTGAGCTTCTCTTTCGCCGAGCCTTTGGTGGTGTCTCACTGGATGAGATCTTGCAACAAGCACTCAACCAACGAGGAGCTTCCCGGTGGGATGGCGGATTGCCATACCAGCGGCATGACATGTTCGAACATAGGATGGGCTCTCGTCCGTCTACGAGCTTCCTTGATGATCAAGAAATATATGCGATCTTGAGGGGCCTGTCGGGTAGGAACTATATTGCGGGGACAACCAGACTGCAGGTTCAGAACAACTTTTGCAGGAAGCATTTTGGAAAGTCTGTTGCGGCAAATAAAGATACACATGTGCTCAAGTGTGTATACTTGTGTGCGTATCCTGTGTGTAAGCTGTTATTGGTGAGAGCACTACCAGGGTTATCCATGGGTTGTTTTCCACAGGCGAACGACCAGATACCGGCACGCAAGTTAGCTACTACACTCATGGGGGAAGGATTATCGAGAGAAGAATAACTGTGCAGAGATTCCCTGGAGGCGGTGTAAAGACCGAAACGACTGAGCGCGATATAGGGCCAGACAGAAGTGAGCCAGCAAATACTATCTGAAAGCGAGACGCCTGTTGCCGTATCTTGATACGAAACACTTGTACTGGTGGGGCGGCTTTATCTAATATAGCCATTCTTGCCCTACGTTTCGTCTTCTTTGGCACTACGCCGCGAAGCTGCACTGCAATTGCATTTGCACTCAGCTGCTTGTTCGGTGCACAACTATGCAATGTATTCTTCATACTGCTACATCCCATGCAGATTTCGACACTTCAAGGACAGCCAGAAGTGGACCACAGGCACACCAGCAGGCCTTTCACGATGAGTGGAAACATATGGAATCGCAAAGAAGGGCTTCAATGAGAACTGGCATGGAGGTCTCCAATCCGGTGCAGCAACTCTTATTGGCTGCTCGCGAACATGCCAAAATTGCTTGGAGAATGATCAAGCTTACTGCCTTACGCACATTTGCAAGGGCAGTGGTGAGATTTGTATTCACTTTGTTCATGCGGCGCCGGTAACTCGCACCGCTGAGCGACTGACACCGTTGCACGTCGAGCAAGGGGCAGATGAGGGCTCTCGCGGCTGCGTTCGCGTGAAGTACTTCTCATTCGCAATAAAATAACTGCATGCATGGGTTAGTGGGCTAATAATAATCTCCCGTACACACGCTAGATGGCTATCGCAGCTCCCCGTGTTGCCATCCGATTTTCAATAGAGGGGCCGCGCAGGTGGCGATACGCGAGTGGCGGTACAAGCTTTATTGCTACAGATGACTGAGATATAAAAAAAAGATGCGTGTTGTTCTAACGATTTTCTCACAGAGAAATACCTTAGTAGTTTAGATGCAAGATAGTGGACATTGCACTGTATATACAGCGCGGAATCGCTGGCAAAATGCCCGCTTGGCACATACGTATTTCGCCTGTCAAGAAGTACTCAAGCTCTCTGCAGGAGAGCACTAAAAACTTTTGGGTGCTATCTGCTTCTGATTATTTTGGGGAAACATAAGAAATGCTGATCTAGTCGATCAGAATTTGGGGAAAAGGATTTCCCAAAAAGTTTTTGCAACTCTCGAGGAACTGTGATGATGTTGAATCAGATTCGTACTCAGAGGAGGCACGGGCACCTTCTGCCGCGCTCCAAGGTGGTAGAACAGAAGCGAGGAAAGGCCCAAGAAAGGACGATTGTCTCAAGACTGAATGTAGTGAGTGTACACCGCTTCATCACGCAACGGTGTATCCTCCTTCACTACGATTTCATAGGTAAAAACAATTGACCTTTTCGAGGAGCCATTACCAGAATCCGCTCTCCTGGGTAGCACGTAGGCTACAAGCTTCGCTGGCGGAGATAGATCTCCGCGATGCAAATGATAACTTTGTACAGGAAAATCAAGGAAATAATTTTTGCTGGAAGATGCGTGATTGTCGTGTAAGTATGGCCTGGTGGAAAATTAGCCATTCAGATGAAATAATGCATTATTGCACAGGACTGAAGGTGGTGTCTGCCGAGCCTACGACACGGTGAATATCTTTTGAAGGTCCCTAGAGTACACAAATCCTCACCTCATACGATGCAGAAGTCTACAAGATTCTTAGCGGACCTCAATCCTGGAGCTCCATGGAAGAGTAAGGCAAAATAAAGAAAAATTCGTCGTGTGTTGTATTGGATGATCTGTACCCCAGAGATCACAACTGCAATATATCATGCAAAGAACGACACAGTCGTAGTTGTCTTTGAACCGAATCCGGGTGGCTTGCAGTGCCAGGTCTTCATTGCATCGGTGAGTTCGCATCTTTACAAACTCTCGTTTACCCAACGTGTTGCTAACAGCGAATGGTAGTATTTGGAACAAGGACAACTGCGGACTCCAGCGATATCGTCGGATTTCAGTAAAATATTATTATTTTAAGCATTTGGGCCGGATTATCTATATCTTTTTGAAGCAAATGTCGTCTTATCCCACCCCGCATTTTTCGAGTTCGATGGTAATCCTGCACTCAGCTTTCAAATCACTAAAACGCATTACTTCCACACTCTAGAGGCTAACGGAGTGATCCTCGCTGCCCAGCAAGGCGACGTCCAGTCATTCCAATTTTGGGTAGGCTGAATTTTATTTTTCCCGTCAAGGAGAAATGGAAAGCATTTTTTTCACTGGTCTGCTTAGAACCACACCAAGTTCAAGCTGGTGTTTTCTGTTCATGGGGAGGAGTATGAAGGTAAGCTTAATCGTAGCTGTAATCGACTCGCGTTCTTTGCATTCCCTGACTAGAAGTCAGGTACTACCTCGTTGATGAAAAAGCGGAACGTATGAAGCATAAGATACCGGACCTCAGGATATCTCATGGACTCGCAGCACTGTTCAAGCCGACGGGGACCAGGTGCTTTTCCGCGTCGGTGTTTGACGTTGAAGATGGAAGACGTGTGGTACATTATTTTTACTATTTCTTGCACACACCCACGTGCATAAAGCGGGACTCTTCAGGCCGAAATAAGCATCCCAATTGATCAGTATAGGCGCGTGGAATTTTTGGAGTGAGACCAACATCCTTATACACAATCAACACTTTGGAGGGGATGCTTTTCAGGCTCTTGGTATCAAAACTTTTGTTCAAGCAGGAGCGCGGTAGGTTCAAATATGGTAGACCAACAAAATATATTTGTAAAAATATTTGCGACGTGCTACTTGCTTACAGCGAGTCTGCGCGTTATTGACCTATTGAACAATGGAGCAAGCATTAAGGTTCCACACACGCGAGACTCGTTTTCACCAGTTGGCTTCGTCTTTTTCGAGGTAGAGCTTTTTTGATACAAACAGCTTTAACAGTATAAAATAGACTCCGACAGGTTCCTGAGAGAGTCATGGGGAAGAAGTACCTGGACCAAGTACGATTTTGATCACCTGCACCGAAAAAATAGGATGAAGCAGTGTCAACCTCCAGAGGGCCAGAAGATTTTTTACTATTTCATTGGACACCGTCCAGTTTTGGATACTCGAGCATAACAGGCTCGATAAACTCTACAGTATTAGGATCCCTGGTACGCGTGTCGCGTGAACGCAGTCTTTCCTCGCATAAACTTGCTCCTTTAGGACTTCGAGAAGCTGGTTTGTGCCAGCAATGCATGGGTACAAACCTTCTGGCTATCTGCCCATCGCACGGACAAAATAGTAGGCTGAGTTACATATCGGCATTATCTAGCCTTTTCACATCCGTGTTTCAGGTAACAGCGAGTCATTCGTGCAATGTAAGATCAAACATATATTCTTGTTTGGTTCTTCTGTGAGTGAAATGTGAAATCTCAGGCAGCTCCGATGTAGCGTTTGTCAGTGCTCTGGAGCTTCATCAACTCAAGCGCCCTGGTGGAGTACTCAAAGGATTCCACCCTACAGAACCTGTCCCTGACCAACTTGGCGAACCTACCAAGAGAGGCTTGAAAAATTCAGGGGACAGAAACATCCTCTTCTTCTCCCTAGAAGATGGTCAGTACATAGGGAGTGTGTCGTCACATCTCTGTGGAGAGAACGTCGAGGTTCTCCAGATGTCTGCGGAAAACATGGTATGACAAATTAAATGGCTGTTGGATGGTTCCAGAAAAATGGATGGAGCACTCTCAGGCTGTGGGGTGTGGCGACCATGCAGGTAATAAACCGCTCGCCTGCCACTGCTATTGGGATGCATAAACCCGGTCCAGGCGTTGTGCGCCTGCTTCAGGCATCCTGGACGACAGAAAATGCTGTTTTTCGACCTAAGGAGACGGCGTTTATCCATGAGTACTTTCAAGTCGGCCACACCTCGACGCCGTCGTGCCCTAAAGTACCCTACGTCTCTTCGCTGCCATCAGCGGTAAATGGCCAAGGAGCGCGTTGAGCCCATTTCATGAGTAAATATGTTTAATGTGTTCACGTTACAGACTCTCGCACTAACTGGGTCTAGCATGGCACACCAGTATGGAGAATGCGTTCAAACGCCTGTCAATAACCGAGATGAGGAGCTGAAGGAGCGCCATCCCGATCTTGAGATGGCGCTGAGGCAGGAAACGAGCGAGGGCCTTAACTATAGGAGGAAGCGATCCTTCCTAGAGGGCTTTGACTACACACAATGCGGCAGAAAACGCTTTAGTTAACTGGCCAACTGGGCTAGCCATCGTTTGGGAGCGGCCCCTTAAAACACCGGGAGAAGTCGTGCCTTGCGTAGCCATCGAGCGGACTGATGCCCTACCCGCAGCAAGCGCCATCTGAATAGATGGTTTCCTTTTTTTGTACTTTCCGGAATGACTCGAGTTACCCGCGATCACGGTTGTTAGTCTTGCTGAAATGCTCTGTGGCATCTTCTGTGTCGCCATTTTCATCCTCTGCTCGAAAGACAAAACAGCATGGACAGGCCAAGGCAGTCCTGCCGAAGCCTGCTACTGTTTTTGTATTAGCAGGTGTACGGTTCTAAAGAGCAGCAACTCATTGGGTTTGCCTAGGTTGCACGAATATGGAGTAAACAAGACGGACCGATATCCTCTTTTTCCCTTTGCAGATGAACTCCGGTTTCGACTGCGCCATCAGGAAAGTCTGCAAAAAAATAACGATGACAGAGTAGTATACGACTGAAAACTGCTAGCTACAGGCAACATGACAACATCGCTAATTGGTGCAGTAATTCTTATAAAAAGGCCTTGAGTGTGACCTCAGGACCAAAGCAATATGCGACACACTTGCGGATATTTGCCCTCCGATTGGGTGTACGTGTTGCCGCAGAGTCGTGCTTATCTTCTGCCTGCAGAAGGTAAACCAGACAGGAGGGAGGACCCTACTCGGAGGAATGGTCTATATAAGCGGATATGAGCGTGTACAAATAATTCTTAGATGTAGTCTTTGACATCGCTCGCAATTTTACGTAGATGCTTCAAAAGGTTAGCAGAATTATCTTCACTTGGTGATTAATTGTGGGGCAGTGACACATTCGACACTAAATATTGGGCAAAATTTCTCACAGTCCATCAACAGGGAGAAACGTGCCCCGGGAGAATGACTGAAAACGTCTGTAACGTACACAACAGAATCAATATACTTCTCTTCATTCCGATTTTCCATATTTGTTGTTCGAATATTGAGCTCGTAGTTGGGGCCGTAATACCCTCGGTACATGCTGGTATCAGGAATTTCTGCGGGGTAAAGCATCGCATAGCATGCAGTTCTCCTATCCATGGTAGCACTCAGCGAATTGATTCGCGGAGGGCACGTGTTAGAACATGACGGCGAGCCGTGCCGCTGTTTTTCATAAGCTCCAAAGTAGTGGAATATTATAGGGAGGCTGAGCGCACTTGGATCCAGGTCAACACCCAGGATGTACCCAGTCTCTTTGGCCCAGCACCTTGGCACGTTTCCGAGGGTGTAACCGCCACCACCGAGAAAGATTGCGGGCACTCCAGCCTTGCAGAAGTAGCGGACAGCCTCACTATGGCCTTCGCACATCAAAACAGCAGAAACAAGCCAGCTCACGAGAGTTTTCCTCAGCTGAGGGTTATGACGCTCCTAGTGGTATTCTTCAGGGTTCAATGCCCACGGAAACCATGGGAGGTGCAGCTCACCGTCGAGGGATAAGTTGAAGCAACCCAGGCGATCACCCGCAACCGAATCAGCACCACACTGCAGAACAACTGCTTCAGGGCGGTAAATGTCCATGATTTGGTCCATAACCTGTATTATTGCACCCCAAGCCACACAGAAAAACGCCGAGACCTTCACAAGCTGTTGTACGCATTGAAACAAAACCCGTGGGAAGGAAAGGCCTCGTGATACGTGGGTAATCTAACCCGGTTGAAGAGAGAAGAGTACATCTTGTCGTCGATGCCCTCGTGAAGTGGCACATTCACGCTGTATCCAAGACCCTCTTCCATCCCAATATCATCCAGCGCTCCCGTTCCGGGGAAAAAGTGCCCGTACTTATGAAACGAACAACACAGAACGCTGCAGAGCGGCAACAACGATACTCAGTTGCACGAGCATTCTGCAAGGACAAGCAGGGAGACACCCTACTTTACTGCGGCAGCCCTGGTGTCAACACTGGACGGAAATAAGGGGCAACAGCGGTACCCTTTTTGCCGTACCGCGGTGAAGTGTAAAAGGCCTCTTCGACACCATCACCGTGGTGTATGTCCACATCTACATATAGAACACGGTGTTTGTAACGCAGGAACTCGAGGGCCGCGAGAACGCAGTCGTTTATGTAGCAGAAGCCACTTGCTTCGTGTTTCTTGCCGTGGTGGAGCCCTCCAGCCCTGAGGCACACACATAGGCCAAGCCGCACAACGCCCATATTGCAGATTGCACTCCGTGACACATGCATATTCTGCAGTCCTTCTCCACCCAACGAGAAGGCCATCACCACTAATCATGCATCGGCATCGGGTCCACCACGCATGCCGCATATGAAGTGTAGGCGCTCTTACCAGTTGATGGCGAACTGGTACTCCCCCTGCACGACTCGTCGTGCACCCTCGATGCTGCCGCCACTGTAGGTCTTGCAGTATTCCCAGAGGCCGTCAAAGACGGGGCAGTCTTCTCCAATGTTGAACCTGCTGATCTGGTCCACAAAGGCGGGAGCTCTTGAAGGGCCTCCTCCTTCGGACTGGCTGCCGTTCGAGCCGCTGCTACCAAACCCCACAGGGGAGAGAGTGCTGCCCTGGGAGGTAGCCGCGGTAACGGGCAAGCCATGCAAAGAGCCTGGGGAAACGGCAGAAGTGATTCCAGAAGGGCTAGAGGCTGAATTCGCGTATCGAAACTCAGGAGAGGGGGACCCTGAATCTCCTGCCCCATTGGGTAGAGAGGCCGGGTACATTTCTGCGGTCGAACGTAAAAAGGATATGTAGTCGTTGGCGTGAAACTGCGTAAGGGCCTCTACCGTTGGATGGGGCGGGAGCTGCACAGCACACAGCACAGTGATACACACCCATGATAAAGCTGGCCCCCAAAAGTCCTTCTTTGTAGCGACTGCAGCAGCAAGGAATGGGCTACTCGTGCAAATGGTAGCTATACGAGGAGACCCCCATGTCTCCTTGGCAGCCTCAGTGGCGAGGCATTCTGCGTGGAGCCGCATGCCCAGTCCTCAACGCTGAAGGCGTCCCGGCAATCTGTGCAAGGGCTAAATGCGAGGAAGCACCATCAGTTCCATTTTGTCTAAGAGTCCGTAGCTCCGCAGGAGGTCGTGTGTCATGCGGACGCGGTGAGGCTTCATGGGGTGACCTGGCCCATAAAAGAAGTTCCCAACTTCTTCTAAGAACATGGGGACAGCGGAAACGAGTGCGAAGGCAAGAATAGAGGCACTCAAGATGAGTACACAAGCCACGTTCAAGTACAGATACTGCACACGAGAACCCGACGGCTTGCAGGATTCAACACCCTTTGAACTACGCATGCATGTTGAAAGGCCAACACAAGCCAAGTTCATGCCCTTCTACGAAGTTCGCTTTTGGAGGACGGCAAGTATAACTTTTGGAGGCGAAGGATCTATCGGGTGCGTAAACATGAACTCAATACACTATAGTACAGAAGCTATGGAAAACCCGGGGATTAACAGGGAAACAAAGGAGCTGCGAGGTTGAAAGCGAACTTGTGATGATGCACACCATCGTAGAAGTAGAGGACGTTCTTCATCTTTGTTTATTGTTCTCGAAATCAGCTAGGTAGCATGCAGAGCAATCCGGCCACCAACAAGAGGCCTGGGTAGCAAGACGCGACGGTTGTTCCGTCGGTCCATTCGATGAGAGGGGCTCGTACCCCAGAAATTGTGATTGGCGTATACAGGATTCGGGCATGTAGTGACAAAGGATGAAGGTTACAGATCGGTGGGATGTACGTGTTGCGGCGGTATGAGGGGCACTGGAATGTGGCTGCGCGGACCAAGAGCTCGGTCTGCGTCTGAGGGGCGAAAAACCGAAAGGCAGTCCGTTTCACTGCAAGGCGAAGGAGTTAGCCCAATAGCGAAGGAGGAGAAAGGGTTTCCGTGTAGTAGGTGTTCCTATTCAACTCGATGCGGCGTTAGATGGAATACACAAGGGCTACTACTTTCTGTCTGCTTAGACTCGGCCGAAAGGGGTGGAGTCCACAGACACATGGAGGGAGACAAGTTCAATACATCTCAGAAGGAGAATTGCTGAGAAAACATCCGATCTCGGCTGCCCCCCAGAACCCCAGGCGTTTGGATTGTGTGTGTACAAAGAGAGCGACGCGACCATCAACAACTATACGCCACCTACTTAGGGGAGAATCAAGAGCCCACCGCAATGTGAACACTTAAAAATGCAGCCCTTTCCCTGTTGACGCTATGATGCGCATACTACCACACCTGACCATCTCGCGTGCCCCCGGGCCCCCCTACACTGCACGCAGCGGGCTGGGTTGGGACTGCGCGGACAGACAGGAGGAAGACTTTTGAACTATTTCGGAAAACCAGATATTTATTTTCATGCTTCATCCCTTTTGACGAGTCCATCCCTTCAGATTTTTGATGGGGCGTATTCATTGATCGCAGTCGGAAACGGCATACTGCTTCTCTGCCTCCGGCATCCCTTACGTTTAACTTCCAGCGCCGATTAGGCCCTTCGTCTCTAGTTTTGCCTTTTCTTTTGGCTTCACTTACCTTTCTGGCTTCTTTGGTATAGGCATTGAGGAAATTAGATCACAGCTGCGTGTCGCTTCTCCCCGCCTCTGCCTCTGCAAGAGGCTCCCCCAGATCTCCGTATCTTCTATTTCCAGAAATGTTGAACAAGACCCCCCCGGGCCGTGAGCGTGAGAGTGAGGCCGATCGTGCCCATCGTTTCAATAAGAAGAAATACACTTCTCGGGTATTCACAAATGTGAACAAGTACGTCATGGACGACAAATTCAAGGTGATACACTGCAAGAAGTGCACGGTCAACGCAGTTATCACGGATGCGGAGCTAGAAAAACTCCCACGCAGGAGGACGGATAATGCACCGGTGCTTTGCACCGACCAGGCGACGGTTAAGGTGTTTACCAAGCCTGTAGAAGAGCCCGCAAAAATCAGAAGGCTCAAGGGTATCGAGACACAGTACTACCACGCGTGCCAGGAGTGCGGCCAGCATGTGTTGTATCAGTCGGTGCCACACGGGATGGAGGCAAAGATGCTCTATTTGATTGAAGCGAACGTCATTCTTCCCAAAACCAAGTGGCAACCCAAGAAGCGTTGTAGAGTTTGTGGCTACATTCCCAGGGACGACCAGCACTTTGAGGAGCACCTTAGAGACAGAGGACACTGGGACCAGTCGGGAGGCAACTTCCCGGGGGAAGAGGAAAAGAATGACACGCCTGTGAACCCGATCATCGTCGGTTAACAGATTAGGCGAAACGAAGAAAGAAGCGGATTTATTTGCGGTCCTGTAAGGAGGCTTTACAATTTTTCGGTAGGTCGGTACCGGGGGCCTTAGTGGCCAGCATGTTTGGAAAGTCTGGAGTCAGGATTGGCTTGCTGCCTAGCCAATCCTGCGGGGGCAGGTGGCTTGATAGTGGTCTGTTGCCTGGTCTTTTTTGACTCAGACTTGCTGTTCAGAGTAATTACAACTGCGGTGGCCATAGGCCTGAATGACACTTGTGTTCTGGCAAAGAAAGAGGCCTCCCGCTTGGAAGTTGTGACGAAGAAGCTAGCCATGAAGGCGAACCCTATTGCCTCATCAGCAATACCTCGAGTCATAGGGTCTACACAGTAGCCCCAGTAGACATCCTTCGCTCTTTAATTGAAGGGCATGTTAGTGTTTGAGATATCGCAGTGAGGAACTGTGCACCAAGTGATTTATGAATCGATTAAGAGAGGCGTCCGCTGCATGCCTTTATGTGGGGGAGAGGGGAGCCTAGGCGACCGAGAGTAAGAAACAGTCTACTAGGGTTTGGGGCAGCAGTTTAGCGGCTTCTCTTGTAGGGCCTCTGACCCCTTAAGCCATCAGACGAGTAGTCCGAATACGAAGCGCCTGTAGCAACACAGACGTTCCAAGGGCATCCAGCTCTAGGTCTGTACAAGGGGCCCCTTCCGGTCTGGCTTAAAAGCTTTCGCACTTTGTGGCATACCTTGTGAGAATCTTGGTCGTCCTTCTTTCCGTTCAAAGGGAAAGCTCCGTGGCGGACGGCCCCCCCCGCCTCCCCAGTTGCGGCGAGCGCCCCCAGGCCTGTGCTGGGGGGAAGAAATGGTAGAAACTCTTAGAGGCTCCAAAAGTGGGCGCGTAGTGGGGAGACTGATCCGCACTGTATCATGCGGCTGCACCGTACAGGACATGCGTACAGCGACATTGCAGCTTCGCGCTTCTGGGCATGTCAGCTGACACGTGTTAAAAGCCAAGGGTTCAGAGCGGGCTTTGGCTTAGGGCTTGGAACGCACGTGCAGTTGAGTCCAGATGTTCACAGCCTTTACAACCTCATCAAGGCCCCCTTCCTGGATGTCGAGGTAGGCCGCTCTGCATGCAGCAAATGAGTTGGGAAGGACGAAGGTTAGTATTTGTAGGACCTACGAAGGAGAGGCCGGAGAGCAACTTAGCAAAAAGCAGTCATGGTAGAACACATCGCAGCCACACGAGCGCACGTTTTGTCGGTGGCGTGCAGCCGCGGCTCCCCGAATTTGAAGTTCAGTTGCTGATCTTCGCTCTGGCGCATTACACGCGTAAACCTGGAGAGCACAACGCACCCATTTACACTTGTGCTAGGATCACATAGTAGTTTCCATGCCTAAGCATCTAGGGAGATGTATGAGGGTCTGTCAGTGCGTCCCCGCCTCTTATTTGAGTCTGCTCCACGAGTAAATGGACACCCGAGCGCCGCTGGTCGTGGAGGTGCTGCTGGGCCCTACCAGTCCCCTGCCTCTCGGGCGGAAGCCCAATCTGTGAGTCTCTTCAGTTCTAAGGTCTTCTCTCCGGCACGCAGCGTTAGCAGAGATCGGCTCGGCAACTCCTGAAGGAAAAAAGACGTTGTGCCTCGAATTCCGTGGGGCCGGCGCGGAGTGCACCCTGCAGCCGCTTATGAGGCTATTCGAACTCCGTTGGGTCGGTGAGACATTATGTTTTAAGGCCTAAGGGGCCAGCTGGTGCTTTGGGTGTACCTTGACTCCTGCTGCAACCGCCAGAGCTCTAGCGACAACCTGTTGTAAATTTACGCCTTCTCGCTCTGCCCTCTTCAAGACATCGGCTGCCGCCGATAAAAAGAAGGGCATCAAGGAGGGAGAAACCGAGTCTAGCTCCCGGCTCACGCATCCAGACTGAGGTGCAACATCGCATGCTCACACGCCCCAATCGCGTGCGCTGCCAGTGAGATGACCGACAAACTGAACGCTCTCAGGAAGGATCCCCCCCCAAAAATAGCATCACGCTTTAGGTGCTCTTTCCAACTCAGCTAATGCAAGGAGGGAGACTGGCCACACCCACCGTCGCTTCCAGTACTTCCTCCACACTTGGCAGCTCCCTACGGTCGAATCTGCAGGGCACGCACGCCAGAATGACAGAAGCGTGTTTTTGTCCCCCTCTCCCCCGAAGCATTTCCCTGTTCTCCGCGCAATCCAGCTTGAAAAAGGACGCTGGGAGCCCTCAAAAACGAGCGCCGCTGACCGGATTCCGCAACTCTTCTCCAGTCTTTCTGCCTCCCGCCGCTCATTTGGCGTGTGCAACAAAAGCGAAACGCCACGCCTCCCCGCACGGCCCGTGCGGCCGCTGCGGTGTATGTACTGGTCGCTGTCGGGGACCACGCCGTATTGTATCACCTAGTACAAGACACACCCAATACAAACGGGCGCCCGTGTAGCAAAGGAGACGCGCTGGGCACGTACAACACACGAAAGTGCTTCCCCATGTGTCTCGCCTTCTCTGCTTTTCACTGCCTCTAGGGGGCGCCAGTGTGCCCGCTTCCTCCTGTGGCTCGCAGTGTGTGTGTCTCATGGCAGCATTTTTAGTCCAAGGAGGCGACAGAAACCGCTGGTCCGCATGACACGACGGCAGGGCAAGGGTGTTGGCGAACCGCACAGATACACCAGCACAAGGCTAGGCTAGGGTTTGCTCGTCTCCTGAAGGCGCGCTTTAAGGGCGTCAGCCGCTGCCACCATGAAAAGCAACAAGCCGAGAGCTTACCAGATCCACGTTGGCCACGTCAATGCCTCTTGCAGCTACGTCCGTACAAATGAGGGCCCTGTACCGCCCTGAGTGCAAGCACGCATTCAGACGGATAGACGGGCACACACAGATAGATATGCAGGCACACAGAGCGACAAGCTTGCCACCTGCAAAAGCACATTCAATGCCATCCTGTGCAAGCTTCAGCATGCTTCATGCAGCATGCGAGGTGGTTCTCCAAGTATAGCTCCTCCTACGCTTGCGTGGAGCTACGTAGGACCGCGACCACAAAGCGGTCTGTGGAGGGGTTCCTCAGAGAGGCGCAGAGAGAGAGAGAGCACCGACAAAATGATACTATAATGACTTCGGGTGCAGCCGGAGCCTTCGCCTGCCCCTCGTTGCTCTCTGCCAGTGGGGTTCCTGAACTGGCAGTCCAGCCTTCTCTGCATCGGCGTGCGGGATGCCGACGTCTTGGGGAAGCGCGGGAGAGCCTGCAGTACTGCCTTTTGCACTGCATGCAGTGGCAGCGGCTGCGCGTACAAGCCCAGATCTAAGGACTTACCACTCCTGAATCCTTGCATCACTTTTTCTCGGGTTTCTTGCTCGATGCCTCCGTGCAGCACTGCTGCAGAGAGGAGGCCCATGCCCTCCGCATGGCCTAGCGCATCCGCTTCGGCCTTCGTGGGAACAAAGACAACGCTCTGGCGGTCTCTTCCGCTCAAACACAGCACGCAATCCTTTAGAATCGAAGACAAACTGCTGGAAGACAGGCCAAACGGCAGCTCCATCCGCATGTGCGCCACCGTGGAAGACGTCCTGAGGAAAGGGGCAACAGCACTGCTGGCCAGAAGCTTGAGTTGCTCATTCACGAGGAAGCCAGAGTCAAGAGATGGCCACCTGTCCTCTTATATCTGTTTCAAAACGCATGCGGGCCTAAAACCCCTTCTACAAGGAGGCCACCAAGTGCTGTGGCCTCGAATTGTCTAGAAAGGCCGACCTGAGCGTTCGTTGATGCATAACATCAATGTTTAGCGGTGCCCTCAGATATTTGGTGGCGACTTTTTGAACCCATGGAGGCCGGGTTGCGGAGAAGAGCAGCAGCTGCTGCTGCCGAGGGAGCTGCGAAGCTCCTGCCTTGGAGGCGCTCGCCTGTGAAACGTCGGGTGTGTCTCCCTCCCCTGAAACTCGTATGGCTAGAGCAGCGGTCAGAATCGTGTCCACAGCCTCAGCAAAGCCTAACTTGAGCATTTCATCGGCCTCGTCAAGCACTACGTGTCTGATGGACTGCAGGCTGAAAAGGAAACCACAGCAGGCCCCGGGATGCGTCGCATGCACAGGCGCCACACGCGCTCGGAACGGACATCGTGCACCAGCAGAGAGGCAGGCAGAAAAAGGGGCTACTCTAGTTACGGCAGCCAGGGGTGTGGCAGGAGACTCAGGAGACGCGTGATACTCTTCGGAACACACGCACACGCATACACATACACTTGAACACACACACACACACACAAACAGAGCGAGAGAGAAAGGAAAAGAAAGAGAGAGAAGAAAGCAGGCGGTAGAGGGGTGGCCGCAGCACAGGCAGACTGAAAAAGAAAAAGACGCTTGGTGGTTTTTTGGCAAACGGGCGCCTCTAAAAAGAGAGGCCCACAAAAGCTGCGGAGACACGCCGATTGCCCGACAGGAGAGCAGCACAGACTCGTTCTCGGGAAGGGATGGGAGGCTTGAAAGATGGACGGAATGCACAGGCCCCGGAGAATGCTTAGGCGCGAGCTTTTTCGTGTAGAATACAAAAGAGGCGTGCGTGTGAAGCGGCGGAGAATGAAGCCAGTCGGTGGGCGCCTCTCACGATATCCACAAGCAAGCATGCACAGAAGAAGTTTGCACTGGAGGTATCCTGTCCTGGCGTGCTCTCGACAGGCGTCATTCGATGCGCGAAGCCGCAGCTCACGAGAGTATCGATTGAAAGTGTTCCTCTCGGCCTGAAGACTCGCCTAACCCCGCCAAGTCCATCAAGCGGCCTGGTGTAGCGACAACGACGTCCAGGGCACCCTCCGAAGGCACCAGATGCTCGTGATTAGGCCTCCCCTGCTGGTGTTGGCGTCGCGGATTTAGGAGAGCTCGAATCTCCCGCAGTTGCTGCTGTATGGGAACTCCACCGTAGACACACACAGAGGAAATACCCAAGGGGGCCCCTAGGGCCCCCACCTCGTTGTGCACCTGCCGAGCCAATTCTCCTGCGCGTAAAACGCCAGCATCTGCGTGTGTGTGTGAAGCGGACCTTGTCGAGCGGTGCAAACCACGTGCGCGCAACTCCGGCGAAGGGGAGGACGCAAAAGAAAGCCCCACGCCAGACCCTCCGAGCTTGCAGCAGCCTCACCAAGTCGCAAGGGACTTACGTGTGGGAGCGAGCACCAGCAGCTGCGGCTGCGCAACTTGAGCTCCGCGACTGCCCAGGCTCAGCGGCTGCTCTTGAGAGCCACCTGACTGCAAGAACGCATTCTGAGACGCGGCCTTGCGCCGCGCGAGAATACTCTCTAATAGAGGCAACACAAAAGCCAGCGTCTTCCCACTCCCCGTCTCGGATCGGGCAATGCAATCCTGTCCAGAAAGGATCGGATCGAATGAGCGGAGCTGCACGCAACAGAGTGGAGGCCTCGTAGCTGCACGGAAGTGAGCAAGCCTCCGCTTGCGATCGCCCTTAGGCGCCGCGCGACTCTCCTGCCCGCTGCGCTCAGACCGCATGCTACCCACATCGTGCGCTCTACACCCCCAGGAATGAGAGCCTACGGTGTATGCAACCCCCCTTTGGAACCCATAGCTTGAGGCCTTTCGAGGCTCTGGAAATTCCGCTACCTGGATGTCTGTCATATATTCAATCCCGCGCTTCGCGAGCGCTTCGGCAAACAGTGGATTGAGCTGCAGCCAGCACCACACACAATCCCACACCCTAGAGTCTCGAGCTTCCACCACCCTTCCAAACGCTACAAGCTCAACATATCCACACTCTGATAGCCGCACGCGAAAGCCCCTCCCGCCCTCAGCCCTCAGGTCTCAAACGAGCCAGCAATACGCATCGGACTTGCGAGTTCGCCGAAAATTTGATGTTTGTGAGCTCGGAAGAGGCCGTGGACTGACACACACACACACACAAACATACACACACGCATTCACATACACACACACATACACACACACATACACACACACATGCACACACATACATCCATGCGTACAGTACAGGCCCACACCCTACAAGCTGGAGCGTATTGGTCAGACTATGATAAGAAGCGACCTTTCTCGGAATTTTGGAGATCAGCTCTGCAGGGTTTGTTTGGGGAGTTTGGCGTTTACAACTCGCCTCGGGTGCAACCTGCAGTTCTGGGAAAAGGGGAGTAAGCTCTTTCCTCGCCAGCGCGGAAACGGCTGCCGTCAGACACTCAGGAGGCTCAGTTTGAATTCCTTCTGTCTCTGCAAATACCGAGGAACGCAAGGAGGTCCTTAAGGCCCCCTCTCCTCTGGGGGCCCTACTTGAGGAAAGCAAGTGGGGTAGAACCCTCCCTGCAGAAAGAAATGCAGGGGCCCTCGGAGGGGCCTCCCAGGGGGGCCTCGCTGCGCAGCGCTCTCCAGGAAGCGGTGGCATCGGACTCGCCGCGGTACCCCCCTTAGGCAGCGGCAGAGAGAGGGCAGTACAGAGGAAAGGGCAGCAGAGCTGCGGCACAAGCAGCACAAGAACCAACTGAATCGCTGCAGATCTTAGGGACCTGTGAGCGGCCATAAAGGGCCTTTTATTTGACGCGCCGGAAGGCCTCTCCCAGGGAGCGTTCCGGGAGGCCCCCCCGTCGACGAGGGGGGCCCCCGGGAGTGTGCCCAGATGAGGCATTTAACGGGGGGCCCTGGGGTATGGGTTCGGTGTGAAGGGCCTCTGGCAATACGCATTTGATTGCATGCTCTGCGGAAGCTGCGGGGGTGTTGATTTCAAGGCAGGGGAAATGCGCGAGAAGCAGCGAGAAACGGCCTCGGAAGGGCCCTAGAGGGGGGAGTTTCTGGGGGAGCAGGCGGCGAAAGCTCTGAAGCGAGTGGATACGTCCTTTGAAATCGGAGGGAAATCCACGAGAAACCTCAGACAAAAGACAAGAACGACACAATGTCAAGGAAGAAGTATTCGCCGTCAAGGGGGGCCCGCCCTCTGGGGAGAGGGAGAGGCCCCCTATCCCGCTCGCGGGGCAGGGGATCGACGACTCCCTCAAGCCACTTTTTCGCGACTCTTGCTCTAAGTGCCTGCGACTGCTTCGTTATATTTCGTACGCCTCTACGCCTAAAATATGCGTGTGTTGTAGCGCTGCTACTCTTTTCTGCTCCCGCGTAGCCTTACAGGTCCTCCAGCGGACCTCCGCCTTCCACTACACAGAGGGGCCCCCTCTTCAGGGGGGAGGGTGCTTCCGACTTCGCCAGGAGTCGAATTTCTCGAACTCCTGCATCGCCTTCTTTTCAATTCATTGGGAGGTTTTCTCGGTTTTCTCTTGGCGTGGCGCCAGCCAAAGGGGTATTGGGGCCCCCTGCGCTGGGGGCCCCTGGGCCCCCATCGGCAGCAGCGAACCAGCGCTAAATACGAGCTACAGGGGCCCCTGTCCCTCAGACGGCGATGGACGCCTTCAGAGCGAGTAACCGATTGCTCTCGCGGAACCTCCAGCGCCCTCTGGCTGCACAGCGCCTTCGGGGGCCCCTCCCGCGGATTTCCGCGGAGGTTTTTTTGAGTCGCTCTCCCGGATGTAGTTGTCAATTTTGCAGAGGGGGGCCCTCGCATCTGAGCGGCGCGCTGCTTCTGTGTGTGCTGGAAATGGATTCCCGCAGGCAGTCGCACACAAGCCCCCGCAACAGCACGGCATGGGGGCCCCCTCCAGCCGAACTCTATCAACGCAAGCCCCTGCGGCTGCAAGGCGTCGATCTGCAGCCGCGAAAGACGTGTGCAGCCGCTCTCCTAAGGGCCCTTGTTGATGTTCTCCCCGTGCTGCCGTTCGGGGCCCTGCTGAGACTCTCCTGGACCCTTCCTGCGCTCACTGCATGCAGCAGCAGCGGCGACAGCAGCCTCAGGGAAAGCTGCGACAAGGGCTGTCTTTGCGGCTCAGCTTCGACCCTTAAAGGCCAAGCGGCAGTCAACGCGCCGCCTCACCGCGTCGCAAAGGAGTGGGCCCTTCCTGTGCCCCCCCTCGTTGCGACGGCACAAGTGGCGGGAGTACAGCAGAACGAAAAGCAGCAGAACGAAAAGCAGCAGCAGACGGAGAGTTGGCGCGATGCAAAGCGTGTTCTTGCAGCGGCCCTTGTGCAGCGCCTCGGGGATATCATCCTCCCGGCAGCGGCCGGATCACGAGCAGCAGCAAATGCAGCGGCGACAGAGGCAGCGTTGTTGGAATATCCGTTGGCATTGGTTAAGGCAGCAAGCGGTGTGAGTCGTCTGCTGCCTCGCAGCAAGTGCTACCTCGAATTCGAGGGGCCTCCTGGTGCAGTGCCTGGCATCGTTTCTCCCGCTCTAAGATCTCGAGCTACCGCGCATGTGGTGGGGCCTCTCGTTTGCCGCCTTGGGGAGCTTGCGACAGCGCCTTTTGCGGATGTTTCGAGTTGGAGAGCCTCTGCCTCCTCCTCAGCAACAAGGTCAGCAGCAGGAGGGGAACGAGCCTCCACAGCTGGCGGAAGATGCCGCAGCTTGAGCCTCAGAGAGTGGTCTTCGCTGCTTGCCGCGCACAGCCGGCTGTTGCTGCCGTTGTCGCGCAGCGTAAGGGGGGCCCTGCAGAAGGAAATCCTTCGGGCGGATGCACGGGGGGGTCACTTGGGGGGGCCCCTGAATTCTCCTCCCGAAGCCTTCGCGCGCGTTGGAGCCACTGAGGACGCCAGTGGCGATCCAACGGAAGCGTCCATTGCCTTCGCTTGGAGCCGGGAAGCTCGCCGAGACTGCTGCAGCGTGCTGCAATGCCTCGCGAAGTTGCACGAAAGGACCCTGCTGAGGCTTTTGTGGCATGCCTGCGCGCCTCAGCTCGCGGCACACTTCGCGGCGGCGGAGACACGCCTCGCTGCTAGTAATCCTCTCTGCGTGATCCCAAGCTCTGGAGGCAGCACAGGGAGCAGAAAGGGGACGTGTAGCGCTTGTGAGGGTCGGGGAGACTCCGCACACGGCTTGCAAGAAGTAGCAGCGGATGCCCTCGCTACAGATGCAGCTACAGCCATCTCCGCGTGCTCCGTCATGCTAGGCGTCCTACAGATCCCCCGGAGGGCTACTGGGGGATTATCGCCTTCTTCTACTCAGCCTGGTGTTCTAGGGCGAACAACGCTGCAAGCAACGGCATTCCAACACACTATGCTATGGCTGCGTGCAGCTTTGAGTGCGCTGGCAGCAGCCGAGGTGCTGCGTGGAGCCTCTCGAGCAGAAGAAAAGTCTGAAGACCCCCTTCACAGACCCCTAGGATACAGAAACTTTTTGGCTGGCTCGTCGGAGGGTAGACAGGCTGTCGCTGCGCTTCTCGCTGCAGCTGCAGCAGACTCAACCGCCTCCGCTGCTGCAGGAAGCACTGCTGAGCCGCCAGGAGTGTCAAGGGCTAACGCGAAGTCTCTCGAAAGCAACTCTTTGAGGACCCTTCTCGAGGACCTGCCCTTGCACACACTGCAGTGGCTATTAGCGCAGGTGTGCGATGTGCGCCTCCCGCGGCGCCTGTTGGCGCTGTCTGCACCGTTTTTAAAGGGTTTTATCTGGCAATGCAGCATTTCTGCAAGCCTTTCTCCAGCACTTCATGGGAAGTGCGTGCTGATAATCCCTTTTTTGCTGCGATCAGGTTGAAGGGAGCCCGAAGGGCCCCCGCGGTAGGACCTCACGCATGGAGATGCAGGTGCGGGCTTCCCCTTCCTCCGCGCGAAATTACACGGAATGAGCCTGCTTACTACACACTGGAGCATCAAGAACCCTAGATCTGCAGCGCTACCTTGGCTGCAGTGCCTTCAGCCACCGCTCTTCCTTAGTCTAGAACGGCTGCTCTTGTGCTGTCTCTTCCTCCCCGCAGGTCGTTGCGACGATTCAGCAGCTGCTCAGGACCGAGCGCTCACCAAGAGATTTCGAGGCTCTCAAGGGCCACCCGCAGCGGCTCGCGTTTGCCGAGACCCCCTGGAGGATATGCAGGGAGGGCTCTGCGCTCTGTTTCAGCATTGATTGCGCACTCATGCCGAACATGGTGCCCCCTTAAGAGTTCTCACACACACTTTGAGGTGCCCCTAGGACTTAACGGAGCGCTGGTGAGGCTTCAAAGGGATCCTGGATTCCGCTGTAAATGGCTGGCAAGGCTCAGTGCGTAGGCGCGTGGGTGGGGGTGCACCTAGCCTCCGGATCGTGGGTGTCTGGGTAGGGTGTTGCGGCTTTTGGGGAGTCGTTCTCCTCTGCGCTCAAGTTTTAGAAGCAGCCACGGAGATTCTCCGGAATGATTCTGGAAATGCGCCACTTTTGCCGCGGTTGCTGCTGTGTTGCTGCCGCAGCAACACAGCAGCAACACAGCAGCAACCGCATGGACAGCTGCCGACAGTCGGAGGGCCCTGGCCAGCATGAGCTCTCCTCCATCCTTCTGGGTGTTCATTCCTCGTGTTGCCGCTCCTTCCGCAAATAAAACTTGATTTCATACGCGTGTATGGCGTCAAGAAGCAGCAAGCAAGTGCACTAGTCAGGATCGCTCTACCTGCAACGGCAACCGCTGTTGCGGGTGCGCATGACCGTTGTGAGACTAGACGGGATGCAGAAGCCGTTTTTCGCACTTATTTTCTTTAAGCCGCCTATAAAACCACGTCTGCGCTTTATTTGATCCTGTATACCGCACTGATCGCGCCAGTTGATCCTCGTCCGCAGCCTTCGGGCTCTAGGGGCCCTGCGCAATCGATGCGTACACTGGACCGCTGGTCTTCGAGAGCTCTTGCATTGCGTGTGCAGTTAAGCGCATGCAATTTCAGGCTGCCCTAATCCGCACTTGCAGGCAGCTAGTCAGACGCGGCTCGACACTTACTTACCCAGCAGCAAGCCGCCTGCCTTTCGGCCTCTCACGCACGACGCGGTGCCTATGAGTGTACTTCCGCCCCTTGCAAGGGGCTTCACAGACCAAGCACAAGCAGCAGCAGCATTGAACGCGTCAACTGACGCTTCCGCTGTCTCTCCCGCTGCTGCCGCCCAGCAGGCTGCGCCTGCTGCTGCAGGCCTCCAAGGATGGCCGTCCTCTCCAATGCTGCACTACCCACAGGGGGGTCCCCTGCCTTCCCACGCGCCTGTGCCCCCTGGAGCACTCGGAGCTCCCGGGGTGCCTCAAACGCCTCAGTTGGAAGCCGTAAACCTGCGAATCTCGGCTTTAATGGACCTGGTGCGCTGCTGAAGGCCTTTTTGGCCGACATCCACTGCCTTGTCGCCGGCTCATCTGCTGACGCGCTCCGTGCCCCTCTGTTGCATGCTGCGCCTGCCGCGGCGTCTGCCTGTTTGCGGCTTTCGGCGTTGCACTGCGTCTACGACCTCTCAAGCTCGCCGCTAAAAATCCCCTGCACTCTCCGAATGCTGCCGTCTGCCCTTCTAAGAACACAGCCTGTATCACAATCTTCTCTTTTAGAAGGTCTTTCTTTATTCCCCTCTTTCTGTGTCCAGTATTTCCTCCCACCCGCCTTCCCCGCCTCGGAGCACCCCTTGGCGCTTGGGTGCCACCTCCTGCGTCTTGTTTCTGCGTGCTCGTATACGCACTGCGTGTGCTTTCCGCATGCCGTGCCTTCGGTCTTGCAAGCGTTGTCTGCTGCACTGGCCTCACCATCCCTACCCCTCGCTCCCATCTCGCCGCGGCGGACTAGCTGCCTACACGTCCAGTGCATCCTTCTCGTGCTGCCCTAGTGGGCCCTCAGGACGTTCCCCTCTACACGTGCATGTATGTAAGTATGGGTATGTAGCGGTATGTAAACATATGCATATCTATATCTATATATATTTATGTGTATGTGTGTATATTTGTATATATTCCTGTGTGTCTGTGTATGCGTACATATGTACGTGTATCTACGTGTGTGGATGTGTATGCATATGGATGTGTGCTCCGGTGTATGAACACCCCGGTCTTGGAACGCTCACCCCGTGTGCTCGCATTTTCCTCTCCCCCTCTCTCTCCCCATGGCTTTCGCTGCATGCTCTTGGTTCTGTGTGACTCCCCTCTTTTCGTGTTCTCCAGTATCAGCAGCAGCTTGTCGAGCTGAGCGCGGCGCACTCGATGCTCCTGGTAAGCCTTCAACCCTCCACCCAATGCGCACTCACCCAGCCTTCTCCTTCCATGCATCCTGACTGCCTGCTGTGTAGCCGCTGCCCTAGTAGATGCAAGGACCGGCAAGCGGGCAGCTCCTTGCTCATGCCCCTTTACGCTTGTTGCAGCTTTCCGGTGGGGAAGCCCTTGCTCAGCAATCCAGGATGCGTTTCAAAGTGATGTGTGCTTCGTAATATCAATTGTTCAGACGGACCAGGAGCAGTTGGCAGCCATGCTGGCGCCTTATGTGGACAGTGACGGTCATCCAGTTGTGCCTCTGAGCGACGACTTGCTCTTCATCAAGAGGGGGCTGGATTTGAGGCTTCTTGAATTCCAAGAAGACTGCAGACGCATTCAGGTACACGCCCATTGCAGCAACGCAGCGAGTCTCCCTGCAGAACGAGGCTGATAGAGTATGGAGGCAGTGGCAGAGTGCAACTGGACCGTGGATTCACCAAGGGAAGGAGATTACGCGAATCCCGAAATATTTATATAGAGAGAGAGCAAATGAGAGAGTAGAGCAGGCACAAACAGAGTTGCAACGTTGATTACTCTGGCGAGTGTAACGCGTTGCTCTCCAGGATTCTCTGCACGTTCTGTTCCTCCCTAGCCGGGTGACCTTGCTGGTGGTTGCACAAGAATGGCTCGTTCGCTCTGCTGCTGCAAGTCGTATTTCGCTAATGTTTGGCGGTAAATGTCTTTATGTATATGTGTATGTATGCCTTTTATGCACGTGTCAACGTGTCGGCCCCTGTCGTTTGTATGTACGTGTATTCCTATATTGGACAGTGCACCCCTATTTAGCTGTAGCTTTACGTGTTCCTCTCCAAACCCTTCAGCTCCCTTTACCTTCTTTCCCTCATCTAGCCTCTACACTTCTGTTGCGTTTTTCGCAAATGTGTTTTTGACCTTGCTCCTCTCCTGAATACAGCCCGTTTTTCGCTCCCCTCTCTTCTCATCTGCTTTGTGGGAGGGCCCAAGGGGGAGGGGGGGAAAACGGGGGAGAGGAGGAGGTTTTTTGCTGCTTCCAGTGGGTGTGAATGGCCATATGCCTCCCCTTGTACGCATCTTTCTATCTCTCGGTGTGCCTCTCTGCATGATGCGCGCGTGTCGGATGACGCTGCTTGGCTGTCGGAGGAGCGAACGAAGGGGCAAAGGGTTCTGCTTCTACTTTTATTGCCTTCTTGCGGTGTGTAGTTTTTGTCGGGGAACCTGGAAATTTCATGCACAGTTTCTGTGTCAGTGAATGGAGCCGCTGCTGTGCATCTTGCATCAACCCTGCTGGTGTGTCCGTGCGGTGGAATTTCTCACAGAAAACGGAAAATACACTGCAGCGTCAGCTGGATGAACTTTCTCTCGGATACGACGCAATGGTTTTGGAGGCTCAAGGTGAGGAACTGAGGGGCTTTTAGCGCGGTTGCTAAGAATACGTAAACATGCGAAAGGGCACGAGAGGGCCAGTGCGACTGTGCTCGAATGGGAGGGAAGCCCGACAACCGCAGAAAGAGATCCCCGTTGGGGTAAAGCCGCAGAAGGGCGTTCATGGGTGAGCGCAGGGGAAGCGATTTCGCAATGAAAGCTTATTGTCATCCCGCTTCTCCTTCGCAGCCTTCATCTGCAGTATTGGGGAAACACCAGAGGGTCTGTGTGTTTGTTTCTACAGGATTCGCTGAGTCCAAATTGATGGGGCAAGTCAAGGACTTGAAGAAAATCGTCACGTGCGTCTTTGTAGGGGATGGGGTGGAATGGTTTCTCCATCGAGTGTATGGACGAATGCTCGCTTTTTCGCAGCCTTAAGGCTTGAGCTCATCAGGGAGCACGCACAAGCGTATATGCCTGTCTCGTCACGTCATCGAGCAAGCGGAGCTGCTAGTGGGAGCGAGAAAATAGACTGCCAGTGCGCTTTGCGTGCTGCTGCAGTTTGCTGCAACTCGAGTTGGACGAGTTGCGTTTCCAGCGAGACGTTTATGCAGACGAGGCAAAGCGCCTGCGGGGCGTTTGCCGCTACGGAAACTGGATTCAAGATGGTGGGCTCGCTATTTTGTCAATACGGCAGGCCCTTGGTCATGAGCTAGATAACCAATTCTTCATCTGTACACCTGAACATATCTAGCGAGTTGCACTTTTGCACAAACGCATTCGCGGAGTGCCGGCTGCTGTGCCCCGACAAAAAATAGCAGGAGGCTTTAAATGAGGCGCGGGAATAAGCGTTTAGAAAATGCAAAGGTCACCGTGCAGAATATAGTTCAATCGTTCCCCTATACAGGAGGGGGTGTCTCTGTGCGTATTTCTTCGCTCATGGTACTGTGCCCCTCTGTCTAATAGACGTCTAGAAGAGGGCACGTGCTCTGACTTTCTCCGTTCCTCGGTAGCAAGCTTGGGCCCCTACTATCCACCAACTCGATACTTTACATGGCGCCTGTTTGGGGTTCGCTCTTTTTTCGTGCTTCTGCCTTTCGACACATGCCTGATCGATTCGAGAATATGGTGCTAGGTACGTGGAGCCAGTTACGTATGTATGCTTCCATGACAAGCAGAGTACGACTTGGGAAGCGAGGCTGTGGAGTGTTGCAGGCCTTGCGGATCCCTTGGAACCCCCCAAGGTAACTCCTCGGACGCTTCATCAGAAGTACAGCGGGGCCCCCGTGCAGCACAAGTACGCCCAACGTCATATCCACCTTAGAATGGCATATATATAATATATATATATATATATATATATATATATAGAGAGAGAGAGAGAGAGAGAGAGAGAGAGAGAGAGACAGAGGGGGAGAGAGAGCTTGGCTCTTGTTTTCCGTAGGGCGTTTTGGGTTTGGAGCGTGGGTGCAGTTGGATGGTATGCAGTTGCTTCATTCCACACACACGTACACGGAGAATAACGCAGTTGAGGGAACCCTTTAATGAAAACCTCACTGAAGCTATGCTTTTCTGTTGGGTACCGTGGTAAACGGGTGCAGGCGGGTACATATTGGGAGTCAGAGGCTTTCGGACTTATTCTTGCACGCTCCGCTGTGTGTGCTGCAGAGCCAAAGCCATAATTGGCAAGGCAATTCAGAAGTCTGAAAAGGGTACTTACCTTTATCGCGAGCATGAGGGAGAAGCCTGCGAAAGCACCGAGTCTTTAGAGTGCGCCCCAGAGGAGACGCCTGTCTGGACGCGAATCCTCTCTGGATTATTCCCTGGCCGTAAGGCGGACGCCAAGATGGCCGCTAAAGGGGCCTCTAGGGGGGTTGCTGTCAAGGATGCGCCTGTGGGGAGAAGGAAGAGTGAGAATGACGCCGTAGATAGGGAACAACGTCACAGGCGAAACACGACTGCCGTCGTGGGGCTTTGTTCGGTAGATACAGCCGTGCCTCAGGGACGTAGGCCAAAAGAGGCTTTTGCGGCGCCGGGAGCCCCCCCTGAGGCAAAAAGAGACATCGAAAGAGAGAGGGCTAGGGCCCCTGCTAGTCTTTGGGGCCCCCTACCTCAGAGCACCGCATCAGAGAGCTTCGAGCACAGAAAGAGCGAGCGCCTCGCTAGGTCGTGCTCCCCTGAAAAAGATTTTTCGGGAAGCGTCCCTCAAGCTCCACACTCGCACAGCGACGAGGGCCCCCATGGGTATCGAGAGGCTCCTGGGGCTTATTTAAGGCACCATACAGGGGCTTCCCGATTACGCTCGATGGGCAGTTCGGTCCACTCAGACGGCCCTCCCTTTGCAGACGAAGGGGGCCCGCTGGAAACTGATGGGCACCGTAGGCGAACGTGGGGAGACGAGGAGGCCCTTCCTCAAAGAGCGGCGCCGCTAGGGGGCCTTTCCGAGATAGGGCCGACAGAGCAGCTATTGGGAAGGCTTCAAAGGCTGGGGTCGAGAACGATCCCCTCCCCTCAGGTGGCGTCTCCCCGATCGTCGTACAGGACTGGCGTGCCCCCCTCAGGGGCCCACATGCCGAGCAGGCAGGCGTCTATGGCCTTCCTCGGTTCCGTAGATGGCGGCTCAGGGGCCCCTAGCCAGAGGGAGAGTGCCAGTAGGTACACTAGAAATGCTGGTGAGCTCCCCGATCAGCGCCTCATGAGGGCCTCTAGCCGATCTCCCTTGGTAGCCTCACCGGGGGCCCCCAGGACGCTTCAGTCGCCTCGAGATCTCCCCAATGTGCGTTCAGACTCGGGTAGGCCCCCCGTTTCCAGCTTGGACCTTTCGCGTGTGCGTGCACATAGCTGAGCACGTGGAAGTGCCTCTGGAGAAATGCCGCATGGGGGTTACCGTGCGGCGGGAACTCCCCCAATGTAATTTACTTTAGTGATTTGCCTTTCGCTCTTTGAGATCAGCTACTTTTGGTAGAGAGGCACGGAGGGACTTGCTCAGGAGCCGCCCTGTGCGGGGGGCCTCTCTCTTGACTAGCAACAAAGCTCTCCCCGTTAGCTCCCTCCCCCTCAGAGGCCCTTTCTTTTATTGCCCCGTCGCACGCAATCGCAGAAAATTCTATTTGACCTCCCAGAGGCTCCCTTGAGCCAAAGTCCCCCCTACCACCCTTGAGGGGGCTAAGCTGCGCGTTTACAGATACACCTGCACTCTTCTTCTACAGAGTAGATATGACGAACTGTTGCCTGTAAGGCCTAGCCTTCCTCCTGGTAGGGTCAAGGGCCCCTAGAAGCCTCCTTACGGCTCTTCAGAGCAGGCCGTTGCAAGGGCCCCTACAGGGGGCCTCTACTGGCTCTCCTCCTGCAGTTTTTGTGGGCACACAGGGACGCCGAAGCCAAATTGGGTATTTTAGAGGGATTTGCTGCTTCATAGGCGTCACTTGCAGTGTTGAGCTCTGCAGCCCTTCCATCCAACGACGCCCTCCCGACATAGTCCTCGCACCTGCCTACACCCTAGGGAAGGCAAACAGCAGAACTCTAATATCAAGTCTCAAATCCAAAGCCTGCACCTTAAAGTGCTTCGCGCAAATTAAGGCCTAAAGCCGTCTAGAGGGCTGACACCCAAGGCCCCATGAGTGAACCCCATCTTCAACCCCCAAGGGCCCACAGGGGGGCCCCCGCGTGCCTGTTGCTCATGTTGGTTCTGCAGCCTCAAAGCGCAGCACTATCCGTTTTATCCACATAGCAAGGCTTTCCTGATTTCTTGGGGGCAGCAGCTGCTGCTGCCTTGCAGCGGCCACCAGCAGGGGAGGGCCCCAGGATGCTTCCTGCTGCCTCCGAGGCAGTGGGGGCCCCTGGGGGCCCCCCTGCAGCGCCGAAACCCCCTACTTCAGCACAAGCCGTACCTGCATGCGAGCACCGGCCGCAGCAGCAACAGCAGCAGGCGAAGCAGGAGGAGCACGAGCGGAGAGGGCAGCAAGAGCCGCAAGAGCCGCAAGAGCAGCAAGAGCAGCAAAAAGAAGTGCAGCGGCGTGTGCTATTGCTTCTTAGGCGTGACTTCGATGCTGCCCTTGGCAGCCACAGCGATAACACACCCCCAGCAGCAGAGCATGCAACAGGAGCAAGAGAAGCAGAGGAGGCAGCACCGCTACCCCCCGCAGCAACAGTGCTGCGCCTGCGTTTATCCCGTCGATTCTTGGACGATCGCTCCGAACGAATGATTCTTTTGGGAACCGCCAACTTTCTAGCCACCCTTGGACGGTAAATTTAAACCGATATAAGCAGTTGTTGTTTGTTGCCACGAAGCCAACAACACCAGCAACACTCAGACACACACACATATTCACTCATGTGTATTAGGCGCGTTCTGCACCTGTACTCCCTCTGCGCCGTTAAATCAACTTTTCTTCTTTCTCTCTGTATTTCCTAGGGTGTGCTGTCTCGAGAGTCGGTGCATTTGTGGATCAGGAGTCTAGGCTTGTCCTTAGACTGCATTTGCGCGGCCTTGTGCTTCTTCTACCTGGGTGCTGAGCGGCAGCAAGAGCAGCAGCAAGAGCAGCAACAAGAGCAGCAACAAGAGCAGCAACAAGAGCAGCAACAAGAGCAGCAACAAGAGCAGCAACAAGAGCACCAGCAACAACAGAAACACCGCTCTCTCCGCCTGACAAACAGGAAGGCTGCAGCTGCAGCTGCACTTCTCCTTGCGTGGAAGTTGCTTGATGACAATGATCCCGTCAAGTACGTTGTGGAGGTGCTGGTGCTTCTGCTGCTAGCACAATTGGCAGCTTGCTTGCTTTTGCTGCGCGCCTGCCTGCCGAAGGTGCTGCTGCTGCTGCTGCTTTACCGTGTACTCAGGAGTCAGAGAAGGGTGCAGTGTCTCGCCAGGGCTTTCTACAGAGTTTCGCAACGACAAACAGCAGTCCAAGTGGCTGCAGCCTATCGCTTGTTACGAGAGCAGCAGCAGCAGCAGCAGCAGCAGCTGCTGTCGAGGGAGCCAATAGAATCGCAGCAGGAGGAAAACTCTCAGCATTCGCTACACGAGGCGCAGCAGGTGCTGCAGCAGCTCGTATCCTCGTCGTCTGTGTGGCTGCTTCGAGACGGGGGTGTTTGCTCTAGGCATCTTAGCAGCCTTATCAAGCAAAAAGAAACATTGCTGCTTCAGTCTATATCCTTCAGGCTAGGACGCCCTCCACTCCCCTTTGCTGCGCTTGGGAGACACGTCAAGCTTTTTCTACAGCCTTGCAGCACGAGCGTTTGCAGCAGCAGCAGCTGCTGCTGCAGCCGCTGGTCTCAGAAAGGTGCTGCGTTCGCTGCTCTGCTGCATGCCTTAGAATATCGCAGCAGCGAAGAGCTGCTGCTGTTGTACTGCACGCCTCTGGCGCTGGAATTGGAAGCTCCTCTTCTTGCAGCTGCGGCTCCCATTGCAGCTGCCATCGCCTTCGATTTGCCTTTCGGGGGTCCTTCCTCGAAGCTGCCTGAGCAAAGTGCACAAGGCGCTGTGCCCCCAGCTAAGAGAACCAAGCGGGAGGAGGAAGAATTGCGTGCAGCCGCGTTCACAGACGCTCCTGCTGCATCTGCCGCTGCAGCGACTACTCAGACAGCGCGCGAAGCGGCCAGAGGTGCTGCTGCCGCTGCCGCTGCTCCTTCTGCTGCTGCTGCCGCTGCTCCTTCTGCTGCTGCTGCCGCTGCTGTGCAACAGCTGGCCGCCTTTGATAGACATGTCCGCCACTACCTCTCGGCAGCCGCTCTCCTTTCGCACGTTCCTAGTGGAGCGGCGCCAGAAGGCGACGACGCAAAAGGAGCAGCACCACGTGCAGGTGCTAGCGGAAGAGTACCAGGCTTCTCAGCGGACCTGCACCCTCAGAGGGTGCAGCAGGTGCTTCGCTTGCTGCGTCAGTGCCGCGTGTGGCAGTTCGACTTGCTGCATGCACGACCCCGCATTCGGCTGGGAACAGGGCCCCCTTGAGCCTCGCAGAGAGGCCTCTTCGCTGGCCACCTAAGAGCGCTCGCACATTAGGACGGAGATACGACATCGTAAGCGACGGGAGATATCTTCCCGTCACGGGGTGCAACAGACTTAAGTGGGACTGCAGCCAACGTACTCAAGGAGCTGCTTTCAAGGTAGTCACCTTCCCCCCGCACTACGCAGAAAGCTTCCCAGCAACGGCCATAGGCTAGAGAGAGGGCTGGCACACGTAGGGGAAACCACCTAGCCTTACACCTGCGTAAATTGGATCCGAGCACTGAGTGGACGCCCATCACCTAGCGTTAGAGAAAGCGCAGAGAGACGGGCATTCCCTAGGTGTTTTCGTTAGCGTAGGCCTCGACACGCGCATGCAACGCTTCTTCACGCTTCCCAAACTTCGCCGCAGTGCACCTAACGCTGTGACCTTTCGAAGTGGCGAGAGCAAGCTTTTAGAACTGCTTCTCTCGCACCAGAAGACCACACAAAAGGAAGGAGCACGCGCCACATTGTGGCTTCCAAAGGTCTGTCGTTTCTCAAGGACAGGAAATTCAGGGGGCCCTTCTTCCTGTGGCGGCGTCTAAAAAATTTCAGTCGTCGGCTTTTACTCTTCTGCTGCTGCTGCTACTAGACCTGCGCTCTCGTGTCTGCGCGGGAAGACAGCGCGTAGCTGTTGAGGCATGCTGATTCGAACTCTTGGCAGCGATGCGAATGCGGAGCGAGGGGCCCCGAGAGCCTCTAACATACAGCTGAGCTGCTGCTCCACGCGCAGCAGAGCTGCTCCGCCAGCTGGAAACAGTGGCTGGGGAGCGTGAATTAAGGAAACGTAGAGGAGGAAGGCTCAGGGATTTGGGTGTATGAGGGACCGCTTCTTTGGCCCCTCACTTCAAAATATTGACGCCATCATCTCTCAAGCCGACAACAAACACACGTGTTTAGCACACTCTACCCATCACACCCCCCTTTGAAGCCCTCGTACCTTCTTTACTGCTTTCCCCCATGTGATCCGCCACAGCCGAGGCGCTTCCGCTGCGCATGGTCAAGGCTCCTCGTTATATTAGCTATGCGCCGTCTGCTCGCGGAGATGCGACAACAACGCAGGCGTAGCAGCAGCAGGAGAATGCACAGCGGGCGATGGACCCTGAAACGCAGCCTCGGGAAGAAGGGATCCGGAATACCGCCTTGCCGTGGCTTTTAAGCTGACTTTTTGGTGTTGTGCAGGATGTTGTTTCTTTCCCCGAAAGCAGGGGGAGACTGCATGCGCTTTTTCAGCAGGCTACGTTCTACGCGGTGGGCTTGGAGGCCTGCCTGCCTTCACTCCGCCGCATGCAAAGGCATTTCATGACAGCCTACACACGCACTACGGCTTTCAACACAGCAGCAAGCCCCCGTCTTCTGGAAGGCGCTAAACGACTCGAGGTGCTTTACAAAGAGGCCCTTTTACCAACTAGATGCTATATCTCGAGATGCAGATATTGCTACAGCCGTGCTCCTGGGGATGCTCCGTCTGCTGAAGCGTCGGAGATTCAGAGATTTGCCGTTCCAAACTATATAGCATGTGGCAAGGCACGCATGCAAAACAGCACCCTTCCACAACGCACTAAAAAGAGCAGCCACCTGTGCTGCGGTTACAGAGTGACCGCAGCGGCTGCACCAGCAACTCCCAGCGATTGAGCTCCTGTACTACTCGGCACAACACGCACTGTGCTGTATGCTGTAGCTCCCCCAATGCCCGTAAGACACTGGAGCGCTGAACTACGGCTATGCTGACCACCAGGCAGGCATATCCTGGAGAAGCAGCAGCTGCTGCTGCTCCTCTGGCGTGAGCTGTAGCAGCACCGATAGAACTGGAAGCAGCTGTTGCGCTGCAGAGTCGCCCTTCTTCAGGAAGACTAGGTACTTCAGGAGCACGTGTTTAACGTATTCCATATTCACCGGGCTGCTAGTATTATTGCTGCTGCTACGGCTACTAGTACTATTGCTACTGGCACTATTACTGCTGCTGCTATTGCTGCTACCGTTCGCAGTGCAGGATATGCCGGTCTTTGGAGAGCCAAGGGGGGGAGGAGGGGGCGGAGGAGGAGGAACCTCGACGTTATTTCTGTCCTCCGTGTTTCTAATGGTGCTGCTGCTGGTATCCAGAGGTTTCTGCTGCTCCAACCGCCCTTTACTGAGCCTGGCGACTTCTTGCTGCATCAGCAGGTGCTGCCTCTGCAGCTCTTCTTGTTGCAGCAGCAGCAAGTCGTGCTGCTGCTGCAACGCATCGAATTCTCGTTGCTTCGTCAACAACAGCTGCTGGTAAGGGGAGTCCGTTGCGTCCTGGTGCTCAACGACGGCACTTTCCCGCTGTTGTTGCAGCCGTTTGCGCAATTTGCTAATGGCAGCCTCCTTGCTATCAAGCAGCAGACGGGCATGTTGCCTGTGCCTCTCTAAGGCCTGCTTCTGCTGCTCAAGCTGGTGCTGCTGCTCCTGCTGCTGCTGCTGCTGCTGCTGCAGCTCCTGCTGCAGCTGATTTCGTTCCTGCTGCAAAATATCTGCCCTTTCCTGCTGTCGCTCCACCTCTTGCTGCAGCTCCTCAAGGCGTTGCCGCTCTTCTGCAAGCCCCTCGCAGTTCGCACCCGCAACTACCGCCATGTTGGTACCGTCTCTGCTGCTGCTGCTGCTGCTGCTGCTGCTGCTGCTGCTGCTGCTGCTGCTGCTGCCTTGACTGAGGTCACCGGTGTCAAGCATCGGCTGGAGCTGCTGCTCTTGTTGCTGCTCTTGTTGCTGCTGCTCGGCGCTTGCTGCTGCCTCATGCTGCAGATCCAGGAGGTGGCATTTGCTGCACTTCCCTAAGTAGCGGTCTGTAAGGGCATCTGCGGCAGTTGTTGCAGCGGCTGCTGCTGCAGCCTTCCGTTGCTGCAACAACTGTAGAAGGAGTGCGGCCTTCTCCTTGGTGAGAGCAGCAATCTGCTGCTCCATCTCGGCGATCCTCTGCTCCTGCTGCTGCTGCAGCTGCTGCAGCTCGCGCTGCTGCTGCTGCTGCTGCGCACCTGAACAGGAGGCCCCTAGCTGCTTTTCCTCCTCGCACTCAAGGTAGCGCCGATGCAAGCTCTCGGAAGACATTTGAGGAGCTGCTGCTGCTGCTGCTGCTGCAGCTGCTGCTGCTGCTGCATCGCCTGCAGTCGCTGCCCCTGCAGCGGCAGCGATGCGCTGGAGTTGAAGCTCATGGGGAAAGAGCAGCAAACAAAAGGAGGCAAGAGCTTCTCTGTCTCTTTCGAGCCGCATAAGGTGCGTGGAGAGTCTCTGGATGCATACGAAGACATCGATCCCAGTGTTTGCGACGCCGCTGGTGCTGCGGCTCGTGGTAGTAGGAGTGGTAGTGATGGAGCTGCTGCTGCTGTTGTTTCCCGAGGCATCGACGTCATCCGCAGACACAGCAGCAGCTAGCTTCCCATCGATAACGCCGAATTTTTGCAAGACGTCCAGCAGCAGCATGTGCTCTTGTTGTTGCCTCTGCAGCAGCTGGTCGTACTGCTGCCGCTGCGCTGCTGCCGACGCCTCCGCATGCTTGCTGCGCCGCAGCAGCAGCCTTGCATCCGCATCGCGTTGCTTTAGCTGCCGCAGCAGCAGGGGAGCATCCAAGTCGTCAAACTCTTCCTCCTCCTGCTCGCCATCTGCCTCTGCCTCCTCTTCTTCTGCCGCTGCGTTTGCTGCTGCCGACGAACCCCCTGGGGGGGGGGGGCGTATTTCTGCTGCCGCTGCTGGATCGGCAGCAGCAGCAGCGGGAATAAGGCCGGCTATAGAGTGGAAAAGATCTCCGCTACTGCGAGCTCCCGCCTGCAAACGCGCAGCAAACGATGCAAGTCCTTTTGCTGCTGCACCTGTTGCTGCTGGCTTTGCAGCTGCCGTGCCTGAAGGAGGCGCGGGGGGCGGTAGAGGATGCTGGATGGAGTCTCCCTGTAGAGGCATCGATAACTTCCAGCGTGCAGCCTCGATCACGGTGAAAGGCCTCTTTATTGTGCCTCTTTCGCCGCGTGGTCTTACGGCGTTCTTCGTGTGCTTGAACCTTGCTGCTCCTCCGAAAGGAGTTGGCGGCTGCTGCTGCCGCCGTCGCCGCTACAAGCAGAGTCCAAGCAACAGCCACCAGGCAGCAGATAGGGCAGGCGCAGCAGGTACTCCCTGTGAGTGCAGACGCTTCGGCGACGCAGTACAACCACGCGCATTGAAAATCCCGCACAGAGTGCGTGTAGCAGACAGCGGCAACAAGAGCCACGAAAAGTACCCCTGTCTGCTCTAGAAGGCGCTTCCCCTTGTCTGCAGATGAAGATCAGCAACTGCGTCTCGGCTGCTGTCTGCCGGGAAAGCCATGCGCGTGCAGAAGGGGGCCTCTAGGCACTTCCTTGCATTGCCTGCTCTGAATGCGCCTGTGCTGGCGATGTGTACTGCGTTTTTCACGGCTCCTGGAGGGTGCAAAACGGACATGAAAATACCTATAATCAAAGATTCTCCACAGCGTCACTACAGGAGGAGTAGCTGCTTTGCTGCAGCCATTTTTTGTGCTGCCACATGTGACCGCCGCGCGTGTCTCCGGCGCTGCGGCGAGGGGCCCCTCCGGCGGGCCGGAGGGGCCCCCCGCCGCAGCGTGAACATCGTCAATAGTTTTTAATTTAATGCTAAATACGCAGCATCCATGACGTGTGCACACATATATACTCACATACACATGGCTTCGCCTCTTTTGTGAGCCTATTGGTGTATATATCAGCGATGGTGCTATATAGCGGCTGCCTTGTCGGTGTTGCCGCTTGCGCATTCTAACCCCGAACCAGAGCCACCTCACAGGAGATCCTTTAACGCGCCTCCCACTAGCGAACGGAGGATCTTTTGGAGAACGCTGAATTCATGCTTCACGGCATTTAAAGGCGATGCAGCAGCCGGCGGGAGCAAGCCACCAACTGCACGTTCACGAGAGTCACCCTTACCAGGAACTGCCACAACCCCTGCACCAACAGCACCCCGAAGAGCAACAGCAACAGCAAGGAGAGAAGCGGCAAGAAGTACAACAGCACCCCGAAGAGCAACGGCAGCAGCACCAACACCTGCCGCATATCCAGCGACTTCAGCAGAATGGGTTGCTTTGGTGCCACTCCTTGAAACGGCTGCTGCATTTGCGCGCTGCGTTCGAGCCGCAGCTGCTGCGGTATTTTTGGTGTCCTTTGTTGCTGCTGCAGCAGCTGGAGCAGGATGAACTGCATTCCACAGAACGGAGAGGCAGCGACAGGGGCACTCTGAGCGCGCATGCGCCTTCCGCAGATGCGACTGCACCTGCAGGGGGATCGGAAGCATCTCGGAGCAGCCGCCCAAGCTGTGCTGTTGCTGCGGAAGCAGCAGAGCTGGACCGCTTTGCTGCAGCAACCAGCGCTCTTTGCGGCAGTTCTTCCTGTCGCTGCTGCCCCCAAGACACTGCAGCAGCAGCGGCAGCAGCAGCTGAAGCAAGTCGCATCCGCACCTCCAAGCGACGGCGCAGGCTGCTGAGTAGCCTTGCTGCCTCCACAGCTGCTGCTCTTGACAGTTCTCACGATGAAGACAGTCGCACAGAAGTGCATCAATACGTGCAGTTGTTGCTGCTCCAGAAGCACCTGCTGCTGCTGCCAACTCCCCAGCTTCCGCGAGGAGACGTGGTCGTGTTCGCATGCGACTGGCTGCTGTTGCTGCAGCGGCTGCTGCAGCAGCAGCAACGGAAGGCAGCAACGGAAGCATCAGGAGGGGCAGCAGTTCTCAAAGGTCTACCCAGCAAGCACCCTGTCGGCTTATCTGAGAGCAGCAGACGATTGCTGCTGCTGCCCGTCGCGCTGCCAAAGCAAGTGCAAAGCCTCTTTCGCTGCGTGTTGCTGCAGGTGCAGCAGCAGGGGATGCTACATCAGGAGCTGCTGCTAGCCGCTTTTGAGGGCTATTTGCTGCACTGGCTTCAACGCCGTGCAGCAGCAGCGGCTGCCCTTTCGGATGCAGCAGCAGCAGCAGCGCATGCTGAGAAAGCCGCCGCTGCTGCCGCTCCTGCAGCGCGTTCCTGTAGGCAAGAGAGCGAACAACCTCCTGCAGCAGCAGCAGCAGCTAGAGGTGCAGCAGCCCGGCGGAAGCTGCGGGAAGTGCAGACAGCAGCTGCCCGGCTGCTCTCCTTGGCAGAGGCAGGCGCGATGCAGCGGCTTCGACGCATGCACGAACAGCAGCACAAAGACTGCTCGCCAACGGGAGGAGGTGAAGGTTTCTCCCGTGAGGGGGAGGACAGACGGAGCGAGCTGGCAGAGCAGCAACATCGGCAGCGGCTAGAGGTGCTGCAGGAGCTGCTCAGTCCCAAGACGCAGCACACGAAGAATTTGTCTGCCTTTTGCTGCCCTTGCAGTCGGTGGCTCTGGGGGAGTGGCTTTTCGGGGGGGTTGTGCCCTTTGTGCTTGCAGCAGCAGAAGGAAACAGCTGCGAGAGCGCTGCTGCTGCTGCTGCAAGGCTTTGGCGTGCTTCGCTGTGCTCCCCTGTTTGCGCGGCAGCAAAGCCCACAGCAAATTTTGCTGCTATCAACGCCGACACTGAGCACTCTTTGCCTGTGGCTGCAGCAGGGAGAAGCCGAGCTGCTCCAGCGTATACGAGCGACTCCCCACAGCGAGATGCTGCTGCAGCAGCTGCAGCAGCAGCTGCAGCAGCAGCCTCTCAAGTCGTGTGGCCTCGGACTGCGCTTTTTGCTGCTCTTCCTCGTAGGAGCGCGCAAATTGAACGCCGTAGCGATGCCTTCCTCTACACAAATTATTTTGGACGCTTCATAAAAAAGGCTCCCTACAGATTCGGCAGCCTCACGTTTTGCCGGTGAAAAAAAGGCCGCTACGGGAGGCTTTTTGGCACGATGGGAGGGCACTCCAGAAGCGCCTTCTCAGATTTAGGGGAGGCGTTACATGCAACGCCACACAAACGGTTTAGAACAACTGCTAGGAGCTCATGAGACACTGCCTTGGAGAGTTGCTGTTGCGAGGGGTTCTAAGAGAGCATAGCGTTTTCGTGTTCGCGGTTTGAGGCCTCGCAAAAGCTGCCAATGGGCGGAGACACCCCTCAGCTCGTAGTGCTTCCTGCCAGGGGTGGTCTCCATGTTGCACCTTCCCGTATGCACACTTTCCTACACGGAGTTCGCTCATGAGAGCAAGAGCAAAAAGAGCTGTCGGATCCGTTTGCAGAGTCAGCTGGTCTCCACGAGATGCAGTGTTGTGGGTGTGCATGCGTGTGTCAACTGGCTGCTGTACATGCTTTTCGGCGTGCCTAGAGAGGGTGCGGCGACGCGCATCTACCTACTTGCAGGGCCCTCTCCTACCCTCATCGGGAATTTAGAGGGGGCGGGCGATGTTACGGGGGAAATTTTTCTAGAGTACTCCCTAGTGTATCGTTTCGTCAAGCTTGTATTGCATATCGCCTGCGTGCAGTGCGCTTCTAAGGAGACTTTGAAAGAAAGAGGATGCAGCACTAACTACCTGCCTCTCCCTGCGTACGTAAAGCCCTTTGGCTGAAAGCAGTTTTGTGCCTTCTTCAGGCCCTAGCATCACAAAAAACGACTCGGGAACGCTGTCTGCTCGGTGCTGCTGTCTTTTAGGTTTGCGACCAACACCACAGCTGAAAATCTTCCGAGCCGCAGCCGGAAAAAGTGCGATTCTGCTGCCCTTTATAATTAGGCTTATCTAAAGCGGATCTGCGCTGGCCTAAGGCGCCACTGAGGGGCGCTGAACAAATCAAACTACGCCGACGGAGCCTCTGCGCGAGTATGTATATATATATACATATATATATATATATACATATATATATATATATATACTCGGAGGGGGTGGTGAGCATGGGGGCCTTCTGCTCGCGGAAGTGTGCAAACGTTCCGTATCCCCTAAGACAGCTCTCTCTGTATTATGCATGAGGCTGTGCCGCTGCTGCTGGCTTTTGTTGCAGCTGCAACGGTGTTGAGGCTGCATTAAGCGAGCAAGCAGGAGCACGAGTAAGAGCAGCAGCAGCAGGGCACGTCGCTGGCGAGCAGCCGCTGCTGTCGATGTCTGCAGCGTTTTTCGTGGAGCTCTCCGGGAGCTGCAGCCTCGGATTCTGCTGCTGCAATCGGCATTTCCTTAGCAGCACGTCTTTTTGCTGCTCGAAGTGCAGGAGGGGAGGTGCAGCAGCGACTGCCTCTGTGACGCTTGTTGACATGCAGCCGCTGCAGCAGCGGAGAGATCTATGAGCTCTTCGAGAAACACGGCAGAGAGAGGGACTGCCTGCAGGGGTATCCGGACTTGCTCTGCTGCCTCCGCTGCGGCAGCTGCCGCTGCTTGACTGATTCTCGCCTGTGCTGGTGCTGCTGCAGTGCATGCTGCTTTGGATGCTGGTAATCGGCATGCAGCCCTTCGCTGCACACTTGCCGTCGCTTACCGAGCGGCTGTTCGCGCAGTTGCGGCTCGAAAAGAGGCCATGGAGTGCTGCTGGCATGCGGCTACTGCCCTCAGCGGCAGAACCAGCTGCAGAAAGCCTTCTACTGCTAGCTGCCATCGCGTTTCTGAGGCGCGCAAGCTCCCTGCGAAAAAGAGCAGCAAATCCCACTAGCGACAGAGAGCTCAGCAGTTGCAGGCACCTCACCTCAGCAAGCGGCAGTATCCTACGCAAACAGCACAAGACGTAGGCGAGCGGCAAACCTCTCAGCAGCGCCTCTGGCTCTTGTTGCTGCTGCTACTTCTGCTGCAACCCGTCGCAGCTCCTGCTGCATTGCAGCAGCTCGACGTTCCCAGACAGTCTCCCTGTCTCTGTGCTGTCTCCTAAGCTGCAGCGAACGCAGTGCAGAGGCGCATGCATGCCCTGCGCATTTGGCTCCTTAGTTTCTGCAGGAACTGGAACCACAGCGACATCCACACGAATGCAGAGAATCGCCAAGCTACCGATGCAGCCGCTAATCGGCAAGCAAGCGCTCGCTCGACGGCGACCTTGCTCACCTTATCTGCTTCCATGGCAAGAGTTTTCTCTCCCCGCTCATGCTGCTGCAGCTGCTGCTGAGCTTTCTGCAGGAGCCGCTGCTGCGCTCCAGCCTCGTGCTGCTGCCGCCGCAGCTGATCCTCATGTTGCTTTATAAGTCTGAAAGTGACAGCAGCAGCCGCAGCAGTGCAAGCCAGTCAAGATAAGTGCAAGACATCAAGGTCTGCAGCATCACGGAGCAGGTGAAAGAGCACCCCACTGCAGCGGTTAAGATGGATCCATAAAGGCAGCATAGGGCTAATGTCGCAAGCGCATGTTCAGTGTTGCTGCGATGTTGTTGCCAACGCCTCGAGAGACTCGATGCCTACGCTTCTTGACGACGGACGATTACGGTCTGCTCGTCTAATCGGTGCTGGAGAAGCTCCCGCTTCTCCTCGATTTCTTGCTGTTGCTGTTGCTGTTGCTGTATCAGCTGGTGCTGTCTCTCTACGCCTTTCATTAGATCTCGAATGACACCTGCTGCAGCGTGCTGCTGCACCTGCAAATCCTTCAGAGATGCCCCTCCCTGGGGAGGGGGGGCTGAACCCCCCCCGTCAACACCCCTCTCTCTCTCTGCAGCGTCGGGAATCCCTGCCCCTGGAGCTGGCTGTGCTAAAGGCACTGATCTTCCATTCGGGGTGTTACTGGTACTGCTGCTACAGCTTGTGCTGCTGCCTCTACTGCTGCTGCTGCCTCTACTACTACTGCTGCTGCTGCTGACTCTACTAGTGCTGCTGCTGCTACCTGAAACAAGCGACAAGCTGCGCATCAACTGTCTTGCCTCCTCTAAAGCGCGCTGTAGGTGCCTGCTACTACTGCTGCTGATGCCGCTGGCTAGTCGAGATTGGCGTTGCTGCTGGCGCACAGCCGACCCCGTCGGGCTCCTTGTGGAAGGAGTGTGCTCGTCACAGAGTTCGACTATTTTGCTGTCTTGGCCTTGCAAGAGCCTCTGCAGCAGCTGCTGCTGTTGCTGGTGAGGCAGCTGCTGCTGCAGCTGCAGCAGTCTGCGGCTTAGGCGGACCACAGGGGGAACCGGCCGGCAGTCGGGTGTCATCCTGCGGCAACGCCAGTAAAGACAGCGACATCCAGGGGATTTTTGCACCAGCAAGCGCGAGAAGCAGTTGCATGATGCCGAAGAGAGAGGCTCTCCTTAGATGCATACACAGGGGCCCAGGCTGCGGCGGCTCCTTCTGCAGCCGCTCACGACGGCCTCTGCATGATCAGCAGTCTCCTGTCCTCCGCATTGGCTCGTTTTGACCTTTAATGAAGGTGAAACTCCCCATGAAATCCAAAGTACACACATTGAGCTGAACGAGAAGCCGCAGTTTCAGTGAAAACAGGGAGCCGCTCACTCGCCGCTAAGGCCCCCCGTTCCCCCGCGTCGCGCCGCTGGCGTGGGACGTCCAACGACCCCCTCGCCACCATCTGGCACGCGTAAGGAATGCTGCAAGAGCAGGTGCCTTCCTGTCTGTCAGATGCTATATATGGCGAAGTCATTTTCATTCCTTTTCGCGGGAACAATGCGTGCTGGACAGCCGCGAGGCAGTTGTCGGCCAGGAGAAGTTCGGCGCGCCAGGGGGCACACGGGATGTCTCGGCTGCAGGTGGTGACAGGCCCCTTGTTTTGAATGAAACTGCAGCTCTTCTCTCAAATTGTGTGTATTTGGCGCTTTATTGGGCGCTTCGACTCTCCTTCCCACGAGGCGGGACGGCAAGTTCCCACCTACTTGGAGCAGGACAGACGGGCAGGCCAGTACAAGGCAGGCGCCTGCTCTTGCAGCATCCCTTCTTCGCCCCTCTCCTTTCCCGCCCTTGCCAAAAAGCGCGATCAAAAGAGACCTTTGGGTTATCATGGTTCTCGCCGCAGGGTGTTCGCTTCTTACACTTAGACAGGCATAGGCTCAGAGAGAACCCCCACGAGGGGGGGCCTCACCCGTCCTGCTAGTAGGTGCAGCTAACGGTAAAAATCCACTAGGAAACCCCCCTAAATTGCTTAAACAGAGGGAAAGTATGTGAATAAAAAACAATCACGGATCTCTCTCCCCCTTGACCGGCTAAACGATAGTGGGAGTCACAGGGACAGAGAGAGAGGAACGCACACGCACATGCACATGCACACGCACATGCACACGCGCGCGTCGCCGTAAAGTCTTGGCGGGCACAACCCGAATCGACCTGGCTGCGACTGCAGTCATGAGCGCATGTGGGGGAAGACGGGCAGCCTCGGCCCTTTCACTCTGCTTTATCACTGCCTCGCGCAGCCGACTGCCTCGCAGTCCTGAGAGCTCTCTCTCTACCCCAAACCCTCAAACCTTCCCTATGCAGCTTAGGGGGCTACCGAGTGCACGAGTAAGCCGAATGCTCTAAGGAGGAGGTCGTCTTCCTCTTCCCACACACCGTCCTGAGAAGCTCCCGGCGATCCGCACAGGAAGGCCTTGCACTTGCTCCTCTGTAGCACAAGAGCACCAGTGGCACGTGCTGCGGCTCCAGAGGAAGCGCCCACATGAAAAAATCAGCAGGGTGAAGTATCCACACTCGCGCCGTCGTGCAAATCAGCCTAAGCACCAGCAACATTGCTGGCAGCCGCACAGCAGGTGGCAGGAGCACCCGACACGGAGGGAAGCAGCATAGGACAAGCTCCTTACGCGTTTCCATTGATTGATAGCAATGGCTAATGCTCCACAAACACCGGGATGCTTTTGCGAAAGAAACAGAGTTATTCTCGATGCCCTTAGCCACAATGTTGTGCTTTCGTCAAGGTGCCCAAGGAAGTCTGTCGGGGAATCGGGACGGAGTAGAATCAACTGAGACGCTAGCGAGTGCTGCACAGCCACACAAGGCACCACACACGGAGGGTCTGGTGTTTAGCGTCTTCTTTGCACGGTCCTCTAAGGGCCTCATGCCGTGAAGTATAAGAGCTTTGAGGGACAGTCCTGTAGCAAATTGGGCAGCTCAAGTGCAACAGGCCCATCAAGAAGCACCCAAAGCAGCTCTTGCTGATGAGGAGACACCAGCTCCTGCAGCTCTGCTGCCGAGCACCGAAGGCCGACAAGGGCTGCGCAGCAGCTGGTGACATCCGAGATCCACAAGAGGCACTTCTTCACTTCAGCCAGGCTGCCGACGCCAACCCCTACAGAACGGAAGGGCTTAGGGTGCAGGAGCAGCTGCTCCTGCAGTGCCGCTGCCTGTGCAAAAGTCTGCGCCGAAAAGGCAGCAGCGCCAGCAACTGCAGTAACGGCTCTTGCTGTCGCCTTTACGTTGCTGCTGCTGCCGCTCTTCATCAGCATCAGCAACGCCCGATGAACAGTTACCCCAGTCTTCACACACAGCTCTGCTGAGGCGTTGCCTCTAAGGGGACTTGCATCTGCTGGCAACGGGAACGGACACGGCGGAAGAAGCTGGGCAGCCTGCAAAGTGCGGCTGCTCTCTGCTGCTGGCGAAGTCGGCTGCAGCGCAGAACGTGCAGCATCGAAATGCGCCACAAGCGGTCACAGCGCATCCAGTTTTCGATTCGAAGGGATGTCTTTGACAGGAAGACCAACAGCAGCAGTCCTAGACAGGAGACACCTTACCAGAGGGCCCTCCGCTGCATCGAGCTGCTGCTCCAGCAGCTGCTGCTGCCGTCGGTGCTTCTCAACTTGCAGAATATACTTGCTGGGATTTTCAACGAGAGGCGACAAGAAGGCCGCTGCAATCAGCGAGCTGCAGAGGCAGCCCAGGTCGCTCACGGATGCTGCGGCAGCCATACGCAAAAGTCTCTACTCTCTGATGCGCTGCAACAACTTGCACATGCAGCGCCCACCAAGTACCGTCTGCACATCCCCATGCCTACCACGTATATATGTATGGGTGTGAACATACGCCAGAGGCCGTGCAGCGCCCACAACAAGATATCAGTGCGTACTGACCCTCCGCAAGGGCCTGCGGCGTTTGCATGAGGAGCGACAACAACAAGTCCAGCACTCCCTCGCAGTCCACCCAATCATCTCTGCGCCGCATATATGTGTGCACAGCGCAACTCAGCGCTTGTGGCGGGTAGGAAACGCATTTCATGGGCAACGTGGGAGGGCTTTGCCGCCGGCGCTTCGGTGCACATGACAGAATGAATTGAGGGAGAGCAGGGAGGGGCCATCAGTGGTGCTCACGGAGAGAAGGCCAAGAGGGCGGAAAGAAGTGGCGCAGCGTCTTGAGGCTCCAGCGTCAAAACGAAGGCAGGCAACAATCGCAGCATCTGCAGAAGCGCATCGTGTGTAGGGCACCTCGAAGCTTTTCGATGCCCTGAACGGTCCCGCTGCAGTGGGAGATTCGTGGCTAGCTCCTCTTTTTTCGTTGGTAAGCTGAGAAGCCAGAGCTCGTGTCAAAGGTGAAGGCAGCGCCTCGTGGCATGCACGCTAAAGAGCGGCTTAAAACGCTTAGAAAAAAGCTGACGCGTGTGCCGTGCTCCGAAGGCTCGAGAGAAATCCATGCCCCTAGTAGCCGCGCCGCTGCAGTTAAGCCCTCCAATACTTCAGCCGGCCTGAAAACAGCGGGCCTAACACTCAGCTATAGGATATGAAAAAGCACGTGCTGCTGCCCTTCTCAAGATGGGCAGTTGCGGGAGCGGCGAGCCGATGCTGCTAACCTCCAGTTCGTTGCCTTGTCCAAGCTTTCCTCCGCAAAGTCCAACGCTGCGAGCGCCGCTTCCTGAAAGGACTGGAACAGGTCATGCTGCAGAAATAGCAGCAACCGCAGCAGAGGCAGCAGTCCCAGCTGTTTGTTGCGTGCTGGCAATGCAGCAGCAGCAACCACAGCAGAGGCAGCAGTCCCAGCTGTTTGTTGCGTGCTGGCAATGCAGCAGCAGCAACCGCAGCAGAGGCAGCAGTCCCAGCTGTTTGTTGCGTGCTGGCAATGCAGCAGCAGCAGAGGCAGCAGAGGCAGCAGTCCTAGCTGTTTGTTGCGTGCTGGCAATGCAGCAGCAGCAACCACAGCAGAGGCAGCAGTACTAGCTGTTTGTTGCGTGCTGGCAATGCAGCAGCAGCAACCACGGCAGAGGCAGCAGTACTAGCAAAAGGATCACATAGGGAGAGCATACAAGAGTCTTAGCACTGATGGGACCGTTTTCGAGCGCCTCTGCATGCTGCCCCATCAGCCGAATACAGCAGACAGAAAACGTGAAGGCTGCATCTGCTACTGCTTCTGTCGCAGCAGCAGCCGCAGCCTTCTCGGTTGCCGTGATCTCTCTAGGCATAATCGCGCGGGGGTCCCATGTGCGTTTCATCAGCACTCCGCTGCTGCTGCTGCTGCTGCTCCTGCTGCTTGCTGCTTTCCTTGCTGCCGCCCTCGCAGCAGCGCTGCACCGGTCAAAAAACAATTGGATTTCTACTTGCGACAGAAGGCAGCACACACTAATGAGGTGCAGACAGTCTGCAGGCGCACACCAGGAAACCATGGGATTGCTAGCGACGTTGGGTTCATGGATCAAAGGGAGGATTGCTAGCGACGTTAGGTCCATGGATCAAAGGGAGGATTGCTAGCGACGTTAAGTCCATGGATCAGAGAGGGAAGCGCGCTAAAACGCCTGAGAGGAGGAACATATCCAAGGCTCCTTGTTGCCGAGGGACTGCAGCTCGGACCTGGTACGGTAAAACAGTGGTAGCCGTAGATGATCAAGAGCAAGCTGCAGCAGCGCAAGGCATCTCCGCGCTGTTGTAGAGGCAGCTTGCTGCTGAGGGCCGTCTTTAAAGCCACACACACGACCTGCGCACAGGCGATGCGCCTCCGAGATGCAGAGTCTGCCTTCCAGCCGATCCTGGGGGGAAGGCCTCACGCCGTTAGTCGGCGTTATTTACTTCAAGAAAGTTCTCTTTCCCGAAAGTGCAGGTGGCTAGCGAGCTGGAGGGTTGCCTGTGTGCCTCCTCTCGCCGAGACGCTTGCGGCAAGGCGCTCGAACGTGCTAGAAGGGGCACTGTCTTTCAGAAGCGGCGTCTGTCTCCTCAGCGCTAGAAATGTGAGAGTGCCTCGCTTTTTCGCAAAAACTCGTGAGCGTGAAATGGCGGGTGCATACCTTCAGATCGGACTCCTTGAAGCGTTCTAGGCACGCTGCTGCCAGCACGGCGCGTTCCCGCAGGCGGTCCACTCTCCCCATCTGTCTCCCCTGCAGCGGCTGCCCTTGCTGCTGAGCGTCGGCAGCGTCAGCAAGGGCAGCAAGCCACAGGGAAAGGAGTTCTACGGCCATAAGATCGCAGGTTTGGCCCTTCCCTCCACAAAGGCGCTCCGTGAGCGAAGAACGCACAAAGGATAAGGTCACCTGAAGCGCAAAAAGAGGCCCCTTTCTATTACGGCAGTGCTAGCTACTGCTACACCTTTTTAAGACGGCCCTGCCTCTCGAACGGCAGCCCAAGGCATTTTTTTCGCAAGTTGCGTGCTGCAGAACGCGCGAGTCGCTCCACCGCGACGGTCGGATTTTCCCCACGATACCTCTCCGAGGCACGGAGCGCCTTACCGGGTGTACATGTTGAAGCAGCAAGGAGAGGAGCAAAAGAGGCCCTGTGTCGTGCTGCTGCAGCAAGGCGCTGCATGCCACGGCCAAACAGTCGACTCCGCCGACTGCCCTTCCTTCGAGCCACAGCACACCAGTGCAGTCTTCCTGACTGCTGTCACTGCTGCCATCGCTGATTTCGCCTTCGCTGTCTGTGTGTGTGCTGCTCCGACCTTCCGCCTCGTCGTCTGCCGCATTCCGAGAGCCTCTGCCCCTCTCTGCCGCGCCTAGGCACTGAAGCCACTGTCTGTGGAGGTCGTAACCTTCAATATCCAGTTCCTCTGCCTCCTCCTCTTCATCGAAAACTTCTGCAGGTGAGCGTTTTGGCGCTGCACTGTCCGCTGCTGCCGAGCCGGCTTCCTCCGCAGCGGCGTCTGCCCATTCCTGCATGTGCCTTTCAGCCTCCGTGAGTGCTGCCTCGAACTGCCGCCGCTGATGCGCCGCTGCAATGTCTGGCAGCAGCAGCGAGCCGTCTGCCGCAGTCTCGGCTGCAAGTGCAGATGCAGCCGCTGCTGCCACTGTCCTATATCCGCAGAAGTATACAAACTGCCGCAGCACCCCGGCAATAGTTGCAGCATCCTGCAGGGTGAGGTCGTAGCCCACAGGATCGCCTTCTGCTTCTGAAGCGGCAGCAGCAGCAGCAGCAGCAGAGCCTGCGAGAGCACCGGGAGAAGCTGCTGCAGAGGCGGAAGTCTGGGGAGCCTTGAGATCTCTGCGCAACTCCTGCTCCTCTGGGCTTAGTTGCAGCGGCTCGAGGACGTCGGAAACTTGCGGCTGCTGTGTGAGCAGCAGCCACAGGAGCGGCATAAGGCAACAGCGGAGGCGCAAGACTACGGCCTTGTGCTGCAGCACCAGCTGCAGCAGGAGCAAGCAGACTGCCCTGTAAGGAGCAGCAGCAAGAAGCAGATCTCGCAGGAAGGAAGGCCTAGCGGCTCTCACTACCTCTAGGGCAGTCCGCTCATCTAAGAATAACCCCCCCGTGGTACTGCCGCTTTCGCCCCTGCTGCTGGTGCTGCTTTCGCTGCTGCTGCTGTCTCTGAGAAGCTGTGTTAGCCTCAGGATACCTGCGAACTTCTTGCGCGGCTCAGACTCCCGCAGGAGTTTCAACGCATCCGCAAGGAGGAGGCGTGAGACATCCTTAGGGGCCTCCTGCGAGGGGCCCCTAGGGCCCCTTTCCCCTGCGGCTTCACTGTCCATGGGCAGAATGCCGATGACGGGGAAGGCGCACCGCACCCAACTCTACAGCCTCTTCGACTCCCCCCTCGAGCTCTTAACCCCTAAACGGAAGTTGCACGAAACTCCGAAACAGCGCAGTGGGAATGACGCGAAGCTCTTGGCGTAGAAGGTCCCAAGGGAGGAGACAGAGAGAGAAAAAAAAGAAAACGCACGGAAAGCTGAAGGCAGGGTGGCCTCCTATACGGTACAGAGAGGGAGGGCCCTTGGCTTAGTAGGAAGGCTCGGGATGCGTAGTGTCGTTGCACAGAGAGTTTGACGCTTAGATTTAGCGGCAAACGGGTGTGGATCTGGTAGGCAGCAGCTAGCTTTCTAAGTAGCAGCAAACTTTCCGTGAAACTGGAGGCTAAGGCGGTAGGCAGGGGGCCCCCCTTCTTTAGGCGAGGCCCTCTTCCGCTCAGGGGACTGCTGCACCCCCCTGTTGCGCGGAGCGTCCATCGGGGCTGTACATACACATCGATGCTAGGAGCAGCACCGCCTCCTGTCGAAGCTCTCTAATAAAGACTTCTCGAGTTGTGCAGGCCAGAATTCGGCATTTCTTTGTCTAAAAAGGGGCTAGGAGTGCGTGTGACCTCCTCCGCTCCCGGAGAGAACATCAACCTGGCGGCTACACCCCGAGCACGCCTAGATGGGCTTGCAGTGTCTGTCCCAATGGTTGCATGCGGTACGATGGCCTTTTCTAATGCATCCTGTGCCCTGAGGGGACTGCCTTTCTTCCGCGTGCTGCCCCTTCCCCGAGGAGTCTCCTTTCAGCGGAGTTTTCCTGTCCGCCATTTCGCAAGTGCAGCAACAACGGCGGCTCCCAAGGCAACGATACTGCTGGGAACCTCTACAGACATCACCTTCAACCTTGCGGTGGAGGCCTATCTGAAGGATGTGTGGACGCGGGGAGGGGCCCCCCCGGAAGGGGCAGTGAGCCCAACGAAAGAGAGGGGCGTCACTCCCGCTACAAAGCCTCCCGAAGAGATTCCACATCCACAGAACCTTGGGCCCCTGCTGTACTTGTGGAGGAACGAGAAGACCATTGTGATCGGAAGACACCAGAACGCCTGGAAAGAGGCAAACATTCAGCAGCTGCAAAAAGAAGGCGTCAAACTTGCCAGACGTTACAGCGGAGGCGGGGCCGTCTATCAGGTACAGTTTGATCTACGGAGGATCTAAAATTACTCGCTGATCTCCGGGGAGGCGCGCTAAGTAACCTTACGACCTGGCACTGTTTTTATGATGGCCTCCTGCGCACATAGACATACCTAACTACATCTGTACTTGTACATACATACATGTATACGTATATGTATATACATGTAGACACATATGTATATTCATAGGTATATATGGAGAAGGATGCCTGCTGGCCTTGAAAGCCTTGCGATGCAGCCTAACAGCTCTACTAGACAGACACCTGCATTTAGCAATATATATATGTATGTGTGTCAATGCGTTAAATCCTTTTGCGTGTGGGGGAATGCCTGTGCAAGGACCTCGGCAATACTTGTTTCACCGTGATATCCGGAGGATCTCGCAAAGACGAAACCAACGCTTTCCTGCTCTCCGCCCTCAAGGAAGCGTTTGGCATCGATGCTGAGCACAAGGGAAGGAACGATTTAGTTAGCAAAGACGGAAGAAAGGTATGTCCTTCTGACCATCCCTTCACCCACTCCACACAGCAGGCCACATGTGAAAGAGCGCCTCCACGGCATTAGGCGCTGCCAACGAGCCTCGCAATACGCGCATCAAATCCAACCTTCCCACGATTTCTGTGGACATGCAGTTTTCGGGGGCCGCCTTTGCAACGTCTGGAGGCGTTTGGTTGCACCATGGTCAGTGAGCCTGCTGTTGTAGTACGTTCTGATAGGCTTGCTCGCTCTTGCTCGCTGCGTCTACCGCTGCTGCTCCCGAGAGGTATCAACGAGTTTTCAGGCTGCGTTCCCGCGCGGGATGCACATGCGCAAACATGGTGCGCCTGGCGTGGAGCACTCCAACGTACCTCCTTTTAAAGCCCTTCAAGGCTTTGGTGTCACTCTTTGATGGCGCACAGGCACTTTAATGCGAGACGTCGATATGGAGGCCCTTGGGCGCTTGCTAACCCCGAACAAGGCCAAACTGCGCAGTAAGGGCATTGAAAGCGTCACTTCACGGGTTGTCAATCTCAGAGAGCTGAATCCAAGTATCACGCACGAAAATGTATGCCCTACAACCCCATTTCAAGAGGGACAGCGGGGGTAGGGGGTTATTGAGGAAGAGGGATACTGTATCCAAGATCTACAGGTGTCGCTATATATCCTTCAAGTCGGTACTCATAATGCGTGCTGCGCCTTTCCTGCCGAAGAAGACTGCTGACAAAGGGTCTTAGCAAGGGCGTGTGCGTGTGTGTGTGTGTGTGTGTGTGTGTGTGTGTGTGTCTGTGTGTCTGTGTGTGTGTCTGTGTGTGTGTGTGTCTGTGTGTCTGTGTGTGTCTGTGTGTCTATGTGTCAGTGTGTTTCTGCTTCGGCTTCTATGCGTGTGTTTGTGTCTGTGTTTCTGGTTGTGTTTCTGTTTTTGTGTTTGTATGTTGTTTGTGTGTGGTTTTTTTTCTGCTTGTGTTTCTAATTGAGCTTCTGTTTATGTGTGTGCGTTTCTCTTTATGTGTGGGTGCTTGTGTGTTTCTGTTCGTGGTACTGCTCGTGTTTGTGTTACTGTTTGTGTGTGTCTTGCTGTTTCTGTGTCTTGGTGTTTCTGTGTCTTGATGTTCCTGTGTCTTGCTGTTTCTGTGTTCGTGTGTGTGTCTGTGTGTGTGTCTGTGTGCGTGCGTGTGTGTGTGTGTGTGTCTTGCTGTTTCTGTGTGCGTGTCTGCATATGTGTGGTACGGGGGCCTGGAGGAGCTGGAAGGGGTGTTTTGTGATTGTGTCGAATTTCCGTTGCGTTCGATTCTGCAGCTGTGTGAGGCGCTGGCGGCTTCCTTTCTTCGCCATTTGGGGCTGCCCAAGAACTCAGTTGTTCCTCAGAAGGCGGAGGGGTTTATTGTTGGCGGAAAGCCGCTGGTGCTTAGTCCACTCTTTACGGGTCACCTTCATACGCTTACGGACTGGAACTGGATTTATGGGAAAAGCCCGGAGTTTACTTTAGATTTTCAGACGCGATTTGACTGGGGTTCAGTGGTGAGAGCTGCTCCTTTGCATCGTGTTGTAGGGGTGGCTTGGGGGCAGGGGCCGCCTTCGGCGTGCGGGTAGTGAGTGGAGTGGAGGTGCACACTTGGCTTGGCCTTCTCAAAGGCCGCAGTTAATCAACTGCAAGAGAAGCAATAAGTTGCTGTTGGGTGTCGATGTTTTCAGGAGGTAGGGCTGTGTGTGGAGGACGGCACGATCACGACCTGCGAGGTGTACAGTGACGCTCTATATCCCGATCTCATTCAGGCCTTTTCGGATGCACTCAGTGGTGGGTGGTCGCCAACGCTGGAAAGTCTAACGTCAGACTGGGGGGAGGGGAGGGGGCTGCTGGAGTGAACGCTCACAGTCCGATTTGCCGCGAAGATAGACAGCGTCTGTAACGCGCACCAACTCTTCCAGATGCCCTGTTGCCGATTATTTTCAGGCTCCACCTACACGGCAGCGGTGATGCACAGCAAACTAACAGCTCTACGCCGTACGCCAAATCTAACTTTCAAGGGTTCCTTTGGACTCGAAAACTCCCTGTTTCTGGTAGCCGATTTAAGCTCTTGTCAGGCCCTAAAACGCAGCCTTTCGGGTTAGGGGCTGGTGTTTTGCGTTTTTGCAGCCAAGTTCCCTGGACTCACTGACAAGATTGAAGAATTCGCGGAGTGGCTTGTTGAGGCATCTCAATCGTAGATAATACTGACGGCCGACGGCGCAAGGCCGCTATCCTGCGGATGCTCATTACCCACTTGTCAATGCAACGGCACATCTCTATGAGGATTCGCGATTTGAGCTGTATAGAATGACATGCGCAAGAGGGAGGGCGAGGATGCGGGAAACGGCCACGTGCATAGTGGTGTCCACACTCATGCATGCGCATTCACCAACATACATGCATGCCTGCTGTGTGTACTTACAGGTACATCTAGCTCTGCTTAAATCTTTTAGTACAAAGACACCTTGCTAGTACTTTGAGGTGTCGGCAGGGAGGAATGACGTTACGTGCGCCCCCCAGCATTGCTAAATTCCTGCGTCTGCATGCCTTGACACCCCCCACTCTACATAGCGCCGCACAGACAGATTCTTAGGAGCACCACCGTGTAGAAATGTGTGGCTGTTGCGTGCAATTGCTCAAGTCGTATTATCCATAAAGAGGCAGACGCTTGGCGATGTGAGAGAAGCAGTGTGTGTAGAGATGCCTGGACCTACCATTTTCCAAGTATACGTATGTATTGCCACATATTTTTGTTTGGAATGTCCATATACGGATGTAAATGTACCTCAAAAATATGGCAAAACACCGTCATATGTGCATCGGGGTGCTCGTGCTACCCCGTTTTTCCTGCGGGCTGCTGCTACACAAGTCTTCTCCCCGTTTCTCCGCAGTACCTAGCTGTCATGTTACCTTCACCCCACAATAAAATGGTTGATCCGGTATTTTCTGCGTCTTAGTCGCGTCTCTCCGTCCTTCGTTTTATCTGTTGTAGTATTACATAAAGCCCCTTTACTGTATTGAGGATGCACAGACCCTAATGGACCTCCGTAGGGGCAGCAGGCCACCGATACGGATCTTTTAATGTACGGGAGGAAACGGCTGTGCAGTTAAGGGCTATTTGTTGGTCGTTGCATACAAGCTGCAAGGATCGGAAAGCAAGTGGACTTGAAGTCATGCGTGATACCAGCGACAATACCACCAGCGACAGCACCAATGACTTTCAAGTATCTACTGGCGGGTCAGACTTGTTTTCAGGGAGTGTTTGCGTCAAAACCCGCACTCTACCAGCCCTCTAAAGGGCAGTGCTGAATACTCTCCTGCAGTTACGCTGTAACAACGCTACGGCGTGCAAATTTGTCGTGAATATGAAAACACTACGGACGCGCATGCCCATCTGTGTTGGGAGTCATGGAGCTGGATGTAGGTCCGCTTGCAAGCGACAGCCCATTTTGTGCTGAGATGCTGCCTTGCTGCGGTTTTCCAGGCGTCTAAGCGGCGTTCCAGTGGGGGGTATGTGAAGCACTGGAAGGAAAGAAAGGCAGAATCGAGCACAGAGGCTGGGGTTCCGGCAAGCCGCGGCCCCTTGGCCGCACCCTGTTGCTATCCCACTCACTCGGGAGTTTCAGATGCCTGATGCTGTTCGTATACAGGCAGCGTGCACTTGCCTGAGCTGCTAAACGCTTGAGCCGCCTTGGAAGCTTAGCAGCCAACGACCACACATCACCTACAGGTCAACAGTTCCCTACTGCTAGATCCCTAGCGAGAAAGAGGCCTGTGGCGCGCGAAACGCCTTCACAGCACACACATGTTTTGCAGGCTGAAATGTGTTGGAAGAGCCGGAGCCTCCGAGAAGGCCCCTATGGACACGAAGATACCGTTGGTGTGCGGGCGATCACGGGGTCGCTTGATGTTCAGGCTTACAGCCTTCAACCCAACAAGCTAGATCTGCGTTTCTACCTGATCTTGGACATGAAGAAGTGTCTAAAATCACTTTAGCAATGGCTGGCCAACTCCGCGTTAGCGAAGTGCGCGGTGGAAGGAGGCGCAAGGGGGGAGGGGGGGCCTTGGGGGCCCCCCGTTCGCGTAACACAGACACTGACGAGCAATGTCTGAGAAGCATTTGCGAAGTCACGCATAGAAAAACCTGTCTCTTTTGCTTTTTTTTCTCTGTAGCCTCATTATGGACGAATTTTTGCGGTGCGAGACGCAGAACCAGGGCATCGTGTGAAGTGCCGGCGTTTCTTGCAGCAGGGAGCCACTAGCAGCAGCATAGATTCTGAACACAATTAGACGCTGAGCGCGACTTTAATGAGCGCTCTGAACCAAACTAAAAGCTGCCACAATCCCGTCATTCAGGGTATCCCGTGCTTGGAGGTGAGCTGTCGGCACAAGGGCCCCCCCGTTCCCCTAGGCGTTCAATGGGTGTAGCAGCATCCATCAGCATGGCGCTCTGCCGCAGCAGCCACCCCGCAGACGTGGTGAGAGCCGATGAGCAGCAGCAACAGCAACAACAACACCAACAACACGAACAGCACCGACAACACGAACAGCCACAACAGCAGCAACAGCAAGAACAGCAGCAGCAGCAACAGCAACAGCAACAACAACAACACGAACAGCCACAACAGCAGCAACAGCCACAACAGCAGCAACAGCCACAACAGCAGCAACAGCAAGAACAGCAGCAACAACAGCACCTGTCTCAGGGATGCGATGAACTTTCACTGGAGTCACTCTCTGACGACGATCTTGGCATACAGGAGGCTGTGGGGAGCCTTCCAGGGACGCCTCTTAACAATGGGCAGAGCAGCAAGAGGGAAGCTACCCCATCGCTTCCACCGGCTGCACTGCTTCCAAAAAGGCGTCCTCGGAAAGGCAGTAGAACGGCAGCAAAATCGGCAGTAGTAGCAGACGACGACGAGAACAAGGCTGAAAAGGCAGCAGCAACAGCACCAGCAGCACGAGCTGCTGTTGCGGCTGCCAGACAGGCACAAGGTGACTGCAGTAACACCTTTGATGAAGATGTGCCTCTAGATGCTTTTTTCCTCCTCTCTCCAGCCGCTCGACCAAACGGAGTGAAACAGAAGCAGCAGCAGCGGAAGCATCGGAAAATAGCAGTAGCAGGTTCAGAAGCAGCAGCAACAGAAGCAGCAACAGTAGAAGCAGGCTCTTGTGAGGAAGCTGCTCCGCGCATCCTTCCCAGCACACGGGGAAGCAGGCAGCGTAAGCGGCTTCGGGGAGGATTGTCTTCTTCTGCCGAGACAAGCGAAGACACCACCAGTAAAGCAGCTCCTCCTTCCGACAGAATCACCAACAGTCAACCCCTCAGCAGCAGCTGCAGCAGTCTTCCGTCAGTGGAGGATGCCACTGCGTAAGCCTTCAAAGCAGCCTTCAGCTAAGATACTCGCCTTAAAGACCCCGTCGCCTCCTTTAAAAATCACAATTCGCTCTTTTGCCTTGGGGTGTGTGTGTGTGTGTGACAAGAACTCCGAAGCTCAGCGCGAAGAGGCGCTTGGAGATTAATAAAAAGAAGAGACAGCTTCGAAAAGAAGCCGAAACGCTTGCCAAACAGGTGCACCCCCTCACGACTGTGCTGCCGTCCCCAGTTACTCTTGTTGCTGTGTTGCTTGCAACGCGCACGTGGCGGAGGTGTAGCAAAGCCTCGCTCATGCGTGTGGCCTCTCTTGCGGATCGTTTAGCAAAAACACACAGGAGCAGGTACATATGCTCCGTTTCGTCCTCCGTCTCTGCTGCTGCGTTTGCTGCTAGGTCGAGGTTTTGAAGGCTGAGGAGCTCAAAGAGCGCGAAGAAGTCAAGCATCAGCAATGGAAGGCCGTGCTGTTGCAGCAGCTACAGCAGCAGGATGCAGCGGCAGCCGCTGCTGCCGAGATTCCAGCGGAAGACGAGTGGGGAGACTTTAACGAACTTTTATGAGCTTTGCAATGGGCCGCTGCTGCTTCTGAGTGTGTCTTTCTCCTTAGAATAATTGCAACTGCGCTGCTGCGGCTGTTGTTGTGCTGCTCCTGCAGGTGGCAGCCACTTGGCTGCACTCCAGGTCCACATATAAGGTGCGTCGCTGCCTTTCTATGCGAAATTTAGTCCTTCTTGCCACTTCTCTTGCCTCGCTTGTCCTCTCTCTGTTGCTCTCTCCGCGGCGGCTCGGAAGGCTTTCCCGCCCTGTAGCTTCCGTTCGGCACGAAGAAGCAAACTGCTGGTTTTTGTTGCTGATGCAGCGTTCGGCTTGGTGTGTTGCGGCGAGATGGCTCTGAAGTCAAGAAAAAGGAGTTTTCTCGCGTCAAAATGCCTCTTGTGAGCAGCGCCAGCGCCAGCTGAAGGACAGGAGCTGATACACGCACAGCGTGTCTTGCTGATGCTGGTGATGACGGCCTGCTGCCACCCTTAGCGTCGTCTTCGCCGTGCGCTTGTGGGTGTTGTTGCAGGAGGCGTCATTGGGGGAGCTCGCTGCTGCCTTGGCAGAGCAGCTAGCTCTCCCTGTTTGCTGCGTGCCGTTCGTACAATTCTCTGTCGATGGCGATCGTCATCCCCACTCCACCAAAATAGGTTAGTGTGGCTTCCTACACGTCGTACTTCTGAGGAGGTCACCTGCAGAGAGCAGCACCCCCCCTAGGCTGTGGCTGCTGTTTTCGCTCGCAAACGCTGTGCTTCTGCTGATGGCTCTGGTGCGATGACGGTTTTCTCCAGGGAGCTCAGCGCTAGACTTGGAGGAGGGCACGCAGATTGACGTGCTGCTGCCCTCCCCACAGAAGCATCTACCTCATCAACATGTGCGTTTCTTGAAGCTTGCGCCGTAGAATATTTTTCGCTCTTGATAGAGCTGTCGCCGCGTGCGGTGCCAATTTCCGTTGCGGAGTCTCTTGGATATTCATAATTCCTCTTTTGCGCTTCGAGCTTCTCCCGTTCTTGCCAATGCTGCAGGGTCCACAGCAACACCAGGAGACGGAGCCGCCGTGTTCCCCGTCTGAAAGGACGCAAGACACAGTTGCCCTGGATGATGGAACCTTTCTCATCCTCGACTAGCCAGCTAGTTAGCCAGTTAATCGGCACAGAGCCTCCTAAAGGCTGCCTTGTTAAACGGGACGAACGGACTCTACGTAGAGGCGACACACGTCTCCAGCTACATGTACGGGATATGCGCAGCTAGCCGCCTGACTGGGTAGCTGGTTGGGGTACAGTAAAGCCTCTACTGGTTTGTGTGGCCGAGAGCTACGGGCACGAGAACGATGCAGTCTGGCTAGCTACGGGCACGAGAACAATGCAGTCTGGCTAGCTACGGGACGGCTATCCTGCGCGCCGAAAGAGCCTTTGTGGTGGCCGCGAGGTACCTGTATAGCCCTCTACCTTAATTGCAATACCAGCGGCAATTTAAGGGCTTGGGGGAGGGCAGAGGGAAGTATGGCAGCTTTTGAACGGGGAAGACGTTGGCACGCTTTACGGAAGGAGCACGCATATATTTGCCAGGCCTTGTGAACCCCTTACGTTGCTTGATCTGGATGCCGGTGTTTACATAAAGAATGCAGAATGGCATCATGTGGTGACAACCAGGCTCAGCAGCAGCGCAGACGCGATTGACCCCGTTTCCTAGGGTTAGGCCTACAGCCTACAGTGCGAAGTTTAGTGTTTAATCGGCGTCTACAGAATCCAGGGGGCGCGGAGAACTCAGTGACACCTTTTTAAAGGTACCTCTGCTCTGCGCGGCTGCAAGGCTGCGCAGTAACAATTCCTGAATGCGCCTTTGACTGCGAAGACCAACGACGAACTCCCTAGGGATGAGGGCTTCGCGAGCAGGGGTACACACCGCAGTTTCTATGCCGTTATTACTGCTATCGCGCATGAGAAAAAGCACAATGGCCGTTTCGCAGCGCACGGCGCGGGGATTCGGGCTGTCTGCTGGTGATACACGGCGCAGCCGACGCTGGCGGTTCTGCTACTCGCTCTCCCACTGCGTCGAGTCCTGTGAAAATTGCTCAGTACCGCCCCGCCAGAAAAAAAAATCGTAATTTTCTATATTCAGCATTTTTTTGTGGAAGCGAGTCCTTTAAATCCGCATTATGTAAGGAGGTGGGGGGTGGGTTTCCGGTCTGGGGGCCCTCTCCTCTCCCATAGACCCCCCTCCTGGTGTTGTTGCTTTTGTACATGTCTTTCGGCGCGCCAGCTGGACGGAAACAGTAAATCCTATCGGAGGGTTGGCAGCTCTCTGCAGCTGCACAGCGCGCGGAGAACCACCCCCTGGCCTCAATCGGCAGAGTTGGCATCCGCAAGGGCCTTTGCGGGGAGTTCAAGGTGCAAATCAAGCCTTCGCTGCTCACGCCTTCAATGGTACTGCGCAGGCGGAATGTAGGGGATGGGGGATCTCCTAGAGGCCCTCCTGAGGAAGGCCTCGATCCACCGACGCGCCAGGGCACTGCCGATGCGGTGTTTGAACCCCCTGAGGTTGACGAGGCTGTGATCGACAGGCGAAGAAGTGCCTCCAGGCTCATCATCGTTTCCTGTTACACTGCGACGCTGTCTCTGCTCTTCTTGGCCTGCGCGATCGGTGGTCAGTACGGGGGAGGGAGGGGGGTTTGCCCAATTCGCCCGAGGCGACGATAAAGGGGTCCAGGCATCAAGCTCTGAATCTTCGGCGCAGTGATTCCCCTCGCATTTCCTCTGTCAGGCTGCTTCCTTGGAATATATATTTCAACGCCCCAGCTGAAGCCCATCGACGCAGACGTCGACGCCACAAGTAAAAAGCCCTACGCACGCGCTTTACCGCAGTAGCCAGCCAGCGCCTTTATCCCGGCTGTCCCCTCCAGCGATGTGCTGCTCACACGCTGCATGGCTCGCGCTGCCTCTTTGCAGCATCCTCGCTGCTGGATATGAGACACGGATCGCAGCCTTGCTTGCACCTTTTTCTGCCTACGCAGACGCGGGAAAATCTCTCCCTCAGGAGTGGTGTGCTTGCGATGTGCCTGCGTACAGCTACGCCCAGTACATTGTTCGTCAAGACCGACACGTCTTCGCTGCAGCTCGGAGGACAGCTCTTCTTCCCCTTTTATCTGCGCAATTCTTCTTCCTTCACTCTGTCCTTCAGAGTGGCCGCCTTTGACGTGTACTATTATCCCATAGGGTCCTCTCGGCAGTGTTTGTTGTATCACGGAGGTGCGCGAGAACTTCTGTGTCTGAAAGACGGCACGCAGGCTGCTTCCCCCAAAGCCCGCATAAGGCCATAGGCACGGAGGACGGATGTTGTAGACAGCGTTTTCGTTCCGGACGCGTTGGTCATCGCAAGGCAGTATGGCGTGTGAGCTCGGCTTTTGCTGTGTGCAGGCACACTGCTGGACCCTTCGAACTCCGTATTTCGCTACAGACAAAAGTTCGGCACGCCTACAAATAATCCCTGGATCTACTTCGCGGAACCAGACACCGAGGTCGGTCTTTGTTGGCTCTAAAAGGCGAGATCTTGGCTGTGCAGCGACTGGGGAATGGAAGGTTTTGGGGGGAATGAGGGGGGGAGGGGGAGCTACGCTATTCTTTTGTTGCCCTGCCCGGCTCTCAGCTAGGAAGGGGGGGAAGTTTCTTGTGTTTCCGTGACTCCCCGATTTGGTGAACTACGCATTGTGGTTGCTCTGCGCAGCTCGAAGTATGCGCCAGCGAAGGCCGTGACGGAACGAACGTGCAGTTTGAGCTGCCATGGCGCGTGGGCTTGAGTATCCCCCGTTCGGAGACTGCCCTGCTGCAGCAAGCTAAGCCGCTGATCGATGACTGCCTTGCCTACAAGTCCGTACTGCTAGGGGTAGAGATAACGGAGGCCTATACTGGATCCTTCCTAGGGGAAGAAAAAATGAGTGGTCCAATCCACGTCATTCAGGCAGTGGGGTGTACGGTCAGTGACGACGCCAAGCAAGTGACGAGCACCCATAACCGTACCTACCAACAAACGATACTCGAGGGCCTCTCAAACGAGCCTACACTGTTTCCCTCTTCTTCTGTTACTCCACCGGATGTCACGTGACAAAGAGACGTTGACTCTGACATTCTTCCCTTTGTGCTGAGTAACACCGAGACCCCTGAAGAACACCTGTTACGCTTGGGGGAGGCCACGAGGCTACGCAAAATCCTGAAGCCGTAGCTCCGGCATGAAATATATGGCGCGTTTTTTTCCCAAGGGGCCCTGTCTGCATACAATGTCTCGTCCCTCAGCATGGCTGGGGTTTTGTATGCACCAAGCCACGACGAGTCCCCGTGCAACGGCACGAATGTGCATGATGGTGTCGCCAGAGTCATGCCCAAGAGGAGATTAGGCCTCGTCCCTGTCCCTTCCCTGCCCTCCATTCTGGTTACCTTAATAGCCTCTCGGAAGGCCTACTGCCAATCTTCGCTTACGACTACTGCGCCGGTAGAAATTCCGACTCAACGCCAAAGTGACCACTCTGTATCCTTAAATGCGCATTTATTCGTATTTTCGCGTTTCACCTGGGATGCGTTTCGTAGACACACGAAGAAACACATGCCCGCGCCCTCCCCGAGCAGGGGGGGGCTGGCGGGTGGACGGAAAGTAGAGCGAGGAGAGGAGGAAGGAGCGCCAGAAGTTGGAAACATTATTACTTAGCATTAGCAATGTTATTTTATTTGCACTATAAAGGGAACCGTGTGGAGGTGTCCTCGCACGCAAACGCCGTGACGCACACGTGCCCCAGTACCGCGAGCAGATACACCCCCCTGTTCCCCCTCCTCTGCCAAGCCCCTTGCAATGAAACAGCAAAAATATTTAGCCAGCACGTGCACAGATTCGCACTAATTGGAAAATAAAAGGTCAAGTAGACGCAAGGGCTTAAAAAGGGGCTGTTCCGGGAATTGAACCCGGGACCTCTCGCACCCTAAGCGAGAATCATACCACTAGACTAAACAGCCTGGCGCATCCCTGCTGTCCAATTAGCAACGATAAAATGCTCCACGCTGTCACTTCGACGCTTGGTGCCACGAGTTCTTCGTGGGGTTGATTTTGCCGCTGCCTCCTTCATTATTTCCCCCTTCGCCGGTTGCCGTTTCATCCTTTCTGGCGCGCTCTTTGTGCCGCCCCACTCGTACACTCCAACCGCATCTAGAGCCTTGTCAAATTGTTGTCGCACTGTTGCTGCATTAGAGTCTCCAACTAAAATTGAAGCCTCGGCCCAAACAACCCCTGTAAACTCTATCCTGCATTGCCTCTTCTTCCCCATGGCTCTACCCATAGTCCTGCCGAAAAGTGAGCGACCAACCTGCAAACGCAGCGCTACCAATAAAGCTGCCACAAGTTTACTTGTCCATGCAGCGTTTTGGTGCTCTTGACGCTGCTGATTGTTTCCACAAAAAAGGCGACGGTCTCTGCACTATGGCACAGCCTGGACGATAGCCTGCAAGTCCAGGATGCGCTGCACCAATTGATGCGGCTGACGGTACAAATCGAGGTTCAGCATCACTGGGGGCCCCTCCCTGTCTGCAACGAGCATAGAAGGAACAACACTTCGCAGCGCATGGAGTTAGGAGCAGTCGCACAAGCTACTGCCGCAGGCAGCACCAGATTTAGCACCAGCTGGGTCCCCCAAGTTGGCTACAGAGCATGGGAAGTGTCTGATCCTTCGCAGCAGCACTCCAATGCCCTCAAAAGCCTTACCGAGGGTCATGCTAAGCGCGTTAGTTGGCGCCCCCTCGAACACAACGAATTCCACCGACGGATTCGCCAGTCGAAGGCCAGGCAGGAAACCCTTGGAAAACTCACTGCACAGAAAAACGCATGTGGTGACTGCAATCTGGGAAGCCTTAAACCTCGTTCCGCAACACCGAAATCACTGGGGTCTCTTCCCGTGGCAAAGTCTGAACCCTAATTTCTCACCGACCTGTACAATTTGTGGCTGGCTGCCTCTCCCTTCAGGTGTATTGCCAGTGTTTTTACGGCCGGGAGTGCCCATCCCCCGCAGGCCATAAGCCGTTCCACCCGTCGAGTCGCCGCCATTCCCACAAGCTCCAAAGTGCGATAAGCCCTATACGAGTGTACAACGTGCAAAACGGCTCAAAAGACGCCCATGTCTCCAACCACGTATCATGGCCGCCCCGCGAGTCCGGGTGCTGCCAGCCACTGCTGCCGTCTGTGGTATTAGATTTAGCTGCAGTTGCTGCTGTTGGAGCAGTTGCTATGTGCCGCTGTGAGGTACACTGATGGCATTGGTGCTTCTATGGACCCGTTAGGCCCCCGAACACAGAGGGAACCGGGGAACTCAGGGCTTCCTCTCAGACTCCGTATGGTTGCCGTTAAATCTGTTGCGCAACAAAGCTCTGTACTCACCCGAATACACCGCGCACCCTGGCAGTAAGGCGCAGCAAGTATGGAAGAGTGCCGAATGAGGAGCTGCGGGAGGGCCCCTCCCCCTCACTGGGTTCCTGGCCTCCGCAGGAGCAGGGGCCCCCCTCAGTATGCCCTCTCCTTGAATCCACTTCCCGTCTGCCGCCAGCAACTAAGAACTAACTTTAGAGAGAATCGAATGCGTAGATGTGTAGCACCACTGTATTTTTTCTGGACCAATTCGACAGTGCTTAGCCGGATTAGAGAGCGAGGAAAGCATTCGAGACCCCCTCGAAAAGTCACTCGTGCTCAACCCTCCGAGAGCCCACCGGAAACATTCCGGCAAAAACATGAACCTTAAACTCCAATTCCAAAAATAGGTAGTTTTATTGTTCATCCACCCCGTCTGAGTCATTTCAGCGCATTTTAGAGCCCCTCGGCCCCAGGCATGTACGTAGCTAGCAAACAGGACAGTGGTGTTTGAGTTCCTTGTGCAAGGTCTGAATGCCTCCCTACGCTTTAGCAAACGTAAAACGTGCCTCTAATGGCAGCGAGAAACTCACATCTGGCCGTATGTGACAATGCCTATGATTTCAATGGGCGCAAAAATGTCGGGGGCCTGGGATCACCAAGGCTAAATATACTGCAAAGGCTCCCAGGGGCCGCCCCACAAGCAAACCGCAAAAGAGAGACAGGGCCCTTAAGCCGGCCGCAACGGTCCTGAAGAAGGAACAAATTTAATCGGTCGGACCGCTCGTTGCAGAAGGCTTACCTAGCACCAGTGGCTTCCCTTACACATCCGCGTTTCCTCTCTTGTATACGGCTTCAGGGATTTTAGCAAGCCGTTTTGCAGTCTTTCTTCCTGGAATGTTGGTGTGCCTCTGGGAAGGCCCAAGCTCTCCCTGCTGCCCCATCGAAGGGGCGACACTCGCCTCCCCCGAAGGTCTGCTCAGTGTTGGTCCATTTGTAGCCTGCTAGACTCTCTTCGAAAAGCCTTCATGAACTTCTCAGTTGCTGCTGCTCACTAAAGAAAAGGCACGTCTCCATAATCTTTGAGTCCGCAAAGCCCTTGTGGCAAGGCCTCCCGATGGGGGGATGGGGGAGGGAGGGCTGCTTTTTCCAAGCCAGAGGAAGAGGACAACTTGCCTGACCCATCTGATTTTCCAGCAGCTTTTAGGTAGCTACCTGCACCCTTGGGTCATGTCTCCCCTTTCTATAAGGCGATTCCCATCAAGGCTAGCCAGAGCCAGAGTATAACGCCGGGTTTCCTCCAAAGCACACTCCCCTCACCCGCAAACCTCTGGGCCTCCGAATGACTCGAAGACGCCTCAAGGGCCTAAAAAACCCCCTGTTGTGTTCACGGGCCACCCCAAATATTTGAAAGAAAGCAACCAGAAAAGAAGCAAGGCCTTCCAAAGCGCCACATGCTTCTTCAGAAGAAGCCAGCGAAAAAGGGCTCTACTCTAGCCCGAGAGGGCATAGGTGAGCCCTTAAGTCTCCCCATGGGGAGAGGCTAGATGCATCTTGAAGATCTGCTCATTTATGGATGCCTTAATTACCTGGAGGGCATTATAGAGCACTCCAGCCTCGCTCGTCAGCCTCCCGAAGCCATTTGAGGGGCCCCTTTTTGAGGCTATAGAAGGACTTTATCAATGTACAGGAGATGCTCCCAGCAGACGACGCTAGTATGCATTCCAAAACGAAGGGCAGAGAGCCCCTCAAATCCGCAAGGCTTGGGGTCCTCTGTTACCTCTGAACGCCACGGCAACGAACCAACATCCAAACGCAGGCAAAACAAGCCAAAAGCGCCCACAGGTAAACCAGCAGGACCTTTGTCTACCCTGTTGGAGGCCACCTTCCTTAACGCCAACGACATACAGGTTAGCCTTGATTGCCTTTTGGAAAGCCGGCGGGACTGTCACGAAGATTTTCCGGGAGTTCAACTACTTGCCAAGGCCTGCCATTGGGAAAGCTCAGCTGCAAACCCTAACAGCCCCCAAGGCAACGGGAGCCTTTGTCAGTCCCGCGTGCGGTTCCACTGCTTCTTCGGTATACCCCTGCGGATATGGGTTCCCCGGGGAGAGACATGTGTAATGGGAGCTTGGAGGTTCTCCCGCTTTCACAAGAAGCTCCGCGAGTCAGCATCAAGGCCTGGAAGAGTTCATGAAAGGCATTTTGCCATCCCTCAGCAGCCCCAGAAAACTTCCGCTCCTATGTTCAGTCACCCACAAGGGCATAGAAAAGCCTCACAGTGCTCAAAGAGCTTCGTCCCATAGCCGCGGGAGCTGTCAGAGAACTAAGCCCGTTTTTTAAGCTTAGGGCACTGCTTACGGCAGGTTCTGTTCCTACGGTATCATCCAGGGTCGTCCACCGCCTTATGCGATCTCCAAGATTAGCCACCTGAAGTGCTACTGGCAGCACTTCAGCCACCAACATGCGCTAAAAGGAATAAGAACCCATCCACAAGCTTCAACAACCCAAGGTCTCCTCTACCCCAGCGTCCAAAAGGACCGAGCTCGCGTGTAGCGCCGCAGGTTCCAGGGCCTCTCTCACATAACCCCCTGGCACGACCATGCCCTCCAACGGCGGACAGTACAAAGAGTGACTCACAGAACCCCTGTAGGGCGCGCCGCAGTTCCTTCGACTTTGCCGGATGGCCCCTAGTGCATAGTTGCTCCACGTCCATGCGCAGTAGGACTTCTTGCGAGGTGACGAGTCCTCAACGAGGGCTGCCATGAGGTCCTTTTGCTGATATCTTTTTTACCGAAAAGACTGCAACCAGAGCTGGTCAACAACCGCAGTGTTCACAATAGAAGAGAGAGGCCCCTGGTGCACTTTTTGAGAGCCACCCCCTCAGGAAGCTCGAGGGCTTTCTCCAGTGATGCTCGTGAAGGCGGCGCCCGCACCACCACAAGGCCCTTTAAAGTCGCCAATATTGCAGCCCATTTGGGAGACCCCAGGCCCCCTTTACCTCTGTCAACTAAGCATTGGGAGCAGGGTGCAAATCAGTTTCTACCGGTTTCCTTATTCAGCGTTGTGTTTGGCTTTGACCACCGATTGGCTCGCGAAGAGACTCCTTACGGGGGTGTCGAGGCCTCCTTCGTCTCCCCTGCAAAGGGCTTCTTGTGCTGGGCATCCTCAGCGAGAGCGCTCTATGCAGGGATCTCTGAAAAGCTTACCAAGGAGTTTTAGGAACTGTGTTCTGGGGCGTCGCTGAACAGTTTTGCGAGGAATCTTATCAGAAAGCGGTAGCTCGAATTTGGGGAGGTATATCTGTCTGGAAGGCTCCAGACCCTCCCAGGGCCTTGGCCGGCCTTGTCCTAGTGGACGGCGCAGCTGATAGTGTAGTGTCTCTCCAACAAGGGTCCTGCCCCTTGACAAAGCGTTACACTTAGACGAAGGAGCCCTCAGGTGAGGCGCAGAGAACTCTAGGCCCAACGCTGTAAGCTTGAATCGGCTGGTTCTTTTAGGGTTTTGCTTTTATGAAAAAAAATTGAGGTTGAAGGGTACTCTTTTCGCGTGCCTTGTCGTTTGGATTCCATTTAATTCTGGTATTGAGCGCCCTCAGGGAGTATGAGAGGTTTTTAATTCGCTCGGCAGTCAATTAGTGCATACGGCAAGACAACAACCGGCTCCTGAGGGTGGCGCCTTTACCGTCTCGCCCCTGAGAGCTCCCCTAGTCCCCCCACGCCACCGCTGGCCACGCCTGCTCAGGGCCCCTTTAGTTTTGCAAGAGGCCTCCAATTAGGCTATAGTTTCCTTGCTGCATTGAACGAAGCAGCATGAAGGGCAAGGGCGGCTAGAGAGAAGAGAGACTGGGTCGCCTCGACTTTTTGAGGCCATGCAGTCGTTAAGGCGCCTAAATTTTTCCCCATGACGAGCCTTGTCCACGAACTGCCTCTCAGCGTCGGTGATAGTAGCGCCTTCAGGATGGCTGTCAGGCGCATCTCATTAGATCCGCCTGAAGACTGCAATGAAGGCCAGGCGCCCCTCCCTCTTTGCCTGCGCGTTGTATGCGAACCATGGAGCAGAAAAAGGCAGAAGCAGACCGGTTGCCCTAAACCCGTAGAAGAGGGCGACCTGATTCGAGGCGCATCCAAACTGTGGTTCAAGACATGCGGCGAGCTTCCCCGCAGGTAGGCACACGGCATCACAAGTGACTCCGAAGGGGCTAAAGGCGCTGTAATCGTGAGCGTAAGTAAGCACACACTGCTAGAAACGCAGACGGAGGGCGAAGAGGCCCTTCTAAGCTAAGAGCGACTTGCCTTCATGCCTTCCTCCGTGTGGTTCTGGATAGCCACAAGACAAGGGTCCCCCGAAAGTGCTTCCAGGGACTGCTCAGCGAACAACGGGTGGTGCCGCAACGCGTGGACCATCCAGTGGTGTACGGCCTCTACGTCCGTAACTGAAACCATTTAGAAACAGCTCGCATGCGCATCAAGATAGACACAAGAGGAAGCGCAACAGGGGTGGTAGCAGCAGCCACACAAGCCGCGTAGGGGCGGCACCGGTGGCTTTTGTCATTGCAACCAGCTGGAGCAAAGGCAGGAGAAGCAGCTCTACAAGCAGGTACAACGGAGGCCCCTCGTTTGTCTCTTCATAGCTAAACAAAAGCCGGAACCTAAGTTTTTTCTCACTGGTATAGAGGAGTCCCCCCGGTTTCATGATGTACCCATAGAGCGTAAGCAGAGGGGTGCTGCAGCAGCAACACACTTGCAGGAGTCGCTGTGTAGCGCCACGCATTTTCAGATTAATACACCTCTCCGTAAAATGCCTCTGCTAAGGATCTTTAGGGCACCATGTTTTACTTGATGATCCTCCGCCTCCAGTTGGTCCTCTTGAAGTGGGGGTCAGGGAAGCAAAAGAACATCTTCGATATCTGAGAATCCACCACCTCCGCTTACTCGCCTATTAGTGCGTGAATTCAGTACTAATGGTTCCGCCGATGGTGGCGCAGCTTGATGCGGTACTTCAGCCGGCGTGGAAGCAGCGGCAAAGCCGCCGCATAAGCCGAAAGCGGCAGCCAGAGTCAAACTACGCGTGTCCACGGAGTGAGAGCAGCAGCAGCAAGAACGAACCGCACCGGCACCCACCTGCCCCTTCCTAAAATAATTGAGAAGGAACTTTGTTGCGTTTGTTCTGATGACAGAGACGTTCTGGTACTGCAACAGCATACGCGCGAGCAGGCGGGTGTCCAAACACTTCAGTGGTATTTTGCACTGTTGAGCCTTGGTGCTTTCGCTGCGGCAGCTGCTACATGGAAAACAGCGAGAATCACCAGCACGCGTTGAAAAGCGCAGCTGCCGTTGCTTCAGCAGCCGCCACAAATCCTCACCAATCCTTCCTCCTTGTGTTCTTCCCTCAAGGCCTGAATCCTCTCGCCAACAAAATTCGTAACCTGAGCAGCAGGCAAGTGTCGCGCTCGTGAGCCTGCATGAGCAGTAGAAGCACTAACTATGACACCCTTAGGAGCGGCTGCCGCACACCCCTCTCGTGGACAGAGGCGCCAGCATTCTGACCTTTTCTCTGATCTCTAGGCCCATAATGAGGGACTGGGGGAACTGGGGAGCCAAAGAGACTGCAGAAGCATAATATGCAACGCACGAATTGCCACAGCTAAATGGGGGATATTGTAGCAGCCCATGCAGCCGCAATAGGGCCCGCTGAGCAATGGCAGCAGGAGCAGGAGCAGGAGCAGCAGGATCAGGACTAGCAAGAGCAGCAGCAGGATTAGCAGTAGCAGAAACAATACAATGAAGGGCTTCAGAGGCAGGAGCCACATTAAGGGAGAGCAGCGATTGCAAGACGTGCATGCACCAGCAGACAAATCAAACGCCGCTGCAGCTCACTCAAGAGGCCCCCAAAGCCGCAGCCAACGTCGAGAAAGTCTGGAGATCTCCCACTTTCGCCATTTCTTTCTGCCGCTGCAAAGCAGCCAGCGCACCAGCAAACATCCGAGTAATATGCAGAATCAGTCTCGGCAGCACGTGTGATAAACCGTGCGGGGTTGGAAGAGGGCAGCGCGACGAAAAAGCAGCAGATGTGATGCTGGCTGCAGAGGCAGCAGCACACACGTGGCCAAGCGTACCAACAGGAGCTTCGTACTTGATTGGGTAGTCTGTAGCTGCACGAACGAGAAACGCATACCGTAGAGCCGTGCTAGTTGATTAAGACCCCTCGGCAGAAGCCTCTGGTTGTGGATATGCGGCAGCAGCAGTGGCAGCGACGCTGCACCCTGTTTTTGTACAGCAGATCCTTAAAGTGCATTCCCCCTGGCCTAAGACTCGCCCACACACGCCATCTGGTCGGGTGTTTTTCGTACTGTTGAGGCAGAGGCGAGGCGGAGAGGCCACTCCGAGGGGCCCTGGAAAATGCATGCTCCAATCCACAAATTCTGGAGACGGTGGATAGGCCAGGAAGGAGTCTGCCAAGGGGTTGCAGTGCTGCAGCAGCGTCCAGACAGCAGCCCACCCATACGGCAGTGTTTGGGCTGCAGTGGCTATGCACAAAACTCACGAGAGGCCTTTTTTCTACCGTCTGCTGTGCCGCAACTGCCTCCCCAACCCGCCGATACACCGTATACTGAGACGCCTTCAGCTTCTACCCCTGGGGTTGGGAACGGCGGCTCCCCCGCCCTTCCTGACCCCCGCGCCTAAAGCAGCCTTCTGCTGTACGTACAGCCCTCTGTCGGTAGTCCGCCTTCTTAGGCTTCTTGTGCGCCAAAGTTTCCGCCGTGGAGGCCCCCCCCATTCTTAAGGGCCTCTTTTTGCGTCGTGACCACCACTCCCCAGCGCCGCAGCCAGGTGCGTGTTTCGAGAATATCTTCTCGCTTCGAGTCTCAGGGCTTCAATTTCAAATCGAGTGTGCGAGCGACGGCACGGCCACGCAGAACCGATAACGGTTCAATCGATCCGGCACGCAAGCCACGACAGATCTCGCATTGAAAATTGTGCTCGATCGGAGGCTCAGGTTGGCCTATTCAAAGGGCCTGTGTATTAAGGATCAAGGTTTTGGAAGAGAGTGAGCGTTTAATGCCAAAGAGGGCACTTGCCCGACACCCCCCCATTGGGGATGCCAGGGGCGGGAAAGGGCCCCCCGGCCTTCTGGCCGCATGCGCCTTCTCGAGAAATTCGTTAAACAAAAAGCCTTCCCTCTAACAGTTCAGAACGTCTTGGGATGTGCCTTTTGTCGGCTGTAGCGCACGCGCTCAATGTTTGAGGGTCCGACGGCAGGAGGATCGTGCTGGGCCTTACGCAGGAAGCCAACTCCATTTGCTTAGCGAAGCCAGCACCTCGCGCGACAGCAGCAACATTCCGTTTAGACGTTTGGCACGCTTGGCTGCCCTTCTTGCAGCAATAACAACCGAAACACAACTGCCACAATCGAAACAAGGACACGGCAACCTGAGGATGGTGACCTTCGTTTGCTCGTGTTGCCAAGCCTCCCTAAAGAAGAAGGCAGCCGAATGTCACGGCTGCTTTGGCGCCACTTTCAGCTGCGTGGACTGCATGCAGCAATTCTCCCATCAAAGCATCAAACATCACACGCAGTGCCTCACAGGTGGGGCCCTTCTATGGCGCAACTTCCAAACTTTCGGGTGTCGCATTGTGGATGCGGGATATCGGAGTGCAGGTTTTTGCCGTGTCGGTCTGTTTGCGGGTGCAGAGGAGCAGAAGTTCCATGGCAAATTCGCGGCGGGCTCCAAGAAACAGCAGCAGAAGCAGCAGCAGCAGAAACAGCAGCAGCAGCAGCAGCAGAAGCAGCAGCAGCAGCAACAACAGCAACAGCAACAAGGCGCTGGATGCAAGCGGAAGGTGCACGCAGACCCCGAGAAAGAGGGCCAGCAGCAACAGCAGACGCAAGCGAAAAGACGCAATGGAGGCCTTCCCCCCTCAGAGTGGTGCTGGCTTGCAGCCGTCAAGTCGCTGCTGAAGGAGCAACCGGAGAAGCGCATGCATTGGAAGCAGCTTGCAAGAGAGGTAAGGACTTTGGAGTAGAGAGAGGCGTTTCGGTAGATTAAGGCGGGGCTCTTCATTACGTGTGTCCTCATCGACAAGGAAGCCTGGTGAACGATTTATATGCTGGGAGTGCTGCTGCGGCTGCTGCTGCAGGTTGTGCAGCAGTATAAGAGGACAGTTGGAGCAGAGGGGGTCTGTGAGAAGGCTCTAAGGCAGCAGTGTCTCGCAGCGGTAAGTTGCAGGAGGGAATCTATAATGGAGCCTCAGGGTGTCACATCTTCACAGTGGGTCTTGAGCTTTTCCAGAAAAGCGGAAAAAAGCGATTCGCTGTGAATAAGACTCCGGGTGCTGCTGCCAATTAAGTATTGGGGCAGTGGGTGCGTGCATGCTCAGGTTCCGCTGGCCTACACGAGCACTACTTCCCCCTATATTGCGCTGTCTTAGAGGGGCGAGCAAGTGAGAAGCGAGGTGTCATGACGCTCTGTCTTGATGCAGGCCTGCTCTGCGCGAGGGGAGCAGCCTGTGTCTTGAAGTGCCACCCGCGAGGCCTTAGGCCAAGGAGACCCTCAAGGGCCTTGCCGCTGAGTGTGGCCGCTCTTCGTGCACTGTAGGAGCAGCAGCCAGCACAGTGAGGGTTTCAGATAGGAGACTGAGGAGTTAAAGACTCCGTTGAATCTCTGCGGCTGCGCAATGGTATTTCGTTTGCTGCTACAGCGCTTATTTGGCACTTCTCCTGCCGCTCTGTCCCTTGATAGTGTTGCTGCGGCTGGCCGGGCTAATAGTTGCAATGGCTTGACATCCGTAGGGGCCTCCGGGGACGTCGAGGCATGCATAAAAACCCTAGGAGCGACGCGCCAAGGCTTGGAGTCATATGCCGTCTTCTGGCCCCCTCAGCTGGAGTCGTGCTGAACCGCGCTTCATTGAGCCTGCACTGATTCCCTATTTCAGCACCTTGAATGACAGAAGACGCGCTTAGAATCGTCCTGCTATGACAGCTTTTTTCACGCTAGGTTATACGTACTTGGGGTCAAGGACATAATGTCTTGGGGTTCAGGCTGTACACTCCCAGGCAGTAGGATGCACGGCGTGTGGGTTAAGAGCTTTGTAGTCTAAAGTATAAGGCGCTAGGCTCCAAGGTCTGGGCCAAGGGTCTAGACTTAGGCTTTACACTTATCAGCGTTGGGATTCAGGGTGAACAACTGTAACACTGTACGCTTCTCTTTAGTTGGGTTAAACTACGCACTCTCAGACTTGAGGTTTCGTGGTCTTGGATGTAAGGATCCACATTTTCAGGCTCTAGGCTTTGCGGACTTGGCGTTGCGGGTTCACACTCAGGCGCTAGGCTTCACGTTCCCCGAATTAAGGATTTATTCTTTCATGCTTCAGGCCTTCGCATATTTACCCACCTCGCGAAGCAGCACACTTCCATATGTCACTCAGCATTTGTATGTCACAGCTCGCATTCAAGCAAAATCGATGCCATAAACTACTTCGATTTCTGAGTCAGTCGCTTGCTTCAAGGGGGCGCTTAGCGAAGGGTCCGTCTTTATTATAGGTGCTTTGTTTGAAATTAACTAGACTTCAATAGCACAGAATACAGGAAAATAGTCAAGTGTCAGCATCACCTCTGCAGGAACACAGTACATAATTGTTCTCTCTGCACTAGCTCAATTTCCTCCAAACCACCACGTCTGCACTACCCCGCTTTCAAAAAAGAGGATGCAATGCCCTTTTTACGTCTCCACACGAGGGTTCCTAACTGCCCAGCTGTGGCAACAAAAAAAAGCATTATGAGAAGCTTTCTTCTAGGGTATCACTGTCTCAATGTACCAACCCTACAAGCTTCCAGCCAGAAGTGGGAAGGGGGGCTGAGCTCTCTATGGGACAAATGCGCTGTAGCCGGTTAGAGTACAGGTAGAGCTGCACCGAAAAGCCTCACAGAAAGGCACTCAACTCCAAACTCGATCAAAACCTGTCTAAAACGTGATGAGCGTTTTTCAAGAGAACGTTTGCTTCCCCTGCCCACACCCGTCAGAATCCTCGACGTATGTTTAGGAAACTAAGCTTGTACACGGGCTACAAGCAACGAAGGACTAGTACAAAAATCATTATTTCGGTAATGTGCTTGCCCTTCTCGCTTATTGCAAAGGCCTGTTAGCTTGACACAAGAAGCTGCCGTAATGTGTGCGTGTGCGCGAGATGCAACATGCAGCCAACTGTACACGCTCGAAGTGCTTCGAAAGTCCAGCGAAGCGGGCTTTCGATAATTCTTTCTTCTCATGTCAGGAAGTGCCGGGCACACGCAGGGGAAGCAGGAGGTCTATTTTAAGGTCACATCGACGTTTCTACAAAGCTTGCACTGAGTCTCGGCTTGTGCCCGCACGGAGGCTTCCAATGGAACCCCACGCGCTCACATCCTCAATCTGTGCCGGGGCATGCTACAGCCAGGAACCTTCCACCATATTGGATATACTTAAGCAAGAGTTAGGCAAGGGTGGACTGGTTGATTTGGCTGTCGGGATGCTCTGTGCTGCAAAGTAGGGTTAGGGAGCTCCATAGTCATTAAAATGAACTTCGTACACGCTAAGGGGTAAATTGCTTTGGGCAGCTAGGTGCGTGAGCACTTGAAATCTGCAAGGGTGGAGCAGCGTGCACTCCAGCTGTCTTCTCATCACCGTCGCCGGAGGCTTTGGGGTGAGCGTCGTGGATGGGGTCAGCTATGCTCCAACGACACCCTCCAAAGAACAAGAGCACTTGCAAGAAATTTGCATCGTGCGAAATCTCCCTTAAGGACCCTAAGAGGACTTTCTTACAAACGGTAACTCAGCGCACTGACCCATATATCATAAGCACTTACAGTAGGTACCCAGGTTTGTTAGGCGGCATACAAAGTTTAGTTAGGCACTGACTGCAGTAAGGTCCGGCTGTTCTCATAGTCTTGTGTTTTGCGACTCATGTGGAAGTATACTTCCACACGTTGCTTGGCCTGATCTCCCCTTTGTTCCTCGTGCATTTCTTACTTAGTCTGGGTAGCAGCCATGCAGTGAAAATAGCGTGCCTCAGACCAATAGAAGCTAAAGAAAGTCGAATGCAAACAGCCTGCCGGCATGAACCTGCCCCACACTTTTGTAGCGCTATTGGCACATGCTGACAGCTTCGGGTTGACGCTTGGATAGCGTCAAGGCATGCTGCCGCCAAGCCAGGATTCTGTATGGGAAACATTGCCTTGGTCCGTACAAGGTACGGTAGTTTGTGAGATGGCTGCCTTCCAGTTCGTCAGGCACCAGTGTCGAGCGCATAAAAAAAGCTTCCAATCCTCTTTGCGGCCAAAATCCCTGTCCTGTGAAGGAATAATAGTATAGGAGAGATCCAGGAAGGCAGTACTGCATGGGAGAAAGATTGATGAAGCAGTTCCCAATTCTTACTTTCTCACTGCATTCGCTAAGGCCTTCGAGCGGGGTCTCGTATAATACTTCCAGCCTCGCACTCAACCAGCCACTGCTATTGCAGTCAAGGCACCTCTGAATTCCTGCGCGTCTCTCCTCGTTTTGCGCGCCACCAGGGGTCCCCATCAGAAGAAAACTATAGCTTTCAAACGAGTACAACTACCGGAAAGTTAATGTCACCTCAGAAGAACTCCTTCGCCCTTTTACATGGTTCTGGCATGAGAGGATAGAGAGACAGCTGGAGCGTGTGATGGCTCGCGCACTCAGAACTCCGGGCGCATTCAAGGTGCAGCCAGCTACATATTTAGTGAATCTGTGTGTTTATGAGCCAATGTGCATAGTACCTAACTGCCGGGCCAAGCCAGATAATCATTCTGGTTGATTCGTATAGATATAACTGGAGCAGCGCCCCCATGTAGTAAGGCCCGCTAAAGTTGCAGATGGGCAAAGCAAGTTGGTAAGGAAGTGCTGAGAACTGCCCACCCATGGAGGCATTCTGTGGACATGTAGGGCTTCTTTGCGTTGCAGCTGCGACGGGCTTAAGACAACAAATACACTTTCTTTGCAGACACGTACACGTTGTGAGTGCGCGATGCAGCGCTGTGGCATATATTGGACCTGTAAAGAGTCGGTGTATGTTGGGCTGACCGCCCAACGGTCACAAGAATATTCCCTAGTTGCCATGCGAAACAGTGGCATAAAGTTGATAAACATAATATTGCTTATCTGCTTCCCTGCACTTCACTATTATTCCACTGCAAAGAAGAAGTATGAGGATCTCAAGCAGCCGATGTACGTGTCCATGGAATAGAAAAATGGCTGTAATCCAGCATGAATTTGGGGAAACGACTACCCACACGTAAGTCTCCGTCATTTTTGCCACGAGTCCAAGTAGCAGCTAGACGCAAGGGCTGCAAGCTGGCTTCCTAGTCTTAATGATCCCAACAACTGCCACCGAACAGGGCCCAAGGACTCAAAAAATACTGGTCATTAGCACTTGCTCCTTCATCATACAGATATGAAGCATAGTGGGCTTGATAGCAAAAATCTGACCCATGTAACCACACTAAATTATTGTCAAGTGCGAACAGAATCTACCTATCATAACGAAGAAGCAAATCCGCTCTACCGCTGCGATTGAATTTTTGATTAGCGGTTTTTGCACGCACGTTAGCCATGCAGTTCCGCATTATAGCTTGTATTAGCTCTTCATCCGCCGCTGAAGCCAATATGCCCTGATTAGCCGCTTTAACTCCAAAGTATGCAGCCGCTGCACTGTGATTGTGGCGGGTTATGATACGCTCCAGCACTTTTTCTTGCATTCTTAATTGAATTTCGAATTAGTTGAAGAATGGGCCATATGGCCTAGCTATTAGAATACACCTTGCTGTAGAGTAAAATTACCTTGATACTTTAGAAGCATAGATATTGTCGTTTGTGCGCTCAAGGCCGATACGTGGAAGCGGTGTAAATGAATACTTCGAGTTCTTCGAGGGTGTGGCAATACCCATGCAGCTTAGCTTTTTCTTTCCTCTACCCACTCCTACCATACTGGGACCCTTATGGACACGGCCGGTGGAGGGGAAAAAGAGCTCTACCGAAGGAACACATGGTAACATTCTGTTATGTTTTGTTGTTCGATTTGGGGATTTAAAAGTGCCTGCCTAGGGCGCACACTCAAAAGTTTCTCTGCTCGTGTCACTTCTTTGGTTTGTGCTCTGCTAAGGTAAAGGGTCTGCAACAAGCGTCCAAGTGTTTGTGTTTGCTTTCAGAATCCTATGATGTGTGGGATGTGCATTCATACACTTCGCTCTTCCTCTACTGCGACGCCACCGCCTGCTCACCGATTTTCAAAGTCCCTTCCACCTTGCCTAAGAGAGCTAACACTGCATTGCAATGTTCCGAGCACTGCTGCTGAACAACGGATACACGCTGTACACACACAAAGTAGCAGTAGTGTGTGCATCCAAAGGGCATTTCTGTTGAATCCGTCAAGATGCCGAGCCGCCTGTTGACTGTTCAGCTCTTTAAGCTATCAAAGATTTGGCTAGGATGCGAATAATGATGGAAGGGTAATAACATTCACCCTAAAGTGTTGACATCTGGCAGTTCATCTCGGGCACCCTGGATGCAGTCCCAGGGATACTGCGCCGTCAATCTATATGCAGCAATATTACCGCAGCTTCCCTTGCACCGGGTATGCCTGCCAATTTTCATTTGGTCTCTATGCACAGGAAGAAATACGATGCGCTTCCTCCCTCTGCTGCGTATCGAAACAGGGTGGCTGGTGGGATGGCATGTGTAGCGCATTCTGACACCTCCATGTCCCCTTTTGATTGATTTACCTTCATCCCAGGAGAATCGTTTCAGCTTAATTTCATAAAAAGACAGCCGACGTATCTGCGTCTCGGCGAATCTCGCTCACAGACACACCCCACAGTGTGGTCCGCTGTCAGGGCGTCAACCCCTCCGAAACACCACCCGACCCTCGTGTACATGCAGGCGTTTGGTCGAGGTCTGCAGCCGCATCCCTTCCGCCTCTTGCCTAATTAAGTGAAATCTGCGAAGGAAGGCAGCTGAAACAGCTTCGGAGGAGCAAAGGAAGTGCCTGTTGCCCCCTGCAGCCGAGGGAGACCTATACCGCGAAAGCGGCGGGAAGGTTCCCTAGAACTAACGAGATAGCTTCGCTTCGCCGGCCTGTGCAGTGTGGCATGCAGAGCGCCTAGCAAGGCAGTGGCGACCACCGCTTATGCTAGGAGAGCATCCGTGTTCAGCCCCTCCGATCCACGACTGCAAACGTCGAATTTCTGCACATACACACAGACACAGACACAGGCACACACATCCATCCAGCAGCCGCACGAGCGATGGTACCACCATGCTAGCAAGGGCACTACAGTGAGCTGGCATCCGCGAATCTCCCAGCTCAGTGTGACGTTTCTGCAGCCTGCCAGGCTGGAGCAACCTCCCCTCTACCATCAGCGCCTTGCTCGTCTCTCCGCCTCCTGAGGATTCTCACGAAAATGCCCCGCGTTTTCCTCCCCCAAGTCTTGTGGCACTGCAAGAATAACCGCCTCGCGGATCGCGTGTACTCGGTGGATGTACAGCCTGTGGCAAGGCGGCCTGCTAAAGCCGACAGCGCCGATGCCTTCAGACGCGATCTCCAAGAAGAAGAGACGCAGGAGTGCTATCGCATCGCCACTGCAGGAGCAGATGAGTTCATTCATGTAGGCCTTCGCGGCGTGCTTCCTGGGTTCTTCCATCCTGTGACGCTCCGACGCAGTCTTGCAGTGGCAGGGGTAGAAGGGTAGCAGTGAGCATGCACCCACCTCCCTACCTACCCACCACGGCCTGTTGCCGCTCGAAAGACTGCATACAGCGCAGGAAGGGGGTTCCAAGGAAAGATCTCCAACCCCACGCGTGTGCGTCTGCGCGCGTGGCTGTGTTCGTGGCGTGCTGCAGCTGTGGAACGTCGACTTCTCAACAGGATCCTTGGCAGTGACGTGCCTCTCGCGGCTTGTAGGCCACGAACAAGAGGTGAACTGCGTTCGATGGAATCCTGAGGGAACCATTCTTGCATCTGGAGGAAGTGGTGCGTTAGTGCGACATGCTTTTCGGCTGCCCTCCCAGATCCAAGAGGAAATGGAGGGAGGGACTTAGGGGGCACGCCTCGTATATCTATATATATATATATATATATATATATCTATATATATCTATATCTGTATAGCTATATAGCCGGCAGCGAACGCACTTTCCACCACAAGTGCAAGAGAACGCCGCGCGGGAGTTAGAGAAGGGAAGGGCTGTCTCCTGGTGTCTGTTTCATCTCGCTTTCCCTGTCGCGGGGATGCCTCGTGTTCAGTTACGCGCTCGTTCATGGTGATAGCCACGCCGCGAACCCATAGATCTTTCCCCCGCGCGTTGCAACCGAAGGCGGAAGGACAGGGGCGAGACGTGGGGAGCAGCCTGTGACACGCGAGGATTTCCTGCATGTGTGCATGTGCATGTATGTGCGCATATGTATGTGTATGTATGTGGATGTGTATGTATGTATGTGTATGTGCATGTGTGTATGTGTATGTATGTGTATGTGCATGTGTGTATGTGTATGTATGTGGATGTGTATGCATGTGTATGCGTATGTATGTGGGTGTGTATGTATGTGTATGTGTATGTATGTGTGCATGTGTATGTATGTGGATGTGTATGTATGCGTATGTGTATGTATGTGAATGTGTATGTATGTGTATGTGTATGTATGTGGATGTGTATGTATGTGTGCATGTGTATGTATGTGGATGTGTATGTATGTGTGCATGTGTATGTATGTGGATGTGGATGTATGTGGATGTATGCATATGTGCATGTGTGTATGTATGTATGTATGTGTGTATATGTGTGTGTGTGTGTATGTGCATGCATGCAATGCAGATAACGCTGTCTGTCTGTGGGTCAAAAGCCACAAGCCAGACTCGGTGCCTCTTGGCGTCGATGCGTCAGTGCTGCAGTACCATGAATGGTGGTCACGCACGTCCTCCTTGAGGTGTGTTGTCTCTTGAAATTGAGCCTGCTACTGTCCTCCTTCGCCGAGCTGGGAGGGAGACTGGCTGCTGCTGCTGCTCTTCCCGCCGCAGAACCGCTTGTTGATGCTGCTCTCCAAATGTTTATTTTTGACACTTGTCGAGAGGCAAATAAATGGCGGGTGGGGCGAGAATCCCTCTTGCAGCCGAATGAGGTCCAGTTCCTTGAAAAAACCTCCTGTGTAGCTGTCTCCGAGATGGTCGCCGCTGCAATACTGCGGCGACTCTCGCGTCAAAAAGGCCTCTCACACACTTGCTCTACATTTGAAAAAGATTTTTCTTGAAAGCAGCCTTGTGGAAATTGCCGTTCGCGCAGGCTGTCACGCTGTGCCCTCCTGCCTGCTGCGGGGAGACGGAGGGTGTAGCCTCTTAGGCGTCGCGTTGAGGCGCTATCTGTGCAGTTTTTGCAGCGCGAGGGTTTGGGCTGCATGTGTGCTCTGGCGAGGCCTCTTAGATCCTGTCTCTTCGCTCGCTCACCCTCTGTACGTACAGTGCGCTGCCTGTGGCGCTCTGCATTTTGCAGGAGGAGCGATGCAGTCAACACCCTCTCTTGGTCCCCTTCGGGAAACCAGCTCGCCATCGGCTGCGAGGATGGACGCGTCATTGTGTGCGACGTTACTGGAGGTAACATCGCGCTGTTGGCTAATTCTTTGCGATTTAGGGAGCCTTTTAGAGCTAAACTTAGCCGCTTATCGGCTTCAGGAGGCCTCTGTGTCGCATACTAGTGGCGACTTGGGGGCTGACAGGGAGGCATCAACGCGATATTGCCGGCTTTTCACACTTTGGTCCTTCTTAATCTTCACCTGCGCTCTAGGCCTTTCCCGCAAAACGGTGTGCGTCTGCGTCTTCTCCCTTTTCCCCCTAAAGGCCACCTTCTGAAGCGTGTGCTGTCCACTGCTCTCGCAGGCACCCTCGCTACAAAATCCATTCGTGTGCTGGAAGGGCACTCGCACATCATTCAAGGAATCTCCTTTGACCCTCTGGGGAAATACATTGCCTCGCAGAGTAGCGATCAAACGTAGGTGTCTGCAATTCCAAGGTGCTATGGCCTGCCCACTCCCAAGTGCATGCACACCACAAAGTGTATTATATATAGTTCTTGGGATGCCTTGCTTGGAATGGAGAGCCGCTTGTAGATCCGCAGAGGCCACCTTGTGCGTCTCGGCATTTTCCCCTGCCATTTCTAAAGTCTGTCTCGCCGGCTGGCTGCAATCTAAAGGCCCTAGGAACGCCGCTGACAGCACAATATCCCGTATCACCCTGCATATATTTCTATGTAAATATATGTACATATATGTATATATGCATATATTTCTATGAATATATATATATATATATATATATATCTATATATATATGCATTTATTTCTATGAATGTACATGTATATATATGTATATATGCATATATTTCTATGTATATATATGTATAGATGCATATATTTCTATCTATATATATGTATATATGCATATATTTCTATCTATATATATGTATATATATGTATATATGCATATATTTCTAACTATATATATGTATATATATGTATATGTGCATACATTTCTATCTATATATATGTATATATATGTATATGGGGCCTCCTTGAAGGCACAGAATGCTGCGTGGGCGCCCAAGACCTCAGAGCGGCTTGTTGAAGAGCTCCTTGCCGCAGGATCGACTGTCTGTGACTCTCTTGCTGTGGTGTATGTATGCATGCGTGCATGCACTGCGTTCCTCGACACTTTTGCTGCGGTGTGCATGCATGCACTGCTCTTGCAGAGTGCGCCTTTGGTCCCGTAGAGCTGGACTTGGCACCCAAGGGGTTCCCGTTGCAGCAGCGGCAGCTGCGGCAGGAGGCCCAGCGCAGCAGCCGCAGCCGCTGCAGCCTGCTGCTGCTGCTGCTGCTGCTGCTGCTGCTGCTGCAGAAGTCTCTTCCGGCAGTGCGCCTCTTCCTGCAGCCTCAGCAGCAGCACCAACTGCTGCTGCGCAAGGCCGTCCTCCAGTGTGGCGATGCGAAGCGGCCATCAAGAGCTGGTCAAAGCCTGGATCAGCGCGGGATGTGGACGCGCTTCAAGTGAGAGCTTGTGGTTGCTGGGGGGTGGCGTGGCAAGCGTGTTTATTGAGGGGGATATTTTTCCTTGGCGCATGCATGATGCGCAGTATTATGGAGACTGCACCCAAGGGTTTTCTCCGTGCAGAGCTTTCTCTCTCTCTACACAGCCTCCCTCGCTTTCTGAGCGCAGCAGGCCAAAGGCGGTGTGTTCGCTGTAAGCAGTCGGCAGTTGTTGCTGCATTTGCCTCCACGCGCTTTTCGCTTCGTGCTGTCACAGGAAGATCGAGAAAACGAGCAGCGGAACGGAGGCACCTCAGCGGCTACAGGTGGGGGGCCTGGTCGGGTAGGCGCTCCTTTGCGTCAATTGTTTCTCGCGGAGAATCAGCTGCCCTCCTTCTTTAGACGCCTCGATTGGTCTCCCGACGGATCTCTGCTGGTTGCTCCCGCGGGGATGCAGCAACAGGTGTCGGGGACAGAAGGCGAGCCGAGTCCAAGCTCCACTGTGGATATTGTGGGGGAATGCAGCAGTGGCTCTCCAAGCATCTCCCCTCGTGCCTTCAATGCCTCCCCCCCCACGGGAGCCGCGTCGGCGCAGGACGCTGCTGGCGGCTGCAGCACCAGCAACAACAGCAGCAGCACCAGCAACAACAGCGCCGGGGAGTCCTTCTATGCTGCATACGCCTTCCATCGCCGACTGCTGCAGCACAGCACATCTCCCTTTGTTACGCACCGGTAAGCAGAGCCACGGTATACATATCCACAAACAATGCCTTGCAGCATCTTTCCCTGAGTATAATTTTGTTGGGGAGGGAGCGATCTGCCTTGTTTTGGAAAAATTGGGTTCAAGGTCCCCTTGGATGCTGGTGTGCATGTGTGCCATTATGTGTCTATGTGTGGATGTGTATACATGTATATATGTATGTGTGTGTGGATGTATACATGTATGTATGTATGTATGTATGTGTGTGTGTGTATGGGCATATATGTATATATGTATGTGTGCATGGGCATATGTGTATATACGTATGTGTGTATGGGCATATGTGTATATATATGAATATATATATATATATGTGAATGTGTTTTTCGGGATAATGTGCTGCAGTCTGGAAACAGGACCCGCAATCTGCGTTCGGTTTAATCCGTGTTTTTTTGCCCCTCTTCCGATGCCTGAAGCTTTGGGAAAGAGGTGTCCACCGTCGGCTTTAGGAGAGATTTCAGCTTCCCCATGGGCTCCCTCTAGCGACAAGGCGGCCGCTGCAGAAGCGCTTGCTGAACAGTATACTAAAACACGTTCGTGGCTATTCAGGAGTGAGGATCGGCAGCACATGGTGCCTCTGAGCGGCACGCGGAAGAAACTCGACGGGCAGGAGAATCTCCCTCCGAAGAAATTGCAGAAGGACTCGCCTCAGAAGCAGCCAGATTTCGAGAGTCTGCTGCAGGAAGGCATGAATCTAGACACGGAGCTTGGCGGTTCTGCCGGATTAGACGGAACGTGGGATAGTGGCGCGTCTGAAGACTGCGTCTTCCCAAGATTCGTGTATTCGATTTGTACGCTCGATGGCAGCGTGCTCCTATACGACACACAGTTCCTTTGCAGGCCCTTGGCCGTCTTGCACCGTCTGCATCTCGCGCCAATGACGGACTGCAGCTGGAGCACCGACGGACGGCTTCTTGTGTGCAGCAGCAGCGACGGCTATATAACGTTTGTGCTGTTTACGGCAGCTGAGCTCGGGCAGGTGCTGTCTTTCCCGAAGGCCGTCAGTTCCCCACAAGCTGCCTACCGCCCCTCCGAGCAGTCCATGGCAGGCGCAGTAACCTCCAAGCTAGAAGCAGGTGCTCCTCAGCCTCGGCTGTCTTGCGTGGAAGGCGCCGCCATCAGTTCTTCGGAAGCTGAAGCCCTTCCCAAGCCGCGCTTGCTGGTGCTTGGCAATGCTCGTGCAAAGGTCCTCGGAGGATGTCTGGACACAGCTGTAGCGTCTCCTTGCACGAGTGCTCCTTCACAAGCGACTCCGCAGACGACCCCCGCTGTCGGCTCTCCAGCTGTGACCGTTGTCAGCTCGGCGCCTGGCAGCAGCGAGCCACACCCCCCATCTTGACGAGCAGCCCGTCGATGTTTCATTCAGGACGCTCAATTGCATGCAACAAGGGTCTCAAGCATTCGCCCTCTGTTGCAGCTCGAAATTCATTTTGAGCACCCTATAGCTCCATGGCCGCACGTATGACTGCCGCTAGCTGGTGGACAAGTAGTTCGCCTTAAAGGCAGCATGTAGACAGGCGACAGTGCAAGGAAACACGCGGCCACTGGCTCCTAGTGACCACACATACTCATTGCAAGCCTCTATTATGCGCTCGCCTAGGTGCACAGTACGCGCACTCGAAGCCCTTTAGGGGTGTAACAAGGCTGGGGGAGGACAGCAGCGTTCACGAATGGGGAGCGACTCCAGAAAGTCTTGTGCAGTAGGACAGCCGTTTGAATATAGGGGCTCCCATGCCTAGGCGCAATGTACAAGATTTCCAGCTATTGTGCTGCATTCAATATTGACTGCGGGATATCTCCTTCTAGATAGCAAAGTAGGGAGCTGGAACGAGGAATAAACGGGAGTCACTTCAGTCGCAGCGACGATTGGCAGCGTCGCACAAACCACGTTGCCAGCTCCAATAAATTAGGTGGAGTAGTTTCATGAACTAGAACTCACCTAATCTCTTGGGCAACTCTGTCTTTTGGTTTCAAACGGCTGCTTTAGCAGCACAAGAGATGCTCTCTTAGGTATTTAGCCTCGTGTTACGTTGCTCGGACGTTTTGGTGGACTGCTTCAGGGCAGGGTTGGGAACCGTGTCGACGGGTGTACAGCCACATGTCATCAGCTTGTGCGCGTGTTATTCGAGGTCGCATAAGACGGCCACTAACGCTGGCATGCAGAACGAACAGCCGCTCGTGGATGTCACGGAGGAGACCGTTTTGCCACGGACTTCAGCAGGCATCAGCGCTTGGCTTTTACCTAAATTTCCTGCCGGCTCCGGATGAAGCGTCATCTCGACACAAAAGGAGTTAAGCAACTTCATCAAACAGCGTTATTATTGCCTTGCTTGCGACGCCCACAACAGCGGGCACCACCTGGTCAAAATATAGCTCAGGTGGGTGACAGCCCATTCGCGGCCAGCCTAAGTGACAGCAAAACGGAGACGCGGCTGGCTGTGGCTCGTACTTTCTCTGCAAGCGCAAAGGAGCTATGAACTAACGGATTAGAAACCAGCTCTGGCCGGTACGCGCAAAAAAAAGCGGAAAATTAGAGTGCGTCAATGCAGACACGGCACGACCGCCAATGTCTGAGTCTCCTGGACTCCGCCCACACACCGCCTGTTGTTTAGAAAAAGGGGCCTCGTAAATACAAGCCTGGGAGGGCAGCCTGCACTGTAACATCTAAGAGCGCGTTGCTAGTGCTGCCCACACAGGGGAAATGTGGGGGCACTGGTACTGTTTGTGTATCGCTCCACTTAGAGTCTTTAAAGGAAAGGCGTCCTTAACATCAAACTTAGTACAGAGTTTGATGGAAGATGAGCGAAAAATGCCCTGTTGAAGGAGCTGCCTCCCCGTTTCCTCACCTCATATGGGACCGGCGTGAGGGACGAGAAACACGGGTTGCCGCAAGACAAATGCACCATGGCAATGCCTCTCACGACTTTGGAGCATGTACCTTTTTAGGAGCAGTGTACAGCGCACGGGTGGGCGCTGGATGCTTACCGCATCGAGCTACTAGACTATGCTATGCAACTGAGAGCATACACCTCCATGCCGCTGCCAAGCCAAGCAGACTGTAGTTGCTAAGTTATCCTGAATCTGAGTATATCTGGTGCATAAGGAAGTGCCGAAGTGTAAGCTTTGGGGGCCCCTTCGCTCCTCTCTCCACCGCCCCTCTCTAAAGACCACAGTTGTGCAGCAAGTGCAGTGAGCCCCTGGTACGCTGTCCACTAGATCGCGCAGTCCCTCAGCCGGCTCCTTTATTCGTCAAGAAGTGGCAAGGAACGGCGGGGTTGCTGCCATCGGCAGACACTGGCAATCTAGCATCTGAATGGTGCGCACCACTGCATCACTCGTTTTGGGAAAAATGGTAAAGAAGACGAAGAACAAGCCCCGAATCACGGAATTCCATAGGAGTCAGGCAGAGAATTCCAGGAAGAGATGCAGCATCCAATCTGTTCTTTGCCGCTGTCTATGCTGTACAGCCATGCCAGCGGCCGACACGCCCCTCAGTACGACGCAGGAGGGTGCTTCTTCTAACGCGAATTTTGGCCTTCTTCTTCACAAATACATTGAGGTTCTGGTGTTTTGAGCATTTCTTTTTAGTATGCCTCCTCTTGGAGACTTGTGTGTGCCTTTTCGACTTCTGTGTCTCGCGCTCGTTCCCTGGAGGGCCTCCCATGGCATCGTGGTCGCTCGCGCTTAGCGCCAACAACTGCTCCCACACCAGTGGCTTGTGGTTGTCGACTGCAGCCTGCTGAAATAAAACCTGACCTTCGGCGGCTAAGCCTCGTGGCATAGAGCAGTGGAGGTGCATGCCTTATCATGAAATCTGTGGCATAGGGAGTGGCCTTCTCCTGCTGTCCGCGCACGTTGACCAATTGAACCCCCTTTCTCCTCCCCCTTCCAGCTTTCTGGTATCTGCTATACACCATCTGGGCGCAATGGTGGTCGTGGGTATCGTGGGGCCTCAACAGAGCGGCAAGAAGACCGTTGCGGCTACCCTGCAGAAACTCCACGGCTTTAAAATCCTGACCATAGGTGGCAACACTCCTCAGGGTGTTTTCGTTCATGGAGGCACAAAAAAGGAAGTTGAGGAAGCCAGTAATACTCCAGACGCAAGGCTCTCGGCAGCACCAACAGCAGAAACAACCCCAGCTACTACTCCGGGTGCCCGAGAGGCAGTTGCTCCGTATGAAGAAAGTAAAGCAACGGAAGCTGCCACAGCCGTGATGGATTACTGTAAGTTTGCTGTCCTTTTCACCCATTCAGTGGGGAGCACTTGTTCGGCTTTTCGTACTGTTCAAAGAAGCGGTCTTTCGTTGGCAGCCATTGGCTGGCGAGGCACAAGGCACAAGGGCAATAATTAGCAGCTGGGACACCTAATACGGTTTTCGAGTAATTTCACGCTGCACGCACGCATCCAGTATATATTTGCCATGAAGAAAACCTAGTACATTTCTGTGCATGAATCGATCCATTTGACATTTACAGCGCTCGAAAATACTTGCGCAGGTGTACGCATACTCATGAGTGTCCACTTCCTCCCAATAAATTCAAATATTCCCATGTATAAACACATTCATATAACATGACTAATTGGATCTGTTGAGATCTCCCTACGACACCCTTAGGGATACACATGCAACGTACTCCGTGGGACACACGAATGTTCAACAATGCCTGTACGGATATATACATATATGTATGTATTTATCTATGTATTCTTATGTATAAATTTTATATCTTTATGTCAAAATGGTAGTATCCCCACATGCGGAGGCGTCTGTGGTGCCTGCAATTTGCTTTTAGGCATGCAGCATTGGGGGGAAGACTTTCTGGTTTTGGGTTTCCGAACATTGGAACAAGTCAAAGTCTTCCGGTAAAAGGCTGTTGAGTCTTTTACCCCTAAACCAGAACGCGTATACATGTGTATCTGTGGTAAAATATCTAGAGGAGGGTGTACTCATAAGCACACACACATACATATGTGCAAGTATGTATGTATGCCCATTGTGTCGCTTCTTGTGCGTGTAGATCCGCTATGTAGACACAGCGTGTTTCTGAATGTTCTTCCACTGCGCACACTTAGAGGCCTTATAGAGAGACACTGTGGGGGTATCTTTACAAACAGCACACGAGCATCCTATCGCCCAGTGCATGCATGCATGCGCACATCTGCAGCTGCTGCCCTTCCACCATGGGGATGAGGTGCATGTTGTACACAGGAAAAGGCCTATCTTTCTTCTTTTAGCTGTCGACGCGCCGCTGCTCTGTCGTTTGCGGCGCTCTGGGACGCAAGACGTCTCCGCGTTTTTGGCTCACGAAGATCGAGTGAGAACAGCGAGTCTCTTGGGGTGTTGGCTCCGGTGCAACGCGGTGCCTTGTGGGGTTCTTGGGACCTTAAAGTCTCATCAAAGACTGTAGATGCATGCGGGTACTCATCGCGAGAGCTTGTTCGCCGTGCGGAGTTTATAGCAGCAAAGAGAACACCGCGCGCCTTGCGCTGGTTTACTCCACCTCAGGTGGCCCGAAGGCTGCATGCGTATGCAACCTTCTCTGCATTGTCGCCCTATATTCGCTGTAGTAGTCCATCTCGAATTGGCTGGAAATCGCTGCCGCCTGAGCCGCTCGGACACATGCAGTCTCTTGGCGCTCATGCACCAGCGAGACAGAGCAGCACTTGCCGGGGAGTGCGAAAAAAGCTTCAGGCGCGTCTATCTTGAGAGTCTGGGGCTTTGTGTTTTGGCATTTGTGCTTGCAGCTGATGTTTGGTAGCGACGCAGAGAAAGAGAGTCACGGCATCTACGCTTGTGCGGCATTTGCCCAGGACAGTAACGGGGAGGGGCCTTATGCCACTTTTCCAAATCGTTTAGCCACCTTGCTGCTGCTGGAAGAGCTCTACAGGCTGCTCGCCGCGGCAAGAGCATGCATCCCTAGCCTTCTTCTATTCGTCTTGAGGTGTTCATGTCTTGCGCCTTTAGGTATGCGGCAAGCAGACGCTATCGTTTTAGGAGATAGAGACCTTGCCTCCTTAGAAAAAAAACTCTCCGGTGAGGCACCCCCAGCAAATTGGCTTTCAAAGTTCGAGACTTCCCTTATGCAAGGGTCCACATGCGCAACTCACTACCATGAGCTAGTCTTATCCTCGATCTGCCTTCACGTATCGACCTGCAAACGTCTTCTATAGCTGTGTGGATGTATCCCTACGCGCACACACCCGTAGGCTTATTGTTATACCGGTCGTGCTAGGCTGCCTGAAAAAGCACGCCACGCTGAACTTGGTAAACTCACGTAATGCAAAGTTGCGCAACAGGGTTGTTGCTGATTATTGGTTGCAGCTCTGGATATTGTTAACCCAGAGCGTCGCCGGCCATCTTGGGATGCTTACTTCATGCGGCTCGCCTCGCTTGCTGCCAGCCGCGCGAATTGTCTTAAAAGAAGGTATGAGCTGCAACCAACAATCTCTCCATTCCTTCAGGAAAGGAACATATATATTCGTCTTGGCAAATATCGCGCGCGAAATGCATGCAAGCTGAGAGTGGACCCCAGATGGCCACTCACGCGAACGCTCTAAAACAATTTCTAACGATGTTCTCACCTTTGGCTTCTTGTATAGACAATGGCTGCGTTTGTACTCTTTAGAGAAGTGTCCATACAGAGAGTGTCTTTTCTCTGCATGCATGTTGACGCTTATTTAGGGTTGGTGCAATTTGGCTTCTTGTATACTCAATAGCTGCGTTTACGCTCTCTAAATGTGTCCATACAGCTGGTGGCTTTCTTTGCTTGCGTGTTACTGCTTGCATAGGGTCGGTGCAATTGTGGTCCGCAGCAACCGAGTGAGCCATCACTCCACGGTAGCGCACTTTATGCTTGCAGAGAACTCTGTGCTCGCCGCTTCATTGGGCTTGTGTTATCGAGCGATCTGGCTAGTACAAGAGCCGCGAGTTTTCTGCAGCCGGTGATTGCGCACAGTGCATATATGTGCATACCGCTATTGGCGTTGGGCGTGTCATCCCTATATCCGGAAGCACAGCACGCGAGAATATTAGAAACCATCTATAGATCATCATAATGCAGTTGCGCGCTTGGTTTCCTTGTGGTCAGCTGGTGTCTACGGGATACAATGGAACGCACTCTGCTGCAGTCAACTGCTTAGACGGGGGCTGCGAAAGATGCAGTGACCCGACAGTGCATGCAGGAAGGCAGCTCGAAGCGTGTAGCTGTATTCACGCAGAAGCAAACGCCCTCTTAGAAGCAGGTGAGGGTGTAGGCCCTGTGTGCTGAACCCTAAGAAGCTCCCGAATTCTTGGCAGCTACCCAATTACTGCCCAGGCTGAATGAAAGACAAGCTGTTTGCAAGGCGTATTTCCAAGAAAAGATGCACGCATGTGATACTGCGGCCGTAGCCCTTGTATTAAATGGGTAATGATCCATGGCCCTCACAACAAAGTTACAAGACCGCCTCGATGACATGCGATCTTTTTCCATCAGGCCGAGAGCGGTGCCTAGGGGGCGCTATTTACGTCACCCTGCTCCCCTGTTTGAGCTGTGCCAAGTTAACCATTCAAGCTGTGAGTCCTTTTCCGTTGCTGCTTTCTCAATTTGTACAACTAGAACACAAGTCCTTGAGGTTGCGCGTGCGAAGAAGTTGGCGGATGGCTGTGTTAGGGAGTACCTCTATGTACAAAACGTTCCAGCCGCTTTCCTTTGTGCACGGGCTCTCAAGCACTTGAATTTCGAGATAAAACCACTGGTCTTTTTCATGCAGGGGCCAAGATAAGCTCTGCTTTCCACACAAATTCTCGCAATCGATGGCTTTTGGGGAGAGCTCTTCTGAACGCTCTGCCAAACGGACGTACATGAATCCTGTTTCCGTGTTTGCAGAAACGCATTTGAGCGTATATGCCTTGTTTCTGGTCTCCTTGTATGTGTGTGCACCGCATTGCGCGTTTTCTCGACACCAGTGTGTAGCGTGGATTCCTATGTTCGAATCGTGCAAAAGAACCGGCTGCGCTGCTTTCCGCTACTTCAGGGCATCAAGCGTGTGGTATATGCCGAGGCCTATGACACCCAAAGCGGCTCCTTGGAGCTCTTGAGAAATGTACAGTTCTACCCTTAGCGGGCACCATGTCCAGTCCTCCCTCCTCTCCCATTTTGCGACTTATTTGTTCAGTCTCAGCACCAATGGTTGTGTATGCATGCTTGTGTGGACCGGGGTGACAAGAGTGTCTGCAGCACTTTCAGTGCACCCCACAAGGGGTCCACGAGGGTCTGTGAGGTGTTCTGGCCAACCATTGTGCTGCGTGCTGAATTCTGCAGGCGGGCCTAGAGGTTTACAGGTTCTCGGATCGTCACCCTTCCATCCCCCACGCCATTGTGTCTTTCGCAGAGTAGTGGGACTATTGAGGGCAGTGCACCACGAGCTCGCGCATGCGTGCGATACGCCAGGGCTACAAGTATGGGTGTGGAATGCATTGCCTAGGTGTCGCTGTGCATTTCTGCCGTGCGCCTGCATGCACGGTCCATACAGCTCATTTATTCCATAGCACCCGACGCTGCGCAATCGGCCTCCTCCATTTCAGGCGCTCACCGATTAGCAGTGCTAGCGGTCTCTCCATGGGAGGAGAGTAGGAAGCTGGTTACACAGGACTTGGGTCGAAAAGGCCGTGCACGTGATTATAAAGGGAAAGGGTCCACGTAGCCCCTTGGGCGTGATTAGTCTGTCAACATAGAATCAGGGTTGTATCCATGCACGTGTCTTGAGAATTCCCCACCAGCTAGCCACAAGAACGTGAAGCCACGCTCGCAGAGCCAAGTGGCTTTGAAAGGGGTGCAGAAGACAGCAGCTACACGAACTCCTAGCGACCCAGCATGCACTAGCCGGTATGCCTACATAATGAAGAGCACTTTTTACTACAAGTCCTATGAAGTGGCCGTATTCAGCCCCCCCCCCTTCCTCCCTTCCCCCCGTCCAATAGGACATCGGAAGGCGATTTCCCCTTCTAGGCGGTTACCAAGAAAGAGCTAAAATTCCCATTATTTTTCAATAACACGTCAACCCTCTATACCCAGCATAAACAGTGGCAGGGACCGATGACTTTCCACCCGCGCAGGGACAGCTGCCCCACCTATACGTCTCCCAACAGCGCCCAAAACTCATTCGCGTTTGTCTCGGTGCCAACCAACGTCCAACAGCGCTACTTAAGAAATACGCACTTAGTCTTCACCCTTTATATTTAACCAACGTCCTTGGCCGACTACAGCACCCACAGGATCCATCTATAGGCGCCGGAGGGGACACCGCGAGAAGCCACCACTGCGAAAGGGGCTCCTTCTTAGAATAAGTCGGTGACCTCGCAGCCAAGACACCAAACATCGTTTGCGCTACGTAACGTGCCTAGCCGTCAGCGAGCTAGCCCGCGAACCACCATCCTTAGGACTACCCCCTCAGCAAGTGTTGTTTATCCGCTTATTTATCTGCACATGACAATGTCGTCAATCTTCAAGATCATGGCAACAGCCTCCGCCGCAAGCTGCACTGCACTCAATGTGACCAGCAAAGGCTGCAGCACCTGGCGCTCCAGCATATCAGACAAGCAGCCTTTGCGGATGTCGATGCCGCTGGTAGATTGACCCGCAGCGTGCTGATGCCTCAGCGCCGTCACAACTTCCAACGGCTGCAGGCCTGCCAAAATCACAGGCAGGAAAGAGAACGGAAAACGAGAATGAGGCGACCGGGAAATTCGGGTTGCACATACGTAGACATGCATGCAAATGTACTCACGAATACAAACGCATGCACATTTGCATATGCTCATACGAGTTGTACTCCGAGGGTGTAACAGACAAGCGCCTCACGGAGAGCACGCACGCAAGGGCCTTGAACAGTTTACGATAGCGCTTTCGCCTCGGGTAAGGGAAACACAAGGATTAAGAGGAGACTGACCTGCATTCTCTGCAAGGGTATAAGGCACTACTTCTAGGGCTTCCGCGAAGCGTTTAACGCACATCTGACTGACACCCGGAAGAGTACGGGCCCTAAAAAATACAAAACGACAACGCATGCAGCGTCAACACGAACGGGTGTTCCTCCGCTCGCTCCAAGCCTAGCTACGCATTGAATGCTACAAAAAGAAACCACGAAGCCACAGTTTGCTATAGCTAGGAGCCGGCCTGAGGACCACATGAGGCGGATATAAGAGCCTCGCCGTGAGTCTTTGAGGCCCGCCGTCAGTGCTGATCGTCTAGGATTGGCGGGTATACGGGGGTGGGCGAGTCGTGGGTAAACCGTGTGGAATCTTGAGAGTCTCTCTCACCACTCATGAAGCTTGAGAGACAACTCCGCTTCCGGAGCGCCCCCTCCAGGAAGGAGAAACTGCTTCTTCACCAGGCAGCGGACGACACAGAGCGCATCGTGTAGAGACCGCTCCGTCTCGTCCAGCATCTGCACATGCCAGTATTCGCATTCACAAGAACTCACCACGTTAAAAATGGGATACAAATGCAAAAAACCGGGAATGAAACATAAACGGTAGAGCAATTGAGATGAGGGATGCATGAAGGGTGAAGACCTTGCATCGAGCCAGTTTAATTAGCCGAGGAGATGCGGCCGCTGTGATAATGGAAACGATCCCCCGCTTTCCCGCTCCCGCCTTCTCCCCCCATCCAGTGAAATTTAGGGTCAACTGCGCGGGTGCACTAGAAATTAGCAAACCACGCAGAAATTCAAAAATTAAGAGCCCTGGGGTGCCATAGGATGCTTGAGGGTGAAAGAAAAGGGTTACCAGCTGGTTGGACGCGCGGAGCAGAACCGTCACTGCCGTCTGGGCAGGAACGCCCGTAATACGCACGAGATGACCTCCACCAGGAATCTGTGGAAGCCAAAGAGTGAAAGGCGGAAGAAAACAAGAACACTGAGAAACGGGAGCCCCCCATGCGCATGCAACACGACGCGTCAGTGTACCAAAGTGTTCTCATGAGTCAGTCAGTGCTTCTTGAACGCAGCTGCCCGTTTCCTCTGCAATCCTCACCATCTCGTCTTGTACAAGGTCCGCTCGACCCAACTTATCCGCAGTGAAGTGGTCCAGAGAGGCGACAGGCGAGCAGCCTAAGGTTTTGGACAGGAATTCAATATCTTCCCGCTCCACGTCTCGGATGACCAGAATCTTCGCTCTCGCCAAGTAGTCAAGGGACAGGTCCTAAGAGAGGAAGGCGGAAGAAGAAGCGCATGAAAGCGGTATTTCAATGTGCCACAACTTCATGCAGCAACTTGAAACCCCTCACCAAGAACAACCCCACCACTAGAACCACCCTCCGGCGGAGTGAAAGATGCAGAATCAGCAGTGCAATCGAGCTTCATGCCTATTGAAACACCGGTTGCCATAAAAATTCTTCCCGAGTGCGAACGGCCTCATGATACGAGCAAAACGCGCGCACAGTATAGACGGTTTCAATCCCCCAGGCACTGAGTACTGTAGGAGACGTGACGTGCGTTGTGCGTGGGCGTACGTTGACAGCGTCCCTCAGAATGCTCTTCTGGATAAGCAGGCAGTTACAGCCAGTTGCTGCGATTTGCTTCACCATTTTCGCAATCAACAGTCGCTCCTCACGCAGCATGCGGTCCATTTGAGTGTAATCCGTAATGACGATGTTGTTTTCCATGTCGGTTTTGGGCGCAGACAAGCAGAATTGAATAAGGCCTGGCGGGGGAAGACGCATGCGATTACTCACACAGAAGAAAATATACATACACTGACATCGAAGGGCAGAGAAATCGGCGGCTCTCAACTGCGGGTTTGGCTTGGGGAAGCGCCGCCAACAAAAGGGAAGGCCGTTTAGAGGAAGCACAAAACGCACTGGCGTCGACTAGATACATGCACGTACCAATCTTGGCGCCTTGCACTTGGGTGGGACCGTTAGCCCGCTTTGCCACCTTTTGCTGTGCAAGCACAACTCCCTTCACCAACTCGCAGTCTTCCACAGTTCCACCCAACCTCTTAACAATGCGAATGTCTTGCAGGCGAACCTGGGGCCCTGAGCCGGTGTCGTGCCGCATCACCTAAGTGAGCACATACAGCGACACGCAGGAGTAACCGAGAAGTGAGCGAGAAAAAGTGAGACATGCGCTCTCTTCTTCAAGAGATCCACACCCCGCATGAAAGACAACTACCGATACCACTACCCGAGAGGGAGATAAGCTTTGTAACAATCGCTAACAACTGCACAAGCGATAACATGAGTATAGGGAAGTGTGTATACCCACTAATCAACATTAACCGCACTGCTCGCAAAAGCGCAGCTATCAATGCACACTTTTAGACATCACTAGGGACCGAAACGGCAGATTGTCAGTATCAATAGAAAAATGCCTCCGTTCCATTTCCCGCCACCACAGCACATGCAAACAGCTGAGAAGCATCATATATTATTGCGTATCCCGTTCAAGAGCGAAAAAAAAGACTAGGAGGCAACTCAGGGTGCAGGGTGTGTGTGTGTGTGTGTGTGTCTTGCCTCTATCACGGCATCACACGCAATCGGAGCCAACAGCGCTGCGCTCTGAGAAACAACCTTGGACTGAAGAGAGGTGGATGCCGTCTGAATGATGCTCTCCCTATCTGCGAGGTTCACCGGAACTGCCATCGAGCGCAGAATCGGCTCTGCCTGAGCACAACACTTACGCATGCCAAAAGAGACAGCGCTGGAGGCGGGGAGGGGGGAAAGACGCACGCCGCAAGCGTTCCAGGACGCTGTGTCAGTGTTGCAGTGCATATATACATATACATGTATATATATTTCGCATGTATGCTCATGCAGACACGACGCCACCGTTCAACGAAAGCAAGGGTCCATCGAGAGGTGGGAGCTCCCGACTCCTTCCTGACTGCACCTCACCTGCCCAGCAGCATCGACGAATGCAGTGGCAATGGTTTGAGGATGAATGCCCTTGTCGAGCAGCTGCTGTGCGGCGTCAAGGAGTGCTCCGCAGAGAACAACCACCGAGGTTGTGCCATCGCCAGCCTCAACATCTTGAGCTCTCGACAGCTCCACCATCTGCGAGGAGTCGCAAGCAGGAACCCGGGGGGCCAAAGCCTTGAGAGAAAGAGGGAGGGGGAAAGCACAGACTTTGAGAGGCACAAAGAGAGTGAAACGCAGTGGACTGCCAAGCGTTGACACGCCGACGACGGCTTGGCAGCCGAAAGCTGATGGGAGGAGAGGGGGGAGAGGGCGAGTTCAAGCAATGAACGAGAGCACACAACTCCTGCGGGAGAGTCCTCTGACTCAAGGAAAAGAAGGAGAATTACCATTTTGGCAACCGGGTGCATCACTGAAATCTGCTCAAGAATTGTCGCGCCGTCATTCGTAATCAGCACGCCTCCTCGCGCGTCTTGGATCTGTATGTGTGTGTGGGGGGGGGGGGGAAAAAGCTCACAGAGGACGCTGATATAATCTGGAAGCGCCTACAAAAAAGTTGCGCTTAATAAAAGACTGGGGCACTAACGCTGCGAAGGAGTAGCGGTGGAGTGCTCTTGCACCCTCCTGATAAAGGCAACATTGCTGCAGCGGCAAACCAGGCAAGCTAGGGAGCAGAAAACAAGCGCCGACAGCGACTACCAACTGACCATCTTGTCCATTCCACGAGGGCCAAGACTGGTGCGAATGGCGTCGCTGACCGCTGCAGCAAAGCATAGAACACATTTGCGTGCGAACAACTGCCAGGTGGGGGAACGCGGCAAGCGCAGTAGCGCACATCGTCATTTCCGAAGCGTTTGGATAGAAACCTCTGGTGAGGCTTCTGTCGGTTGTGAAGGCCGAGAGGAGAGGGGCTGAAGCACAGTGAGTTAGACATGTATCTCCTAGGATGCAGCTACACCAGAAGCCGCCGTAGCTCTACTGGCCATACATACCTCTTGCAGCGCAGATATTTTGCCTCCGTACATCTTGCTGCTTCTCGTCATGCTGCCAAGACGACTTCTCCTGACTCGCTATGCCACCAGCTCTCGGCGCAGCGGCGCTGGGCCCTACAATACACCCAAAACAAAAAAAACGCGGCCGTTCAACTACACCTGCTAAGGATCTAAGAGCACACTTTATTCACTCATCCAAGGCCGCTGGGGCTTGCCGACACATCTTTTGCAAAGGCCGCGGGGGTGAAATGTGCAAATATATAGTCTGCTGGATGACTGTACACGCAGATCCACGGTCCAAACACGAGATGGGAAGCTAGGCCCCGTTGTGAAGCGACGGCTTGCGAATGCCGACAGATGAGCAAATAGCCGATAGGTGTCAAGAACTTGAGAAATATACCCCCAGATATCGACCAGAGACGTGGTGTTGCCTTCAAGAACACCCGGGTTGGTCGCCCAGGCGCATGCAGAGATGTCGATACACCGTAGCAGCTCAGCCCTGGCTTTGTTCGCGCCTCTGAGCCGCTGGGTATTGCAAGAAAATTCCCTCCATTGCATGGAAGAGAACAATCTTGCTGTCTGTGGGTGCGTATCCTACTCAGCAGCAGGCCTCCTTACTTGGTGCGCTGATGGTAGCCATTGAAAGAAAAGGGGGGAGTCAGCGCTAGCGTCTGCAGGTGCCAAGCGAACCTCAAAGCGGGAAACTGTCCGGTCCGCCGTTTATTTGGGCTTTTACTAAAAGGCAACACGCAGCGGCTGACAGGTTACGCAGAGCACCCTGAGGCAGGGGAGTCCCCACCCCCCCCAGCCCCGAGATGTTTGGCTGCCAATGCTTCTTAGAATTGAGGCGATGGTCCTCTTAAGTCTCATTGTACCATCCGTGGTGTATATCTAATCAAAAGGCGCTGCCAGCAGCCGCAAAGCAATACCAGACAGAGGTGTTGGACTGTCTAGGCGCCGGGAAATAGCGAGTCACCTCAGAAAGCTTAACGGAGTTGCAGGGCCACTCGCTTCCCTACAATCAAGAATGATTCACTCTTAAGTGCAAATGAAATCAAATCTTAGGAAGAGGCGGACACGACATCATTTGTGCATCTGTGTTTTCATGGTCGGTCGTTCGGCGCTCACCCTACGGGTGGTCCGCCCCGTGTAACAAGGGCCGTCAAAGCAAAGTTATACAAGAGCAATGGATGGATTACCAGTTTGACTCTGTCATTGTCAGGAAGTTCCCTTGTGCCGTCTCCTCCAGGCCGCTTCCTGTCCTCCGAAAGTCCATATGTTACATACCATCTATTGTCTCCATAGAATGACTCTTGAACCCAAACCTTGTGAAAATTTTGTTGAAACTTATTGAATGCCCTCCTTAAGATGCTCCCTTTCGCCTTGCGTCTGCCCTTCACGGCTTTGAAGTAAAGGGACAGGGACCGCTAGCGCACTAGCGCCGTTGCTGCGGGGTACTTTATCCTTAGCACTTTCTTTTACACTATTTATATTAACTGGGAATTGAAAAAAAATTGATAACTGGTCTTTCGTTGGTAAATCATGTTTTCTACAGAGTAGAGGTAGCTCGATAAAACAACTGCAAGGCTCCAGTCTGGATCACCCCTCGCAGGGAAGCGTCTGGTTTTTTCCTCAAAACAAGCTGGCTGGCAAGTAATCGAATGTTCCTCAGAAGAGCCTTCTTCTTCCCTAGCCCTCCTCAGAGTTCTTGGCATGAGTAGGAGTGCAGCTGGGGTGCGCGTAGCTCTACCTTCAAAGCACACCAAACATTCACATTTGGCTCGACAGAGCATATATTGCACACGCGCACAAGATTGCATCTTGCTGCATTGAACTAACAGTATTCTGCAATAGATAAAATCTACAAACGGACACATTAAGTAGTCAACTGTATACATATTCCTGAGCCAAATGTAACTACTGTATTGGAAGATGAGTAAGCGTAGTTCAGGGCACTGCATGAAGTGTGTTCCTACCGAGTCCTTAAACGGAGCGTTATAGCCTTAGCCTTGCAGGAATTTCCACACAGGGCCGTACTTTGGGCTACGCAACAGCGTACATACTACGCCTCAGGATCTCTGGGTACCCTGGGAACTTCCAACTGGCTGAGCATTGTGGTGGTCCTTGCCCCGCACGAACATAGGTCTCACAAGCCGCTAGGATTGTTGTTTGTAGCTTATCTATCCCTGATCGCGTTTTCTTCAAAGCTTCTTGAAGTCCATCCGTAGAATTAATTAAAGCTTAGTGCCATTGAACAAAAGCGACAGTTAAGCTTTCTCGGGGAATAGACTACTGGATGTGCTTTCGGTTTAGCTGGTATTGTTCAACGCCAACAGAGGCCCCAGAGTTAATTTGAGGATTAAGACTCATCAGTGCACAATAATGCAGTAGCTGAATGGGAAAGGAAGGTTGTAAAACATAAGTAGCTGCATAGCGTCCTCCAAAGGCGTGACCGGCGCCTTGTATAGCACTACACGCCTGGGAGCCCCCCTTAGATAAGCGCCCTTCATGACTCATCCCAACAAGCAGGTGCTTGTGATGGATAAAGTAGAGACAAGATAGCGTAAATTGGCTTCGCTAAATAATGAAAACAAATGAGTGTGCCCGGCATCCCAGCTCAGTGGGCTGAAGGGAGGGGCAGCCACGGTGTCTCTGGAGCATGACCTGTGGCTTGAAGCGAGAATGCCCCACACATTTCTTTAAAATTGTGAAAACATCAACTAAAAGTAGTGGAGAGCTTAAGAAGTCTCAGCAATGCGGCTGATAACATTTTCAAGGATCATGCAAGAGGTTCATTGACTTGTGGCGCTCACAGGCGAGAGGCTCATATGACAAAAAAATCGTGTACGAGCCGAGCGTTTACGTTTAATTTTAGGCAAAGCTTCACATGGATACTGAAATAGGTGCACCTGTGTGCAGACTTCGGTCCATATTCGAGAATAAGGCTGCGTTTTGATGAGTGAATGATCAATCGTCCAACCGACTGTCTGCAGCCGCCGCTGCCACCCCCGTCATTTGATAGCGCAACTCCCTTCTTTTGCTGGATTGTCTGGCCGCAGCAATCTTATGCAATGAACAATGGAGTTCAACTCGCCTCGGAAGAAAGCGGAGATAGGATGGCCGCCAGTTGATTCGGTGTCGGACCGCATGTTATGGGCCCTTGAGCAGGATTACCTGAGAACTCTTAACGCAGGAGTGATACATCATGGCTCACTTGCAGAAAAAGAACCGCGGCAGCTTCGAGAAGGCCCTGAGATCATTCTCTGCGAGGACTGGCAAGCTGACTCAGAGATTGTGGAATCACCGGCGACCTACCCGTACATTCCCGTTGCCGCAGCTGTAGCCACTGCTGCTCAAGAAGATGGATGGCAGCTGGTTTCTCATCCTGTGTGGGGGGATATTTATGTTAACCCCTTGCACCAGGGAAGTGGACAGCCCTCTCCCTCCGCTTCCACTGGCTCAACAGGGGCGCAGTCTGAGGCTCCCACCCGTTTCGATGACGACTTTACCGACGACCATAGGCATGCGGCACGCATAGGTACTCCCATGAGCAATATTGGCAATTCAGTGGCAGACCTAGGTGTCTTGCGCTGCCCCTGCTCCCCATGGGTAGCTGCAGCTCCCTCAGCTTCAGACGAGGCGTGGACTGCCGACCCCCAAGGCTGGTGCCCCCGTCTGGCTGTGGCTACACCGTCAGATTCCTCAGAGCTTCAAGAAGCACAGCATGCGCAGGAGAGTGGAGCCGAGGGAGCAGACTGTTGCCCACAGGGGCAGGAAGACGACCCTCCAGAGGACGCCTCAGGGGCACAAAAGCAGCAGCAAGAAGTGCAAGAAGGGCCACCTCTAGACGAAGCCTCTGTCGCATTTATTGTTGAGACCATGAAAAACTTGGCACTCCTTGACCTCCGAGGCTACCAAAAGCCCTCCTCAGCGGGAAGCGAGGAGCCTTCTGATTTTGCATCTTCCCACCTGGCCTAGCTTGACGTGACGGCACACTAAGGGCATGCAGGCGTTACAGCAGCCGAAGAGCATGCCCCGCTCTAAACATTCTCTGTGAGGTTGCTCTGAGGCGGCGCGCTACGTGCTGAGCTCATGCCGCACAGACGTGTCTTCCCATGACCTCTACATTTCAAAGCTAGCTACATGCAGTTCCCCCGTGTCTCAGTAGCCAGCCCCAGAGGCTTCTTTGGCCCGAGACGCTTTTTTGCATGCGCCATTCTGTAAGCGTAATGCCAGAAATTCCTGTTGGCGAGGTTTTTGTTCCCTTGTCCGACGGAACGCGTGAGTGAAACCCGCTCGCGCAGAGCAATTCACCTTGCCCGGGGGGCCCCTTCACGGGAAATACGAGAGGGCCCCTTCACGGAAAATACGAGAGGGCCCCTTCACGGAAAATACGAGAGGGCCCCTTCACGGAAATACGAGAGGGCCCCTTCACGAAAAATACGAGAGGGCCCCTTCACGGGAAATACGAGAGGGCCCCTTTAGGAGGCCTCAGGGCCCCACACGTTTGGGTGGAGGCGGCGATCTGTGTTTAGGGGGTAGGAGCTTAGGTCTAGAAGGGCGCTTGCTGGGGTGCCACTTGACAGGACGGGCGCCTTCCTTAGTGGCTTCCCCGTCATCAGCCTTGACAGGGCCTTTTTCCGCAGTCTTCGCAGCTTCCTGGATCTCTCCTGTGGGGGGCTGTAGTGCGCTAGATGCCTTTTTTGCTAAATCCTTCAAGCGGCCGCACAAATCAGTCAGGCGTGCGCTGCAGCACACGTCGGGGGGCACACCGCGCAACGTGCCTGTTGCACACAGACTGTAAAGCCTCCAAGCCTCATGGATCGTGTCAGGCAGTCTCGCATCCTATCTTTGGTGCTTACCGACGCTCCTTCATGCCTTTCAAGGCAGTTTCCTGTTCCTCGAAAAGCCCGTCGATGGCTCGGAGCTCTGCCATTGCCTAAGATAGACACGCTCCCATCACCGCAACAGAAGCAGCGCTGCATAAGCTGCGCCCCACAGTGCTCCCCCAAGGAACCGGAAAGAAGCGTAATGGGGGCACTAGGCCGCTGCGAATGCTCGGATCACGCACTGCTCGAATTTGACCCAGTAGACCAATGTTGACGCTCGAAGCGTCTTCTTCTACAGGCGGGGGGGCGCTGTCCGCAGTAGCGGGAGGCGTTTGGAGAGCTCTGCACGCAAGGCAAGTCAAACGAAGAGGAAGGCAGCTTGCCTTCTGTAGAAAGTCAAAAGAGTCTAGTGTTCCTGCGAACGTTGCTAAAGAGTCTAGTGATCCTGCGAACGTTGCTAAAGAGTCTAGTGATCCTGCGAACGTTGCTAAAGAGTCTAGTGATCCTGCGAACGTCAAGGGATGTGGGCGTGAGAAGCAGGAGCTGGAATGGCGGGGCAAGGCTGCGCCTGCACCTCTCCGTGCAGATGGCTTACTGTGCGCTTTCTGGTGGGGGAGGCGGTTGTGGAGGAAGCTGTTCTACAGGGCTTTCCTTTGCTTGAAGCTTGGGAGGCATGGCTTCAGCAGAGGGCATTCCACTCCCACGAGACCGCTCACCATCATCCCCTGGCTGCTGCTGAGGCTGACTCGGTGCTGCCTCCTCCTCTGGAGGGAGCTTATCACCCTGGCCCTCTGCATCTGGCTGCGGCGCCTCAGATACAGCCTCCGCTGCTTCAGCGGCTTTGGGCTGGCCGTCCGCTGGCAGTTCTGCAGGCTGCGTTTCTGTGGCTTCAGCCTCGGGGGCACTGCCTTTTTCAATCTTTGCTTCTGTGGCTTCGGCGTTCTCAGCACTGCTCGTTTCGGGGGCTTTGGGTTCGGCAGAAATGTCCTGAGGAGGCTCTTTTGGCGATGCTTGTGTGTGCAGCGACTGTTTTGCCTGAATGGCGCTGCTTTGATCGCCTGTAGTGTTCTCATCAGGGGGGATGCTAGGGGGCCCTTTGGGCCCCGAAGCTTTACGTTCTTCATGGCCTTCCTCTTGCGCTTGGCCGTTTGGTGCAGCTGTAGCCTCCTCTGTTGTGGGAGCGATGGCTGTAGCCTCCTCGGTTGGGGGAGCGATGGCTGTAGCCTCCTCTGTTGGGGGAGCGATGGCTGTAGCCTCTTCAGACTCCGCCATGGCACTTGATGGTCCAGACGGCTCCCTCAAACACGAATAATGTGACGAGACACCTCTGAAGAGGCGTAACCCTGCTTGTTTCGCTGAGATGGCTGCGTCGGTGCTTCGCTAGTACTTAGAACAAAACTTCAGGAGCTTGTCTTAGCGAAGGCGAGGCAAGAGTTTCTCGACTTCTCATGAAGCACCGACGCAAATTACAACCACATTTTGCTAATAACATGAATTTTACTCATTTAAGCTAGGCAAGTGGCCCGTCAAAGCCGCAAGCTGATGGGAATGCTAGCCTGGGCAATCGCCGTTGGGGATGAATCGACCGTGATGCGCTTGCACCAGTAAAAGAGGAAAACCGCGAGAAATAAATATGTTTTGCTTCTCTATCAGCCCTATTTTACCCTAAAGTTGTAGTAAAACTGCCGAAATGTGGATTTTCATGGATCCTACAATGTGATTAGCTTTGTCCTGCGGAAAAAGCCAGAACTCCAGTGGTCCCTTGAGGGTTGTTCTCCGACTTCCTTCCACCGTTTGAAACTGCTGCCAACACTGCAATTGTATTTGAGCTAGGTTTGACTACCATTGACTTAAAGTCCCTCATTTTCCCTCGTTCGTAGGCTAGTGGGGTGGTAGCAGCACGACTCCCAACACTAGTACAACTTTGCATGTTACACTACCCGCTTCCAAATAAAAGAAACTGAGCTATCGGAAAGAGAAACAATTATCGGTAGCTTGTGTGCCATAGAGAAGTCGTGGTCAGTTGAGTGGGTGCTGACAATGCGGAGATGCCCACTTTTCCCTAGCGTCAGATGGGGATACAACAATACGCATGACCAAAAAGCATGCATTCTTTTTTCAAAGGGGCAAGTTGTCGCGTCGGAGCTGCTAGGCAAATGCACTTGCCCGCAGATGGAACAGGTTGCGCCGAGGGGTGCTATCATGAGCAGCCGCCCTCTGAGCAATGGTTTACGGACTCAACTTGTTGAACAAAAAGATGCCTTAGGAACCTAAAGAGTTTGATTCACAGCCAGGCTGTAGGCCAGAGCTACTGGGTCCTCCTTGGTGAACCGTTTTAGTGGAAATATTTGGCAGCGTCTCATAAATGACTTGGTGGTTTGTGTGACAACACATATCTGCAAAATCGAAACAGCACCCGACCGCAGTGTCGTTTCAGCCATAAACGTCAGTGCTGCCTGTGAACGAGCCCTATGGCACTGGTCGGGAGTATCGGCCGGTTAAAGCGATTTCAAAGGTAACTGCTGAGTTGAACAGAGGCAAGCACATGAGTTAGCTAGCCGGTGAGCTTTGAGGATTATGCCAGCGCGACTGCAACACACCCGCAGCTATTTTCATGGCCTTCTCGCAGATCTGTTGAGCGGTCAGGTCCGGTATGTCATAGAGCGCTCTGGCTGCAGCTGCACCCCCGTCAAGCACCGCCCGCAGCCTCTCACAATATGCAATATAGACCTTACTTCTGTATCTATTCCGCTTGGCACACATCTGCGCAGCACTCTAAAAGTGCACTTTTATTAGTGAGGTTTCCCTTTCGACTAATCCCTTGCAAAAAAGCAGGACAGAAGGACAGAAAAGGCCCCTGCCCCCACGCTCTTCCCCCCGCCACCTACACTACACAGGGGGGCATCATGAGGAGGAGGTTCATGAGGGGAGGCGGCATCTGTGGATATACAGCTAGTTTTCAGGGTCGTAAGGGGGATCTTGAAAGCTTCGTTTCTTCCTACCTGCCGCATAGGGGCCCCCACTGCCCACAGCCAGAATTCCATCGTGCGACTCTAGAACGTCACCCACGCCGGATACCTCCAGAGAGAGCTGCTCGTCGGCAACAATGAGGACGGCCTGCATGAGAGGGCTGATGCCAGAAGTGCAGCAAAATGAGGTGCCCAGGGGGAGAGGGTCGAGCAACGGGGGTGGGAAGAGAGCAACGCAACGATACCTGTCGGACCACACAGGTGCTCGCTGGCTCAGGGCTTTGCCGCGCTAGAAAGCCTCTCAACGCGAGCTAGATCTAGACTGCCTGCCTGCGCACTTGCGCGTCGCTCACCTCCAAGTGCCTAAGGTAGCGGTCTGTCCGCCATTGTTTCGCCAAGTCTACGCATGATCGCACAAGCTGACCTGAGGTCAAGCAGAACACGACGCGAGCGAGTGGACTGTAGGGAGAAGACAGAGACACCTGACGAAAAATGAGGCGGCACGGCTCATGTTCAAATAGCACCCCACAGGCCCCATACTGCCCCCTCCCGCCCCCCTTCCTCCACCACAAGAACGCAGTGCTCGCGTCTATTTGCCGCCAGCCGCAAATAGAGGTACCAGGGTGCTGCTCCAGCATTTGTTCGAGTTTCTCGAGCAGAGCGAAGCAATCAGCAGTGGCTCCCGCAAACCCCAGAATGACGCCTTGAGGGAGCCTCCTGATCTTCTTTGCGTTCGGCTTAACCACCTGCGCAGGAACCTCATTCTCAGACTGCACACAAACATGCCCTGTGCCAGAAAATTAAGTCTTGCCGCTGCGTCTCAAGGACCAAACACCCCAGAGCAACAGGCACAGCGCCATCGCCGACTTCCCAGCGATGGTGGCAACCATACATGCGGTTCTATTACCAACACACCCAGGCTGCAAGCCACTATCTGCCCCTAGCCCTCTGTCTCTCCCCCTCTCTCTAGGCAACTCATTCGAAGGCTCTCAACGTACGAGGTTTCCTTGAGAGACCTGCCCGTCTCCTGCAAGACACTGCACAAGCAGCAGCAGCAGCACAGAAGAAGGCACCAGCAACGAGACGGCAAAGTGTGGGCAAGCCGCGCAAAGGCAGACGCAAGATACACAGGCATAAAAAAGGGCTTGCTGGCAGCGCACATGAAGCAGCTCGCAAGTGCCTAAATCTTCTAGAGCACAACACCGTCCAGCACTGTCCAGTGCGAATGCAGCAACAGTACACGAGCCAGGCATCGAGTAGCTCCCGCAGCCTTCCTTTCCATGAGGCGTACCAATACAGCCACAACCAAGGCAGAAAATCGCCGTGCATACAGCAGGACGCGAGCGAAGGAACGACGCCAAAAAGAAAACCGGTCGAAACGCAGTAGCAGGGCCACCCCTGCCGCCTAGTATAGGGTATATCTAGAATTAGAGGATGGTAATATGTATCTAGAAGTATAGTATGGTGTAGGCAGAATTAGAGGATGGAAACATATATCTAGAAGTATAGTATGGTATATCTAGAATTAGAGGATGGTAATATGTTTCTAGAAGTATAGTATGGTACAGGCAGAATTAGAGGATGGTAATATATTTCTAGAAGTATAGTATGGTATATCTAGAATTAGAGTAGGTAATATATATCTAGAAGTATAGTATGGTATATCTAAAATTAGAGTATGGTAATATGTTTCTAGAAGTATAGTATGGTACAGGCAGAATTAGAGGATGGTAATGTATATCTAGAAGTATAGTATGGTATATCTAGAATTAAGTGCTTACGACTGTATCGCCCTTTCGGACGCAAAGGATTGTTGTTCCGTGGCGTGGCTGCAAGAAGTGGGGCCTCATCTCTCCCGTGGATGCAGAGACTTGCCCATGCGGTGGCGCTCCATAGACAAGCGATCTCGTGTGCTTTATCGTGGAAGGAGACGGCCTTCTTGAGAAGCGCATATTCGGAGGCACGAGTTCGACACCGAACGCTGCTTTTCGCTGAGGCATCATCAGGAGCCCGCTGCTAAAAGGGGCAGCGCAGGAGACAAGCGTTCGCGGCTGAAGAGGGAAGAGCGCCAGCAGTTGCTTCAGGTGCAGCCTGAGGGGCCTCATGGGGGGGAGCATGGCGTGGCTCGATGCAGCAGAGGGCAGTGGCACTGTGTGGAAAGCCCTCATGAGGTGTCTGTACTGCGTCATGAGTCGGCGAGGCGACGCGAGGCAAGGCAAGCGGCACTTTGATATTTCTACGAAATCAAGCTGACTATTATAGGTTCGTTTGCGTGCGTGTATAGGTGCAAGTGCATGTGTACGGATAAGGCGTGGCAACACGACCGATAGAGCCGGCTAGAGCAGCCTCTGCAGAGCCGCTTTGTGCGTCTTCTTTCTCTCTGAGGTGGGGACTATTTCCAGGAAGATTGCGCGCGGCTGCCTGAGTGTTTGGCAGGGGCCTTGCTGGTGTCTTGTCTGCCCTTCTCCGTTGGCGCTCGCTGGCGCGACACCCCTATACTCTGTGGAGGTAGTAGCTGTTGCACGCCTTGCGCCCCTTGACCAGGAGGCCCTTTTGCCCTCTGCCGCGGCGGCTGGAGAGGCCTTTACCACCCCTCCCCAGACGCGCGTTTCAGAAGTAGTGCCTTAAAAGCGCTTCGCTAGACGAGAAACACGAACGCATGCGAAGCAGGCAGCACGCCTACCTTCGCGCGCTCCTTTGCCGAGCCCTGTTCACGGAAAGGGGGGCCGGCGTGGCCACGAATGCCCTTAACGAGCTGAGCACGCAGTAAGCAAGCGGGGAGCGATGTACAGAAGAACGCGTTGACTCGCAGGGTGGGTGCTTGCCCGCTTAATGAACCCCAAAATGCGTCTCAAACGATGCAACAGACAGCACTAAAAAAGGTCTTGTGTGTGGAAGACGACACACATCGCAGTCGAAACAGCCAGAGGGATGCCGCCTCCACGAGCCGAAGTGACTTCGACGCTGATCATCCGTCTCCTCCCCTTGCGAGGCGTGCTTTGGCATGCTGCATGCAATGCTCCGCCCTTCAGATTGTGTTCTCCTTATGATTTTTAAGGGGTGAGAAGGCCGTGCTTTCCCTTTGATCAGCCCTTGGACGAAGCGCTTTCGGTGTATCGACAGCTCAGAGGGTGGGCCCCCGGACCATGACCCTGAGGTGTCTTTGCACCTTCCCCTCCTCCGTGGTACTGTTTTTTCTCGTGAGTCTTTCTTCCTTCCTCCCTCTTGCAAGTGCCTCCTTGCTGAAGAGCACTCTGGGAGGCTTTAACGCGCGGGGGCAAGGGGGTGGCCCCCCTTGGCACCTGGTAGCACAACGGAGTTTCGCCTTCCACAGGCGTTCAGATCTCCCCATTAACGCGCCACGCAGGCGCATGCGTGCCGCTTGGCTTCGTCTGTGGACTTCTAGCGGCTCCAGAGGCGGCACAAGGAAGGGTGCAGACGCAAAGGAGAGAAAGCAAGCGTTGCCTCACCTCCTGGCCTTCATAGGCAAGGGCTGCCCTTACTGCGAGGTACGCCGTCATTTTCACCCTCTTTCTCGCCTCCTTCTCGCGCTCTTCTCCCCACACAACCCTCACTAGGCCTGCTTCTACACGTGACGCTGCTGCCACTGTGCCTGCCTGCCCCTGTGCCTGCCTTAATACCACAGCGGATGGAACGGCCTCTCCGCCTTGTGGAGGAACAAACGGGCGAGCGAATTCTAAGGCTCGAAGTCTGGCACAACCAGCTCAACTACGAGGTAAGCAAAAACAACCACCTTCTCAGCACCCCCTTTTCCCACCCCCAAAAAACGAATCCCCCCAAGGTACTCACGGTGCGCCTATGCAGCAGCTCCCCCTAGGCCACTCGTACACGCCTTTACTCAGCCCCTATTCGTCTTCTAAATTCTGACGGATTCTTCGATAGCGCTCTTTGTTTCATGCGGTGTCAGTCAACACACACACACATACATCACACACATATAACACACACACATAACACACACATATATACACACACACTGGTGCGTTGTAGAGCCTTTCCACCTGAAGCGTAATGACAGCCAGCTGGGCTGTAGCCTGTGTTCTTGGACCGTGTCATCGCTGCTGCTGCTGCCTCAATTCTTGCTTGCCGCCTTCCCGTCTTCTGCGCGCTGCCTACGGTGTACATGCTACTTCCTTTTATTCTGCCTCATCCTCTGTGGTCCTCTCGAGGCTTCCATCTGCCGCATGCATGGTTACCTTCGCGGCTGCCCCCACTCACGGCTGCTGCGTAGAACGAACTGTGCGGACCGCTCTCGGAAGCATCGCGCAAAAAGGTCTCCAGAGTTCGCTGACTCATACTCACCGTCAACCTTTCCGCGGGATGCATCGTGTGCCTTCGGCTGCATCTATCTTCTCGCTCTTGATCAGCCTGCAGTCTGCTGCTCTCTGGCTGTCTTCAGCTGCTGCAGCGTCTCGATCGTGGGCGTTGTGGAGGACTCCCTTTCTTCGTAAATCTCCGCTCAAACGCCTTCATCTGCGGAGCTACTTCGCAAAGGAACCTCTTGCGGTGGGCAGCCAGCCTTCCGTGCAAGTAAGCCCTCAGAGAGCGATGCTACCAGGAACGCTTCAAAATTGCATGCCTCGCTGCTGCGGCAACAAGGCACTAAAGAGTCCTCCTGATTCTTCTCGGTGCTCCAGGAGCTCCCTGCTGCTCCTGCTGCCTCCCGCTTTCGTGGGTTTGACTGTATATACGTATGCATGTGGTGTATGTATGTAGTGTATGTATGTAGTGTATGTATGTAGTGTATGTATGTATTGTATGGATGTAGTGTATGTATGTAGTGTATGTATGTATGAAGTGTATGTATGTATGTAGTGTATGTATTGTATGTATGTATGTAGTGTAGTGTATGTATGTAGTGTATATATATATATATATATATATATATATATATATATATATATATATATATATATATATTCTCTCCCCGTCTGTGCATTCTCCCCCCACTTTGTCTCAGCCCCCACGAGGCACCCCCACCGTCTGCTGAGGAAATTGAAACTGCCAGCCGCACAACAGTAAGACCCTCGATGGAGTTTCTGATTTGTATGGCCTGAGATGGAGGGAGAGGTGTGTGTGGAGGGAAGCTTTGCGTTTTCTTGTGGTGTGCTGCCCTCACCCTTTCCTCTGCCGCTGCACACGAACTCGCAGCCGTCTATCCGCCCCACGCTGCCGCTCGCTGCCTCACTTCTACCCATTTCTGTTGCATCTATCACCTGCACATCCTCGGCTACGTACTCTCTTGGCACAACATCTTTCCAGCAGCCCTCATTGCCACCGATGGAAAGGAGACTCGCTGCTGCGCGTGATTGCGCAGGGACCTGTTGCACGGCTGTTTAGGCGGATCGAGCGACTGAGGAGGGAAAGCCAAGAAAGGGTGGCAAAACAGTTTAGAAAAGAGTTGCGGCATGTCCTTAGAGACGCAGACACAACCCCTTCCTAGGCACAACAGCTACCATGAAACAGAGCCGCAAGGAAGGCTTTCAAGGGAGCGTGGCTCCAAGGGCGAAGCTGTACAGACAGCCGAAGCGCCCGCTGTATTCGTGTCACTTAGACGCGATATCTGTTCTTGTCGCTTAACCTGGAAGGCTAAAGATATCTCGCGGCTTGTTGTTTGGCCGTTTTGACGGGGTGCCTACCTTTCAGCTCGCCTCCCTGCGACACGCACTCCGGAGGCAAACCCTCTTAGCGCAGGGGTAGAAGGTAACAGAGGCACTGGCGAAGCAGCGCAGCGCAGTTCGGCTAGCTAGCTAGCTATACAGTAGCTACCTAGGGAACTCCTGGCTTTTTCAGCGCCCTACAGCGACTGCGTATGGGATAAACCCTTAAACGCAATCCACTTAGGGTATGACGTGAACGTGCAGCGCTGTCGAAATACGCTGGAGTCGAGAAGAAGGCATCGTTACGGAGCACGCTGCATGGGGGCAGGGACGAATGGCGCTTTCTGTCGGCTTTTTCTTCTGGGAACTCGTGCACCTCTTGCTTGCCCTTGCTAGGAGGTTGACTGTGGGTATTGCTTCCAAAGGTTGCCACTGCCCTGAACTGAGGCTTGCATCTGTGTACCTGTGTGTGTGAGCATGTCTGTGTGTGTGTGCCTATGGGAATGCGAATGTGAACATGGGTATGTGAATGTATGTGTATGTGAATGTATGTAAAAGTGTGCACGTGTGCATGCGTGCATGGATGGATAAGTGAACGTACGGCTGTGCGAAGGTACGTGTGTATCTACATGCGCATATGTATGTGTAAGTATGTATGCATGTGCATACGTGTGCAGAAATAGGTGTGTGTGTCTGTATATATGTACTATGTGTGGTAGTTGCGTGCGTCCTGTATGCCGCGCAAGCTAAGATTGTGCGACGCATGACTCCAAAGGAGAGCGTTTAGACCATTTTTCTCGCTTTGCTGTGTCCTCACAGCTAGCCCGGCGAAGGGTGTGTGTGTATGTGTGGCTCTCTCTCTCTGTGTCTGTCTCTGTCTGTCTGTCTGTCTGTCTCTGTCTGTCTGTCTGTCTGTCTGTCTGTCTGTCTGTCTGTCTGTCTGTCTGTCTGTCTGTGTGCCTTGAACGGCGTTTCGGGAGGGTGCTCCTGCGGTGTCTCGAGCGGCGAAGATATCCAGCGCGCTGCGGCAGTCGCAGCGGCCTTGCCTAGAGGGTGGCGTTTGGACGGAAGCGCTCTTCCCTGATTCGTAGGAGCGCCTTGCAGCGCCTTTTGAGGGGCTTGTCTTTGGAACCAATTGGCAGAGAGTTCAGACACCGAAGAGAGAGAGCTGCGTTGACTTCAGCGGGGAGTCGGGGGCAGGGGGGGAGCCGCTTTTGCCCCACGGAGGCACTTGTGGCAGTCTGAAGGCCTCCTCTCTCAGAAGACAGGCGCTTGACGGCGCTGTGTGTCGAGCGAGCAAAGAATGCAAGGGAAGAGGGTGGAGGACGCCGCGGAAAACAGCAGCAGCGGCGGTGTAAATGCGAATATATTAGGGGGAATATAGGACAGACACACACCCGACCGCGCGCAGCGCCTTTCGTCCGTGCGCGCGAGAGAGAGAGCACCAGCGTGGCTGCAGCAGCAGCAGCCGCTGCTGCTGCAGCCACGCTGCTGCTGGCGTGGTGAGCGAGTGCCGACAGCGGTCTCTTTCAACGCCTCAGCACTTCTTCTCGGCACTGAAATGCTCTAGATCTTCCCAGCGTTTACTCAAGCTGCGCGCTGCTCCGAGTATTTCGGCACGATGACTCCCGCTGCCTGAAGGGCTCATGCCGCGTGCTTCCCCCGAGCGAAGAAGACGCGGAGAGCGGCCGCCCTTGCAGCCGTTGGCTGCTGCTGACAGCTGCTGAACAAACTCTCAAGACGCCTCAGAAATATACACAAAAGACACAGCCAGCGGCAGAGGCACATCCGAAGACACTGCGAGACAGCCACCGGCCTCTGCGGCAGATGTATATACAGCAGCAGACGCCACTCTTCGCAGGATACAGCCCCACGCGCGGCTGCTTCTTTCTGCACGCCTCTCTCGCTGGAGATTAATATTCCACGCGCCGTTTTTCGAGGGCACTAAGCCTTTGTTGCGCTCTCAGAGAAACACTTCGAGCTCCACCCGTCTCCTCGCGCGCAGCACGTCTGCCGTCAGCACATCGGACCTCGTGGGGTTTCCACGGATTGCGCAAACCTTTTGGAGGCTCTCGTGCCACTGCGTTCTCCTTTTAAAGCCAAAGGGTGAGCGCGGTGCGGACGAAGGGCAGGAGAGAGAGGCGGGGGAGACGAGGGAAGGAGCGGGCAACTCCTCTCGGGGCGGCAGCGGCACCTTCGCTGTGTCTGTGTGTGTCTCTCTTTCGCGAGCACCACTCAGAACCGACGACCAGGCAGGGAAAGGCAGATTCCCACCTGCCACCTTTTCCTGCTGCCAACTCTCTTGCTCCTTTCGCGCGCTCAAATTTACTCCGTCCAGCCGACCCTCTCAGCCGCTGAAACTCGGCGCTGGGGTGTATCCCCAGCAGGGCAATTCGCTTTTCTGCATCCAGCCGCCACAGCGTCTCTTCCCGCGCTTTTCCGCAGCAGCGCCGGAACCGATTGGCTAGCCACCTGGCTAGCCGCCTCGCTGGCTGGGGAGAAACGAAAACGCTCGCCAAGGCGCGTTGCAGCGAACCGCCCAGCACCACGCGTTGTACCCACGACCGTCCTCCAGACAGAAACGTGCTGAGAAGGCTTCCGCCTCTCCAAAGACTTCCTTTTCTTCCCCTCTTCCCGCATTCCATCCCCACTCCCGCTCTCTCAGCCGTGCTCGCCAGACACTCGACGGCGCGTGAAGAAGGAGGGGTCAGTGAACAAGACCTCTTACTCACCAGCTCCATGCCTCTGCGCCTCTCCCCCAGCGTCGTGCTTTCCTCAGTCGTCTCCTAACTTCTTCCGAATATGAACGAAGTGGAAGACGTTCAACCCGGCCATATTTACCAGCCTGGGAACAAGAAGGTTCGCTGTCTATCCAAACCAACCGCGTGTTGCCGCGCACAAAAAAACAGCCAGCTAGATCCCCCTTCCACGGCTTCTCCTTCTCCCCTTCAGCCTCCCCCTCAAAGAGCCTTCTCGCGCTTGTCTGCATGCACTCCTCCTGGCTCTCCCTCCATCTCTCCGCGCCGTCTGCCTGATCGCTTTTCTCCGCGTGTTTCTTTTTTTTTCGCCTCAGGAAGTTCGCCTGGTGTATCGCATTCTCTCAGGACCTTATTGTGGGCGCCATCAAAAGTCTTTCTCTTTAACCGTAGGCAAACAACCTCGCCGCGCGATTTGCTCCTCAAAAAAGAAACACACACACAGCCTTTGATATAGAGATATAAAGAGTAAAAGCCTCTCCTCCTCCCAATATCTCCAACGGCTTCTCCCTCTTTTCCTTCTCTCTCTTTTCCTTCTCCCTTTTTTCCTTCTCCCGTTTTTCCTTCTCCCTTTTTTCCTTCTCCCTTTTTTTCCTTCTCCCTGTTTCCCTCTCCCTCTTTTCCTTCTCCCTTTTTTTCCTTCTCCCTTTCTTTCCTTCCCCCTTTTTTCCTTCTCTCTCTTTTCCTTCTCCCGTTTTTCCTTCTCCCTTTGTTTCTTCTCTCTCTTTTCCTTCTCCCTCTTTTCCTTCTCTCTCTTTTCCTTCTCCCTCTTTTCCTCTCCTTTGTCTTTTCTGTCCGTCCCTTTCTCTTCTTCCTCGTCCCCCCCGCGTTCTCTCGGCTGCATGCGTTTTCTGCGGCGATTCTTCGCGTCAGCTTCGCATCCCCTTCTTGCCTGTTCGAAAGCTTCAATGCGCGAATAGACTGCGCCCACTCTCTGTCGCGCTTTGCATGCGTGTCGCAGAAATGGGGTCTAACAGGGGCATGGGAAGCCGCTCGCGAGGCGAAAGCCTTCATGCAAGACACGGGGAGACTTCCCCCCTTCTTCGCTTCGCCGTATTCGCGAAGTCGCCTCACGAATGCTTCCGCGAATGGCCTTTCCAAGGGTTTCCTCGCCACAGAAGCGACCAATACTGGCAGTTCTGATTCGGAGGAGATTTCTGGATCCGCGCTTTCGGGGGTGGCTGCAGCAGCTCCCGTGGCTGCTGCCTGCTCCCCCGCTGTCGTCGCGCCTTCCTGCCGCTCTGGCGGCACGAAAAGATGCGGCAAGAAGGCGAGCACCACCGCCGTCTCCCTCGCGGAGAAGTCTTCCGAGCCTCCCCGCTGCGCCTCGAGTGGAGCAGTCGACGCTGCAGGCGCGTCTCCGGAAACCAGCGGCAGCAGCAGTGCAGCATCCGCCATCGAGGCGCTCCTGTACTGCAGCAGCGCCAGCAGCAAGAAGGGCAGTGGCAGGGAAGCTGCCTTTCAGCGAGCGCTCTTCCGCGAGAAGGAGACGCAGGTTGACGGCGTCGCCGCCTCTCTACAGCTACTGGCGATGGGTTGCTACTCCCAGCAGCAGCAGACGAACCCTGCAGCAGCAGCAGCAGCAGCAGCTGCTGCTGCTGCTGCTCTGAATTCCACCACACGACCCCAGATGGCTCTCGATCTGGCAGCGCTCAGTCTCCTGTCCGCTCGCTCAGAGTTGCAGACGCAGCAGGACGGCACAGCGAAGAGCACGGGCTTGCTGCTGCAGCACCTGGCAGCTCTAGATCCTTCGGCGGCGCTGCTGAAGCTGCTGTCTGGCGAAGGAAGCAGCGCGGCGACGGCAGCAGCAGCCGCAGGCGCAGTCGCGGCGACAGCGGCTTCCCAAGCCGATCAGCAGGCACAGCCGTTGTCTCTCACTGCCTTCTTGAGCAGCGCGGAGCAGCACGACGGCTCGCAGGCAAGGGCGGGAGGTGGACCGTCTCCTGCTGCTCCCTATCATCACCTCGTTCATAGCCAGTCTCCGGATACTGCAGCCTCGCCTTTGTGTTCCCTGGAGACGGGAACGTTGGATCTGAAGGTTCTCGGAATGGATCTCAACACCGAGAGCACCAGCCCTCCAGGGAGGCTCGTCGTTGAAGCTCCGTCGAAGGGGGCAGTGTCGAGCCACATGTTGCCGAAGCAACCCGCCTTTCTCTCGGAGCTGTTGGAAACAACCGACCAGCAGCAGCAGCTGCAGCAGCAGCTGCAGCAGCAACTGCAGCAGGCTCTACTGCAGTTGCCGCCTCAGGAGGACATGTTGAACGCGCTGCAGTCGCTGGCGAGTCTCCTAGAGAGCGGCAGCAAGGAGCAGGGAGAAGAGAAGCTTCTCGCAAATCAAGGCGCCGATCTGCTGACGCTGCTGCAAGCGGTTACAGAGCAAGGGGAGCCGCAGAACCAAGCCTTGGCCGTGCTGCAGCAACTGCAGCAGTTGCAGCAGCAGCAGCAGCAGCAGCAGCAGCAGCAGCAGGAGGAGCCGCCGCTGGCGCCTTGGCTGGAGGGTTCTGCCTCAGCGACACAGTACAGCGGAACGCTAACGATCAGCAGACGACAGCAGCGCAGTGAAGAAGTTCACGCATCGGAGAAAGACAGGCCGTTTGCTGCTGCCTCCCTGCTGCGTTTTTTGAATGGCCAGCAGGGTGTGGATGCTCCTGCTGCTGCTGTTGCTGCTGCAGCAGGAGCTGCTTCTGCCGCTCAGTCCCTTGTCTTTGCCGGAGGCTTCGAGACTTCGAGAGAACATGCAGTGCTAGGCAGCGAGAAGCATGACGCATGCAGCGGCGTCGCCTTCCGAGAAGACCCCAAGGCGGATGCCACGACACGCAGTGCGAGCACTTCCTCCTGTGGCAGCTTTCACTCGCGTCTTGCTGCTACAACGGCGACTGCTGCTGTGGGGAAGGCTGCCCATCGCTCGCCCGTAGAGACACCCGAGGGAGTCGCCGAAGCTCCTGAGGCTCTTCCCGACAGCAGCTCCTCCTGCCAGCAGCAGCAAAAACGCACAAAATTAGAGGCTTCATCGGTTGCAGCGGCGTCTTCCGTCACGGAAGCTGCGTCTGCATCCTCCAGTGCGCGAGCGCTGCCTGCTGCAGCAACAGCTGCAGCAACAGCTGCAGCAAGGGAGAAAGCCTTCGACGAGGCGGCCTCTCCTCCTCCCACAGAGAGGACCCCTGGGAACGTTGGATCCTGCGAGTTCGATGCTCTACCAATTCCTTGCATTCCCCTTTGCTGAGAGGGCGCTGGGCAGCAGCAGGCAGCCTTCGACCCGACAGCCGTCGCCTCCTTCATCTGCTTTCTCTCTTTACAGTCGCTCCCCGTGAAGGGATTCTGGTAGCGGGCTTCTGTTGAATGCGTGTCTCGCCAAGCAGTCATAGGATTCTTGCTCTCTGCGGACTTGTTCAGCAGGGCTAAGAACTTTGTTTTCCTCTTTCTTTCCCAACTGGGAGAGCCGCGGCTACCTAGCTACCCCGTAGGCGGCTCAGTCTTTTGTTTTGGAAGAAAATCTTTTGATGAATTTTGTTGCCTTTGCGTCCCCCTCTTTTTACCAGTGCAGTGGAACGTAGCAGCCGTCTTCCCGTGGCAGCGGGCTGCCTCCTGGTCTGTCTTCTGCCGCATGCGAAAGGCATCCGTTGCACACCAGCAGCAGACAGACGTTAAAAGCTGTCTGCTGTCACGGCTCGTAGAGAACAAGGCATGTAGTGTAGAAACTCGAGGTGCAGCAATCAGGGCTTTCTTCGGGATCACGCCGTGGTCGGTAGCTACTTGAAAAAAATTTTTTTGATATCAGTGAGGCTGCGTTTGCGCCTGTTGTCGTTGTTCGTGCACCCTAAATTTCAAACACTCGGACCCTTCTAGGGTTCCGAAACGATCAGGTTGCGCAGAGATGCCGAGAAATTCCTCTTGTCTATGCTCTTCTCAGCGACATCGAAGGTAAATGTCAATTGTATAAACGTGAGGGGGAAGCAACTGGAGCCTTCTTGGCCCCCTATGAATGCACGGGCACTCGCGTGCGTCTTGCATTGCAACCCTAATAGGTGGCTGTTTACAGTGCGCAAAAGAATCTGCACTCGGCAGCTGGTATCGCCGAGATTTTGTTCTCGCTCTCCTCTCATGCCATTTTGCCTCGCAAGCCAGTGCGAGGAGAGAGAATTATGAGCTAAATCCTATTCAATTCAACTTTGCTTTTCCTGAGGAACTGAAAGCTATTTTGCTTAAGCCTCCGCCAACACAGTTCAACTACGTAAACACATCTTTTCCTCACGGCGTAGCCCCTTTTGCAGGAGCGTACCGCTCAGTTTCATGTACCTTTCGCAAACAGCAGCACGTTTCTCCTTCAACCGGTGGAAGTGAGCAACTGCATCGCTAGAGTGCGATGCCCTCAAGCAAGGCAGCGAATACGGCGTGTCCTTGGTATTATTGCAGCACTTATTTCTAGCACCACAGTGACTGGCGGAGAGGCGGTAAAACGAAGGGAGGCTTCAGATGGCGTCATGCCGAGGAGTGCAAACTCAAGCACACCCTATTCAACACTGAGACAACACCCCCATAAAGGTGTTGCTGTAACACGGAGAGTAAAGTCAATTATTCGGCCTACAACTAGTGCAAAAAGCAACCAACGGCAGTTCTAGTAAACAGAGAAATGAAGTGTTCCTCCTCATTTAAGTATAAAGCGTCAGGTTTTTCCAAAGATGCTAGAAGGCGTAATGAAGCTGTCGATTCAGCCCAGGGCCCTGGTCTGCAGCGCATGTGGCCACTTGCCGTTTTGCCACACCACTTATCCTTTCATTTGCATGCTTCGGCATGCTCCTTCATCGCACTAGTGTGTATTTATTCCTATTTCCATGAAATGTAGTTATGTGTGCGCTGTCATTGGGTCGTTCCGTTATATTTCCACTTGTCGAATGCCATCCTTGTTGACGATCTTTACCACGAAATCTGTCTGAGACACTAGAAATCGGTTCGCCAGTTCGTGCTTGCATTTCCTAAGGATTTCCAAAGCTTCCTCCTCTGTCAGATCCTCCTTGTACCACCGATCTAGTAGACCCTCAACAAAATAGGCAGCATATCCATGGGCGCCCTTCCTCACTGGCACTGCACTGGCCAGGTAGTCAATCCAATACAAGGAGGCCCCACCCTACATCCAAATCACATGAATAAAGCCACAACACGTGGTGAGGCACACAATCGCAAAGAGGATCCAATGCAAAAAAGACGGGAAGGGGCGTGTGCCTTGACTTCCTAAAGAGATACACGCATTGCTCCATGCTCTGCTAGCGTTCAAGCTTATGAATACCGAAAATTAGTTGTCTATATTAATAATGGCGCAGTAGGTACGCGAAGAAATGCAGAGCACCCGGGCATAGTCTCGCTGCTATGATACAAATAGGTCGGGCCGAGCCGAGCCTACGAATTGCTACCGCCCGTCATGAAATTAATCAGACTTCTTAAGTGCGCGTGTGCTATGAGGAATATAAATGCGTCCCCCTTTCCAACGTGCAGCCTAAAATACATGGATTTTGCAACCACAGCTGTTGTGTTGGTGCAGGGTCGTCCCTCCATGGGTAAGGGCCGAATGAAGACTAACAAAGACGGCGGTGCAGCTCCTCCTACTAAAAAATACTGATCTACTGCACTGGTAGAGAGTGCATACTGGAGTGCTACTTTGATATTTTTTACTTGTACGCCTAGCAGTATTCCGCTGTCGGCGGTTCAAGTAGCAGCCACCCACCTCATCGCAGCCTGCCACCATAAGGTTGACCTGATAAGGGCTTCGCCTGAGGAAGTGCGCCAGCTGCTGCCGAGCAAACTGCGCTGCGGCTGTCGTAGATAGCTTGATGCTGGATCTGTAAATCACAGACGATGTCGTGCAAAGCAGAAGTGCAGAAATGCACGGCACGCTGACGAGTGGGTATGATGCAGCGGTCAGCGACGCTTTCTTTGAAAAGAGTGCAGCCGCCCTAAGCGAATGGCCAGTGCTAAAGCGAATTTCGGAAGGGTCGGTTGCATTGAAAGCGAGGGGATCCCGGCAGTTCAAATAGACTGCTACCTATGGGATGCAGACAATGCCTGAGGTGAGGTGTCTGTACACCCGGTAGGGAAAAGCCGCCGGAAGAATTCAAAAGGAAGCCCATTTTCACGGACCTGAGTCTGTAGAGATGCACGTTTTTGCGGATGTACTCCCCGAATTGCACTCGGTCGCCGACTTCCCCAGACAGAGCCAGGAGTTTGTCGTCGTCAACAACCAGCAGCTTATCTTCATCTTTCTTCATGCGCACAATGGAGCTGTTCGCATACTTGTCCGCTGCCACCACCGCGAAATCCTTGCCCCGTAGGCCGATCAACGTGTCCATCTTGATGCAAGGAGGGGGAGCTGGGAAGCGGTCGCGACAGGAGAGAACGTGAGAGTGAGAAGAGGGCACCGGCGGCTTGGGCGGGGAAAAGTGCCGCTCTGAGGACGGAGGCAGAGCGAACACCTACACTGAAAAGAATCACGGAAAGGGGAACCCCCTATGTAGCTGCCGTTGATACAGGGGGCTGATGAGGGAGAAGGAGAGAGCTGGACGTCCGAGAAACACTGGTCGAATTCCAGCGTGGCACCTTAACAAATGCACACACAGCTTGGGAGTAATACACTGGAGAAGATAACCTGCTGCTTATTTCCTCAGTTTCTTCGCGTCCCTCTTCAGACGCGCAGACAAGCACACAGGACTGCGAGCACTGGCGCTAGGAAGTGTGGCTGCCACGGGTGCCGCATGAGCTAAAAACGCAGAATTCGGGGCACTTAACAAAACATTGTGAAATTCGAATATATTTAGAGCCGCAAACACCCAGGAAAGGCTGACAGTGTGCCCTGTCCTGCCGCTGACGACCCCCTGTGCATGCGCTGCAGTTGCCAGACAGCTACTCCCCTAGTGAGGCATCTACTGGACGCCCTTCTTTCCTAACATAAAATATAACGTTCACTATCTAAGCACCCGACAGCGAAAGCTTGCCTCCGCCTAACCCGAATACTGGACACCCCAAGAGTGTGTCTGCGTACTCACTAGGGGGGTGTTACCGTGGTCAAACTTACAGTTAGAGCCAATCTGCGCAACGCGCTATTTCCGTATCCCTAAGGCTCTCAGAGAGCCCCTAAATAAAGTGTGTTGAGAAGCCAGAGGGCCCCGGCAAGCGGACTGTAGCGAAGCGCAGCATTGCATTTTTTTTAGTGGTATCAAGTAGCTGCGTACGATTGATCTAGACGCTTTTTAAACCATCCATATGGCTGGTTAGATGGCCACTTGCTTCGTGGAGGCACACACAGTTTGCAGGGAATATGAGAGCAGAAGTTCGGCTCATCGCTACAAGCTACAGGGCTAAGGGGGAGCAGACCGAGTCGCTGGCAAGCGATGTTCGAGCTCTTGGACCGTCTCTGGAGTTTGGACAAAAATCACGATGGCTAGATTTAGTCTCAGCCTCTAACTGCAGCTTGCCATAAGTCTGTGCAAGTAGGGATACCAAACACTCATACAGGTGCTTTCCCATGGAGCAATAGTGGGGCCGCAGTCAACGCGTCCATTTGGGTAGTCCGTAGAGCAGTAGTAGACTAAGCGTGGTGCAGCGTCGTCACCGCATCCTCCGTGGCATCCATTTAGATCACCCCACCAGCGTCGAAAGCCTCTTTATGCGGGCGCCCTCTGATCATGAGAAAAGGCACAGGGCCGCCTGATCACGCCTTCAGAAGCTACCTTGAGAAAACCCTCCGTGGGAAGGACTTGTGGAAAATGGAACTGTGGAACTGGCGTAAAACCAGCAATTAGTTGCCACATCCTCAGAATTTCCTCAACCCTACCTAGGCCGTCCGCAGCCGGAGTCACCGCTTCCTGAGAGCAAGAACAGTACACTGGTAGTTCAAGCCGCGCAACGTCGGAAGTTCGAGGATCAAGAGCGACTTCAGCGGCTTACGGCTCCCCAGGTACTGCGTTTAAAGAGGCTCTAGGCTATTGGCTCATCGGTCAATACTAGCATCATGTTCTTGGCATCTGGTGAACTATTTTCTACGGCATAGGCCTCCGTGTCGGCTTCCACGGGGGTGATATTTGCAGGGCACGGCTACAAGTGCAAAGCTTCGTGATGTGATGGCTTTGATGACTACTTCCGGCTCTCCTGGAAAGAGGTACAAGGGTCTTTTTTGCCATCTTCCCACTGTAACTCTCTGTGAGCGAAGTTGAGGTCTATGGAATTATGCTCGCAAAATGCAACCTGCAGCAGAAGGAGGGCGACAGCATTCAGGGGGGGCGGACAGCCGCCGTTGAAGGTTCTGCACGGTAAAGAAGTCTGCAGTGTCTGTTTTTCGACGTATATCTGGGCAATCGCTGTAGAGCTTGCAAATTAGCACAGAGACGGCGGTACGACAAGGGGCTGACGCGTGAAGGTGGTGTAGCTAGGGCAGGAAACACGCACGACCGACGGAGCCGCGTTGAAAAGGATAAAGGGCTGAAGGGGACCATCTGACGTGGAGGTGTGGCAGGAATACAACAGGCGAAAAGCCTAGTACAGAGTGTGAGGCCTTACATCGATGGGCAAGACAAAGGCAAGAAAATGCGCTTCAATAGATGCTCATACAGACACCTGGCTAAAGGAAGGGCTTCTCAGGAAATTGCCCCCTGCGCGAAGACGCTTGGGGCATCTCGGGTGAGTGCTACAGTAATTATTGCTTTTAAGGATTACCCCTCCGATCCTCTGATGATGTTGCCGCCCATGGAAGCTCCCTTTATCTGCAACCTGGATCCGAGTGCAGCTGTGTGCACTTGCACTTTCCTTCTCTCGCCCGACGAGTCGTGTATTTGAAATCTTTTTAATGCAACTCGGGTCGCTGGGTATGAAAGCGTGTGTACCGGAGGTAGTGCTGATGCCTCTGCAACGCGTATTTACGCCTTCAAGAAGGCAGAAAACAGAGTGGCAACTGCAGCACTAGTACCAACAATAGTGCCAAGAGCAGCATGCATGAGCAGAAAACGCAGGTGCATGAACAGCTGCATCCGTCGAACTATGCTGATTGAGCCTTTGCCTGCTGCACTGTTTCGCCGTCTGTCCCTTTGAAGCGCAGGCTTTCATTTCTTTGTAGAAGGGTGTCGCCGTAACAAGTCAGTAAGCCGTACATCTAGCCGGTTTAATAGCCAAGTACAAGGGTATCTGCTCTACAAGAGAAAGGGGGGCGCGAAGTGGAGAAGTAATCAGAAGCACGATATCTCTATAAGTGGCTTTCCCCCCTCTCCAATCGCTCTGTAGGAAGGGGGCTTGATAAGGCTACATGCGTAGTGCAGCGGCTCAGATACACGTTGGCACTTTTTAGTACACTAGTTACGTTCAACTAGAAATTATTAGGGAACCGGATACCTGGTCAGTCTATTGGTATAGGCAATACATTAAAGAGTACTACTAGCTCATTGGAAGAAGATGCAGTGGTGTGTGCTTCTGCACTAGAGCCTGTGTGGAAGTAGCTGTAGATGCTTGCAGTGCTTCACAGCTGCAGCAAGGCACACTCTACCTCTCCCTCTCTCTGTTTCAGGAAACCTAAAGGAGGTGGGCAGGAAAGGGTGGGCGCTGTTCTGAACAGAAATCAACAGCTTTTAATCAACTTTGTATTGAGTCTGCAGTCAAGTGAGTTCCTTTCTTAGAATGGCTTTTTTCACCCCAGTCCTCCGTAGCGGAAAATGAACCCCTGAAAGGGCAGCACTGCCCATCAATATTAAAAATGTAAAAGAGCAGGTGGGTGTAGTGCCTTCAAGTAGGTTGTTTTATCGCACTGCCATCTATCAGACTGCATAAGGGCCGCCTTGAAGAACTAGACAGCGCTCTATCGCGTGTTTCCAGCAGTGCTACTTGTTCCCTAGTTTGTGCGAACCGCCCAGCGACTGGCCCATAATAAACGCAAGCGAGGGAGCCTGTAGCTAAGGGCATCCATGGGCATGTCGAGACCGTCGCAAAAGCAAACTACCCAGCACACACCCGTATAGACAGCAGACGCCAACGGCCGACGATTTGACGCACTCCACATGAAGGACATGCTGTCGATGGGAGACTAAGCACTCCGGCCAGCTGTGGAACGTCTCTCTAGAATTCAGCTTAATATTGGCGTAATAATGCAGTGAATGCATCCTAGCTTCGTGCTCCTGTGGTCCGCTGTACAGATGTGCAGTGCTTGCGGGATCTGCGTGCGGTGCATGCGCGACGCCACATGACTCATTGATTTTCAGTGAATACATGGCGCAGCAAGAAGTCAGTGTTTATTTCTGTTTATTTCCAGGGAGCACTTTCCAGCGGAGAGCCGTAGAGTGTGTCTTCGCATGCGGGCTGCAGCGGCAGCAGCCGGGGGTGGTGGGGTCGGTGGGAGCGTTCGGTGGGCACCGACGGATCATGAGCGTGGAATTTGAAAGCAAAGCCCCAAATGCTGAGGCTGCCATAAAGCTCAGAGTGTAATGGACTGCCAGCCAGTTCTTGAGCAGAGAAGCGCATGCCGGAGGAAGGGGAGCTGCGAGGATGTTGCACTGCAGACCTCTGGGTTGGGAAGCGCACAGATTGTCTTCCTCCCAAGAGAGGCCGCTCCCCGTCCGTACTCCCTAATCGCGTGGTGGAAGAAAGGCGGCTGCATGCTGCAGCCTGCCGCTGCTGCAAGAGACTTCTTGCAGGGTGTGTATCTGTGTGTGTTTACCAGTGTTCTCCAAGCCGAGCAGGAGCAGTCCTCCAAACGGCAGCCACGCATCCACCATCCTGCGCTGTCATCTCCTCTCCAGCGCAGGCCATGCCTGGCAACAATCGTCGCTGCAGCAGCATCGTAGCTCCCCGAAAGTCACGCCAAAGAAGGAGACTCGACAAAACCTTCTAGGCGCTGTCTTGGAGACTTTTCGCCCCTCAAAGGCCACCTCTCTCTCCCCCCCAGGCAGTAAGCCTTGCATCCTATTCCCAGCGCGTCGTCACGCCAATGACAAGCCGAGGAGTCGAGCTAGCGCTCGCCGGAGTGGAGAGGCAGCTGGATCTGCCACAGCCTGTGAGTCAAAGTCTAAAGTCGACGTTGCGAGAGTAGCTCCCCGCGGCATCATAAAACGGAGGAATGTTTCCACGCCTTCTTCTGCTTTCTTCGCATAAGGCCAGCCGCCTTGCCACCACAACATCACGTCGTCTTCTTATGCCGCTCCTTGCGCGATGCCTCAGCGAGCGCCACTTCCGCGAGTAGCAGCAGCAACAACAGCAACAGCAGCAGCTGCAGCTGCCGCTAGCGATGCCTCTGCAGCAGCACGTTCCCTTGTAGGCTGCACCCTTGTAAGAGCTTTCTTCCAAGACATGAAGGATGTCTCGACGCATAAAGTCGGGCTAAGGAATGCCTTCGACGTCACGCTCATCGACAAGCTCTCAGCGCTCGTCAGGTTGGCTGCTGCTGCTGCCTTCTTCTTCCGATGTCATCGACTGAGGCGTTGCGCCAAACGCTTATCTCCTACTTAGTCGTGCATGCGTGTAGAAGGCATCACATTGTTCAAGAGACTTGGAAGTCTAAGGGCTTCTTTCCCTATACGCATGTATATATATATATGTCGATGTATAGGTGTGCTTATATAGGTTTGCTGCTGCGAATTTCTCAGACAGGAGCTCATACAGACGGCTGACGGGGAAGGCGTAAGCTGCTGTTAGAATTACTGCTTCCTAAAATTTGCTGCTGTTGCAGCCTTTGGCATGCAGGGATGTCGCTAGGGGTGCCTTCTCCATCGCCTCTAAAGCAGCATGCATGCCCACGTTCTCCCTTCCCGCTAATTTGCTTCTACTACTGCCTCTACTACTGCCTCTGCTGCTGCGACATCCACTTGTGCCTCTACTGCCTCTACTACTGTACTACTGCCTCTGCTGCTGCGACATCCACTTGTGTCTCTACTGCCTCGACTACTGCCTCTAGTGCTGCCTCTGCTGCTGCGACATCCACTTGTGTCTCTACTGCCTCGACTACTGCCTCTAGTACTGCCTCTGCTGCTGCGACATCCACTTGTGTTGCTGCTGCCTCGACTACTGCCTCGACTACTGCCTCTGCTGCTCCGTACCCCTTGCCTTCGCTGTTGCTGCTCCTCCTGCGCTTCAGTTCTTCGACGGGGAAGGGGAAGCTGCAGATCAGCAAGCCACAGACAAAGTTGCATTTTCGCATGTATCTTCAGCGATTGAGGGGGCAAGCAAAGTCTATGGATACCGCGTCGAAGCCGTATATGACCAAACGTATCATGTAATCTCCCGAAAAGCTGCTCCCTGTATATACACCCCACCACACCCTCGTCCCCCTTCAAATCTTCCTCTAGCTGCAATCAATGAATGCAGAAGCAAGTGCCCTCGCAAGGCACTGGTTCATCGCTTTAGCACAGGCTGCAGCAGTCCAGCGAGAGATGACTGCCTGCCTGCCTGCCTCTCTGCCAGCGCAGAGAATTTGATTTCCTGGAGAGAGGAAGGAGATCTTCAGGCACTTTTCTCCCCACAGCGCGTCTTGAGGGCTATTCTCTATGGCTGTGTCTTTATCTGTGTATATATATACATGGATATTTGTGTGTCTGTCTCTATCTATCTCTGTCTACGTCCGTCTCTATCTATCTCTGTCTGCGTCTGTCTCTATCTATCTCTGTCTACGTCTGTCTCTATCTATCTCTGTCTACGTCTGTCTCTATCTATCTCTGTCTACGTCTGTCTATCTCTGTGATGCTGATGCCTCTCTGGCATGCCTGCAGCTGCTAAACGGACTGGCTACGTTGAAGCGAGAAGGCGCAGAGACAGGGGGGGGAGACAACGATGAGCAGAATGCTAGACGAAGGCAGCGGCAGCAGCAGCAGCGTCTCGCTCTGTTTTTCAAGGGCAGCTCCGGCACGCTGGCAGATTCCAAGGATATAAGCTGCGAGCAGCCAGACATGGGCGTCCTTATCGACCCCTTCTTCGTGTATGTCTTCGGCTGTATATACTCCGCAGGCAGCTACGTCATTACGCAGCTCCTACAGGGGCAGAGCATACCTACATAAAATAAGGAGCTGTTGCCTGTGCGGCTATGCGTCTGGGGTTCTCGCCTTAAGGGACTATTGAGGATGCAGTTTCTCGAGGATTTCTGTGCAGAAAACAAATGCCTCGTAGAGACTGTTGCCAGTCGTGCACGGAAGGCTGCACTGTATCCGCTTGCCGTTGAGGATGCGATGCTTTCAGGAAGATGGCAAGTCTCTTTGATCAAGCTGGCGCTAAGGGCTTGTTGCTGTCCAACCTGCAAGTTGATGAGAGTCTCTCTCTCAGATTTGATGGAGAGGCACCAGCCTTTCCTGTCGCGGCTGCTGCTGCGACACCAGCAGCCGCTACAGCTGCAGCTGCTGCGAATGCATGCATCGTCGATAGGGGAACTCTCGCAGGTTCGCCGGCTGCAAAAGGCATTGCTCGTGCTGACATTGCTGCTGCTGCTGAGTTCGCTGCGGAAATTGGTGCTGAAATTGCTGCTGAGAATGCTGCTGAAATCGCTGCTTGCTACTGCGAATGCATGCATCGTCGATAGGGGAACTCTCGCAGGTTCGCTGGCTGCAATAGGCATTGCTCGTGCTGACATTACTGCTGCTGCTGAAATTGCTGCTTGCTGGCATTACTGCTGCTGCTTGCTGGCATAACTGCTGCTGCTTGCTGGCATTACTGCTGCTTGCTGCTAGCAGCATGTTTGATTTCTGATTTTGCTGGCAGGTGTTGTATTCGCGCAGTGTGTGGTGGGGTTGGTCGCTTCCTAAGGATGCGTGTGGGGTCTTCGTGTGTTACACGGGTTGTGAGGTGTGTTTTTTGAGTTTTTTTTCATGATACATTTTTGGCGATTGCTATCGTCTGCATGTTTGTTTGTTGTTATGCAGACTTGATTTTTGGGAGGGCCGCTACGACTCGATGCCTCGACACCTCCATCTGCGGAGATGCCATTCGGCATTTTACAGAGCAAGTAGAGCAGTGCGTTGAAGTGGCTGTAGTGTGCGTTTGCACGCTTCTTGGAAATTCGGAGGCTGCGCTGTCTCTTTGCGGCTCTGCCTGGCTCTGCATCTCTGAGCATCGTGTGCGTGTCTAGCAGCTTGCAAAGACACGAGAGGCGACATGGGGAGGTGCCTGTCTGCGACTGCTTGCTGCTGCAGACTAAGAGCCGGGGGAGACGAGCAGACTGCAAGCAGGACGGAAGCATCCAAGAATCTTTCTGCAGTGCGACTTACTCAGCCGCTTTCTGTTCTCATACCCTGCTGGCAGCTGCGTGCTCTGCGGGCAGCTGCACGCATGATGCATGTTAATTCCGGCTGCTGCATTGCTGCACTTGCCGTTGCTGCAGGATCTGGGAGATGCGGAGTATGAAGAAATGGAGTGTGACGGGGCCGTTGATGATGATTTGCTGCTGGAATTCGACGCAGATGTCGCAGCAGCAGAGGCAGCCAATGCGTGGGAGCAGCAGCACGAGCAGCAGCAGCAGCAGGAGAAGCAGCAGCAGGCACTAGGAGGCAGCGATCCGTTGCTTCCGGAGGAGTCGTCTGTGGGGTTGTCAGCGCAGGATAAAGAGCAGCACCTTTTTGAGGATGAAGGTGATTTTACTGTGGATGCGTTCTCACTGCGGCAAGAGGAAGAAGTTGGTGCGTTGAATGGCAGGAAAAAGGGGGAAAAGCAATTCTGAGAGCACGGGGAATAATGAACGAGGCAATTTAGCCTCCAAGTGCTGCCATGCCGTCTGCAGTTGCTTTGACGGGCATGTTGTTGCTGCCTCATCTTCGTGTTGAGACTACCCCTCCAGAAAGCCTCTCGTCCTCTGCTTCTGGATGGTGCAAGCTTGTTCTACGCCTTTCGAAAGACGCACGCATCTGTCTTTTTGCAGCACGATCGGATCGCTTGGAGTCTCTCTTAGCGTTCCCTGCGAGTAACTCGGCACGGGGGGATCTGCGAGGCTTTGAGCATTTGCTGACGACTTCTTTTATCTCGGGAGACAGTTCGAGACTTCGTCGGAGCCTTTTCAAGGGGACGGCGCGTCGGGGGGCTGCTGCGTCTGCAGCAGCAGCGGCGGCAGCCGCAAAGACGCAGCAACTCTTCGCCAGTCTCGACCCTTTCCTAATTGACATGACAGACTTAGGCAAGCCTCTGGACGTGTATCCGCTGCTTAAGACGGAGCGCTGTGTTTCTGGTAAGAAGACGCTGGTCATGAGAGAACTGCGTTGTATTCTGTGCTGCTGCTGCGACTTTGTCGCGAGAGAAAGAAGCACACTCGCCTCTGGCGCATGCAGCTCTCTACGCTCCATACTTAAGGGCTTGAAAAGAGCCTGCGCCACTCTCTGGTGATGGACGCTTCGAAAAAGCACTTTATTTCGTGTGCGCTTGCCTCTCAGTCCTACCGAAGCCGATTGATAGCGTCTTTGTTGCGGTAAGCGCGAGGGGTTAAGCTTCTTCAACGGTGTGCAGTTTGTCGATTTCACAGTAGAGGGATGATGCATGCGTGTTTAGGGCTTTAGAGCTGAAGCCTTCCCTTTAGCCCTTCTCGTGCTAAACGAAACAGTTCAAGATTCTAAGGAAGTGCAGTGTCTCCCTGTGTATGTATGCGTGTATGTGTGTGTATGTGTGTGTATGTATAGGTGGGTATGTGTGTATGTATGTGTGTGTATGTATGTGTGTGTATATGTGTGTATGTGTGTGTATGTATAGGTGCGTATGTATGTGTGTATGTATGTGTGTATGTGTGTGTATGTATGTGTGTGTGTATGTGTGTATGTGTGTGTATGTATGTGTGTATGTGTGTGTGTATGTGTATGTATGTGTGTGTATGTATGTGTGTATGTATGTGTGTATGTGTATAATGTCTATAATGTGTATATTATATATATGCGTATGTGTATAATATATATGCGTGTGTGTATGATATATATGCGTGTGTGTATGATATATATGCGTGTGTGTACAATATATGTGTGTATGTGTATAATATATGTGTGTATGCGTGTGTGTATGTCTATAATTGTGTATTTTTCTGTGTGTGTATGTTTGCGTATATTTCTGTACGTCTATATTTGTGTATATTACTGTGTGTCTATGTTTGGGTGTATGTGTGTGGGGTGCGTGCATGCAGGGAGACATGACCAGCAGCCCCTTTGCTCCTTCCCCTCAGCAAATGATTTCGCTGTCATTGCTCGCCACGAAGCAGCTGCGTTTCTCGGAGCACTCTGCAGGAGCAGTTGCCTTACTGAATGGGAAAAATAGAGACAGCGGTGAGTGCGAGGATATCTCGGAAGGGAGGGGCAGGAGAGAGGGGGAGAAAGGGGAAGAAGGGGTGGCTGAAAGAAGAAGGGTGTGAGGCTGCGTAAGAGTCTGATTACACGATTTCTTTTTCGAGAACGCGATAAATGATCGTGAGGAAAGGGGGGAGACCTTCTTCCAGCCGACATCGCGAGACTTCGCTTCGCAAAATCCATCGGTGTGAAAGCCACCTGTACGGCTCCTTCAAAAGCCTTGTGTAGTGAGACGCAACATCCACTGGATAAAAAGACTGCCGTGCGTGATCAGGAGGGGCAGTCCAGGATTTCGAAGGCGAAGGAGGCTTCGAAGCATGCGGCGAGACTGACGATTTCGACATCAACGGCACAGTTGGAGCAACGCAGAGCGCAGGTTTGTACAGCTGCTGCTGCTGCTGCTTCTGGATAGGCTGTTGAGATTTGTGTAGGAGCAGCTGCTGCTGCTAGTGCAGCTGGTGTCGCACTGCTCTTGGATGCATCCATCGCTGTTGGCAGCTGCTGCTGCTCCTCCGTTGCTGCAGTCTTTGTAACGCAGCTATTTGACCAGCGGAGTCTTAGCGAAACTAAGCCCTTGCGTCTCATTGAACCACCTCAAACAGTACGTAATATCGGAAGGGGGGAATAACACTGGGAGGCTTCATGCTCTATCCACAGCCTCCCTCTTACAGCCGCTTCGCTGTCTGTCCTCCTTCGCGCAGCAGCTCTCCCCTTACGCCTCCGTTTTTGTGGCGAGACACCTGCTGCAGCTTGTGCTGTGGCTGCTGTTTTGGTTCTGCTGCGTCTCGGGTTTTTAAAGGACGCGTAGCTGAAACAGTGTTGCTTTTGGAGTCGCTCTTCCTGCAGTCTTTGCTGTTGCAGCAGCAGTTTCTGTTGCAGCTGCTGCAGCAGCAGTTTCTGTTGCTCTGTTGCAGCAGCTGCAGCAGTTTCTGTTGCTCCGTTGCAGCTGCTGCAGCTGCTTCTGTTGCTCTGTTGCGGCTGCAGGTTCCTTCATCCGATTTGCGTTTGTCTTTACCATCCCGATACGTTGATGTAGCAGTTGTGAAGCAGACTCTGAGAGAAGCTCTTCACATTAAACAGAAAAAGGAGGAGTTTGCGCTGCAGAAGGAACAGACGGGAGGGCTTGATGATGGCGAGCAGCAGGTATGTCTCTCTCTCTCTCTTTCTCTCTATCTCTCTCTCTATCTCAAAGCCAGCACTGAGAACTGAACCTGCGACTGCGTCTCTCCTTCTGCTGCGGCACCAGCGATACAAGCCGCGGGAGTCTGTTTTCAAAGCAGAAAAAAACAATTTGCCACGCTCTAGGCATCTAGAATGCATCTCTCGATCGAGCATTTTGCTTTGCAAGCTTCTCATGTGAGTTGTGTTTAGACGGGCAGCGACAGAGTGGAGTTCTTCGATCTTTACGAAAAGGTAAAGGCTGCTGGTGCTTCTGCTGCTGCTGCAGCTTCTTCTTCTTCTACTTCTGCTACTTCTGCTAGTGCTAGTTCTAATACTAGTGCTGCGCGTCCGTGTGGCTATCTAGCAATGCTGTCTCTGTCTTTGCAAGTCTGCTAGGAGCCATTGCTCTCTGCACCCTCCGCTTCCACACATACACACACATATATAGCCGCCTCCAGTTTTTCTTTTGAGCTGCCTTTTGCTAGACAGCCCTCTAATTCCTCGTGTGTGACTGCCTGCCTGCCTGCCTGCCTGCCTGCCTGTTTGCTTCAGACTGTCACGCTGTTACCAGCCGTCGAGAGGCAGAACTGCACTCCTCAGATGCTCTTCGTGTGCCTGCTGTATACAGCCAATGACGAAAGTAAGAGACGCGACTTTCACTTTGGGAATGCGGCTATTCTTCTTCACGCTGCGTGCCTGTTGTATGCATCCCGTCATGATCTTTCCTTCCGTGCATGCGCCATCCTTTTGCAACCGAGCACCTCCGTTGCTGCCTCGTCTGAGCCTTCATCGAATGCTAATTTTCTTCTTTGCTGGCAAAGCTCCCCTCAAATCCTCTTTTTCGCGTCTGCTTTTTAGTGTCTCTCTCCGTCTGCCCGCCAGCCTTGAGGCATCGCACACCTTCAAGACCTGACTAGCGCTGTCTTGCACTGCACGCGCATTCCTAGCAGCAGAAACATTCCACCACATCTCCCGCTTTCTATTTGTCTCTCTCTGTATATGTGTGAATATGTCTGTCTATGCGTGACCATCCATCTCTCAAGCTCTCCCTCTAGATACGTCTGTCCATTTCTATATCTATATCTCTGTCTATGTCTACGTCTATTCCTATTTCTGTCTCTATGTCTCTGTCTATGTCTGCGTCTATTTCTATCCCTATATCTCTCTCTGTTTCTATCACCCTCTCTATATCTCTCTATTTCTGTCTCCATATCTACATCGCTGTCTATTTCCATCTCTCTCTACTTCTATCTCCATCTCTATATCTCTGTCTATGACTATCTCCATCTCTGTATGTCTGTCTGTGTCCATTCCTATCTCTCATATTTCCCTTTGTCTGTTGTCTTTGCAGCCTTATTGCTGACTCCTTCTGCGAATAGGGAGACTTTTGAGGTATGCCGCAAAGCGCCTCTCGCGGAGCAGCTGGCTGATGACCAGCTAGCTGTTGCCGCTCTGCAGTCTGTGGCTAGCTACCCCGTTCTAGATCTGCAGCAGTTTATGCAGAAAGGCGGACAGGGGCAGCAGCTGCTGCCTCCAGAAGCGATAAAACCGTCCGCGTTGCTGCTGCAGTATCAGCAGCAGCGAGAAGAGCAGCAGCAGCAGCGAGAAGAGCAGCAGCAGCAGCGAGAACGGCAGCTGCATGAGGCAGAAAGCGATCACGCGCAGGGGCAGATGCAGGCTTGCCGTAAGCACAAGGAGATTCTCCCCACAGAGGCTGTCAGCGCAGCCTCCCCACCAGAAGCAGCTAAAAAGCTCCTCAGGAAACGACAGCAGCTCGCAGCAGCTGCAGTGTCGCGACAGCACCACAAACGTCCCTCGAAGAAACGGCGCACTCGAAACAGGAGCAGCAGTAGCAGCAGCAACGACACAGGCAGCGATGAAGAGGAGGTTGTTACTTGAGAGAAAGTGCTGCTCTGGAAGGTGCTGGATGAAGGGTGTGTCTCTTTGCGAGCTGAACCAGGATAGATATGGCTTTCATTTGCTACGACGACGTCACACAGTTTCGATTATTCCTTTTTTCTAGGCGCTCGTTGCTCTTCTGTAGAGATAGAAAGATAAAAATGCATCTTGCCCCCATGGCAGGCAAATGCTGCCCACAGCAAGCCGATTAGTCCCCGCCTAGCTAACTAGCTAGCTAGCACACAACACCCCCGAATCAGCCAGCGCCACGCAAGAGCTATAGACAGAGAAGCTACGCCATCAACAGACACACCACAGCACGCATCACGCAGTCTCGCGTTCGGCGCACAGGGGTTGCTGCTGCAGTTTCAGCAGCGAGATTGCTCGGCTAGCCAACATTTGCAGTTTTACACAGGGCAGGCGCTTCGGGAGCTCGGAAGCAACAACCTCTCAAAATACTGCTGTCAATCCCTTTCTACCGCGTTCCCGCCTCTAACACCCTCTGCAGCAGCAGCAGCAGTAGAAGTCACCCAAGCAGCTAGCTAGTAGCTTAATGGCAGTGCGCCGTTGTCGCTACGTCTCCTTAGACTAGCCCAACGGCTTTCCAATGTTTCCTGCCCCGCTACCTCCTTTTCTCTTTCCTTGCGCCTCTCCGAAAGCTGCGTCTGCTAAAACTTCCTAGCGAGTAAGTCTGTGAGCGAGCTGCCTGCGGCAGCCGTGTAAAAGCAGCAAGGACGGCTAGGCAACGGGAGTGCTTCCAGTACGACAGCGTGGGAGAGAAGAAGAGAGGGAGAGAGCATGAAGGAATGGCCACTTGCCGCCTCGCACACGCCGTATGCGCGTTTGTTTGCTGCTAGAAAATAGAAGCCCATATAGACAAACGGCCTTGCAGGTGAGGGTGTCTCTTGGCTAGAGCTACACAAGGCAGCAGCGTGACGGCTCGTTGGCTGCTGCTGCTGAAGACATCAGCATTCTGCCGCTGCACGACGCTGAAGAGACGTAATCTTGTCACCAACGCTCAACGCTATACCCTGCAGGAGGTCACCCCCCCCCCCCCGTCAGCGCACAAGCAGCGAGGCATTCACATTACGAACACAACCCAAAGGCAGAAACACTGCCTTCCTTCTGCAAAACGGGGAAAAACATCGCCCCTCAAACACTGTCACCGAACATATCCCCCCGGCAAAAAAGCCCCGATACACCCCAAACAGACCCCACAAGTGTGCATGCAAGCATCATCGTTCTATGCATCGTTGCACGCAACGAAGAATGCTCTTTTGGCTGGTGGTCTCACCTGCGTGCGACTTCTCACTCGAACAGAGCCGCTCAGTCTGCCGTCTCGCAGCTTTTCCAGACTCAAATTCGCCAGCGCGTCTTCTCCTGCGTAGCATACAGAGCATGCACAGAAATTCCAGAGCTCCCTCCCTTAAAAGAACATGAAGATCGCGTCTTGCTCTCTTGCTCTCTCTCTTTCACCACTCCTCCAGCAAACAGAAATACCCACAGACAGGCCGTCCCCGCTTCCCCCTCCGTTGCATGCAGCTCAGTCTGTGATAGCGCAGCATCATCAACTAACGCCAGCAAAAGATCGCTACAAATATCAACCCCCACTCCCTTCCCGCTTCGTAAGAAGACATCTTCTGCACACGCCTCCAGAGGACTCACCAAACACAGAGCGAGAATACAAGTTCACAGAAAAGACAGAGCATGCCTTTGCGAGCTTTTGGAGATCTTTCATCTGCTGCAACGACTGCTGTGTCATCTCAAATTCCTCGAGAGTTGCATCCCCCGCAGCAGCTGCAGCCGCTGCTGCTGTCAGCTTGTGCGGCTGCCTAGAAGGCGGCTTGGATCCAACGACAGTCATCTTTGTCTCCTTCAGCAGAGCCTCCAGGAACGCCAGCACTGACCTGGTCGCATGCGAAATCACCGACAAACAAATACAAGCAGAAAAATGCAAGAGGGGCTTGCAGAGCAGCGTGCATGCAGCGGGCCGGTGGGGTGTATGGACAGTACACACGGGGGAATCAGAAAGAGGCGCGAAGGGGTAATTTTTTAGCGTTAAGAATGGGGGATGCATATGATGCAGAGCTAGCTACTGCTACCGCCAGTGAGCGTGGAGGTTCTATGGCTGTCTATACGCCTTCAAAACCACCCCTCAACAACAACCCCCCACCAACTCTCCTTTTTCCCCAAGAGAGAGCGTCTCACGTGGGGGGCGTCAACACCTGCAGCTTGTTTTCCCATTCGAACTCTTGCCACCTTCTTCTAAACTCGCTCGGCTCGATCCACGTGGGATGCACGAACGGCAAGCAGTCCAGCGACAGCTCAGCAAGCAAAATATACTGTCTCCCGCTGTGTTGACTCCCTTTCCTCTCCAGAGACACCACCCCAAACAACACAGCGCCCTCAGCGCTCTTCAGTTTTAAAGAAGAAAAACAACAAACAGACGCGAAAGGTGGCAGCGTCAAAGCAGCCGGCCTGTCTACCAGTCGAACATCTCCTGCATGCACAGCAGATGTACATAAATACAGATAGACATATACATACAGATGTATATATATATATGCAGACATACATATATACAGATATATATGTATATGTATCCATATATACACATACATAGTATGCAAGCCTCTCCTCCCCCCCTCTGTTCCTCTCTCTTTCTCTCTCTCTTTCTCTCTCCTCGTGATGCGCGAAGAAGACGTAAAAGAAGCTACAAAGGAGGAAGCCCGCCGAGCCCACGTATTTACTACACATTCGTGCTAAAAAGACGCCGTAAGAAAACAGATTACACTGGAACGGAGAAGCTCAGCAGCAACCCCAGAGGAAACGGAAGTGCAGCAGGAAGAAGCTCATTGATGAGATCCATGCATTCACAGGAGGAGAGAGATAGCCGCGTAGCAGTAGGGCTAAGAAACCTCTCGGCGCTTCAAGCTGAGACAACGCAAGTAGATGGAACAGGAGTTTGCCACGAGAGAGACAGACAGACAGAGACAGACAGACAGACACTCACACACACACAGAGAGAGAGAGACAGACAGACAGACAGAAACACAGAGAGAGACAGCACACAAATAGCTCATAGATCGACGTACCTTGAGCAGCAAGTTCGACATTTACGTTGTACAGTGTCTCATTGGTCCTGTTGACGACCAGCAGCTCCAGCAACAAATCGAATTGATTTAGACGCAGGAAAGCCTCAACATACACTTCGTCCTGCAGCGGCATGAGGCAGCTCCAGCGGCGGCTGGCCATGTGGCAAACCGTGCAGCAAGATGCAGAACACCCCAAGAAGTGATAGACGGAAGAGCCAGACGCAAAGACGAGAGATAGACACTTTCAGCCATTTGGCTAGCTAGCTAGCTAGCTAGCTAGCTGTTGGGGAGAAGAGACACCCTGCATATATATATATATATGTATTCGGCCCTGTAATGCGCACCGCAAGTCCTGTGAGTTGCTGCACGGAGCGAAGTCTTTGATGGAAAAGGGAAGCCTCGCTAAGAGGGCTTTTCTCTCCTACAGCCACAGCGACATCGGGCTGTAAGTCGTACAGCTGCTGCTGAGACTGCTGCTGAGACTGCTGCTGCTCAGCCTGAGGCTGCTGCTGCTCTTGCCAGTCATCTTCATCCTCCGATGCCTCATAAAAGGCCTCTTCATCAAAAGCTCGGCGTTCTTGCGCAGTCTCCCCAGAAGTCACGGGCAGCAGCAGCCGAAACGGTATGCTTGAGTCTACCGACGCTATTCGCTGCAGATACACCCATCCAAAACAAGTTTTGAAATAAAATCTGAACTTTTTGAGGCGCCCAGAAAACAAATACACCGCGCGCCGTAAAAACATGTCGAAAGCTTTTTTCTGTATCAAAAAACGCCAAAATGACGAGGTTCATCCTTCTCCTCCTTCTTGTGTCTGTCTATCTATCTCTCTCTGTCTGTCTATATATACACATATATATTTATATATGTGTGTCTCTCTCTCTCTGTTTGTTTTCTCAAACATGGACTACACAAAGCGTGTTGCATACAACTGGCTGTGCTACGACCAAAGCCTTCCTGTAACGACACCCCCTTCTACATCTCCCCCCCTTTCTTCCCTTCCCAAGAAAATTCATGAAGAGAAAGCCGCCTATTGCACTCTACCCACTGCTACATCGGCTGCTTCCGCATCCTGCTCGCCGCTTTGTCCTCCCTTTGACGCTGTCAATGCCTCCAGCTGCTGCTCTCTCCCTCGTTCAAACCACACAAAGCAGTTGCGCAAAGAATCCTTGTCTCTAGCTCCTCCCTGAGGCAGCAAACGCGCACCATTCAAGACCAAGCTGCATGCAGGAAAACGTCTCTTGCAAGAGACACCGCATGAACACATCCCAGGGAGGCCTGTAAATACACCGCTTCTTCCTTCCTTCGTTTACCATACCCACGCGAAAGATATGCAATCACGACGCTCACCCCCTCGCTACCACATCCCCCTTCTCTCTCCGCTGCTCTCCCTGGGCGCCTCCTCTCCTAGCTCCTCCCCGCTTCCCACCATCTCCTTCCTTCCCACCCCCCCGTATTGCATCTTTCTGCGGTTAAGGCGCTTCCCTAGTGAGCCTTTCCCCCCTCCACACCATCGAGCTCCTCAGCAGCCTGGCTGCTAATTAACGTACGATCAGGCAGAGAATCGTCCTGAGAGCTTGATTGCACCGTATGGCTGCGTCGCTCGTCTGTCCAGACACCGAGCGAACGCACTTGAATAAAGAAGATACCACCAGCAAACTCTGGTTTATGCAGCGTCTGCAACACAGGGAAGCACACCAGCAGAAGAAGACGATTTTGTTCCTGCACGCGAGCAGGCGCAGACTCCCCCAAAAGCAGAGAAGTTGACGAAAACGTCCAAGAAAAGCAGTTGAAGAGACTCTCTCTATCTTTCTTCTCCCCTCTCTCTGCCCCCCCTCGCCAGCAGAGCCGGAGAAAGAGAAAAACAGATCACGCTGCGTTGCTGCAAAACTCCGCACGGAGGTATCCTTAGACAGTCTTCTGAAACGCAAAGATTTTCCTTGCCCTCTCCTCCTCTATTTCCTGAGCCTGCAGGTGTCACTGCTGCTGCTGCCAGTCTCTGCTGCCTGCGTCTTGCGAAATACTCGGGAGAAGACAGCAGCAACAGCTTTGTGAGGCAGATGGAGACTACGGCTGCCAGTAACGCATCCCCTCCCACAATTGCCTCTCGGAGGGTGCTAGTGCCTGATGCAGAAAACAAAAAAAAATTCAGCAACGATAAGTGGTTTCCAAAAAAACGCACAAGACGACACCCGACAACACAGCACAGTAGCCCCTTATATCCCCACGGCAAGATAAACGAGCAAAGGGAAAGGCGCAGCAGCTCTACCTTCTGGCCTTTTGCACAGACACACACAGACAAACGTATATCCATATACAAATATACGTATGTATATACATACATATATTTTTTGTACAAATACATATATACATGAACAAACACACATATACATGTACAAACACACATATACATGTACAAACACACATATACATGAACAAACACACATATACATGTACAAACACACATATACACGTATAAACGCACATATACATGAAAAAACACACATATACATGAACAAACACACATATACATGAACAAACACACATATACATGAACAAACACACATATACATGAACAAACACACATATACATGAACAAACACACATATACATGAACAAACACACATATACATGAACAAACACA